ATAGGACAAACTTCGAGAATCCTATTTATAAAACAACGACAACACTGAATGATCAGAATTAAAATAGAAATTGTTCAGTAATAATAATAAGTTCTATTTTCATTAATTAAGTATTTCAGTGATCTTCTTCATCAATTTATTTCTAAAATAACCGTCAAAAATTATTTAAATGTGATGTTTGAATTTCCCGCCCGATTGAGAAAGATGCGAAAGTTTTGTTTACAGACGCAAAAAATAAAATTTTGTAAAAGAAATTTCTCTTAAAATTTCAATTAATTCACATAAAACCTGTAGTTAAAAATGAATGCACAATCTCAATCACAAGAGAGAGCCTATATTGCTCTTTTGGGATTAGCGGAGCATTTCAGAAACACTTGCAACATAAGAAAATCAATACAATGTTTAGAAGCGGTAAAACAAACTAAAAGAATATAAAATGAATTAAGAATTTACGTGGAATTATTTTTTTATTTATAGTTATTCACATTTTCACCGCTCTCCAAGAAAGTTGAGGCACGAACTCATCTACAAATCGGACAAATGCTTTTCACATACACAAATAATGTAGATTTGGCTCGTTCACATCTTGAGCAAGCTTGGAGTCTCAGCCAAAACATACAAGGATTTGACGATATAAGATTCGACTCAAGTTGTACTCTTTCACAACTTTATCAACAAGAAAATCAATCCGATACTGCCAAAACTATTTTACGCAAGGCGATAGAGAACTCTCAACATAATATTTATTGGTATTCGAAGCTGCTTTTTAAAATTGCTGTAAGTATTTAACTAATCTATTTTCTGATTCAATTACTAAATTATTTTATTCTTATTCACCAGCAAATTCATGCCAACGATAAAGAATATAATCTTGCATCGGAATATCTTTCAATTGGAGTAGAAGCAGCGGAAGAAAACAATTCCAGTTATCTCAAAACACAATTTCTTCTCAATCGTGCAATGATTTTGATTATTGAAAGAAAATCCAACGATGTCATATCACTTCTCAATCAAGCCGGAGCTTGTTTAGAGACCATTCAAAACCTAAATCTTAAAGAATATTCAAGAGTTTTTCATCTTATACTTCAAGTGTCGAATTCACTTCAATTGGGTCATGTAAAATCTGTTAAGGAAATTCTCAAGCAGTTACAAAGAATCATTCAGACAATTGTAAGCACAAATTGGCCACCTGATGAACAGATCTTTGGACAACAACCTACCGAACACTTCATGTGGCTGCCAAAAGAACAACTTTTTGTTCTTGTCTATGTTCTTACAGTCTCCCAATCAATGATTAGCGGATTTCTTGAAAAGACACAAAAGTACACTGAAAAGGCATTAACACAAATTGAAAAGCTGAAAGCACAAGAAAATAAGCCAATTTTGGCAGTTTTTGAAGTCATTCTATTAGAACACATTGCTATGTGTCGACTCATTACAGGAAACCGGTCGTGGGCCATAAAAGAAATTTCTGATGCGAAAGATATTTGTCTTGCTTCACCCAACAAATCACTGCTCAAAACCCATTCAGCTCAGCTTCATTGTTTGTTGGGACTTTATGCAATGTCCGGAAACATTTATGATCGAGCGGAATTGCAGTTTAAGACATCGGTGCAAGAAACAAATCATAAAGAGTTGAAATTATTCAGCAATCTTAACTTAGCAGTCGTTTATTTACGGATGGGACAAGATGACAAGTTGAAGGAACTTCTCAATCATATTGCTGCTGAATACACTCCAAATTTTAGCAACCAAGCTTTATTAGGCAGTTACTATTGGGTCCAAGGCTTGAATTCATTCTACAAAGGTGGATTTCATGAAGCGAAACGTTTCTTGCGTGAATCCTTAAAAATGGGGAATGCTGAAGATTTGAATCGACTGACTTCGTGTTCCTTAGTACTTCTAAGTCAAGTGTTCTTGAGTATTGGAAACTCGAAAGAAGCAATGAACATGGTTATTCCAGCAATGCAACTTGCTGGTAAAATTCCCGACGTTAATGTTCAACTTTGGGGTAGTTCAATCCAAAGGCAATTATATAAACAACTAGGACAATTGCAATCTGAACAAGAAGCTTTCCGACAGCATAAAATCTACTCACAAACCTTGATAAATGATCAGTACAAATGTGGACAAATGATGCAACATGTTCTTCTTGATTGGATTTCAAATGAACCGCCAGCAACTGTTGAATCCACAGATTTTCAAATGGCTATGCCATCAACATCAAATTTTACTGGAACTTATCATCAATAGACTCATAATATGAATAATTACTTAAATTGCATACATTTGTAATTGAAACTGACTTTCCATTACTGAAAGGTTATTGAGTAAGAAAAAAAATTTTGATTTTTTTTGTTCTTTGAATTTTATGTTCTTTTTTATTCTGAAATCTTAGCTTAAGAAATTTTTTTCATGTTCATGTGTAGCTTTAGTTCACTAATAACTTCATAGATAAATTAAATAAAAAAGAAAGAAAACTTTTGAAGAAACAAATATTTTAGTTTCTTATTTATTAATTGGATCGCTTTGAAAGATTACTTATTAAGGGTCTATTTGTATTTAAGGACTTATTTATGTTCTTGTATAATTAATTATGAGAACAATTGTAATAAAATCACAGATTAAATACTTGCACGAAGGTTATAAACTTTATTTCAATTATTTTCAGATTATTGATATGAAATAAAAATTAAACTGTCGGAAACACAAAAAAAATAAAAATTGTGTTAAATGACCTTCTGATATTTATCGTGAACATAAAAAAGAATAATTATGTGAATGTTCGATAATGATTTCTCAGAAATACAAATTTTGACCCTTACATTTATGACGAACTTTCATCGAACATTATTATTAACTACATTTAATAATTAAGTATAAAAGTGAAATGAGAATTCAAGTTTTCAATCATATTTTCTGTTATTATAAATGCCTGCTAATTTTTCAATTCATTAAACTATTTCATTATTTATTTTATAAGGAAATGAGAGAAAATTCATAGGCAGCTTCGAAATGGGAAAAAGATTTTTATCTAAATTTTATTTACAAGAAACTTTAAATTTCCCTCGTTTCATCTGTCACATCATCGCTTTTCAATTTTTCAGCTATCTAAATTCCTAACTTCTTTTAAATATAAAAAAAATTCTGCAAACATTCTTTGAACATGTTCATGTAAATGAACAGCAACAGTTTTCAGTGAGAGTGGATATAAATTTAAAATAATTTGTGTCCTTTAAAGTACTTTTACGACTGTCCCATTAACATCACTTGAGCTATTATAGAAACAAACGAGATTAATGAAATTTATTTAACTTGAAAAATGACTTCAATAAATGTTTTGTAACACATAAATCATTCTCATTATTTCCACTGTTGTAACAATAAATTTGTTTGAGAGATATTCATGAAAAGGGACATGAACTGTGTGGTTGGTAATTATGTATTTAATATTGAAACCGAACTATTTTCAAACATTTGTAAGCTCAAATTAATTTTAAGAGTTACGAATGTTCTTCAGAGCCCATGATTACCACTAGGCTAGAAACTTGTAAACAGTTGTTAAAAGCACTTCAAAGCATTCTCCATTTAATCACTTCCCTTTTTGAGAAGAAAAGAAATTAAATGACAAGAAGTTACAAATTTTAGAGATAAGGAAGGAAAATGACGATAAGATAAAAATTTCTCTTTCAACAATAAATTTATTTCAAGCTTTACTTTTATTTCATATTTCTTAATATCAGTTTTGAGTTAAATGATTTGATCTATTGAATATTTCCAACATATTTTTATGTCTATGTTCCTTTGCTTTATATTAAGCTGTCATTGAAATTTATTTCCGATCGATATAATTTTCTTTTTATCTCAAAAGTTCCTCGATAATTCTGAAGTTTTTCAGGGTCTGAGAATTGATATTTATTTTATTTTTATGTACAATCATCATGTTCCAATTTGATAAATTATCATCTTTGTCATTTCATTTTTCTTTTCAGTCCAAGTCTTTCAGGCTTTTGATAAGTAGGTTTAAACATTCATTTAAAGTTCATTCATGAGTCATGACGCAGTTCAAAAAGTTGATTTAAATATTCATTACATTTTGATTGGTTGGTTGAAATTAGAAATTAGACATTACAAGTAATAAATAAGAAAGTTTGAAGCAAAAGGCTTAGAGTTATTCAAGAGAAGGAAACTATTGTTAATCTTCTTTTTGGGTCATAATTTATCTTATAAATACTTGAATCAAAGAAAGTGTCACAAACTAATCTCATCCCCTAAAAAGTATTTCATTAATTCTAAGTAGTTATCATTAATTAAAGCTGAATGTTTTAAGTTGACTGACATTTATGTAGATATTTCGAATGATTCTTTATGGTTGTTATCAAACAGGTTTACGAAATTAAAATGAAATATGTATGCATGTTGTGAAAAAGTGTCGTGAACGATTTTCATATGGTCCACACTTGAACCTTTTCACACACAACACACCATGAAGCTCTCTCATAATAAGAAGAGACAATATGAAGATTTCCAACGTGTTTGTTAATTAAAGCATCAAGTTCGCCCTCTTTAAACACGTGATAATATCGATGATGTGTTGCCGAACCCCCGCCGACTGAGGGGCTATCAAGTGATGCTGTTGTGCTGTTTGAATTCGCCCACGACTCGCAAGAGTTGGTGTTGCTGTTGTTATTACTATCGCTCATCTTATTCGGATGTTTAATGTTTTTGAGCAAATTTTGTTTCATTTGTTGCAACCCAATAGAGCTGCTATTGTCGACTTCATCGAAGCTATCTTCCTGAAGTAAAAGTGCAGTGTCATTGGTGTTGTTGAAATTGTTGTTTGTTGGATTGTAACTCAAATGACTGAAACTTATTCTCGATCTAATACTCGAATCTTCATCCGCTTTTGAGCTTTCTTCTTCTTCATCATTCTCTTCATTCTCCTCAGGGATGAAGTCATTAATTTTCTGCTGCTGTTTCTTTGTTGTTTGAGGCGTACCAAGATTCGATATCAACGTTTGATTTTGTGACAAATGGGATTGAATCTTTGCCGATAGCGGAGGCGAATCATCTTCCTCAAGCTCTTGAATGGTTGTTGGAGGCGTACTGGTGTAACTTTGATGGCCGCTTTCAATTTCTTGCGACAAATGCTGCTTCGTAGTTAAATTTGCTAACATCAAACGCCTTTCACGTAATTCATCGCGTAACAAATTCAGGTTACGAATGTCGCCATTTATTTTTTTTACATAGGGATCTGCACAGAATGTGTCTATGTCATCATTGAAATTGCTGTTATTAGCATTAGCTTCGGCCGTCTCATCCAATTCCTTTAACAATTGTGCACTTAATTTCTCAGCAAAATCAACCAAATGTTCACGACAGTTGTCTAGGCTTTCACTAGTGTCATCGAAATTGATTGTTTTCAGATTATTATTATTATTATTGTTAATATTATTATTGATTGAATGATGTGTTAGCTTAGCATTAAGGTTTATATCATTTTGATTAATAATTATTCTTTCCGTGTTAGACGACAAATCACTTTCATCAATTACAGTTGTTATCGTTGACGACTGTTCTCGCATAACCATTTCAACAGTATCTTCCAATTTATTTGCTACGACTGCAGCAGCTTCTAATAAAGGCGCCACCGTTGATTCATTAAAACTATTTGATATGGTATCTTGTGCGGCTGGTTTTGTGTCAGATGAACTGATATTTTCACTGGTAAGTAATGGTTCAGTTGGTGAGTTTGATGACTGTGGTTGCAAAGCATTGATGACACTGTCAATCGAATCAGGTGATGATGGTTCACTCGAATCACTATCCAAATCATCTGTTTCAGGATTAAAAAGTTCTAATGACATTAATTTTGGCACGACTACATTCGATTTTGTTGAGGAAATGCGACGAACAATGGGAAAGCTTGACATTTTCTTGAATTTTGGAATTGGTGGCAGATTTTTAATAGTCTGTCGTGTGATCTTTGGCGAAAGATGTTTTGATGTCATTGGTGGACTGTTTGTGATGGTTGTAGAAGCTGGCGATGGTGGTGTGATAATTGTATTAATTTTTGCATGCATTCCACTTCCACTCATCTTTAATGTTGTCGATTTCTTTCCACTAACTTCCTTTTGTGATTTATGCGTTTCAGGTTGTGGACATTCAAACGTGAATCGAGTCGTTTCCTTAACACACATTTGACGTTGATTTAAGAGTGGAGCTGGTGAATGAATCGGTGTAGGACAAGGCATTATCAAGGGAGACGTTGGCACTGAAGGCATTTTGTTCGATTGAATTTCAGGTTTTTTAGGAATATAGATCACAGAAGCAAAACTGTCCTCCGATTCGATACTCGTGTCACTTTGTAGGCTGCTATCTTTCGATGAATCTGTTGGAAGAGATAAAAAGGGAAATTTGTTACACGTTCTACCTTCTGCTTAGAAATAAAAAATGTCATAAATCTCATAAAATATGACACGAGACATAAAAATAACCATAATAGCGATGAAATTCATTAAATATTTATTCACTCACCCGATCCACTTTCACGTGAATGTCTTCTTATTTTCTCAGATTCGTCGCCATTATTTAGCGATGAGCTTCTTTCGTAAGAGTTTCCGCTGGATAATTTACGACTCACAGGACCATTTTTCGTCGTTCTGTTTTCACTTATTCGATTCGTAATGTTTTCTGTTGTTTGCTGATTACATTGACCCGTATTACTCGCGCTTTTTATGTTTTGCATAATTTTTACGATGCCACTTTTTGTCACACGTTCTAAACTACCAGTTGATGTTTTCAGCTTTGTTGTGAAACCTTCACGTATGACTTGAAGACGTTTCGTGAACAATGATCGACATAAAAATGTTTCGTTTAATGACATTTGCTTTTGAATTCGTTTTCGAATTCTTTCTTTCTCTCTTATTCGACTTTCGGCCATAAGTTCTTCGTTAAGTGAACTCTGCTTCCTTAAAAGTTGAGCTCTCATATCGTTGTGCGTTAAGTTCTTATACGGGGAGTTCTCGTCAAATGGAAATTCGGGATCATCGGTTATCGATTGTTTTTGTTTGATGAGTTTTGGACGTCGCGATGGCGTCACCATCATTGACGGTTGAGCTGATGTTGATAATACTGAAGATGCAACTGTCGCATGATTTAAAGGTTCAACTATTTGTGATTGTTTCATTTCGGCACCAAGACTTGGAACACTGGAACGCGATCTGACAATTTGTTTTGGAGGTGGATTCAAAATACTTCCAAGACTTCGACTTTTCAGACCAGCCGATGACAAAGGTTCAGGAATATCATCAAAATCTTCTAATCGACGAAGCTCAATGGGAAGATCTTTAGCATCTTCGTAATCTAAACTGCTGTCATTCTTGGTGTCCTTGGAGTTCCACGAGTCTAAGAACCAGGGACTTTTCTTACCGCTTGCCAATTTCTGTAAGAATGTGTTGCATAATAAAAGAGAAAAGCACGTCGATGGATGAGTAATGAAATGTCAAGGGGACATGGTTAGGTAGTTTAAGTGATTCTCACCTGAAGAGCACGTCGTACGAAGCTATAACACGTATCACTAGGCGATGATGATGATAAACTTGAGCTGTCTCCATCGCCTTGTGAGCGGCTCGAGTTGGAATGCGTTGAATCCTCGTTATACGTATATGCATGATATGGCGGCAGAAAGTCGTCATCGTCTTCTTCATCATCCGATGTTGTCGTATTTTTAGATTTCGGCGATTGCCATGGTATTAAAACATCTTGCGATTCAAAACGTCGCGATTTCTGTTCAAGAGCCCATACTGTAATTATAACGCGACCACCAATCCGCAATATCCTAGCTAATTCACGAATTGCATTAATGCGACGTTCTGTAGTCGCGAAATGATGAACAACTGCCAACGACAACACCGCATCGAAGCTTTCATCGCGAAATGGTAATTCTAAATTATCACAAATTGCAACCTGTCATGGTTTAAAGGATAAAATTTGTAAATTTTATTATCTTTACAAGAACATTCTTTAGTATCGTCATTCATGAAATTGCGTTTCGCTTGTGGTTGATTTTAATGAAATTTCAGTTTGTAAAGGCTGTTTTAATCATCTTTTCAATCTCAGATTTTCTTCACTCTCAACAAACGACGGCAAAACGTTGTTACATGTTTTTCAATTTTCTTCATAAGTCTCCTTTGAGATTTTTTCAATCCCAGAAGTGAAATAAGAAAACGTCTTCGATCAGAGTTCGATTAATGTTTTCCTTTTTTCTTTTTTTATAGCAATATAATTAAATTAAACTAAGGAACACAACATTTGTTGTTGTGTTTCTGCCCAAAGCTTTCAAATAAGAAACCAGACACTCTCCAAACTTTCTCAGTTAAACATTCGCTTGGCATGAAAACTTTTACTGAATCACAACATCGATTATCGTCCCTACATACAAATCTTTACCACTGAAGATATATATAGGAAAAAAGAGAAGTTTTTCCATGTTCGCTTTACATAATTTTTAAAACTTTAAACGTGGAAGAGAAGAACGAAGAATTTCATGATTAAGAAATGCTCTTTTTATGTTCTTTGGTTGCGAAATATTTTTATGCTCCATATAAATGTTGTTTATGCTCCTTTAATGCTGACAGAAATACTTTTCACTCATAATTCATCATACACAAAAGCTTTACTCATTCACTACTTACTCCTCCTTCAAAACTACCCCAGTTATCATTTTCGCTTTAACAAAAGCTCTAACCAACCCCCGCTGTTGAGAGAAAATTACGATCTTGCTCGCTTATGACATTTTTTTCTTGTTCCTGAAAGTAATTCTTCGTTGCTCTGTCTGTAGAGTTATTTATTGTTACATAATTTGTAAATAAAATGCTTAACGAGAAAAGGGGAGCATGGAAATTTCACCTCATCCATAAACATCAGTAAAGAATTCCTTTCTTTATATTTCTTTAAATAACAATAATAAAGCATAAATATTAAAGCTCTTATTTATGTTTGCACCGTTGGGAATTATTTTACAATATCAATTTTATATAATTTACAGAAAAACATTTTTTTTAAAAGCTTTTCTCTGCACAACGGCTTCGGTGTGAAATAAAGAACTGCTACACGAATAAATTACTTTTGAGGGATGAAGTAGTGTTTTGCGTCGTTTTAATGAATGCAAGATTGAAGAAAGTTATTTTACGAACATTATATGGAAAAAAGTAGAAATAAAATGTTAAATTAAAATAAATTTTCTACACGATAAAAACAGATGTAAGTCATTCTTATCACAACAACTATTCACATCCATCATCAATGATTTGTTATATCGTTGCAGATTTATTTTTCATTAAACAACAGCAACAACAACTTGATTATATGCTTTGTGTATGAAACTTTTTCATTTGAATTATCTATCATGATGTATATTCATCACATGCATCATTTAAAATAGCTTTAGTAGATTTTCAATTTACATATTTGTATGGATAATACAATGGACTTTTTATAACCAGTTTAGTATCATCTGCTTCTACATCTACTTTTTTATATTATAAACCCATTTAAACTCTCTTTTCATACACAAGCATTTCAATGCACGTTCTTTATAATGTACTACATATTGTTATCTTTAAATAGATTAATGCGAGTATGCATGGCTCTCATACATTCATCAAAAGAAACGTTGAATTTACCGTTAAAAACAAAGAATAAACAAGCTGAATGCTTTGAAGGGTTAGAGAAAGTGGAGGTGTAAACACTTGAGTATATGATCTCAAACGACAATTTTCTTTTTGAAGAATTCTTTGACACTTAAAATAATATGCAAGAATGAAAATCTTTCATAGTTGGTAAGGTAATAGAAAATACATTAAACAAGAAAGATTCGTTATCAAAGAATATCAAAGATGCTTAGTGTAAGGAAAGACATGAAAAATAAAGAACAGTTTAAATTTTTTCTCATCGTTTGTTGATATAAAAAAAAGAATTCTCTGCATCAGCAACTCTTTCTTCATCAAAAAGCACAAACAAATAACAAGCTTTCACTTCAATTCACATTCAGAAGTTCTATTACCCTACATCCACAATTTTTCCTTCTGCAGAAGTAGCTTTTTATCCCAGATAAAACGTCAACGAGCTTTGTAATAGAATAAAATAAAATATCTTCGTGCTGCGCCCATTAAGCAGAAAGTTTGTGAAGCAAAATGAAGTGAAATATAAATTTTAATTGAATTATTTGCAATCGAGCTTTCAGAGCCATAAGTTTTCATCTCGAGAGAGAAATGTTCCATTAACACATCGCAGCGTGAAAGAAAGGAAAGCGGGCCAAGTTTGTCGCCTTTTTTTTCGGAAACTTTCACAACTCACGCCTTGATCGTTAGCACGACACAATGTTTCTTATGATTTTACTAGCTCTTTCACCGACTACGAGGAAAATTTTCATTACTTCCTAATGTCATTAATTACGACACTTTATTTTAACAATAATATATTTGGGAAAGTTTTCAACTCGTTAATAGAAGGAAATTGAGAGGGCGATGAAAGAAGTGGAACAATTCATCGAATGGGCGGCTGTTGAAATTAAACTAAGAAGAAGAAGAAGCTTTCAATTGCAAAGCAGCATTAAATGTAATAACGTCTAATGTTCAATAATATTCCAATGAGAGCATTAAATGTGATTTAAAGAAATTGTTATTCATGAGAAATCTACGTTGGAAAATTATTCCTACAGCCTTTCTATATAAATAATTCAATCCTTGAAGCGGATGATATTTTTTTACATGGAAAATCCGATATCTAGAAAAAAGTGAATTCAATTTCCTCAAAGTCAAATATAAGTTTCGTTTGTTAAGATGTTTCAAAATCTTGAGAAATTCTATTGAAATCCGGTAATCTATACGAAAATTTATCGACGACATTTGCGATAAGCGGAAGTTAAAGCAAAAAAAAAAGTTTCAAGGAAATTTTTCGCTGTTCAAAGCAGGAAAGTTCTTTTTAAGTTCATTTACTTATCAAGAAAAAGGTAGGCAGAAGAATCTACTGTTGATGTATGCTCTCAACATTCAGCATTGATGACAGCTCATTATGAAAGAAAAGCTAAGATGAAAGTTTCAACATTAGGTCAGAAAGTTTAAGGATCGTTCACCAAATCTATTCTCCCTTCAATATCATTTTGCATAGATTTCCTCATTTCGTAAAAAAAAACTTTTTCGATTAACAACATGGAAAGTCTTTAACAAAGTTTGTACCAAATTTTCTATGCATCATCAACCCTTTTAAGTTCCATGAGATTCATTTAGCATTAATTAAATCATACCCAACAAATCCTTAATTCACACATTTCGTTTCAATGTTAAATACATTAAAGAGGCTTTTAGAGTAAATAATTAAGGATTTATAAAAGGAAAATAAAGTCATTGCAATGCTTTTTATTGGGACATTAGGAAAATCCATTTTCCCTCAAACGTGTTACGACGCGTAAGTTACGTAATTTACGTAAGCTTGCACTTATGAATAAAATAGTTTTACGCACACACACTCACATATCTAGCCATGAAACGTGACATAATTTACGTGAAAATCTCATCAGTCATATGAACGATAAAAATAATGAAACTTTAATAATGTCAACTTACCTCGCCACCTGAATTTTGTGCTACTTTTGCTAAACGATAGCAACGATCAACACCAATTGAATAAAGTGCTGGATTGCAAGCGGCTGTCAAATATCGTCCATTACCACATCCAACATCACAGACTAATGAACCTGGATCAAGATTAGTTAGAAATTGTGAAACTTTTGGTCGTATCGATCCAACTGGTTCTTCACAATTCTCATACACATCATGAACATAAGCTCGCTCCAAAGCTGCCGAACGTCCATTTGTCTCATTATTCGCAGCTGTATTATTATTGTTGTCCTTTGTATCCTTTTCACGGTCGTTTACGTTTACATTAGCACCAGCAGGTGCCGTCGACACTAATGACGATCCAATTGTTTCATCTGTGAAGTAAATAGAAAAATAAATATGTGGTCAATTAAAGGCACACAAAGCGACATTTTTTTCTCTCTCTCGTTTTTGTTATAATGATGATGTGGCGTAACGTCACACAGTCTGTAAGTGTCTAAATGGAAAATTACCAGCAATTCTCGAAAATATTTTCTTTTAACCCAACACACGTGATGATTTTTACTATGAAAACAGAAGAAAGCACAGCAAAGAAAGCTTAAACGAAACACGACACGGATGAAAGAAAGATATCAAAAAGCTTCAGGTTATCTCGTTAAAAAATCCATGCTTTTGAATTCAGGAAACGTAAAGAGAGCCTCAGAATTATAATTGGATACAATTAGGGTACACAAAATCCTTCCAAATTTGGCTTTCGAGGCCTCTTTCTATCTCTTAACCATTGTATCATTAATTGCCATCACTTTCACTTTTATTTATTTCTCCAAGAAGGATTTTCCATGCTTTTCTAAGATGTTGTGGATTATTATGAGAAGCAAGAAGTGAGAAGGAGCAGAAGAGTTAATTATTTTATTTGTAATTAAATTAATACTTTACATGCGGAAGACGATTATGCAACAAGACAGATAGGGTCTTCGAACAACTTTGAGGTAAAATTAGGAACTATGAAACATGACAGTAGATTCGTGTTTTGAAATCATAAAGACTTTATGTGTATACATCAGAAGATAATACTCAAACTATGCTCAAGGTCAGGAGTTGCCGCCTTAATCTAGTTTAGTGCTTTGAGATTTTTCCGGGACAGTGATTCACAGCAATGGAATGATTGTTAAGAATTTATGCTTATTCCGAGCGTGCTTGTCTCATTACTACAAAGCTGAACATTTATCAATTCATAAGACTGGCGGTTTCTCTTTTTTCCTTTTTTGTATTCAAAAACTAAACAATAAGCATAAAGTTGGGAAAATTAATTAAAACATATAGATAACGAAGTCCTTATTTAAGATAAAATTCTCAATCCTTTTGTCAGTTGGTAACGAGCTTCTTATTCTTCTCGCTTAAGACAGCATCTTAAAAGCTTTTTGGAATAATCTTTCATGAAACTTCATGCTTTCCTTAAGTACATTCGAGGTCGTGTGAGTAAAGAACAGTCAAGAAAAGTAAGAAAATTGAAATAAGCAAAAGAGAGAAACAAAAAAACTTCCACCATTGATTTTCCTTTTCGTTCTTGTTCATGTTTACATCAACAGTTCTTACCATAATCCCGCAGTAAAACAAATATATTTGTTTATAAAATTAAATAATTTATAATCAAATTATTATAATATTCTGATAATCTCCGGTGCCCTTTCCGAAAAAATAAAGAAATGTTCAGCTTTTATTTGAAAAGGACTCACAAACTATTAGCTGCCACTTAAGTTGTTTCAGAGCGGATGAAATTAGAGTAAGCGAAAGGGAAAGTTTTGTTTAAGTCTTGTATATAAAATCATGATTAGAGAACAGTTGATATCAAACTTGACATCACTCAACAATCATTCCTATTCATAATTTTAACGAATGTCGACGAAAATTTACCACGAAATTATTTTCCTAAGTTTTCTAATATTAGAAAGGAAAAAAGCGGAATAACTAACATGTTTCACCATTTGATTTAATTATTAAGCCAAAAAATTTCCCCTATTGAATAACCCAGTTCAGTTGTTGTGAACAAGCGCAATCAAAAGAAAATTGTTTTATGTCAATCGCATTTCGGAAGCCGGCACGAGAATTCAAGTGAAGAGAAGATTCTTCAAGGTCGTTTGGCTTCTTATGTCGAACACGTCAGTGACATATTAAATCATGATATAATCAGCGCACATCGTTTTCTTGCGGGAGTTGTGAGACATAAATATGAGCAAAGGAGAAGTTCCCTGGTCGTCTTCGTTGTAGACGACGATATGCGAAACTTTTCTTTCTCGTTAGTCATAATTCATGCAAAGTTTTTACGACTCGCTTGTTATGATGAGCTTTCTTAACAACATCACTGCTAGCTTCCTAACCACATTCAAATGCGCATAAAAATAAAGAGCAAAAATTTATTTAAGCGATGAAGAAAATTACTTTATAAGTTTTTTTTCTTTCCTTTCGACCAAAAAGAAAAAAAACATCCACATAAAAGAAGAAACGAAATGAATCCTTTTACTCTTTTCCTTATGCCGTTTACTTGTTTTGTAGACGTTAAATTGAAAGAAAGAAGCCACTGTGTGACGTCAAACTGAGAGCTTTTTCATTATTCTCTCATTGAGAGCTTTTCTCCAAGCTTTTCTCTTGTCAGTTTGGTGTCGGAAGAGAAATTAAACTTGCTACACGTTCACGTTTTCTCATCGTTACTAGCTGTTCAACTCACACGTCACCGCCACAATGTACGGACATTCTCAATAGAGAAAAACTAAACTTTTGTGAGTTTGTGCACAGACGACAATTGACTATTAAAATGGAAATTCTTGACTGCGATGTCGTCATTATCGATAAATCTTTATGCAGTCACAGTTACTTATCGTGGGCGTCGTTAAATGACACAAAATGATTATTTATATCGTGTATGTTGTAGCAGTTTCGGTATTGCGTGGGACTTACAACAAACAATAAACAACGACGACATTCACAATAAGCAATATGCAATCTATGAAGAAATTTCATAATCAATACTTTTCTTCATTTATTTACAACTTTAACTGCATGTTTTTTAACGACAACAAATCGAGAATTTATTGCTTCCCCCCATGATGTTCTGATTGCTTTGACCGAACATGATGTTCTTTATTGCAGTGAATTGTGTCGTGATATTGATGCAACTGTTTTTAATTCTCCTTGCATGTGACCTTTAAAGTAACGTAGGTCATTCATTGACACGTTCAAATCAACCTGCTAATAGCAATTTTTTGTAGATAAATAATGATTTTAATAGGCGAATCGTGTCAAGCAAAGTAAAGATGTACAACGGTAAACGATTTCTCCTTCAATGAGAATGAATCAATATTTGAGATATATGTATGAGAACCAGAGCGAATATAAGCAAGCATTAGAGAGTTCTTTGCATCAAACATTTATGTCATTTCAATGACATCACTGATTTCTCAGCCGTTTGGAAAACATTGATTTCTTCCGTTATTTATATCTTGTTTGCGTGTTGCGGATTAGTCTTTTATGTTGAAGAGCTGTTGTGTAGTACTTAAAAGCTTTTTTAACATACATATTTCGATTTTTATTATTTTCATTCTTGGTTTGAATTCGAATTTTCCTTGAAATTTCAATTCATCGAAAATTGTCTGCTTAACATTTGTTATTGAGTGTTAAAAAGCCTATTTTAGTCTGTGACTTTTCAAATCCTTTCGTTCAAGGAAATTTTATGACTTTTCTACAGACTGCCGATGCTTTCAGAAGCAGAGAGAAACAAATTAATAAGATTTTCTCATTTTTCTCATCATAATTGCTCGATGACCATGGCATGCGACCTGAGATCGCAACATTGTCAACATTAAATTACCGAGTGGGATGAAATGCCAAGATTTTCATGAGACTGCTACTAGTTCTCAGAATGTTAAATGTAACGACAAAAATACAAATTAAATTGCTTTTTATGAAAAATATAAACTTCTTACGATGTAAATATATTCAGAAATGAATTTCTACTTTCTTTCTTTCTCGATGTCGTCATAACGAAGAAGAACAATAAGAAATTTTAAAAACGATTTCAAGACACCATATGTTGCAGCAGATTTCAAGCGGGCCAATGATCTTTTTGAGAGAATAAAAATTCTATCAACTAAAAAAGAACATTATCCACTTGACAACGCGGGTTCACTAACTTTCCTAACAATGTGAAACCTATTTCTCGTATATCATTTACGAGATATGATGAATGATACTCAGTCTGTATTTACGATGTTGATTTGAAAAGGTTACCGAACGTCATAAGCGGAAATTATCAAGGGTTGTGTATTGGATTGCAAACGCCTTTCATACGCACCCACACAAGTCGATTATTTAATCTAATAACCTCCTCTGGGTTTGAACTCTTATCGAAATCCATAAATTTTCCCTCAAAACTCCTTTCAAAGATTATCAATCACAATTTATCGCCTCAATTAAATGAAAGCTGCCTAAGCTTTTAATTGATTGCCATACAGGAAGTAATCATGGAAAGATTTTCTTTCAAGTTTTTAATTCTATCTTTCCATTCATGTTTTATTTCTTTTTCTACAATTCTCTCTCACATAAAAAAGGTCCTAAAAAATTAATCCCTCAAGGAAGCTACGAGATTTATCAAATGACAGTGAAAAATTTTCTTATATTTCTTTATGTTGTTTTGTTGTAGCGAAATAAATGGAAGCATCCACCAGATCGCAATATAAATCTTAGTTTTTGAGAGTGTTTGCGGTTTGGTAAAGAATAGTGAAGTGAGGAAAACTATTTTTCTTTTAACTTCGTTTTGGTAAGCTTCCAATTTTCTATTACAAAAAACATGGATTGATTTTATTTGTAAACATTTCTCTTACTTTCATCTCAGAAGATGTTATTCATAAACCTTTGACATTTAACCATTTTTCTTGTTCAACATTAATTTTGAAGATGGAAAACAAAAACATAAATTCCGTCAAAAATTGTTTACCGCACACGAGGATATTTTTTTTACTTCTTTTTCAAAAACGTCAAAACAAGAAGATAAAAGTTCTTTTTAATGATCATTTAGCCTCCAGATATTCTGTCATGAAAAATTAGCATTAGAAATAATTCAAATGCATCATAATCATAAATTATCCCATAATTTAATGGCGTGATATAAACACAGCAACCACATTAAGTTGTAATTCTACTCCAGCTTTTCCGATGTGGACGCCAAAAGTCACTAAAAAAGTCACATAAAATAATTAATATTTTTACTGTCTTGGGCATTTTCCAGCATTGCTTTCAACACCATATTTATGTGTATTAATAAAACATGATTTTCTATAAATATCTTAATCAGTTTCAAAAGTTTAAAGCTCAATTTCCAAATATCTTCACTGATTTATTAAATGTTTGCTATTTTCATGAAATAAATTTTTCATCGAAAGGTTAATTTTCATTTATAAAAGTCAAGTGAAGGAAATATGAGTAATTTACATGCTAATTGGAATAATGAAAATACTTCTAGGAAAAGCCTCAATGTTTTTGTTATCGTTTATGTTCAAGTGTGGGCGAAATTCAAATGTCAAAAGCTTTACATTGCGAAATTACCTCGAATCCTCTCAATTAATCATTGCATAGATATTTATAAATTCAAATAATATTTCAAATGTTAAAATTAAATTCTAATGAAATATTTTTTCAGAAATTTCTAAGAATTCTCAATTTTTATCTAGTCTCTAACATGTATGAGCAAACAAATAAAATAAAGCAAGCAATTTTACTGTAAACGTATTAAAAACATAATCTCTTGATTCTTTTGAAAATATTCATGAAATTTTTAAGTAGAAAATATTCCTAAAAATATTTTGTAAATATTTGATTTTCCGGAAAATTTCTACTTTCCTACTTGACTTTTAAATGGGAAATGTTGACTTTTAACACGTAGACAGTCTTCGTTTATTAATAACGTCACGAATTAGTTATTAAGTTTCCAAAATAACTTATAAATAAAATAAGAAACTTGACATTTTCTTTTTAAATTTCAGCTCGCTTTTTCTTGTCTCCATTTCTATCGATGATAATTTTTCTTTTCCGATCTTATTGATTGTCGAACATAAACAATGACGCCTTCCTCCCGCCCTTTGCACACTCCACTCTATTGTGTTAATGAAAATTAATTTATAATAAAATTTTCTTATTAGTAACGCTCTGCCTTACTCCAATGTTCAAGCAGTAAAAGGAAAGATATGGAAGAGAGACAAAAGCACAATTGAAGATAGGAAAAATGGCATGGCATAAATTTTAGAATTTATCGTCGTTTCATCAGCCATTTTGCTGACTTATTCAATCAGGCCCAGTTTTTATGACCATTGCAGATTTATGTGAAAATTATTAAGTTCCCAAAGCTATTAAGATTTAATTAAATATAAATTTGAATGTTGAAAATGAAGAAACTGTTAACGTTGATAAGGCTTTAATGGTTTATTAAACGTTTTTTACTTCTTGAATGAAAATTCAATTTACAAGCTTTGAAAAATGTCTTAAGTTGTAAAAGTATGAAACTATTCGAGATTTTTTCTTCCCTTGAAGAGATGAAAAAAAAAATTTCTTCTTATAATGTTAATTAATGAACCCTTGTCAGTGACAAGTCATCATGGTAATCACGAAGACATAAACAAGACTATGGAATAATGCTAGACGTAATGTTATGTCACAAATCAAAAGACGTCATAACATTGAATAACGTCACGATTTTGTTTCCGACGAAATTTTTCCACCCTCACACTCCTAGTTCTGTCAACTTATAAATCTTTTTAGATCTTTCCTCATACATTTCTTTCTTATTTTCCATTTTCTTCCAGAAACGAGAACGAGACGAGTTTTAATATTAAAAAAAGATCCCATTTCTGCCATCAAAATGAAGTTTTCAGTTGACAAATGTTGAGAGAATCAATAACAGACAAAAATATTTATTAGAAAAGTTTCGGTGTCGTCGGTAAGTTATTTATAAAAGCTCTAAAATAAGTAAGTGTGGGTTGTCAAAAGAAAATTCCAAACGACTTCCAAATTTCTCAAGTTTCCTTTAAATATTAAATTCGTCAAATTGCATCATGACGTCAATTTCTTCTTCGGAAAACATTCAGAAAATGTAATATTTGTTAAAATAATTGGTTTAGTTGATTAATAGCGAAAATTATTTCGTCAATTGCTTTTTCCCGTACACAGTAAATTTTGACGTTAAGCTTATCGACATGCGATTCACGAATGAACGTGATGTAGCAGCTTTTATTGTGTAAACATAAAATTTCGATTAATCTTAATCGCATAAATAGTGTTGAATTGTGATTCACATCTAAATACATTTGAAAATGTTCAAATGTTAACTATAAGAAGTTGATAACGAAATAAAATTCAAATTTTGAATATTTCTCCATCATTTTGATGATCAAATCAATCAATAACAGAGTCTCTTGTTGCAAATGTCATATTTATAAATAATCACAAAATCCATGCAAAAATATAAACGTCTAGGAGGAAATATCCGTTTCTTTGCTTATGAATTAAGGAAGTTAGTTGACGTATTTTTATTTCCATTTCCCTTCTCACTTTGCATATTGTATTCAAGTGATTTTATTAAGCTAAGGCACGAATATGAAATGATATCTGTTTACATAAATACTTCACATTGAGAAAAGTTATATACCGAAGCTTTTCATCTCCATTTTCATTCACAAAAATCATCCGTAAATGACAAAAGACTCACCTTCATTGAATAATTTAGGGCGCGGAATCCAATTCGCCGATGACATTAAAGTCCCGGTAATCATTCAACTTGAATAATTATTGTTTATTTTCAATCCGACAAAAAGATTTTTCCCCCACTTTTAGCCAGCGGGATATGAAATTTATGCAACAGCAACAATAATCTTCAGAATTCCTTTGTTTACTTGATTTTCGTTATTTGTTGTTGTTGTTTTTCCGTGCCAACGCCTTAATCACCTTCCTTTGCCACTTTGAGCTTCTATTTGCCGAGACTCCAAATGATACGGAAAAACAGAATAAGAATCATAAAAGTTTTATCGACGAAAATCAATAAATATCTATCGATATTAAAAAGAGCTACTCGTAGCAAAAAGGCATTCAGATTAAATTGAACTTTTTATTTTATTTTATTAAGCGACTGAAAGTAGTTCAATGAGAATCTTTTCAGTACTAAAGTGGCGGAAGAAGTGGGATGCCATTATAATCTGTGTTATTCTTATTTTACGTCCAGCCAACAACAATGCCAAGTGTTTCATTCACATTTTTCACTTTGAGCTTTGACTTTTCATTCTCTCCCTTGTATGTTGCCTTTCTCCTCTTTTTCATGTATACGCGATCCTCAGAAGAGCATAAAATATCATCTGAAAGTTCTCCTTTTCGTTATGTATATCTATGTAGTTGAAACTTTCTCAATTTTCTCTTTTCTTCTTTTTCACCTTTTTTTCTTCTTGTTGGCTTTTCTTCTTTATGAATATTTCAACGGCTGATAAGGAACAAATATAAAAAATATTTTAAGCTAAAATCCACTTTACCCCAAATTTTCTTTTCTTTTTAGAAATTTTTTTGCTAAACGCTTTCATGCAGATATTAAATAAGTTAACAAACTTGTCAAAAAGTTAAGCCAGAAAATTTAAGGGCGAGATTTTTCACTCCTTTAGATTTAATTTCCACTGAATTGAAGCAAAAACTCTTTTTATTAGGCATTTAATATATTTTATTTTATTGAATAAGTTTATATTCTGCTTCTATTAATGCACTTGTAATGCCAACAAATTATTTTACTATCTGCAGCCTCACTAGGAGGGCACAAAGTTCTTCCAATTTCAGCATTAAACTTCTTTTATTTTTGCGAACTAAATTTTATAAGCTTCCGACTTCGTTGAGTGAAAAACTTGATGTGAAATAGAAAATTTTCTCAATGAAAATCAAAAGCTGAGACGAATTGGGAGAGAGAAGGTAAAGAGAAGAAATATTTAAAGCTCTGACATGCGCCTTTTGAAATATTCCACATTTTGTATTATCAGTGAAGAGAAAGTCGGCAAACTTTCATGAAATATTAAAGTTTTAATGTTAAAGTTAAAACTTTTAAAGAGATGGAAAAGTTTCAATAGTTAAATATTGAAGACCAAGTAAAACTTTAAACTTCTTTAAAGGATACTTTAGGAAAGAGAAAGTTTAAGAAACGTTCTGAATTTTAATGTTCAGTATTCGTGATGATATTTGAAATTGTTTCTAGCAATTGAAATCAAGATGGAGTTGTTTTTATCTAGAAATGTCAATTGTTCTATGATTTCCTAAATTCCAATTACATTTTATTCATTGAAATTGTTTCAACAAACAGTAAAGCGAGTAAGTCCTATTACAAATCTGTAAAAACCAAAATAATTATTAAAATAATTAAACAAACATAAATTTCTCACCGTCATAAAATATTCCAAATTCATTTTATTGAATCCCATAATATCCATTTCCATTTCCTTTTGTGTCATTATAATTGAAAGGCTTCTTCTTGCTTCAATGTTCATGTCGTACCATTTAGAAAAGTATGCTGCTTCTCTTACTTTCAAGCTTTTTTCAGCAATAATCGATCCAAATAGATGTGGCAGATAAATTTGGAAAATCATCATGCTTGCGACAAAAATAATTTTGATTGACTCGGCAAGATTTTCCAAAGCTGAAATTTCTGTCAATTGATATGTTAAAGTACACAATATGATCACAGTAACATTCGATTGATAGAATATCGATTCCTTGAAAATATTTCTTATCGTTTCAAAAAGCTCCATCAACTTGACGTGATATTCAACGCATATTTGTAAATCTTGCTTAATATCTTCATTTGAAAGCTTTTCTATCCTGATCCGCAAACAATCGATGTTTGCGGCGTAGACAGCAAGAAATGTGATAATAATTGTCGTAACTGCTGAGTTTATTGTTGCGGCCAGAACTGCTATGTAAGCTTGAAAAGAGATCATGAAAATGTTTAGGTAATCATTCTTTATATCAATAGGAAATGGCATTATTAGTGACCCCTCATCACGCCAAATACTCGTTACAATGACATATAAAACACTTGTGAATATGTAACAGGATACGTTAAAAAACATTAAAATGTAAATTCTGTTGTCATTTTGCTTTAAAATTTCATCTTCATCCAAGGCATCTAAATCATGAAAGGTTTTTAAACATTTCTCAAATTTCTTTTTCTTCAGCATCAAAATAATGAGCGAGAATCCAAAACAACTGAAAGTCACAAAAATTGTTGAAACATCGTTGAAAGTTTGAAGGTTCCGATGAGTCAGGAACGTCATTAACGATGCAACGCATGGGAAAACCACAATTGATAAAAAGATGAAATCTCGCAATTTCCTCTTTGAAAATGTTGTGTCACCATAAAATCCAAACAATTTAGCACAAGTAAAATTAAACCAAAAGCTTTTCTTAATGTTCAGTTCCATCTTTATTCAACAAATGATTCAATAAAACTAACGATTAACATGCTAAAGTTCTGCTTTATGTCAGAAACTAAAGAAAAAGTTTTTAGAAAGTTCAAAGTTTTTGAAACTTTATAGATTTTATTTTAGAATTTAGTTTCAGATTTGAGCATTATTCAACATTTCAATTATTTAAGAACCGGAAAAACTTTTACTTTTATAAAAGTTCAGTTGTTTAGTTAATTTTACCTCTTAAAATAAAATCGAATCAAAAGCATTCAGCAACACAGAAATGAAATAGATTTAAGCAAATATTGCTTCTAAATTTTCCACGCCATCACATGATAAGTAATAATTAACTTCTGTGTTTGATAACATTCAAAGCATTTTGTGAAGACATTAATGGAATTTTTATCGCCTTTGTTAATTGATTATTAAATTAGGCAGGTCGAATAACAGAAATTTTCTTTTCTCATTAATGAAGTTGCACAACATTAAAAAACAATTTGGATATCTAAACGTATTGATCATCTCGCTAAAGAAAATTCATTGATTTATTGTTTATAAATGAAAACGATGAGCTAACAGATTAAAGCGTATCGTAGTCAAGCAATTTATTTCAATTGAAACTTACAAGCAACACCTCGCCCCAATCTCATTAAAGTTGCGTAGAAGTAAACAATAATTTTCATGTTTTTCTTTATGATTGTTTTAAACAACTTAGCTTTAAGTATCGTTTGTTTCGAAGAATAAAACTGAGAGAGCGAGAGCGAAAATCATCGAACCGTAAATTTCGTGTATAGATTTTTTATATACATTTTTGTGTTGTTTGTTGAACATTTATGGAGAATAAAACACTAAGTATGAGAAATAAATATCAAAAAAAAATTTTTTTTCTCAAAACTAAAGAAGAAAAAATATTGAAATTATGCTCATTTGTGTTAGCAACGTTGGGCTTGAAACACGCGGTTTTGAGGTTTAGCTCGGTTGGATCGATTATAAAGTTTCTTTCGTTTTGAAACACGGAAAAGTGCTCGTCCCTTATGTTTGAGAAACGATTACGTCAAGGATTGTAAGCGTCGGAAACAACGACGACGAAAGCGAAAAAAAGAAGAGAAAAGAAAAGCAAGCATTAAGGGCAGTTAACATATACAACAGCCGACGAGCTGTTCTCATTCAACATTAGACGATCGTTGAAGTCGACACGCGAGTTGCTAGAGGAAAAGAAAAATAATTCATTTTATTTGTTTGAGGCATTTTCCCTTCACTTGATATGTTTGTTTGGATATTTTTGGACAAGTGTTTCATGTGTTTTTTTGTTTCATTAAGCGTTAGCCATGACTCAATCGATGAGTGTGTAAAATCATAATTTTTCTATCTACATAAAGAAGTCAGGTCAAGGAGAGAAAATCTTCAGAAAATATCCGAAGAAAATAATTCAGTTGGAAATGAATGAAAAGGATTTTTCATGTGAAAGTGGGCCAATTCATTTTTCGTGCTAAATCAGCGTAAAAAGTTATGAAAATTTAATACCAAAGTGGTCGTAAGGCAAGAAAGAAAAAAGAAGAAAAAAAACTTTGTTCGTGTTGACAAAAAAGCCGTTCCAGAGTTATTTTTATTTATCCGAATTTATCCATCGCCACATGTGCGTCAAGTGGTGACTATTCGCAGCAAGGGTCACAAAACATTGAACACAACCGTTTATGATCAAATTGTTTTATGACTCATCGTAGTGTTGTCGTGAAGCCCTGGAAAGTCATTGGCTTGTGCAAAATCATGTGTATTTATGAAAATTTGATGACAGGGAAAAATTAAGTTTCCATAGAAGCCTAAACAGAAAGCAGAAAAGTTGTTTTATAGACAAGTTGTAATATTCATTTGCTTGTATTTAAACTAAGTTGTTTGGCTACCGTTTTGTGACAAGAGTGAAATGGACATTGTTTGTAATATTAAACAACCTGGATGAAACTTTCCGTGATTTGTGGTGAAAGCTTGCTTAAACGATTTTTTTTTCACTCCTCGTCGACCGTTTTCAATGTTGACACATTTTTTTCGACGACCACTGTCAGAAATTTACTTGAGTGGAATAAACAGAAATAAAGTTCTCGTGGGGTTGTTGGCCATTGAAAATTCATTTCCAATACACAAAAGTAAACAAATGAAATTGAATTGATTTTAATTGAACATAGATTGCCAGTTGCTTTATGTAGATTATTCAAATACAAAAATAGAAAACAACAGAAAGGAAAAGAAAAGTTTGCAATAATAATTAAAAAACATTTTTGAATAGACTTGAAGAGTGAAAATTGTGCTTTTGTTCATCTACCAACAGTCATCAAAGTTACGTTGTATGTCAATATGCAACTTTAACTAAATCAATTTGGAATTGATGAAATGATTAATGAAGAGGAAATTGAACCATTCATGTTTACGATCAAAAATGGAGCTTAACATGAATTTTATTTGCTTTTATAGTTTAGGTAAGTCAGAAATTTCAATTTCCATTTCCTTCACTTAAACTTGCTGTCGCTTATCGTGTGACAATGAATAGTAGAATGAATATTAAACGAAGCAAGGTGCTTACTGACACCATGCAAGCGTTTTTAATTCGATTTGAAAGAATGATTTAACAGAAAGCATTCATTTAAATATTGTGAAAAGTTTTATCATTTTCACAGCTTACGATTTTTCCAGCATTGTCAACGTAAAATATTATCGATTACTTTCGTTCCTTAAATATTTCTATAGTAACATACATGACCAACAACTATTTTTTGTTTCCTTTTTCAACATCATGCGACTTTCCATAACATTTTCAAGTAATCCACTCAATTTAAAATTCATCAAGTCAACCTTTTTTTTCCGTACTTTAGACGTCCATTGAACCCATTTTCCTCTATTTCCTATCGGATATTGAAATCGAAATCAATAATTACATTTATATGTGCTTTAAATGCTTCAAATAGGCTTATGTAGCTCAAGCACATTTTCCTTTACTTCGTGACTATCTGCATTGGTTGTTGGGGAGAAACATTTTCCCAGACAAAGGTGTAATCATTGATGAGTCTAATAGGAGTTCGTTCATGCTATTTATTTATTTATTAAAGGCAATAATGTCTCATAATTCTCCTGGTATTGCGTTCTCGTTTTTGTCATCATAAAAAATTGACCTTCCAATTCCATTCTTATGCCTCAAGGCTATTTTCTTAACTAAAAATCTTTTCTCTAATCACTTTTAACGATCTTAATTTATTCACATATATAAGAATAATAAATTATATTACCTACTACATGGCATTCATTATACAATATACTGTGAACACACAGCAAAGGATCATGATGTCAGGAGATTTAAAAGAAATAATGGAGAACCCAACTTTAAGTCCCCTTTAATTAAAAGGAAAATTTATTGTATTTCCCTAAGGTTGCGAATAATTTTACAATTAAATTTTTCTTTTCTCACACGCACTCATAATTTTATTTCTTGTGAAGTTGGAAATTCTTAGGAAAACTCTGAAAAAAGGAATATTAAAATAGTTTTTCATGTGGAGCTTAAATCTTCTCTAGGGTGGGACTATTAAAAGGAAAACTCAACACTATGTTGAAGGCTCTGACACTTTAGACAACAAAGAATTTTCTAGGCTTGTTGATTCTAAAAATAGATCATTCTATGTATATCCGCGAGAATAAATCGGCGTTCGCTTTCCATCGATTTTCTCTTGATACATTTTCCATAGAAAATAAATATTTTACAATAATCGGAATTTTCTTTTTCGCCTCAAACGACTTTCTTCCTTAATGGAGGTCAAATTTCACATCGTCGTATATTTTCCATTAATATCCGTGCGTGGCGTGTAAAGCACTCCAGATCCCGAGAGGTGACATCGTTATATTTTACAGTCGCTTAAACAATCTCATAACATCCGAATTTCTATGTAAATAAAGAGGGAAATGAACTTTGTTTTAGTTTTAATAGATTTTTCATTAGCATCACGTATGAAATCTGAAGTTATGTTAATGTGAATTTGTCACTTTCTATATTCACATAGGAATTTTACTCCTATGCCAACATCATTATTGCGATGAACTTTCGACGCCATCATTAACATCATCAAGTGATTTGGAGACGAAACATTTAACGACATTAATTTCGACAACAATTAAGCCACAAAACTCATCATCAACTACTACTCGGAATGAATTAATACAAGTGAAAACTTCAGTTGTAAAGACAACGACAACTCACACCACTCGTCTTCATCGCGTCACAAATGCACCAAATGACGAGACAATTCTTGACGTCACAACGCCAATAGATGGTTTATGCCTCATGACTCAATTCGATGAGAAATTCAATGATAATTATTTAATTAATTCAATCAATGGTGATATAATCATAACAATTATTTCACATCGCTCAAATAATGCAACAGAAATCATAAAATTTATCATCAATCACATCAATGGAATTGGACTATTGGTTCATAACGTTACGATTGGTGAGTATAGAAAGAAAAATTTTCTCGATTGTTTGACTTGAAAAGAAAAATTTAATATTATTGTTAGGTGTTCGAATTGTACAAGTGGGAAGAGTGGAGAATCTCTTGGATATACTTGAGAATGAGATCGATTACTTGGAGCATTGTGTTGATAATCCATTCGGTAAGATTGATTAATTTAAGTAGATGTTCGTATGTGTCTATTTGCATACTTCTTCATCATTAGTTCATGTATGAAAGTTTCTCTTTTATTAATTGCGTTCGCATTGTTCATCTTCTTTGAAATCAGCCGCTTCATACTTACTTCTTACGAACTAAATTAAATTTTATTATATCGAATTTTGCTAACATAATTAAATTAAATAATTATTCATTGCAATAGCAAAACGTTAAAATCGGTCACACCATGAAAATGAGCGATGAACAATTTTCATTTTTCTTTCGAAACTTTTATTATCAATTTATTTAAAAAAATATCTGGTTTTGTCTGTTGGGTATTGTTACGACCGACGCATAATATGAGGAAAAATGGCAAATGAACTCATTGTAAAAATGTTTTTGATATTTCTTTTTGTTAGAAACTCATTGGGTCAAAAATGTATTAAAAAACCTTTGGAGGTTAATGTGAATATAAAGAGTTAAGATTGTGCAATTATGAGGTTTCTCTTGGAGAAATGATTATGAATTTTAAACGCTTCTTCTCTTCATTTAAAACGATGAAACCAACAATAAACCACGTCAGAGTTTTAAATTATTCAACCTTAACAACCTCCGAGAATTCACCGATTAACTTTTATTTTGCTACTTGAAGTTCGCTTTCGTATGAAAATTACTTAATCTACCATCTGAAGCAAGTTCAATAACGGCGAACGTCAACAACGGTAAAGTTTGTAGCCATAAAAAGTACCCAAAAAAATTGTTGAATAACTTCCCAACAAAGTGAAATAACAATAATCATATAATGCATAATTTGAAGACTGATGTCGGTCAGTGCTTTAATGTTCTATTGAGTGACTTCAGAACTGAACTCAGCTGGCTTCTTAACACCATGAATTGTGAAATTTGAGAACATATAAGTTGAAGTTGCCACGTGACTTATTTTTTACGCAGATTTTACCGCCACGTTGGTCTTGTTCGAGATTTAAAGAGGGAAAAAAGTGGTAATTTTAATTAACCACATAGCAAATGAAACCATCAACCTTGCAGCTCATTTGCCAAAACCTTCTCGAAAAACTTTGAATTTCAAGAACCTTATTTAAACAAGCATCAAAGCATGAAAGCATAAAATAAATTCCCGACTCAAATCGTATCGCTTGGATACCGAAATATCAACAAACAAAACACCTTCAGCCGTTGCCATCACACAATTTTAACATGAAACATAATGTTTATTGATTTTTTTTGTCGTTTCACTGCCTTTTGAGACTCTCGCATGTCACTAAAAAAACTGTCGTAAATTTTCATTTCTTCTGTCATTTCCGGGAAGAATTACAATCGCTTTCTATATCTATGCTTATTGCAATATGAAACAGATGTAAGTCGTCATTTCAGTGAATGACGAAATGATAACGTAACGTTTTATGACGTTTCCGAGTGTCACTTAGAACATGTTGAATGTGCAGACTGCGACGATGCTACTCAACTCACAAACCACCAAATATTAATATCAAATTATGTTGTTGCAAAGAATAGAAAATAAAAAGTGTCATTTTGAGAGCTATTAAGTTATGTTTACTTCCGGAATTTCTCCCCTAAATGAGTAAATGTTATTAACCTTTCGCATTCGAAAGGCAATTAGATCATCAATTTTTATATTTATCTGACGCAGAAAACAGTTCGCTACATGCCAGTAAAGTGAAATAGTCAATGAGACTGATCATAAAATAAGAAATTTCAGTAACGATGGAAATAACCTTCGTAAAGGTTGCAACACCCTGAAATAAACAAATTATTGTTTCTAATATTATTTCTGGCCTTTGTTTACTCGATTGTACTCTTCTTTGTGACGCCAAATATGTGTTATAACAATGAATAACGTTGTAAAAAAATCTATTAGAATTTATGTTGATTAATATCGGAGAAAAGTCGTGTCGTGTGCTTTACGGAAACATTAATGAAGTTACTTTTAAAGTAACGGATATTTAAGAAGGTTTTCATGTTTATGAATAAGTCAAGTCACCGTTCTTTAAGTTTAAAACAATGCGAGCATGTGAAATATATAATTATGTGGAACATCATTTGTATCTGCTCATTCTTCGCCTTTAGAGAAATGATACGTTTGAAATAAATTTTAATTATTTGTTTCGTTCGTTTTTGTTCCGAAATGAATTTCATATCTATTTTGATGAACAATTTCACGCTTTTGTGGTTGCAAGAATATAAAAAGCAAACCAGCCGCGGATGCATAAAACACGAACATAGCAATAAAAGTCGATTGCGAGTTTTCACTTCGTTTATCAAACAATGAAAGTTAATTTATGCTTTATTTTTCATTTTCTATCGAATAGGAATTTTCTTATCAAGCGAACTATGGCACAATGAGTTATTGAAAGGTAAGACGTTTGAATTTAAAATTTGGCCACTACCAGCAATTGAAGAAGTGAAGACGCGAAAGGTTGGGCACCTTCTTAACGAACTCCCACTACCGGCATATCGTCGAAATGCATCAGTGGAACTAAAGACAGACTCGTTGGAACGAACAGTGAGAATACAAGACATTCTGATGTCAGAAAATTTATGCTTCAATTCATCGAAGTCAGCTGATAATTTATTTGTTCACTTTGGGAGCGTCGAATATATTAAAACAATACGCGATTCATCAAATGAGAGCTTGATTTTTGTGCCTTTAACTTTGAGGGACTTTGACATGACTGGTAAGTTAAAACAATTATTAGATGACATTTTAAGAGGAAGCTTCAAATTGTTACGAATCATTAAATGAAAAAAATCTGATTTCAAAGTGTCGATAAAGAAGATCATTAAGTTTTATAAATTGTTGTTTCATGTTATTATATTGTCACGTGATATTAACAATTATCTAAGTTTTTAAGAAAGATTTGCTTCTTTTTCTTTGTAGTGAATCGTAACATATGATGATTTCTCATTTTTCATTAATTGTGTCGATAAAGCAGAATTTCCTTTTAATTTCTTTCACAGAACTTCCAAACAATTCATTCATCTCTCTTGAGACAGAAATTGACTTGAGTAAATTAAATAATTTCTCAAATCCTTTAATAATAACAACACCATCAGAGCTTATTTCATTCATTTCCACATTTCTTGAAGTCTGTAAATCTGTGAACAATGCAATTTGGAAGAATTGCAATCAAACGACATCGTCAATGAGAATAAATTTGGCAAAATGTGAAATTTTCGATGATCTACACGTACCGGAAAGCATTCCAACAACAAACGTAAGAGAAATGTTAAGACTTCTTCAACTTGAACCCCTCGAGAGCCAAATGACTTATAACATTTTCGAGAAATTCACGTCGACTACAAATGATACAAATCACTCGAGTGAATTTAAAAAAATTGCTACGACCAATTATGTGACAAATGTCACAACGGTATACATGTCAGAGCAACAAGAAATGATTTCAATGGGATCTCTTATTCAATGTGAAAGGCTTATTATGATAAAGAATTCTAGTCAACAACATCATGTCATCGATGCATTTGATTTGAATGAAAAATTCCCACCTGAAATAAAAAACTTTGACTTCGATTCGAATGGCGTAGAATCTGAAATTTATAACTGGCAGATTCGTTCTGAGCTTTGGGTAGCTATCGGACTAACAGTGGCAACTTTAGGAATTCTTCTTTGTATGGCTATACTTGTATTCATTATTGTCAGAATTTGCATGGAGGATGTACTTGAAGGCAACCCAATTGGTTCAGTTATGATGCTATTGGCTTTAATTGCACAATTCGCTTCTTTCTTTCCATTCACGATTGAATATGTCAGTTTCCGACAAGATCTCAACAGTAGCAGTCATGCTATTGAAGTTTTCAACTCAATGTGCATCATAAAAATTTTTGTAGTTTCAGTTTGTTATTGTCTCACATTTTCATTATTACTTTCGAGAGCTATCATGTTAGCGTCGATTGGAAGCGAGGGAGGATTCTTGTCACATGTCAATGGATATATACAAAGCATTATTTGCATCTTTAGCTTTTTGGTACAACTTGGATTGTCAACGCAGCTTCTCATAATGATGCACGCAAATCAACGACATGTGACATGTGAAAATGTTTATTATGGCCATTGGTTTTGGGGAATTATTGCTTATGATGGAATTCTACTTTTACTGCTTGTCGTGTTATCACCTTTCATATTCAAATCTCAAAGGAATTATCGTGAAGGAATTTTAATCGTTATCACGTCAGGTCTTTGCCTTGTTTGTTGGACTATTTGGATTCCATTGTCAATGATTGATGACAATTTCCGAGAAATGATGATATCATTGGGAGTGCAAGCTACTGGTTGGGTAATTTTATCATCACTTATGGTGCCTCGTTGCGTTTTAATTGTAAAATCAATTGCACGCTCTGATTTTACACAAGCTCTCCCATCACTTACCTCACTTGCCTTTGCTCAAGCAAATCATTTTATTTCAGAACCGGTGAGAAAGGAACTTTTTCATATTTTATAATCAAATGTCGATAATAAATTTTACTTTTTTCACCAGAGTATCTATGAATGTGTTAATCCAACATTGAGAACGCGATCAACTGAAGACGAGACTAGTCAAACTAATGTCAATGAATATTTATCACCAAGTGAAGTTCCAACGTTACCATTACGTGGTGGTGGCAGGAGAAATCTTATCGAACATTACAACTTAAATTTTAATGAAATCGTTAGCCCTGAGCTGCCATCACCAAATAAAATGACAAGATTTTGATCTTTGAGCTTAATATCTTAAAAAATATCGCTAACTGATAACTAGTCAAATAAACAAAGATTACTAAGGTATACATTAAGATGAGAAATAAAATATGAATGTAAAAAGCATATACATATATAACAACATGATTTTTGTCTCTATTGCTAAGTCTCTTCTATTTTGTTAATAAAATTTTTCCTCAAAATTTCCCGCGAGGTTTTTTGAAATATAAACTAAGAAAATTTAACGACTTTTATCTTTTTGAATTTCTGGGGGTACAAAGAAATTAGATTTCATAAACGATATCGTTCATACCCCGCAAACAATTTGCGGCCAGTAAATAGCGTTAAAAACAATAAAAGTAAGAGCTTAGAGCATCTTAAAAATATTTGACAGTAAACTTTTTAAACTCTTACGTCATTGTAACGTAAAAATTGTACTTTAAGTGAAATATTTTTTGAAATAATCAATAAATAAAATTAAGATGGTGGAAAAAAAAGAGAAAGATGAAAAGGTTGCTCGGAAAGACAGAAAACGCTCAGGATCATCAAGTTCTAATGACAGGTACGCACATCAAGCAAGTATATTAGATTAAAATTTATGTGCCATACTAACTTTAAGTTCCAGCTCATCATCCAGCAGTTCATCGTCTTCAAGCTCCAGCAGGTAAACAAATCAAAATTAAATCCTGGATTATAGTTCTAATTATTAATTTTATTCTAGTTCATCATCATCTTCGTCATCTAGCAGTGGTGGCGATCGTCGCAAACGTCGCCCATCACGATCCAAAAGCCGTAGCCCCGTGAGAAAACTTGATTCGAAAGAAAAAGATGGAAAAGACCGTCCCAAGTCTCGAGATCGTGCTCGCTTGAGTTCTGAACGTGATGGTAATAAACGTCGAGGATCATCAGATCGTCGTTCCCGATCAAAGGACAGAGTTCGTCGCTCAAAGGATCGAAGCCGCTCAAGATCTCGTTCTACTTCAATTCGTCGAAAACGTGAAAGATCTCCAACTCCACGTCCGTCACGCATTCATATTGGTCGTTTGACACGTAATGTCACTAAAGAGCATGTCATTGAAATCTTTAGTTGCTATGGAGAAATTAAGAACGTTGAATTTCCAACTGATCGCTATCATCCTCAAAACGGTCGAGGATTTTGCTACGTCGAATATACAAACCCAGACGACGCTGAAAATGCAATGAAACATATGGACGGTGGACAAATTGACGGAAATGAAGTAACAGCTGCACCAGTTCTCAATCCAAAGCCATTGGCAATGCGTAGAAGTCCAATGAGACGTGGCCCTCCACCAATGCGTAATCGCTGGCGTGATATGAGAAATCGTCGCAACGATAGACGATCTCCGGATCGTCGTGACAGACGCTCACCACGTCGCAGGTAAGAAAAACTTTCACAAGACAACATTAAACAAAATAATTAACTTTTTTTAAAAAATATTCCCAGAAGTCGCAGTCCACGTCGTCGTCGCTCAGTTTCTTCTGATAGCTCACGTTAAAAATGAACAATCATCAATCATTTCTCTTCAACTCTCACAATTAATAATTATAAATTTTTGAACATTTGTGAAGAAACATAAATAAAAAATTTCTGATATAAAAACAAATTTATTTTGTCTTTCCATGATATAAACTTTTATTTTTCACTTTTATCAATAATTTTACTTTTAAGACTTATTCATGAGAGAAAAAGAATCTTAGAGACAATAGTAGGAAATAACTTAAACACAGTGAAAGATGTGATAAATAGAAACCTTCATAAAGGTTCATTAAAGTACGTAAAGCAAGAAAAGACAGAAAAATACGTTTCAAATAACAAACATTTGATATTCAGGGATAAATAATTATTGTAATAGGAATGAAAATAATATTTAAGGCAAATTTCTCAAATTAAATTCTGAAGAAACTTTTTAATTGAAATAATTTTTTTTCTGCTTCATCTTAAAGCTTCTAAGCTTAAATAACATGTTTCAGCTTTTTCTTTAAAAATATTTTCTTTCATTTTCTCTAACATAGATTCAACATAAGAAAACAGCTTTGCGCGCGAGAAAGAATGAAAGTTTTTGTTTATGATAAGGCGATTATTATCAATAGTTAGTTTTTATCTCATCTTCTTCTACATATCCATCTGTAGCGTTTGTTTGATTTAAAGAATTTCTTTCTTACTTTCACCATAAATTTTACCAAGAATTCTTGTGTACTTTTTTAAACATCTAATTTACAAATAATTAATGTACTCGTCATCATCTAATGCATCATCTTATAAATTAGAGCCGTTTTTTCTTTTTCTTCAGCTTTTGTGTAGTTTTTCTCTTCTTGATACTGTATGAATTGTTTGCAAGTAAAGTTTATTGTTATGTTTAATATATACGTAAAATGTCCATAACATGTGTGGAACTTAATTAAAGGACAAGGAAAACAATAGAACTATTTCAGCTTTAAGAAATGTTTTCTTCTCTTTTAATTTAAACATTTCAACTGATTGACTTATATGTAATTTATCCCTCAGATCAGTTTTCTTCTTGAATTAATTTTTAATAAAGAGAAACTTTATCTGTCTACCTAGATATTTTACTCAATCTTTTCTTTATCTGCGATTCGTTATATAAGAAGTTCTGTCACAGAATATTTCTCTTTATTAACCTGATTATGCTTGTGAAAAGAACAAGAGAAGTTTATTTAATATTTATTGTAGTGTTTACTTCTTCTTCCATTCAAACATGACTTACTTCAAATGATTTATTTATGTATTTACAAAAATTTTTATATTATTTTTTATGTCTCATCAATCCACCCGCAAAATATCATCAAGTATATATGTATATATGTATTGAATGTATATAGTCTTGTGTTGCCTAAAAACAGTTTTCCATCTTCAATAATTTTCATCATTTTCTTCTTTCATGTTTTTCAATTAACAAGCAATTGTAAATTTTTTTTTCTGGTGATCACAAATAGTTATTTTAAATACGAGAAAAGAAAAGAAAATTCTCCCAACTTCATTTCGGTCAGGGATTACTTATCAACGTTGTTCCACTCATAAATATTGAATGAGATCAACTTGTTGACTATGCCCTGTTGAATGTGCCACCAAATATTATTATTATTATAATTAATATTTTTATTTTTGTTTTTTTACATCACATAAAACTTTCCTTTCTTCTCTTTCTTATTTAACGTTTAAGTGAGAAAATGAAATTGAAGAAATCTTATTTTATCAGACGACAATTGAAGTTTAAAGGTTTCATTAAGCTTCTCATCAATTTACAAGAAGGAAAAAGAAAATAAAGACTCATGAATGTAGATAACGATAAGCTGAATAGAAGAAGAATTTGTTTAAGTGACAGACGATGTGAAGGGATTATTAATCCAATTCTAGCATTTATTTCCATCTGGCGGGGTTTTAAGAAATTCATCAGCTCGCTTATAACTCGTCAAAGCTCGTGCTACGCCAGAATCTTGTGGCAGATCAGACTTTCGACGCATCAATGGCTTGTCCTTGTTGCGTATGTTACGAACCTGAAAGAAATCAGAAATCAAATCGTCACGTAAGTTTATCTGAGTAACACTTACATCTTTCGAATATTGATCAATTTTTTCGCTAGAAAAATCATCTTCGTTAACAGTAAAGTCATTGTTGTTCTGACTCAACGATAGATAATCCATCTGATTGATAAGATTTTCAAATTGGGGATTTTTCTTACGTGCAAGTTCTTCTATTTGCTGCCAGACTTCTTCACGTTTCGCATATTGTTCAGTTTCTCTTTAATTCAATAAACATTCTGATAAATTTTTTATTTCCTTTTATTTTTTCTAATTAAGAAGGAGATTAACTTACAATTGTCTCTCGTTTCTAAACTTGTTGTTGCATTCATCGAAAAGCTTATGATTCATTTCCATGAAAAGTTTGATAGCGTTATAAATCAGCCCATGAATTGTCTTATTCCAATGTGTCTTTGAATTGTTATACAAAGCTGGAAACATGATTGGTAGAATGACTGTAGAATTTTCGGTGATAAGTGACATGATGTAGTCGTTGTTCCAATAATAAAGAGCACGTTCGGCAACTTGAAAGTGTGGTGAACTGACGCATTTTGCAATTTGTGTAAAAAGTGGCACCATCACTTTCTGGAACTCAGCTGGTTCAATCACGTCGAGTATCTCTTCAAGTTCATTGAGAAACATAACTTCTTTTGGACTGTGCGTTTTCGGCCAGAACTTGAGGAGGCCTCTGATAAATAAAATAAATTATTTCAATTCTTTAATTTTCTCTCGACTTACTTTATAACAGGCTCTGTCAGACTTGGATCTTTCTCAAGGAACTGTACAACACAATACGCCAACTGTGGGTGATAAACCGATAAACTTTTCACTTTGTGCAATGGCAAAAGAGCTTTGAGTAAGAAAGCTTTGTGTTCTTCTTTAAGTGGTAATGCAAAGCCATTGATTATTGACCCAAGAATTTCTAGGAGCTCTGCAACGCCATTGTGATGTTCAGTTTCATAAATAAATCTGTATAAAAATTAATTAAAAAAAGAAAAGAATTTGATATTTATTATAAATCTTGTGCGTCATTTGAAGCTTTTATTTACCTGTAAAAGACGTTGTTAATCTGCTTTCTTATAAATGCACGCAAGCCAAGAAATTTTCCATAAATACGATGAAGAACAGTTTTTAAAAAGTCACGTTCACGTGGATCTTCCGAATCAAAAAGCTCCAGCAGTCTCAACACAAACTGACTATCGATGAAACGTTTAGCAATATTCGGTTGGAAATCGGGAGATTCAAGAAAACGCAAAAATAATTCATAGACAATTTGTAGATGAGGCCACGACGATTCAAGCGTTGGCTCGTCTTCTTCAGGATCGAATTCAGCTCCATTGGGATTTGACGATGGTGGCAATGTTCGGAAAAGATTGATGGCGAACTGAGAGAGATAAGAAAGATTAATTAGACGTTTAAACATCTCAAACTCGAATCTCTTTCTTAATTCACAACAGGAGAAAGTCACAAAAGTAAGAAAGATGGAAAAAGTATTTACTTACCATTTGAATCGCTTCCGGATAAACAGCTTCAGTGATAATTCCATTGTTATTGTTAATGAATTCGACCATTTCCTGAAGGGCACTTCGCTTAACTTCCTTCCATTTCAAGTCGTCCAATGGTTCGGTGAAGTCAAAAAGAACGCAACATTGTCGAATCTTTTTTATGAAGAGCTCTTCACGTTCACTGGTGTCAGCTTCTAATCATTTCAATAAAAAAAAGCAGAAAAAAGCTTTAGAATGTTATTTATCGCAGATAAAAATGTGACGAGACAATCAATCTCATCATTCGATACAGAAAAAAAAAACTTTTTTAGATAATCACAAAGAAACGAAGGAAAGAAAAATAAAATTTGAGCATCAATTTAAGAAGCCACCTTTGAGAAGAGGCAGTTGTTGAACATCTTGAATCGATGGTGTTTTATCGAAATTATTTCGATCTCTTGCACGATTTGGACTGCCTTGATTCTGCTGCTGTTGTTGTTGCTGATGAAATTGTTGCTGCGATGGTGCCATCGATTGAATAGTTGGGGCTGATTGCTTTCGCATCAATGATTGAGTGAATGACGCTGTTGAAACTATTGGTTGCATTTGCATTGTACTCATTGGCAAAGAAAATTTACGATGAATTTCATTGCCACCAGCAGTTGATGGCGTGGAATGTTGGTATGTGGTGGAAGAAGATGAAGATACTGATGAAGCAGTCGTTTTATGAACATTATTTGGCTTAAAGAAATCTCCATTCGATTGGCTTTGTGATTGTTGCTGATACTGCGATTGTTGCTGTTGAGCTGGCGCTGAATTTTGACGCTGTAGAATTGGTGGTATACTTGATGTAATGTTCAAGTTATTCAATGGATTTGACTGCGTGAAAAACTGTAACAATGCGATAAAATTTAATCACGACAATATCGACACATTCTCAGAAACTTTCAATAGCAAACCTTTGTGAATGAGAAAATTGTCTGCTGATTTGATTGCTGCTGTTCACCAGCATTCGTTTTATTATTGTTTCCATTCATGTCGTTACCGAAGTTAAATTTTGATATGTTTACGTATTTATTACCGGTACTTGCGACCAAATCTAAGCCGCTGTGAAAAGACGGCGATTTTGGTATATTTGCACTTAATTTATATTCAACTTTCTCATCATCCGGTACCGTGGACGATAATTTCATTGCATGAACCATTCTTTGATTAACTTCACTTCCAATCCAAACGATGATACGCTTAAACGTGTCATTCAACCGAAATTTTTACTTATAAAGTGAAGCCAGTTGCCAAAAAGAATTTTCCGGTAGACAGAAACGAAGATGAACAACGAACGATATGAGTAAAAGGTTATCTTAGATGATATGACGATGTTGAGCTTCTATTTTTAACCGGCTATTGAATTGAATCCTAATTTATTCATTGAAAAAAAAGGAAGCGAAATGTATGATTTAGTATTATTTCTTGAATATCTTTACTTTTATTCGAATGCTCAATTTTAGCGAACGATTTGTTTGCTTGCTTTCAGTATTTGTGCGCTTAAGTTTATGACTTCAGGATAAGCTTTTAAAGAAAGCTTTTATCCCACACAAATCGTGAACATAATTCAATAAAGAACTTTTTCAATTCTGACAAGAAAACATCTTGAAAAAATGTGGCACATGAAGGAAAGTTTTGGAAAGGAAAAAAAAAAGATAAAATAACTAAATATAGCTGCTTATACTCAGTTTCATGTTAATCCTGGGAAAAGTTTCGCAAACATATTCTCCAATCTTTCAAAACTTGTAAAAAATTTTGTGTAATTTAATTAAATCTTCTAAGACGTTTATTGAAAATGAGAAATCAATCATTGGAAAGCATCTGTTGTTGCTAATTATCTTGACAAGACTAAAAAAAGAACGTAAGCATATCGTTCAAGGCTTTTATGGTTAATGGCATCAACAACTCAATTTATTTATTTATAAATAGACCCAGAGATCCAAGTAATATTCAATTAATGTTCCATTTCACCTCACACTCCACATTTTAATGAAAATGCTGAGTCGAGCGTTTTTAATTCATCAACAATTTTTTGATATAATCAAGTGTCAAAGAGGAATAAAATTCATCTTAAATTATTCTGTGGTTTTTAAGTATTGAAAGACTCCTCGTTATTTTCTCATTTTCTTGCCTTTCCATGAATTGAATGAAGTCCGACTCTTCGAAGTCTTAAACTCGAAATGAACAAACAAAGTTAGCATTAATATTCGCCCACAACAAATACTTTTTATGGTTTTGTTGAGAAATTTTCCTCATCCGGGAATAATTCTTTACTTTCTTCTGTCTTTCTTTTCCTCAAAGAATACAAATTTAAATTTTCACTTTCGCTCAATAGTTCACTAAACTTGATGTCAATTTTTACTTTATGTTTAACACACGATAAAGTATCAACAACTAACGTTCATACCTTAATTCAATTAGCCAACAATAACAAAATAAGAAAAACTAATTCAATTTCTTTTCTGATATGTCTGCGCGATAATTGATAAGCAGAGAAAACTTTTTTCTATTTTCTTATTCAAAAGAAAAAGATTTAAAAAATCAAGCGAGCTTTCTTTTCTCGGCTTGTTATCACGACTTCTTTCCCAATGACTGAAAATTTATGGTGAAAAGTGCTTCGCATTGTAAGGAAGAACTTCATGGGAAAGAATTTTACGAAAAAAAATAAATCAATTTTCCAGTCGTTAACTTCCAGGCAAATGCTTCGATGCTTAACATGTAAAACGTCGTGCAACCCACGCTGCGATTTACAAGTGGAAAACATATTTTCATTCACAACATTATTTGTGAGCCTTGGAGATGTTGGAATGTTTCTTTATTGGAAACTTCGTGAATGGAACAAAGGAAGATAAGAGAGAGAGAGAGAGAAATTCTTATTCATATTTTGACATTTTGCTTTATCTCCCGCAATATCTAGTCGTATTCCAACTCCTTCTTTCTTGTATCGCTTTGTTTATCTAGCGAAATTACATAAATACCAAGAATGAATAAGTAAATAAATATTGTAGATATTTAAAAATGTAGTCAGTGAATGAATGAATGAATGAATGAAGCAAATCAATCCGTGAGTTATGTTTGAAAGATCATAAAAATGTTTATTTAAAACAAAATGAATATTATAAACTTTTAACGTGAAATATGATTCACGTGATTAAATTTTATTAAATATTTAAACTTTAAATTCATTATGATTCATGGAAACATTGAGAACTTCTTACATAATGTGTCTTCAATGAATTACATTTAATCAATATTAATGTCAGTTTTCATGATAAAAAATAGAAAATTTAGATACACTTTTTGTTTACTTCAACTCAACCAACTGAATAAACGACACATATTGAAATGAACAAATGTTTTGAAGCTTTCATCATCAATAAGTCTAAAGAAGGCTCGTGTTTGGATTAAAATAATTGAAGCAAATGGATGAAGAATATTTCATTGAAAACAATCCCGTGGGCTTCCAATACGAAATCAATAACGAAGCTTTTTGCCAGAGGCATCATAGCTTCTTAAATTATCACAGATGCTGTGTTAAATTCAGATCACGTAGGATTTGAGAGTTCGTCCTTATATACTTTTTTACAGCTTAGTTTCAATGTTTAAATCTCTCCCTGTCAGAAGATTATAAGTGAAATTTAATTTAAAATGATTTCTTTGTCATTACGCATAAAAGTTTTGTGACAAGATCAAAACTTATTCGCTCAAAGAATTCTCCCAAAACACTCTTAAAAAATTTAAAGACGTTCTCATTGTGATCATTCTTTCGCTTATCAATTTTCTCAATTCAGAAACATATTTTTATTTCTGCTCCTGATCTGTTTTCAAATTAGTCTCAATTTAAATATTGAATGGGAAACATGTTACGATTAAATAAAGTAAAAGTTTGCGAATCTCTGAAAGGAGTTTTTCGCTTTAAGCATGTGAGTGAATTTCTTTGTTTTGTTTTCTTTCTTTTTTCTTTACCAAGATAGATGATTAATTTGACAATTATGTATTTTATCTCAGACAAGTCGAATAATCGCAATCAGACGTGAAGATCAATCAGTTTGGTGAGTTCAATTACTTGTTTTATCAGTCACGTACTTGTTATTTTTTATTGTGAACTTTAATCGCGATTTCACTTTCGTAGGGAACGTCGAGCACCATTTTCACCATCAATTGTGAAACGTCTTGTAAATAGTGGAGTTAAAGTTATTGTCCAGCCATCAAATCGTCGAGCTTATCCTATGCAGGTACTTTTCCAATGCACACAATGATATTCTTCATTCAATCACGTCATCTCATTCAAGCATAAATTTAATATGATAAGAATTGAAATAATTTTATTCATTAGAAGTTCTGAATTGAGATTTATTTATTGTAACAACAAATCAGACGTTATCACCATTAAATATTTAAATGACGATAATGTTTTCAATGTTGACCCACTCATGACGATTTTTAATTTGTTTACAATTTCATCATCAAATATTTTAGGCGTACTTGAATGCTGGCGCTGTCATTAATGAAGACATAAGTGAAGCTTCTGTGATTTTTGGGGTGAAGCAAGTGCCAGTAGATTCTTTGATCCCAGGAAAGACTTATTGCATGTTCTCACATACAATTAAAGCGCAAGAGTCAAACATGCCACTTCTTGACGCAATTATCGAGAAGAACATTCGCCTTGTCGATTATGAAAAATTAATGGACAGAAATGGTTTACGTTTGGTTGCATTTGGGAAATATGCGGGCGTTGCTGGAATGGTAAATATTTTACACGGACTTGGACTTCGTCTTCTTGCACTCGGTCATCATACACCATTCATGCAAATCTCACCAGCTCATAATTACCGAAATTCAATGATGGCAAGACAAGCTGTCAGAGATTGTGGATACGAAATTTCTTTAGGCATGATGCCCAAATCTATTGGTCCAATCACATTCATTTTCACTGGAAGTGGAAATGTTTCTCAAGGCGCACAGGAAATATTTCAGGAACTTCCAATTGAATATGTTCCACCAGATATGTTGAGAAAAGTCTCTGAACACGGCAGTCCTAATAAACTTTACGGTTGTGAAGTGTCACGTTCAGATCATTTAGAGAGAAGCGAAGGTGGTGGGTTTGATCCGGTCGAATATGAACAATTCCCTGAGCGTTACATATCAACATTCAACAAGACAATTGCACCTTACGCTTCAGTTATAATAAACGGAATTTATTGGGCTGTTGGGTCACCCAAATTAATAACAATTCCTGATGCCAAAAATCTTCTTCGACCAGCGAACACACCTTGGTTGCCATCATCAACTGGTGCACCATCGTTACCTCACAGAATGCTTGCAATTTGTGATATTTCAGCTGATCCCGGTGGATCAATCGAATTCATGAACGAATGTACAACGATTGACACACCATTTGCACTGTACGATGCTGATCGAAACAAAGACACAAAAAGCTTTAAGGGACCAGGCGTATTAGTTTGTTCTATTGACAATATGCCAACACAACTGCCAACTGAAGCGACAGACTATTTTGGTGACCTTTTATATCCATACGCAATAAATATTCTTGATTCTGACCCTTCAAAACCTCTAGAAGATCATAAATTCCTTCCAGAAGTTGAAGGTGCAATAATTGCAAGTAATGGGAAGTTGACACCAAACTTCGAATACATAAATGAACTTCGTGAACAGAATAATCGATCGAAACACAAGACAATGGAAGGGTCGGATGTTGGTAGAAAACGCGTATTGATTCTGGGTGCTGGCATGGTGTCAGCTCCATTAGTTGAATATTTAAGTCGGGACAATGACATCAATATGAAAGTTTGTTCGCACTTGAAAGACGAGTCTGATCGGCTTGCACAACGCTACAAGAATGTTGAATCACTTTATATGAACGTGTCGGAAAATCAAGATCATTTAGCTCAATTATGTGAAGAAGCTGATTGTGTGGTTTCTCTTCTTCCGTATGGACTTCACGGCCTTGTAGCGAAATATTGTGTAGAGGGAAAGACGCATTTAGTGACTGCAAGTTACGAGTCACCAGCAGTTCGACAATGGCACGAAGAAGCAAAATCTGCTGGTGTTACAATTCTCAATGAATGTGGACTTGATCCAGGAATTGATCATCTTCTCGCAATGGAATGTTTCGATGATGTCAAAGAACAAGGCGGCGTCATTGAATCTTTTGTCAGCTTCTGTGGTGGTTTACCAGCTCCAGAATTTTCTGACAATCCTCTTCGATATAAATTTTCTTGGTCACCTCGTGGAGCTCTCGTTACAACAATGTCGCATGCAAAATATTTAAATCGTGGTCAAATCGTTGAAATTAACGGTGGGGGTGATTTGATGTCATGTCCAAGAGATCTCGATTTTCTTCCTGGTTTCGCTCTCGAAGGTTTCCCTAATCGTGACTCAACCAATTATGCTCAGCTTTATGGTTTAGGTCCACAAATTCAAACAGTTTTACGTGGCACATTGAGATATAAAGGATTCTCTGAATGTGCAAAAACAATTCAATTGCTTGGATTAATTGACACACAACCACATCCTATGCTTCACCCATCTGGTCCCGAAGTAACATGGCGTCAATTGATTGTGAATTTACTTGGACTAACTGACGAAGATATTTTCTATGAGAACTTGAAAATGAAGCTAGCCGATCGTGTTGGCAATAGCGATTATATTGAAAAACTGGGCTTATTGGACAAAACACAAATCGTAAAGCAAGGAACGCCAATTGATACGCTGAGTTATTACTTGTCAAAGAGACTCGTGAGTATTAAAATAAAAATAGGTCATTCATAATAAACAATAATTATTTTTAAGGCGTATGAGCCTCACGAACGCGACATCATCATTCTACGTCACGAAATTGGAATTCGATGGCACGATGGAAGACGTGAAGAGCGAGGAATAAACTTTGTTGTTTATGGCGAGCCTGCTATTACAAATAGACATTCAGCGATGGCATTAACGGTTGGCTTTCCAGCTGCTATCGCAGCTAAAATGATAATCGATGGGGAGATTCAAGAGCGAGGCGTCATTCTTCCATTTACACCCGATATTTACCGACCAATGTTGACACGATTGAGAGCCGAGGGACTCGAAGCAACGGAAATTATTAAAGAGCTTTAAATAATTGACAAAAACCTAATGTGACGTGACATGACGTAATTTAAAGTGTTATGTCGTGATGTTCGCAGATAGAAGAACATTTATGGATGTCGTTCTATTTTCCAAATCTCTCCTTTTATGAGATTCATGTAACTTATCAATTTTTCTTTTATTTTGTTTATTTACGATATATACTTGAAGCAAATAAAGATTTTTATATCTTTTGATATTGAAGCTTTTCCGTGTATGATAAGCAGAAAAGTGAAGCCAAATTGAGCATGACTGTTTGATTTATAAGATTGAGCTTTCTTAAAGATGATTTCCAAAAATAAAATCCTTTTAAGTATTCATTGATCGTGGAAATGAATTGAATTTATAAGACTCATTAACGTCAAGCTTTCCATTTCGATATTTATTCTAGTGCGCAATAAAAATGGAAACAAGAAAGAAAAATTGTCGAATGAAATCGAAAATCCTTTATTTTTGTTTGAATGAGTGAGATTATTATGATGGTGGTTGTGGAAGTAATATGTGAAGCAGGTGAGATAGAAAGAGAGGAAATCGACAACGATTTATCATTTTTCCGAAGCTTGTTTACGGAAAAAAGAAATGAATGTTTACCTCCCTCGCTCGATGTCTATAAATAACAGTTAAAAAGAATCCAATCAGGTGTGACTTCTATCAGTAAGAGAGAAATAAGAATGAAGAGGGTCAGAAAGGTAGCTTGTGACTTTACTTTCATTTTATTCCTTTTCCCTTAGAAACTTTGACAAACGATGAAAAACATTCACTTGTCGTTTATAATTTTTTAAGGGTTGAGAAAATGGATAAAGAAATGAAAAACGATTTCTCGCCAGCTAACTAAATATTAAGTGTGGTTGATTAATTTAATTGGCAGTTTGTTAAATTACTCAGCAATCACAAAAATTCCCATGAGAATAAACAACGACAACTCACAATGGCGTTTTTATATGTTTTGAAATATTTCTTGGCATCGAATTGATGCAAAATAATTTGTAATGTTCTTCATTACTCTATAATACGTTTGTGTTAAAAATAAATAACATGAGACGGTTGTTGGGTAAGAATTAATGATAATAATTGAACATCTGACATTAAAAGAATTTACCAGATTGAGGACGAGAGAGAGAAGGAGAAAGAAAGAATTCGAGATGAAATTGTTTCACGAAAGTGAAATTTCTTTCCGTTGTTGATGAAAAGCAGTGAACTTGAAATTTCCGAGGAAATCAAAATATTTACAAAGCTATAAAAAGCATCTTCAGTTTAAAACACGTAAAAAAAACATTCAATCAACACATTATCATCATTAAGTGGATCACTTTCTTCATATCATAAATAAAGTAAATTTTAAGATTCATGTGCGTTTTTTTTTCTCACTTCTGAATACGTAAAAAGAGAAAAATTAAGCTTAAAGTGATGATAAACTCTGAAAGTGAAATTGGGTAAAAAATGATTTCTTTCTTTTTTGGAAATCCAATTAAAGCGTCAATTGTCGGAATGGTTTGACCCACAATTTTCCTCAACAATCATCAAAATTAAATTCAACAATATCCAATATATGAATTAAGTAAATAAGATGTTGAAATGGAAATCGAGCTTAATCGTTTGTTCGCACTTTCATTCATCATATCCCGCAATCAGTGTTAAATTTAAATTCGTTACGAAAAACAAAACTTCATTGTTTATAGATTGAGGGGAATCACGAGTAAGCATTAATGAATTTGAATGATGTCTAACAACTATCTCGTTTTTCATGCTTATGACTGATGTGAAGATAAAGAAGAAGTTTTTCATCATTTCAGGAATATTTATATTGAAAGAATTCACTCATCATTAAACTATTTTATTTATATTTATTATTTGATCTGAAGCAGACACTCTTCATTATATCTGCAGATAATGTCAGCAAGAAAATATCTCAATTTATTTATTTAAAATGTCAATAACATTATCGTGACCTTCAGAGGTACAGAAATTTCAATAAAGCACGCGTGCTGCATGATGATCGTTCTCCTCAATACAGTGTCAGCGATGTGTAAATTATCTGAACTTATAATATTTTTAAATCCTTTTATATCATCTAGTTGAATATAAAAGCGTTGCGTAATGCGATTTCTCACTTCAAGTGTTTACTTATTTTTGTAAGCAAATTTGAAGATAGCAAACAGAATATGGCAACGTAGCGAGAAAAAGAAATAAACAGCAAGAAGTGAAAAATTATGGAAATGAAGATTTCTTTTAACGGAAGCGGAGCATATTGCAATCTAAAAAGATCGACGCAGTCTTGTTTATTAAGAAAAATGTATCTACAAATAAAAAAAAAGCTTTCCATCATCATCACGCAATAACTTGGCTGTCGTTGTTGGAGAGAATTTAATAAATTACAGCATTGCACGCTTTTTCAGAACATTCCTATTTACAGCAATTCGCAAAGCTCAAATGTGAATTAGGTTTAGCAATTTAGAAAATATATTTTCAAAATTAATCATTAAAATGAGTTGAAATGAAATGCGCTGTCAAATAACTTTTTAATGTCTATTTAAACAAATTTGATATCTGTTTTAAGATTTTATTTTCACATGTCGGAAACAGTCAACGGAAGTTCTTCAAAAAGGAAGTTTTACAATTTCTAGCAATGCAATTAGTGACAATTTTTCATTTTTCTATGAAATACTCGCTGAACGGAAATCATTTTTGAATGAAGGTGCAACAGGTTGCCGGCATTTTAACCAACTTTGAAGCTGTTAAGATGTAAGAAAAGTGAATTTGGAACGCCTTAAAATTCATCACGCAGTGGGTTAAATGAACTTGTCGATTGATCGATTTTATATCGCAAGTTAGTAACAAAACAAAAATAACAAAATTATTCGAGTGTTTAATTATTCAAACAACTGCTACCTAGTTTAACGCCAGTTTTTGATGCTCACATTTATTTTTCTTTAGCCTCGTTTCTCAATTAAGTAAATTGAAATTAATTTACTCACCTTTTAGTTGTGGCAGCGACTCGATTTCACAATTTTGCTTGTTTAATACATTATATAGAGCGCTTACTTGACGTCGATCCTTTTTGATGAAGGGCCCTGCGAGATTTTCTTTTTTCGTTATAGCTGTTGGCGGTGGGGTGACGTTCGTGGTATGGTTGTTACTAATCGTTTGTGGGGATGTCGCTGTGACCGTGATACTCGGAGGTGACTGAAACGACCGATAAAAGAAATGCTTAAGTGTTATGATTCACAGCTGTCAGCAGTTTCAGATTACGACTTTAACTTATTTTAATGTCGATAAAAATGCTAAAACAAAGCGCTTTTTTTGTCAAGAGTCAGGAAGTATTTTGTTTCGAAATTTGAACTTTTCTTTTTATTTGCCACGAAACTTTTCACCAAAATACTATAAGAAGCAACAAAACGGAAAGAAAATCATTCAATTATTATGGCGTTTATGGCAGATCAAAAGCACGTTACTATTTTATTAACTAATATAAAAGTTCATAGATATAATAACTTATTACTCATTTTGTTTTGCTTCCGAAACAAATAAAAAAAAATCAAAAGTAAGAAAAATTAATGTTGATAATTTGCAACGAGTCTCATAACTTACAAAAGCATGAAAAGTTTTACTTGCTCGTGTTATTTAATGTTTGACATGATAAACTACCCATATCACTTGCCTGCATCAATTTTTATAAATTGAGTGAAATATTACTTGAAGTTTTAAGAATTGCAAAAGGGCTTTCGACGAAACCTCAATTTCTTATTTAAATTTTCGATTTGTTTTGCACAATTCACCTTCATCTTCAACAACAAACTGTACATACAACATCAAGCATTCAGCAATGTTTACTCATAAAACAGAGTTAAATACCAATGAGAGAGTGTAATTAATTACTCTTGTTCGAAGCTTCTGCTCGACTGTTCGAGACTGTTGCAGGCTGTTTATTTAATTTTATTTTTGCTTCGTGTGCGCAATTTTCCAAATGTAAGTCTCACTCAGTCGGATCTACGTCTGTAGTGTAAATTTGATAGTAAACACGCACACACATGCGAAAGAGATATCGTGATTTTCCTGAAACTTTTAAGTATTGCAATTGCAGCATCAGATGCGGCAATCTAACGGTTCGTGATTGTGAATCTAAACGGTGTTGCATACAATTTTATCTTGTTTTAAATTCCTCAATTAGACTACTAATATATGCTTATTGGCTGACCAATTATCATGTCGATTTAAGCTTAATCAAAAAAAATTTTTAATTTATCTTATCACATTTCTTAAATTAAACCCAATGACGACAATTAAACGAGAATTCACTTGTTTCATTCAATCAGTTGATTAAATAATGAGGTTCATTTCTTATCAACAAGCATAAAAAAAACCTGAAAACGGTCACGTTCCATGACACAATTTATCATCGCCATCTTTATGCCTATCCAAACAGAAAACGAATTCAACCTCAAGATGGATAAAGCTATCTCAGTTGATAACTATCTATCTGATTATCTAAACACAATGTTCACAAGTATTGCTTAAAGCACAAGAAAAAAGTTCTATTGTTAATCATTTTGTTTGTTTGTGATTGTGCAAAATAAATTTTAAAAAAACTCCATGTGACCTTTAATCACACATTTAAAGTTTTAAATACTTATTTAAATATTACAATAGAAGACCTTCGTACATTTTTTGGATAAAATTGTTGAATTTCATCTCAAGAAAAAAGAATTACTTAGAATTTGATTCATTATCATTGATTGTTTTAACAACTTCATGAATATTTAGTTGTTATTGATTATATTTGTGTTATAAAGTTGGATTAGTGCCCAAAATTTTCGCTTCTCATGTTGATAGACGAATTATAAAAAGTTTCAACCATTTTTAACAAATTCAATTACGTTGCTTTTTTTTTGGTTCTATAGTCTTCAGTGGCGCCTGTTAGTTAGTTTCAGAGTTTTTAACTTTTATTGATTACGATTTTATGATGCCTCTTTAAACTTGATAAGAGGTAGCACAATATTTTTATCGTAACAAAGAAACTAACGAAACATTTATAAAACGATTTTTCAATTGCTATGAAGGTCTTTAAATACTTTGCAATTGTGAGGCAGTTGAAAGGGTGTGTATGTCAATAAATGTTGCAATTATCTGTTATGTTTTTGAACAAAATATTTACAAATACAAAAATAAATTACAAAATGTTTCATAATTCACTGCAATGTTGTTCCTCAAAAAAAGAACAAAAATAATAAATTTTCATCATGTTTCTTCCACCCAAGAGTTCATTAAATTTGTCAAGGTCGAGTTTATTTTCTTTTTCGAGATTCCATATGGTGCCAACAGTTTTACTGAATCGTTAGTCTTTCTTTCGTCTCTTTTAGTGAAATAGCCCGCCTACAGTAATTAATTTCCGGCTATCGTGAGAAACTTTCGTCATGGGAAAACTTCCAAATGTCCTTCATAATCCCTTCTTAGTTAAATCTTATTTATGTAGAACATTTTAATTTTTCATTGTTTCAGAACACATAAATTAAGAAAAATAGAAGACTCACTTTGAGTCATAAATTTTCTGTTTCACTTTGAATGTATTCGAGACGTCTCGACTGAACGCTTCTGTTTGTAAGCATATGTTGCGTAAACGAGGTGATGAATTATATTTTTATTTTTGATGTGTGAATTCTTTAGCATCTGACCCACATTCATTATCACAAAGCAAACGCGCTCAAGATGTAAATTATTTTCAAAAACATTAAAATTTTCTCATATCCACTTGAGTTGCTGTTTTTCTAGAAGAACAAAATTCTTCAGACCATGAACTTGAATGTATCTTAATTTTTATCCCTGGTAATGAAGATTGAAATCCATTTTAAAACATTTATTTGTTTTGTTTTCTTCAATTTTTAAAATGAAAACAAAACAAAGTCACGAGTTGGAAATTCAGATTCATTTTTATTTATTTTGCATTTTTTCCCTCTCCTGATAATAAACAAAAGGATTGTAAAGGAAATTTGATCGATAAATCAATCGATCAAAGTTTTTATGCAAGCCAAACATCCGCATGCTTGCGTTTATTTATTAATTTTAATTTCTAATTTAAACTATACCAATAAAATTGTTTCTCTGAATATCCGAAAGGAAACTTTTAGTTTCACTACCAGCTATTTTTAATTAACAAACCAACGTCCTCTTTGTCGTCAGATGATGTTTGATGATTCTATTTTTAGCAACATAGAGAATATTTTTTTGTTGATGCTTTTTTTGTCACATCTGCCAACACCCCGGCCGGTATGCGCGTGTTTCTAAAACGTATTTTAAGCTCTCGCACATGAAGAACTTTCACTACGAATGATTTTTAATGATCATCGATCGTCGGCTTATGCAGCATCAGAGAATGTCTACGAGTAATGTTAGACAATCCAGAAACGGTTTTTTTTTCTTACACAGCAGTTAACGAATAGAAACAAGTCTCAATTATTACACGAGACTAGTTTAAACTTTAAAGAACCGTGTAATCGTATTCAAGAATCAATTGAATAAAAAGAATATTCACTACTGTCGCAAAAGGGATTAAGTATTGTAAATTATTAGAATTAGAAAATAAGTGACATTGCGAAGTCAGAAATCTTATTGAGCCATCATTCTTCGGGAAGTAAACTCGATGAGGCTTCTTGTTCACCATTTCTTTGCAATTCTGTTTCGCTCTTTTGGCATCAAAATTCTGGTTTTTATCGCAATAAGCTCGAAACTTGAGCGAGAAAGAGAAACAACCGCTATATATACTCGTATTGGTGCCTCCATAGCAGAAAAAAGAAACTGTGTTTGAGAACAAGAACAACTCGATACCAACGGGTCGCTCACAAGTACACACACACAAACACACACGCGAAGCCGAGGCCTACAGAATAGTCATCATAAATAATTGAAGAATCTGGAGACGAGCGTGGCGATTCCTTGATGAAATTGAATCGAATTATGACGCAGTTGAACAGTTAATCAAAACATACATGAAAGTTAATGTATGAGAACTGGTCAAGTCTTATTGAAAGTAATTTGGAATCTTATTGGAGCAATCCTATATGACTCGACAAGTGAAGAGTTATAAAAAAAAGATGAGGCAAGGTCCACCACTTATTTAACCTTCTTTTATGATATGAAAGTCTTCATTTGCACAAATATTGAGTTATGTTAGGTTGAGACAGCATCCAACTCACCTTATCATTGTTTTGGTTTTCGTTAGGACCCTTAACGCCGTTTTGATTCTCCATTATTATGTCTTGATGTTTATTGATGTCACAAAACTCCTTTCTCTATTTACTTAGTTTAACTACTTTGTAACAAAAGTTTTTATTTTCGGATAATTATTCGTTTGTATTGAAATTCCTGCTTTTAGGGTTTATTTTTTTATTGTATCAACTTCACAGAGAATTTACTTAAAAGTGCACTTGTTGTATCAGCAAATTATGCTTGTTTCAAAACGACTTTAATTCTACTTCAACAATTAAATAAAAAATAACCCAAAAGCAAATAAGAAAAATATTCTCTCACAAAACACCGCAATTTTAACGTAGTGAACGTTAAACTGTAACAATTCTTTATATTATTAGCACTCCTATGACATATTGATATAAATTATATTCAAAAAAAGTCAATAAAATGCCTAAAATTTCACGAAAAACTTATGATTAACTCCTTAGGTCTTTTACGATGGTCGATCTTAGCAGCGACTGAACAACAGAATGAAAATTGAGCAACATACACAAACCTAGCGCCACCAAGTGATTAAAATCTGAAGCACTTTTGCTCAATGTGATTTTAAACAATTTTTTCATTTTTGATTATTAACTCCGTAATCTGTACCATTCGAGATCAGTTGAATTTTAATCAAATCGTACAGAAATTTTAATTTACATTAAAACTTCGAAATACAAGTGTAAGCTGTAAAATAAAACTGTTTGTTTATCTTGAGCAAATATAGTCTGTGATCGGAAAACATCAGGAAGAAAAAAGTTCTACAAAAAAAAATCATTCGCAAAGATTTTAAAAAGATGGATAATTTAAGTAACTTGGAGCAAGCTGTTAATCTTTTCTACAAAAGTCAATCAACCGATCAAGCACAATTAAATGACTTCCTCATCAATCAACAAAGAGATCCGGCGGCTTGGAGCTGGCTATGGAGTTTTTTAGATTTCAATAAATCAGTAGAAGTTCAATTCTTTGGTGCAGTCACATTACATCAGAAGCTTTCAAAAAATTGGCAAGAAGTACCACAATCTATGCACAATGAGCTAAAAGAAAAAATTCTCCAGAAAATTGTGGAATTCGGTGGTGCAGGAACGAAACTTGTTTTGAATCGTCTTTGTATGTCGGTGAGTCATTTTATCTATTCTTAACGAAGGTAAAGATGATTTAATTGATTTATTTTTAGTTGAGTGCTTTTATTGTACACATGCTGAAGGAGTGGCCATCAGCATTAAACGACGTTATCAACATGTTCCAAAATCAGCAACTTCCAAACTTAAGTCAACATACACAACTATGGATCTTGTTTGATGTCTTGTCTGGTGTTCCAGATGAGTCGTGTTGTATTTTCACTTCCATCCAAAGAGTTCAGCTTAAAAATGAAGTTTATAAGAATGCAACGATCGTCCTAAAAACAATGGAAAATTTTATTAATATCAAATGTGAAAAGCATCAGTTAGAAGATGAAGACATTACCTCACTTCAAAACGTTGCAAAATGTGCAACAACATGGTTTAAAAACGGCTCGATTCCTCTCGATGAATGTGTCTTCATTTGCACAGCAATACTTAAACTCACAACAAAGATTTATTGGTCAGTAGAAGCTGATGGTTGTCTCTCACCTGATGAAAGTGAACTCGCTGAAACAAGTTTAAAAGCTTTGTCAAACATGATGATTCAACCAGATTCACATAAATATGCAAACACAGCATTAACATTGATTAAACTTTTCCTCGACTCTTTAAGTCCCATTGTGAAAAATGAATGGAAGATGGACAATCTTAATGAAGATATTGCTTTTGGTATTTATTCTTTATTTATAACATCAATTGAATGCCATTCTCGTACTATTCTTGCTGGCATTTGCGCCGATTCACCAGAACATCACGAGATTTATATTCGAGTTGTAAATGAGATTCTCCTTTGCACTGATAAGCCGGGAATTTATCCTGTTGAAGAATCTTGTTCAACTCTTGCAATGGGATTCTGGTTCATGCTTCAAGATGAAATTTTATCGTATGATAATGCAACAGAAAGAGAGCAATGCATTAAAGCAATCGAACCGGTTTACGCACATCTCGTAAAAATTCTTGTAAGGAAATCAAAACTTCCAGATGAATGCAATGTTGGAAAATGGAATTCTGATGATCTCGAGACTTTCAGATGTTATCGACAAGACATTGCAGACACGTTACTTTGTTGTTTCGATGTGTTGCATGTTCAAATTCTTAAATTACTCTCGGAGACACTCGATGAAGGTATTCAAGCAATACAAGCAAATCATAACAATTGGCCAATACTTGAAGCATCAATTCATGGTTTTTGTGCAATTTCACAGCAAATCGAGAGTGTCGAATATCCAGAGATTGTAAAATTGATGCGAGTATTAAACGAAATTCCTTACGAAACGTTAAATGAGAAACTCTTGGGAACAGCTTTGGAAACTATGGGAGCATACAGTGAATGGGTCAATGACATTCCAAAGTATTTACCAAGTGCCATTGAACTTCTTGTTAAGGGCCTCGACTCTCCAATGTCATCTCAAGCAACATTAGGTTTGAAAGATCTGACAGGTGATTGTCATCCTCAAGAAATGATTCCATATGCTGAACCATTGCTTGATGCTTGTCAGCAATCACTCTTGAAAGGACATTTAGCACATCCTGAATCAATTCGATTGATGTACAGCATTGGTAACGTTTTAAGCATGATTTCAGCTGAGAAGATTCCCAATTACCTCGACAACATCATTTCTCCATGCTTTAAAGAGCTACAAATGTTCGCTGAACATCAAAATTCAAGTGACGGTGCAAGATTGCGCATAATGTTTTGTCTTAACATGATTTCGACGCTTTTCTCGTCTCTTAATGTGAATAAAACTAAAAGACTACAACCAATGAATGTTGAGAATCAACCACAACCAATTCTATTGATTCTTCAGAAAACGATGCCGATTTTCAAACAGATTTGCGATTTGTACATAAATGACGTTGTTGTTATTGAAAATTTGTGTAAAGCACTTCAACAAGCGCTCAATAATCTTATGGATGACATCAAGCCAATCTTAAATGATTTATGTCTTTTGATTTTGTCAATCTTTCATAATCGATGCGTTCCGCCAGCGATTGATATTGCTGGATCGGTGAGTTCAATAAATCGTAGTTTGTTATTATTTAATTTATTTTAATGATTGTTTTTCAGTGCATTTTGATGTTCTTTGGTGATGAAGTTTACAAGGAACCGATGAAGCAACTTCTTCTGCAAATCATCATTTACAACTTTAACGTTTTCGAAGTGAGTTTCATTTCAATCTTTCCTTTACGATACTTTATCTCATTTATTTTAATGACAGCAAACACCTCCGAATAAATTCTCTGATATATCGGATTTAATGGAGTCGTTTTATGCTTTGAATTCAAGAATTGTTAAAAAAATTCCTGCTGCGTATACACAAGAAAATATGGACTTTATTAAGTTGATGGAATACGGTGAGATAATCAAAGAAAAATTTCTAATTGGAGACATTTAAAACTGAAATTATTTTAATCCCATCCGCAGCCCTTAAAGGAATAACATTGCCTGAAACAGGGGTTATTAAGAAGTCAGCTTCGTTTATTGCAACATTTATAAAAGAATCCCGAAATCATGTCAACATGACGAACACAATTCTCATGAAAGGCGAAGAGATTGTAAGAACCGTTCTACTTTGTATTGCTGGAATCACGCCACGTGTCAACGTCGATGTTTTCGGTGATGTTTTCATTGCTTTAAACGCAAAATATCCATCTGAGTTTCTAGTGTGGATGAAGATTCTTGAAACTCAAAGCTTCCCAACATCTTACACGCAACACGAAGAGAAAATTACGTTTATGAAGAATATTATTAAGTAATTAAATTTTCTTCTCTCCTTTTTCATATTTCTTATCTTCTTTTTTTATTTTCAATTGCAGAGAAAAAGTCAATAAACGTCTCGTGAACGATCACATTAAAAGATTTTCAGCTAGATGTAGAGGCTTGATTGAAACATCTGATATGTAATTTTTACGCTTTTAATAATATAAATTTAAACAAATTTAATCTTCTTAAAGTTTAATTTATAAAATAAAATAATAATTGTGAGAAATGTGATAACAACAATAGACAAAGAAAAAAATAATAATAATAAAGACAGCATGAAATTGACTGAACATTTCAATGATATTTTTTATTTTTTTTTACATAAGTTTTTAATTTGTTTGTTTAATTATCACGGAATCTACTTGTTTAGTATTGCACTTAAGAAAAATATCGACACTTTCTTTCGTTCATTACCATAATGGAATGTAATAAATGTAAAAGCGCATTCATAACTTAAGTAATTATTTATCTCATTCACCAACTTAACTATCATCATCATCTCTTAAATGTGTGATTCATCAATGAGTTTTTTTTCCATACGATCACCGAATATTATATTTCACAAATTGCCATCTCGATAATTAAGCACTCGGGCTTTGAGTCTTTTGCCGAAACTACAGCAACAGCGATCTATGGCGAGTCTTTTCTCACATGTATTATCATTAAAGAAGCGAAGAGAAATTAAATATTTAAAGAAGTTGTGGATGTAAATTAAAGAAAGAAGAGAAAGAAGCGAAATTGAATTGTTTTTCTTCTTCACTTGTTTCACTTTATTAAGTTGAAAGAAGAATTGTAATTTATCCAAAATAAAGAAAACTGGGCTATCCATTGAATGGAATTTTTACGATGTCTTTAATGCCCTTAGCATCAAATTGTAATCTCATATTGGCCCAGTGAAAGACAATCAGATGTGAAATCATCATCATTTGCTTAAACTGTGTCAACTCGCTCGTAAATAAAAAGTTTTTGACGCGACACTTGACACAATCTCATCAAAGCTATGCAGCTTGTGGCAAACTATGTAAGTAGCATTCACGTTGACATTTTTGAACTGCATCGCTTTCTGCTCATTAAAGTAGTCAAATAAGGTTTTTAAATGACACTTTGATTAGAGTGTCTACGACAACTGCTTTGACAAATTTTAAACCGTATTGACGTGTGACGAAATCTGAAACTTCATCATGAACTTTTCATTTCGAGATATTTCCAGGGGTTTATGTAAATTACATAAAATTAGGCTTTTCCTTCTTATCAAAAAATGTTCAAAATCCATGAGATTATTTAATAGTTACTCTAAAAATATCATAGTCCAAACATGTTTCACCGTATCTGTCTCAATAAATTAGTTATTTACAGCATAACGAGGTAGCAGGTCACTAGCAGCAATAGCCACTCTAAAGTCGAACATACATAGATTTTTAAAAAAACTTCACTTATGTAACTTCATTGGCCAGTCTCACATAGTAACACACCAAAAAAAATAAAAAGAAAGAAAAAGCAACGATATATCGGACAAAATTCATAATCAGGTAAATAGCAGTTTTCGTTTATTAGCCCGAAAGCCGACAGAAAAATGCTGTGCGGCGAGAAGGAAATTGGTAATCAAATAATTATAAGGCTCTTTCGATTGCTGATCGAGTCTATTTTTAATTTATTATCATACCGGCATATCTTGCAGCATAATTTAAGCAAAAAAATCATATTTCTAAACTCTCAAACACAGATATTTATTTATTTGCCACCCAAATATGTAATACAGAATTAACGTTTCTCATGTTGAAGAAACAATTTAAATTAATTTGAAAATTTATCGCGTGCGTGTTTAAGCGAGTGTTGAAAATAAGTTGAGAAACATTTAGAAATAAACTGGTGATTTGATAACCGCCTTTTTCCTGTGTGGAAATTGCACAAGATGATTCAAGCTATGAAATCAAGACAACACATTTTTTTTGATGAGATCAATAATATGCTGACGGCATTTATCGTGTTGCATTGATTAACATGTGATTGGGTATCTGAATAACAAACGAGACTGAATAATCGTTTAGAGAAGATATTATCGCATTCACCACAACTGTTTATTAAACGAAAATTTACACAGAAATATTCGATCCAAGTTGCGAATACTAATTTTGTTTTGGTTGAAAGGAGGATGTTCATTACCAAAACTCGAATCAATCAATTTCTTCTTCACTTTTTGTCTTCTTTAATTTCATATAAAATCAATGTTTGATGCGTCATAGCTGAAAGCATTTTCCATCCATAAAGAAACTAATGAAAAAAATTAATTCAATTCCTTAAGCTATGTTTTAGCTTTTGAAGCAGGAAAATTTAAAATTAGTTGCAGATGAAATTCAAATTAATAAATTTATTATAATTTTTTTGTTGACTCATTCCTACTTGCCGTAAGATGTTCATCTGACAAGAGTAGAATTTTAAGGAAGAAGAATTTGATTAATAAGAATTAAGAAGCGTAAGTTTGTCTACTTTATGGTCAATGATTCGTTCAAATGCGGAACAAAACAAAAATCTTTAGAGATTAAAAATATCTTCTCGAATCAAGATGCTAGCTAGATATGCAACATTTGGCATTTAACTTTTTTTTATTAAATATTTCTGTTCTGTTATATGACAAGACACATAAATCAAAATTCTTTAATAAAAAATTAAAATTATGATTCAGTTAAGAATGAATGTTCTCTTATCTGATTCTTCAGACAGAATTTGTGAGGTCACTTACCGAGAAATTGCTTAATTGATTCTTTAAATTCTAATCTTAAAGTACATTAATTAAACATTTGAGTGAATGAAATGTTTCTGTTCTTTCACCCAAGTGGAAACGCTTGAATCATTTCCATTTCATCTCGGACATAATTTTCAGACCATTAAGGAAATTAAACACAAATTAAATAAGACTTTCATCAATAAATAGACTGGCTGCCTGGTCTGTTTTCGATGCTCCCACAGTTGAGTTCTATTTAAAATGAATTTACAAATTTACTATTCAGAAGGTATCTAAGCCTTTGGCTGTTGGAAAATAATGATCGATACTCTTTGCTTCGCTGTTCGTTTGCTGGCAAAATAACGTTATCTGTACTTTAGCTAAATTAACAGTTGATCTACAGCATATTTTTGAGCCTTATTTTATATTTTTTTGCGCACTATTAACACTTTGATTGATTAGCTACTAATAGCTTTTTTGCACACCTCATCGATCTAACTCATCCATCAGACGAAGAATTTTTGCAACGAGCTTTTAATGCTGCTGCTGTAGCTTGCTCATGTTGAGATGTTCGTAGAATAGATTAGCGGGAAGTAGAAACAGGAATTAAATAGAATCGGTTAGAGCAAAGAACCAGAATGAATTACATAATATTCTTGACCGCAATTTCGAGACCTCGTGCCGCGTTCTCTTTTTTTTTGAGCTGTAATACTTGAATCCTTTGCAGAAAAGAAGAAAAAAAAGAGAAGCGAACATAAAGCTAATGTTAATTGGAAGAATTTAATGTATTTTCTGAAATTGGTTCTCCTATTGGGAACAGTTAGAAGAAGCAAGAGAATTGTTTTCCCTCATGTTGCTTCGTGATATCCGTATCACAGTTACATACAAGATTTAAATGTTTTTATTAAGTCAAAGCGATTCTCTTTGCTATTTTAACATATTTGTTGCATTAATGCTGGCACTAGCTGGAAACAAAAGAAGAAAGAAAAAATGAAATTGATGATTTGTGGTTCACTTAAGCTTTTAGCAATGCAATTCCTTATTAAATGTTTATTTAATTAAAAAATGGTAAAACTGTTCCATGCAGAGATTTCGTAATAATTATGATGGTAATATATTCACATATAATTAATGTAACATTTAAGATCTGCCATAAAATTTGTTTCTTCACTTTTATAACATTTTTGACACCTTTAACTTTAATTTCCTTTACCTTATTCAACTTATTTTTATATTAAAAAAAGCTATCAACGGTTCAAGAAAGTAATCGCTTGAAAATTGCATCAAATAAATTGGAATGTCTCAGATTCCTTATCACATAAATTTCATCTAAATATCGCTTTCATGGCGATCCATTTTTTAAGTTGAAATGTGAATTTCATTCAACATCTCTTTGTATTGTCATCAAAAGGCAATGTGTTAAAATCACTGATGCCAATCTGAAATAAAAAATCTTTCTCTTTGCTTCGTGTGAAAATGTGAAAATTGCGAACAATTACATTAAGATGCGCTTTCAATTGGATCGCGTAACATAAAACTAGGTGAAAATAAAATTATCAGCCGTTAAACTATCAGACATTTCATCTTATCTATGATGTTAATAATTTCAGAAGCTTCAACAAATTATAAAAGTGACATAATTAAATGTTTATTTGATGAAGAAACGTCCAACATCCAGCATCGTCGGTGAAGCAAATCATCAATTCTGGTCACAGTAAAGACGCTTAAGTTGCCTTGGAAACAATTTTTACTAGCTCGAGACATGAAGTTGTTGAACAAATCGTTTGTACTCATTATATAAGCTTGTTTCAAGCCATGCACGTTGCTGATGGAATGTGATGGTAATTTCTTGAAGGACGTAGTGCCCGCTTTGCAACGATGACCGAAAATTGAAAAATTAGACTCGCTCTTCTTTCGGGAGTTTTTAATTGCTGAAGGCTTCAAAGATTTCAAACAACGCAGTCTTCGCACGAAGTCTACGATGAAATATCATATTAACGTTGAACAAGTCTCGTCTCGGCTTATGGACCAATTGCAATTTAATATACAAAAACTGTGCGCTTGTGACGTATTTCTTCAGACATTGTTTGAACACATACGAAATCATCACTCACGTATGTTGTTGATTTAAACGTTGCACAATTTTTATAAATCTGCAGAAAGTTAACTGTTAAATGAGAGAGAAAAAAATTATCTGTGAATTGAAAGATTGAAATTGAATATCATGTGCGATTATTAAAGTCGATACGAAGCAAATGCTTCGTTTTCACGTAAATTGCAATTTAAAAATTACCATAAATTTTTTTTCACAATTGATTTGTAATCACTAATTGCTGGTTTTCTTATTTCTATGATTGATGTCAAGTCAACATCGTGTGTTGAGAGAAATAAAAATTTTACTAAAAGTGTTAGCTTGTTGAAATAAAAAACTCTTTAAGTTTATGACGTTAATTACCTGCTTTGTTGTTGTTTGATTTGAAGTGTACGTAGTGAATTTGCTAATTGACAAATACAATTCCTTTCTTCACCTGTAAATATTGAAATGATCAATTAAGCCATTAAACAAAACTTGCGAAACTTCCTGAAGAAAATAAAAACATTTAAAGTTCTCGAAATGAAAATAATTTGTTTATTCTATTGGTTTGACTTTCACACAACCTATTTAAAGTAATCGAATCTACTTCACTTACTTATTACTTATCATAATATTTCTTTACAAGTACTATTCACAACATGATCATAAAAGTGTTTCAATAGTTTGACGTCACATTGAAGTTTGGATAGTGGATTGGAAATCATGATCAACAATGCTCTCATGCAAGAAGCAAAAACTCCGCAACAACAACAGATTTTAGATTCATAATTGTGAAGTTGTTTCTATACAATCATAACGTGCAAACTTATTCAACATCTTTATTATTGCACAATGGCATATGAAATGATACAATTGGCAACTTGAAAGCATAATAAATGAAAACATCAAAAAAGTGTCTGAGAAATAGCTTCGAGCAGGTATCTAAATGAATAAATTGTGTGCTCTGAAACTTATAGCAGAGTTGATACGAGTTTATACATAGTTTTATAAATTACGATAAATGAAGTGCCCTCGACGGCCATTCCTTTCCAATCTTTTTTTTGCTTTTTTGTCAGAACAAAATGAGTGGCGATAAATTACAGACTATGCACAGATCAAGTTTCTTTCTTAAATTCCACATGATCGATGCACAAGATAACAGATAATAAGAAGATAATGTAATATCTTAAATTATTTACTCAGACTGGTGAAAAAAAGATGACTCGTTGGAGAATTTATTTTAAACATCAAAATCATTCAAAGTAAAACTCCACTTAGTGCCATTTATTTGCGAAGGTGAACATGCGAAGTGACAGTTAGCGTTTGACAGTTGTTTGTTGGATTACTCGTGATATTGAGATTAATCAAACGACTTGCACGGTCGCGAATTCACTGAATGTAACTCTCTTAGGTAATTCCGGTGCAGGTGACTGGGAACCTTTTGTTTTGATCACGGGTTTGAGTGGTTGGCGAGGCTTTGCTGTGATCAATCCGGCTGAGGTCGCAAGCTCACGTAGTTTTTGCGATAAGCCGCTTTGCGGTTTATTTGGTGCGGCGATGACTTGAGGCAATTGACTCGGCGTAATGTATCTGCAATGTTAAAAGAAAAAAGAAAAAAATGGAAAATCCAATCGATTAAACAAGATGAAAATAAGAAAAGTTGTCAAAAGTTAAGACTTAATTTATAAATATATGCAAGTTATCTGCTGTTGACTACTTTAAGGTTTAATCACGTAGTCGGTGCAGTTACTTAACAAGTTGAAATGCGTTGAAAATCGGATTACTGTGAATTTATTTCTGCCCTTTTATGTCATCGAAATGAAGTGCTTATTCTGTTATTTAGGAAATTGAAGTTAATGCTTGGGGAATCATCTGGATGTTTGGTAGCATGTTACTCGTTTGTTAAATAAGTTACAAGCCTCTTGTTTGGTTAAAAGCTTGCATTTCTAGAGCACTTGCGTTTTTATTTTATGACGATTACAACTGTTTTGTAATTTTTCATCGTGCGTAACTTACAGCATTTTCTAATTAATTATATTCACGCTTTAACTCACTCAAACGTTGACATTCTTGTGAATGAAGTTTTATTAGTTGATGTTTCATAATTCACTTTTCCTCCACTTTCATAGGAAAAGGCGCAAGAGTTAAGTGAACTTATAGTTAGTTATGTGCTGATGCCAAATACGGTTTGCGTTTGTTTCACAACTTGTGAAGGAAAGAGACAAGAAGTACATTAAATTGCTTGCTAAATTGCTTTTCAAATATTTAAAGATTAAAACTCATTTAAATCTGCTTTGATGGAACTTTAGAGAAAGTTTTCAGGGATATGTCAAGTAATAATTTGTCTTCTTATTGCATATTTATATATCTACTACCAGGAGAAAAATAAAATAAAACCCGCTAAATAATTTACAAAAACGTGTTTATAAAAAAAAGGCAAAAGTCCGAAAAAAAAGATTGAGTTGATTGACCAAATTCGACCGCTCATTACAATCAGACGAGACCTGACAAGAAACAAATTTCAATTTCATTTGCCCCAGACGGCGGTAGGCAAAAGCAACTATTGATTTGATAGTCACGATTCAGCGAATTTCCCTTTCAAAAATCCATCATAATATTCCCATACATTGTCTTATGAAATGATTGTGTTAAAATTGCCGCTAAGAAACACGATTTCAAGAATAATTTAAATTATTTCTGCAGAAGCTCTCGTCTTATGATTTTTAATAGTAATAAAGAAAACTCTGTATTGACTAGAGGTCGTGCTTTTAATTCTTCTTCACTCGACTTTACCTGCGTTAACAATCGTGTTCGATCGAGCGAGAAATGTGCATCAGAAAATATTATTCACTGTTTACCATGTGAGCGAGTAATTTCCTTTCAATCTTCATTTCTTCAATTAAAAATTCGCTTTCTGCATCAACGCATCTCAATGTCTAATCAAAAGAAAAGCGATTTGTTTATACCATGTTGACCATCGTAATTTGTTTCTATCAAGATTATCATTGCATATTTATTTAATATTAGTGACATTTGAATTCGCAAATCATTAAAAAAACTGTTAATAATCGCGAAGGCAAACAAGCTTCAAGAATGTTTACGGATGGTCAGGTTGGATTCGCGCCATTTACCTTCGACAAAGATCAACGATTGAATTAATCATCATATTTTTGTGTGTATGTGTGTGATCTAGCTATTAAATATCATCGTGGATAGTCTTACTTATATACGAGCACATTTTAATTGCAAACTGAATAGTTCTGCTTCGTCGTCATTAGCTTCACTTCGAGGAAATTTTCCAATGGAATAAATAAGTACTTAAGAAATAAGAATTGCCTTCACTTGATGCCTAAATAACAAAATAATGTTTGCCCCATTAAGCTCTTTTTTATTCTTTTTTTTTGCATCGTGCAGATTAAGCAAGCATAGTTTCGTCGTACCGTTTTAAATATTCCTCTCTCATGTTCTAACAGTTATGCAACAATTCTCGTGAGCCACTTTTCGGACATTTAGATCAACTTTGTAGCCAAGCAGCTTCCAGCATTTCATACATACATCAGAAAAAAATTATAAATTCAAATAGACAAGTTACACAAGTTCATTTAAATCTCAAAAGAAAAGAGAGAGCCACTCGCTCATCATTATTATTAAGAACATCTTGAAGCTTAATAGAGCTTAGAACATATGCTTGAGTAGGAAGTTAAGCAAAATAAAACAATTTCATAAATATTAAACTGTTCATTCACTGTTGCGCAACAGAATTTCTCTTACCAAACATTTGTCTAATTGCCTTTAGGTGAAGAGTCATGTTGCTTTAAATTACGCGTTATCATAACTTTTATAAGTAATGGAGAAGAATAAAATCAAAACGAAAAAGAAATTGTTATTGATCGCGCGGCAATTGCGCTAATAAAGGAAAGAAAGAAAAAGAAAAAGAAACTTCTTTGCGGTATAAAAAGAGGTGTAAAGGCTATGATTAAATTAGAATAGGTGTAAATGATGCTTCTGCCAGATTTCTAATTTTATTACACCATACATGATGATATTCTGGAAATTGAGAAAGAATGAAATGAAATGAAGTGTTAGCAGATATGCGTTGAGAAGATTCCACAACTTTCGAGTTGTTGGACATTTAAAAGGAAAGCATCACAATAAAAATCACAAGAGAAATTATAAATTATCTTTATATCAAATGTCAATGATTTTAATCTTTCTTTTATATGTTTTCTGATTTTCTTTTTAGTTGTATTTTATTTTTCAGATTTATTAAGCATTTGATTGATGTTGGCGATCATTTGACACAGTTTAATGATTAAAACCAATTTTAAATCAAGATTTTCTTCATTGGTATTGAAAACTACTTTCATGCATTCAACTTCATCTTACTTAGCATAAATATTGTTTTATTTATTTTAATGTGGCAAGAAAATGTTTATGAAAAATCTCTACAACAGACTGACTATATAAAGAAGCTCTTGAGAGATTGAAGTTTCTAATTCCTGACTTTTTAATTATAGCAGAGGTGTTATATGGGGCATTGTGGAAACTTCATGAGCAACAGCACTTTTGAAACATTCAACAATTTCAAGATAAAAAATTGAAACTCTGTCTAGGCAATGTTATTAATCGCAAGCTTATCATTTTGTCTTGCATTTGCTAAATCAATCACGAAAAGTAAATTGATTAGATATGTCAAAACAAAACATTAAATTATACAAATAAAATTGAAAGAAAAACTATCGACTGTTTGAAATTTTAAGCGCACATGCTGATTAAGTCAATTGAGCAATTAATTTCAATTGACTTTCTGTTTACCACAATTTATGTAAATTTTACTAAATAAATTCGTGCAGAAAAATAAATTGTTTGCAACCAAAGCGGTCAATTTCCATTACCTACACTTAGTTACTTCATCCATTCTACGTGAAAATAGTTGAGATTGCAAACTATTTCTCTCATTTACATCATTGGAATTTTTTTTTTCTGATTAAAATTCTTATCACTCCTATGACAAGCAAAATGCATTGCATGTAAAGCGAAAAAGAATGAAAGAAAAAAAATCATTCAAAATATTTAAATTAAATCTTTATAGATTGTTATTGCTTGCTATTTGCTACTTAAACCTTTTTAATGGAGTAAATTATGTATTTGCGAGAGAAATAATTGTTTCGCGGTCATTGAGTTGCGGCCCTTGAGACGCTGACAAAAGTGTAATGGATAAAATTTCTACTAAATTTAAGTAAATTACTGCTTGAATGGCTGCTGGGGAGTTATCGTAAAATTTTGTTACCAATATAAAAACGGATGCATAATGCAATTGATTAAACTAATTATTATCATTTTAATTTCTTATAATAAGTGCATAATAATTACATAAATGATGAATGTAGAACAAAATAATTAACCATCAAAATGTGACTTTTGTTTCCAATAACGTGCCTTCATTTGCATTTCTCAAAGTCGCGTCATGTTTAATGAATTAAATTGAAAATTATATAGCAAATTAATGAGTTATATGAGACATTTATTATGCACGAAAGGAGAGTTGGTCATAAAAAGTAAAATATGAGGATAAGAAGAAGGAAACTTACTTTCTTGATCTCCTTGGATCCATCGATTGAGTCCAACAGACAAGATGTGATTGCGGTTGCTGATGGCTAATGTACTGTTGTGGATGATGGTAATTTTTGGGTGACTTCACTGTTGCGAATCCACCACCATACTGCATTGGCATCATGTTACTTAAATTACTTAAACTTAATAATCCACTTGGTTCATGCGAGTTATTATTCGACTGTTGTTGCTGTTGTGACTGACTAACACTACTTTTGTTGCTATTTACTAAAGCTGTTGGATGATAACTTTTATATAAATTACTCGTCGATCCCGCTGGTAATAGTCTGCTATTTGTTTGATAATTCTGCTGGTTTTGATACGATTTATAATTTTTGAAGTAGTTCAAGTATTGTTGTTTCGGATCAACGGTAACACGAACAAATCGTCCGGCAAGAATGTTTTGATGATTCGCATTGGGTGTCGGAGATTTGTGAAAATCATTAAGACTGCTTCGAATGCGATCAACAGATTGCGATCGCGGTTGAATCGTTTGATATGTGCTACTAGTACTGTTAGACTTATTGCTATTTGGCGGTAATGGTGCTTTATTCTTAACTCTTCGATAAATCTGTTTTTGATCGGATTTCGTGTGAGTCTGATGTTCCAATTTCGAAGATGAGCTTAAACTAAGTTTCAAGTCTTCAGCGTTGTTGTTTTCTGGCTCTGATTCACCATCAAGACAAATTATGCTTGAAATAGGCGAGCTCTCAACATTCCGGCGTGATATTGTTGTGTGTTGAACGCCATCTCGATCAGTTCTATGAAGCAGATCAAATGTTGGTGTTTGTGTTGTATGCTCGGAATCGGTTGACACCCGATCGGGATCACTCTCGAAACCTTCGTCTAAAGATCTTGTTGGACTTAGAATGGGCTTAGAAACTTCAATTTTCGTCTGTTCCATTTCTTTTGATTGTCGATAAATAGATTTCTCTCAATGGAAACTTTATGTCAACCTAAATTCACTCATGACTTCTTTCCAGTCTTTTTCTTTCTTTCGATGTTTCAATTCTGATAATTTTTCTTCTATCTCGTCTCGGATGCGTGTATCAAATGACAATTTAATTCAATTATTTTCCGTTTACAGCACAATTGGTCGACAATGAAGAGAAATAAAAATTTTAATTTTTTTTATTTCTTTTCGAATCATCAAATGAGCTCTCACAAGATTGAAATCTTTTTCCGATGAAAATCACTTTTGATGGTGTTCGGAATGGTCGTGGATGGAGACAAAATAAAAGTGGGACGATAATCGGAGTCACTCAAAAGCAAAGACAAACTCTCGAAAAAATCGTATGAAAGAAAACGTTTTGAGACGATGATATCGAAATGGAAAATGAGCACAAAATTGTCATAAATAATTAGGAAATATGTTTATTTCTCTGATCGGTTCACTCTCTCGGTGAACGACTCTTTTTCCCCTGAAGCGGCAACTTTTCAATCACTTCTTTACCATATATTAGATATTAGATCAAGTTAAGAAACCAAGCAACAAATATTTCATGAATGAAATGTAGAAAAATTTCTTTTTTCCTTCAATTTTCGTTTTCACTTCAATTGTGTCTGAATTTTATTTATTTTTTTATTTTATTTTATTTTCACTCTCTTCTTTCACCCGATCGGATTATTGCAAAAGTTAACAACGTACACCGACTCTTCACTTTCATCACTTCATTGTGCCTTTCATTTTATGCCGTCTCTCTTCTTTCACCCGATCGGATTATTGCAAAAGTTAACAACGTACACCGACTCTTCACTTTCATCACTTCATTGTGCCTTTCATTTTATGCCGTCTCTCGATATCCGTGCCGTGCCGTGTTATTTGCTTTTTTTTCTTATTTATTTTTATTCCACCTGATTCTTCTGATGTCCGTAAATAATAGTTTCACTCGCTTCGAGTAATCAACGATTTAACAAAATTTATTTTTCTGCTCTTGATGCAAGGGAAATCACTTAATCGAAATTTTATCCGCGATTCAATTTTCACGTAACAATTTTCAAGAAACAGTCACTTTTCTATCCTTTCATAAAATTTAATTTTAATTTTTCCTCTCGCAATCCAATTGATGTTCATTAAAATTTTTTTCTTATAATTTCTTGTTTAAGATGAACAAAAAAAAGCTTGAAGTAACCTCGATTACAAGTAGAAATTGAGAGAAGTCTACGGAGCGATCTATGGAAACGTCCGATAAAGTCAGCATTCAAATATAAACTAACTTGCAGCACTGTTGTGATGTTAAAAACTGGTTTGGTTGAAGTTTTCTCTCTTCGCTATGTTGCGTACAACGTACAACATTTTTTCTCATGTAGCGAGAGAGAAGCAAGTTGATTCAGTGAGAAGATATTTACACCTGTAATGTTGCTGTGTGTGATTAAAGAAAAGTCATGGGAGCGCAACTTAACCACATAATGATTAGAATATGCGATGCAGCAAAGAGCGACTGACAAACATTGAGCTGAGGTATTGTAAATATGAATGGAAAGCTTCAAAGTTATCGCAGGTGAATCAAACCGGTCGGTAAAAGAAAAGAAAAGAGAGAACATTGAATGCCTTTAGTAGTCAACCAACAACGATTATGTATTTATATTTCTTTCTTTTTAATTTCTATTTATTTTCTTCGAACTCTTAAATCTCTTTGCTTTAGCTCATCACTGAGAAAGTCTTCATTGAAAACAAAAATCGAAGAAAAATATTTTTTCTAGAATCTTTTTGGGAAAATAAATATCCAAATGATGATGATGATGATGACTTTTATAGAATTGTTAAAAGAAAAAATCATTGTTCAATTTCTTCTCTGCTTTTAACAACAACTTGAAAGCAATAACCAAATCGTTGACCATGAATAATGAAATTATGGAGATTAAAAGTCCATATCAAAGTCGTAAGCTTTGAAAATCATTTCAAGAATCTTTTTTCGTGTCTATGAAATTTTCCTCGGTGTCTCAAATAATTTTCGTTCACATTACATTTACGTTCTTACATTTTTCTTTTCGCTAATGATGTTAGTCATGCTCAGGTTTTAAGAAGAATATGAAACATAAGATTGTTTTGGGAAGTAAGGTTTGATGAAAACGTTTTAATAAAAAAAAGTCTGAAGTTTACGTCTAAATTCTGTTTAAATATCTTGTAAGTTTTTCAATCGCTGAGCGTTTAGTTTAGTAAGAATTTTTTTGTTCCCATTGTGATTAAGTAACAGAAATAATTCAATCAGCGATTTTAAGAAGTTTTTGAATTTTTCATCTCATTGCAAAGTGTTTTTGCGACTACATCGCATTAATGAATCAATTATGTGGCTGTGAAGTGAAGTCCAAGTTGATTGAAAGGCATGAAAGTTCTTCAGGAAATTCCAAACTCTTTAAAAACATTCGTCACTCTTCTCAGAACAGTTCGGATCATATTCATGCATTCTTCGTAACCAAAACATGATCGGGTAGATTGAACAACAAAACAAATGCTTCTTTCATGAAATCATGAATATCTTCAACAAAAATATTTGAAGATTTTATTTTTTCGAATGAATTCTCGGCTGTGTTATTCTTAATTCTCGAAAAATCACCTTTAAGTCTTCATGAAAACATTATTAGACGAGAAAATTATAATTTATGATGTCTTTAGAACTGATTTTCTACATTAACCACATACCGTTTCCTTCAATTTCTTAAACTAATTTTACGGCGTATTAAATTTTTCTATTCTTTCTCATCAGTTCTCGTGGGGGCATTATGAAAAAAAGAGTAGGAATTAATAAATAATTATGTAGTGAAGAGGTTCTTATGCTAGTCAGCGTGAAGGATATGGAGCTTCTCATTAGAAATCGTCGAAATATAAAAAATTCTCAACAGCACTTTCAATCGACTAAATTAATTTTTATTGTCGATATTTTCCTCACTTCTATTATTGAAAAGTTTAATCAAACTGAGATTGAGTTGTGTTGGCGGCGATTAATAGAATGCAATATTCTAAAGAATAATAAAAAGATTCTGATTCAAGGAATATCAAAAGATGCTGCGCTTCAATGAAAGAAAATTAAGAGAAGAAAAATCCAAAGTTAATCACCAGTGATTTGACAAAATAAACAACACAGAATCGCGCTGTTTGATGAACATGCGGTGAAATTAAACAAAAAAAAATCTTTCCAAATGAAGCAACCGACGAAAAAAAATTAAATACATGCAGCCTCGTCGCAGCAGTGACAACAAAAGCATCATTATGAAATCACCTTGAAATTCAAAACAAATTGTTCACGATAATTTTACTTTTTTTGATTTTATTTTTTACTTTTTGACATACAAATAAGTCAATGATTCATGTGTCACTCTGTCGAGACGTTTTTAGCATTGACTTAATTGTGACTTGCGACAATATGTCCGCGGATGTGTGGAAAGGTTTTGGCAGCAAAACATTTTTTTTAAATATTTTCTAAGATGAAATTCATTGCAATTAAATTTGAATAAATATGTTGACATTTTCTAGTGCAAATCATTTTTATTTCAAAGCATGTCACATACTTCTCTGACATGTTAAATAATTTATGTGCACCCAAAAAATTCCTCAGCCGTGAATCTTGTTAAGTCAAGTCATCACTTCTTTAATGTTAATAAAGTTTTCGAAATTTTTTGGAAACTCTTGTTGGCTAATTTTTATTTTAAGTTGATTTTCGCAATTGGTTCTGCTTGACGAATATTTTTGTTATGTTTTTCATTTTTCTTTAATAATAACAAAAGTGATACAAGCGACCTCGGAGGGTAAGCAGCAATTGGAAAATCGTTTTCTGCCTCACCAGAATAAATGAGCTGAGGTTTCCTTAGTAATAAATTATTAAAATAATATGTTACACCACTCTTGTGATTGATAAATAAGTAGATAAACATCTAAATAATTTATTATTAAATAAAATCTTTCTATTCTGCTGTTATATAAAACAAAAACTCAAAGTGCTCGGTTGCTTGTAAGATTTTTTCAAATAACTTCAACACTTTTTTGTCGTTCATATACAGAAACTTGCTATCTAACGAAAAACGCACTCAACGCTTGCCTTGTATGTTTCAAGTAGTAATTTGGATGTTCAACAAGATATTCCAAAAAGAGCTTTTTGGAAACACTTTTTCTTTATTCCTAAACGAGCAAGGTCAAATCTGAGATGATTTCAATTTTGGTCAGACGCCTCGGACTTTTCATATGGAAGAAAAAAGATAATAAATTGTATTAATTGGATTAATCGGAGACTATGTAGTATGTTTTAAAATTCCATATAAGTTGTGTAGGCTCATAACAGCCATAGAAGTAGCTAAATCGCTTTTAGAGTTTTATGATGATGGCGTAATTAAATAAATTTTCGGCAAACAAATTTTGCCTTGAGTGTTCTTATCTTTAGAGCTTCTTTCGAGAACTTTTATTACGAAAGGAAACCCTCGGGTGAAGCTTTTAAAAACAAATCTTTATTCTTTATTTTCTCATAGTTGACGTGAAATTATTTACGATTATTTGTATAACAAAAGTTTCTTTTAATTTTTCAAAAAACTTTTTGCCATTTTTTTCGTCTTTCATGAAATGCCGCAGCAAGAAAAATCACTGCAAAAAGAATAAAGACAAATATCTATTTACATTAGGAGTATCTATCAATACGCAAGCAAATTGGTAAGCAATAGCAAATAAATTACTCTTCAAAAATTTTCCCATGCTCTTTCGGACACTGATTCGTCATCTTTACGAGCACTCGTCATTGAAATCGAACCCGTGACATTTGCATCACAAAAAAAAGTAGCTTTAAGAGTTTTTTTTAAACAGGGATGTTAGAGTAAGAGATTAAAAAAGTTAAATATAATAATATTCGTAAACTTTTCAATTTGAATAACAGTGATACTCCGGTTTTAACATCTATGGTTTGAAAAGTTGCAACAATGGACGAGTCACACGTTGATGAGCAAGTATGTGAAACGAGTTTATAAAGTGGCACACATGAGATGATGTGTAAATATTTCTTAAACATCAAAATCAAGTAGAAATGTGTTTAATCAATAGAAAGAATAATCAATGGTAACAGTTTATATTAAGTCTAATGGACTAGAAATGAAAAACTGTCATCGTCAAGCATGTCAAAAAAATAATAAAACAAGAAATAGAAAGAAAGATGAGTCAATGGGAAGTTGCTTTAGCGCTCGCACTCGCCGACAAAAAAACTTCAATGAACTCAGAATTGACATTTAAGAAAAGAAAAAAAAAACTTTTTGGGGATACAATAAAACAAACGATGAAGCAATAAACGAAACACTGGTAGATTAAGACAATAAAGTCGTTAAGAAGACATCGAGAACTTTTAACTTTTGTTTGAATGTAAATTTTATTGTCTTGTGCGTAGAAACTTGTAAATGGAATTAATATAAAACAATAAATGTTATCTTCCGGTTCTTAAAAATATAAATAAATAAGTTTTATATTTTAAAATTGTGGAAAAAATTTATGCACTGTTAAGTGACTCTCAATTCATGCTTAAGATTCAGGGAAAAACTTCATTTTTTTATGTCGCATCCCATGCATATCAAGTAGCTTTTTATGCTTAAAAATTTATTTTGACTCTTTCCTACTTATTTCCTACAAATGATCACACTGACAACAACGCGTAAATCATAAATTTGTTATGCATCTCAGATGTTTTCACCAGCATGCTTCCCCACAAACAGAACAAGATGTTTAAACAAATTGCATCTGTCGGTGCTTCACTTAATGATTACATAATGTTGAACGATAATTTCTGACCGCATAAGAATAATTGAAAACTAGTGGCGTTACATAACGCATTTCTTTCTATTTAACGCAAAGTGCCTGCATCTTGCATGCAAAACTCATTCACGAATCTTTATTCTAATGAACTTCAAACAATGATGAAATTAACGATGGTAATGAAGTAAAACTTAATGACTAATGAATAAAAATGAAGAAAACTTCGTCACGTTTACAATAGTCATGTAGAAATGTGTCACATTTTACACCACATCCATAAAAGATAAGCCAGCGTTAGAACATTCAAAATGAATTATATTGTGATGGGTGTCATGAGGGCGTTCTTAGAAATAATTATAATGGAGAATAAGAATAGAATCGAGTTAACACTCTACCTGCTTATCAATATAAATTTAATTGAGAATCAACCAAGAAGATTTTCTGTTGTTTAAAAGATTAAGAAAATTAGCTGATGCCATACATAAACACAATATCGATAACTTTAAGAATTATTTAAGAGAAAAGTTCTCAGAACGTAAAGTATTTAACATTTAAATGGTAGGCGGATTTTGTGTACATTTCTAAGATGGAAACAACGATCGAAAAAAATAAAGTTAAGAGAAGACACGTGAAATTAGTTGAATATTCATAAATTATTGTGGTGTGTAGAGCGATAATAAAAGCAGATAGGAACGAGAAGAAATGCTTTTATTATTTATTGAGCGCTTTCATCTTAGAATCATAAATCTTATGCAATCGTAATTACTTTTCTACAATATAGATAATTTGCTTGAACATTCGAAACCGATTGTAAAAGTTATTATTTTTCTCTTTTTTTCCCTTTATACTTAGTAGACTTCTGTTTAAGTTTTGTTTTGCGCTTGTAGTGATTATTTATTCCAATTATGATTAGTAGTAAGTAGAAGGTGAAAATATGAGAATAGAAAATTATCTTTCTCAATTGTATGATAATTCGACTGCTTTGCTTTCAGTACTTGAAATTGCTTTTGTTTCAACAGACGATCTCTAAACGAGTCAAAAAAAAAACAATTGAAAAAGAAAGTGAAGTGCGAAATATGAATATTTAAAAACAATTTTCATGCCATGTTTTGACTGATGATGTTTGCGAAATATCTTCGTGATGACGGCTGCAATCTACCTATGATGGTGCTGAGAGTTGTTTGTTCTTATAATGAAGTCGATTTTAAGTGCTTGAAAATTTTAAATATCATTTAGGATTATTGCAAATTTTGTTATTTTTACCAACATTTTACTTTTTCATCATTATTATTAAACTTTGACTTATTTACTAGATTTCCAAAATGTTAAAGTCATCACTTCACTTCATAAATCGAGAGATTCAAAAGCGAAAGAATTTTTTCTGCCAAAACTTTCATACATAAAAATTTAATTCACTTTTTTTAATAACAAAAATGATCGTAATGAACTAGTTTGGTAGATATTCGAAATGACAATTGTTACCTTCCAAATATCTCATTTTTTTTTGTTTTGGCAATGGTTGTGAAATTTTTCAATTATGTTTTTAATCTGAAGCGATCTTGATTTCCTTGCAACCAAAAATGAAAGCTCAAAAACAAATGTTAAACAATTTTCAAGAACAAATTATCTATTCTCCTTAATTTATGCAAACAAAAACTCAACACAATCAATTGTTACCGGCATATTGTGAAAGAAGAAGGAAGATTGCGTTCAACGCATAATTAGTATTTCCGCAAAAACAATCCATTCATCCATGAGTCGGCCAATGTGACGACAGAAGAGAAGAATTGTTGTCGCAATAAACCAACCAACCAACCAACCTTGCGTTGTATGTACAACTGCTGCTGTATAATTGATGTTCGAAGTATAGAGATGGGAACAATAACAATTAGAATTTTATGATTCAAGATCACCAATTAGCATTTGTCTATGTAGATATAAAAGAATTGTCATAAACAGTCACTTAAGTCAACATTGCGTTGAATATAGCAAAGCTTTAATTGACTTCTCTTATTTCTCGGAAGTTTCTTTTTGTTTGCTTATTCACTTCTGTTAATTTTTTGACAATGATAATGAAAATAATTTTTTTAAACTTCCCTTCAAATGTATAATAGAAAAGATATCTTAAAGACTTTTATTGCGTAAATTAATTTCAGATGTTTATAGAAATACCCACGATGTGAATCGTTTTAAAGAGCGACGATGGAAAAGAAGAAAAAAGAGCAAGCCCGGAAATTTATTAGAGCAACAAATTTATAAAAGCCAAGTCGATGCCTACACGTAATTTAAAGATCTTCCAAAAAGGCTGTGAAAACATGTTTGAGAGCAACGTCACATCAAATCTTTCACTTTTATTCATTTTAATACTAAATCATGACGTGATTGCTGAACAAAACCAACCCAAAAAATTTATGATTGTTTCATAATGATAAAGAAAACTTCAAGGTCTAATTTTTGAAATTTTCTCGCTTGTCTTCTTTCAAAAAATTTGTTATGATGATGAAAATGCATCGCCAGTCGCATTAAAGTCTGCTTAATATGATTTGTAGCAATAAATGAGTACAACATGACAGTAATGTCACTTTTAAATTGATAAGTGGATGTAGGTGTACGACATAAATGATGCCGCTTTGTCAAATTGGTGCATTCAATTCAACAAATCGGTTTAGAGCGTGGGTGATAAGTTGTGGTGTAATAATATTTGCGTAGCATCAATAATTACAACAAAATATTTGATTTACTATGACAGCTTACATTTTCAGTAATTTGTTTAGTAACAAATCATTCCATCGATTACTTAATCGAGATCAGAATCTACTTGTGCAGTTACAAAAAAGTAACTCAAGCGCTGCAAAAAGAAGTTGAGCGCGACATTTTTTTTTTGTTTTGCCATCGAGTGTCTCAGATTACTTAAAAGGAAGTTGCTCGTTCGACACAACAAGTTGATATTCAAACTGATTTCTACAGATCGTTCCAAACGGTTGACACACTCATACAGGTTGCATAGTAATTGCAGGCAAAGCTTTGCAGTTTCAAGATGAAAATAAAATAAATATCTGTAGCATATCCATTAAAATTTTGTAAAACACAATGTCACGAGATCAAGCTGAGATCATTACAACTGCAGTAGAGAAAAGAGACAGCGATTTGGATCTGGCAAGCTCATGCTGAGGGTCGATTGAAAATAGACTTTTAAATAATCAATAAACTGATCGTCTCGATTACTTTACAAAAGACATTGAAATCTTAATTGAAGTCATGCGTGAATTACGTAAGTCGCTCATATCTAAAAGCATTCGTTTCAACATGACTTCAATTAAGAGTTCCATTTATAATGAGATTAAGTGCAAATTGTTTCTCATCGTTTCTACTTGCGTTTACCACTCATTCGCATCAATTTTTTTCCGCCTTTTCTTTTGTAGAATAATCGTTTGAGAATGTGCACCAACTACAATTCACCGCACATGTTCTCAACTGATGTTATCTTAGCAAAAGCATTTGCTAACGGAGTCGCTTGTAAATAGATAGTTTTGCATATTACATTACAATTAGGTAGCTTCTCATGATACCATTTTCCGCATTTATTTATTCTCTTCGAACTCTAAGTTCTGGTTTTGTCGTCGTTTTTATTCAAACTGATACAAAAAGCGATTGCATAATTTGAACTTGGATTATGTAGAATGTGGGACAGAATGTTGTTGGTAGAATTTCTGATATGCAGGTTGAAGCTGAACATCGTGAGTCATTGCAACTCATTTCCATTAAAATTTATGAACATCAACCCAAAGATGAACTTTATGAAAATATTTAAAGGATGAAAATTCCTGGAAGATATCTGCAGACGACATTAATAATATGCAAGGTTTGGTTTAATATTCCCAAAGCTCTCCAGACGAAACAACTTTAAATTTATTGAAATAGAATTCGCGATATTTGCATCATAAAAAATATTCTCATTTTCTCGTTGAATAAATTAAATTTAAAATTTAAACTCACCTTCGTGGCTGAAAAACCTTTGACTTTGACGTGAATTGCGGGAGAAATAAATTAATACTAATGTTTTTTTGGTTTTTCATTCAACAACATCTTTCAATGCAACTGTTTTCGAACAATGTAATTTTGAAATTTGTTTTCGTATCCATCGGCTTTGACTTGAATTGTAAAATATTTTTCAATGAAAATATGCACAAAGAAAAGTAATATTTCTTTCCATTTTAATATTTCATTATTGAAGTATGCAATGTCGGAAGTTTATTGCTTCTTTTTTATTCGGTTTTCCTGTTTCCGAGAGAAAACAACCTTTAATGAAATCAAAAGTTCATTTTTTTCTTTATTGGAATCTCGCATGTTAAAAATTGCTTAAAGCGATCGATACTTTTTTCAATTTCTTCCTACACATAATTAAAAAATTTATTAAAACCTGCATACTTTAATCTGAAGATATAAAAAGTTGCAATCATCAACATTTTATTGCGAGAAATGAGATCACACGCAATCACAATTTTTGATTGCTGACCAAATAATTACACTTGAACATGAGACTGAATGTTGCAAAAGTTTCCAATCTAAATTCTTCTGGAAATGTCTGACAAGTGCAATTAACTTTTGAAAGACATTTTTGTCTTAATGAATCAACAATTTCGAATTAAAATGACAAGTATCCACGTGTATTGAAGTAATTATTATTCATGCTCTCTTTTAAGAGTTCACGAGATTTCCATCGAATTCAATGAAATTCTTTCTCACGACCTCATAAGTATCATTTCCAGTTCACATCAATTGAACCTCTGAACATGAAATATTTTCGCTAATTAAAGCGCACCATGCATGCTTCAACCTGAAAGCGAGAGGGAATTGTCAAAAACAAACTCGAATAAATTGTGAAAGCTTTCCATTTCTTTGTCTTTCATTTTTGCATCTTGTTAATCTCATACATAAATTATTAATGCCAAACTTTTGCTTTTTATCGACTCGAAAGCAATTTGTACAACGAGTTATTTTCACGCTTGCCATCGCCACTCTGAGGCTCTACATAGCTGCAATTTGTTTTCTCTTCTGTATGCATTCATCTTTAAAATTATTATCAGGAAGGAAAATGTTCACGATTCAAAATTCTTTTACGTTCCTATTTCAATTTTTCTGCTGTAGTTCGTGCAACTTTTTCATTTCCTGTAATCGATAGAAAATATTTGAGTCCGGATTTTCCGTTTCACCGTCATCTGCTCATAGCTAATGCTAATACTATTAACTTTTCTTCCAAACTATCAGCACTCATTGCATTTCACTTTCATTAAAAAATGATCAGTATTTTCACTCATGATGTTTTGCCACTTAACTTTAAATAAAAACCAGCGATAGACTTTTTCTTTTCTTTTTTTCTCCGCCAATTCTCGTTTAGTGAATAGTAAATAATTTAATTTCAAGTGTCTGGCGTGACAACTTGTTTGGAAGCCTTTCATTGATGGGGATCTAAAGAAGAATAATTAACAGTCGTTTGCATAACATTAAAACATGAAACTCAATGTAATTGATGCTTCTTGTCCGCTATTTTACTGAACGTAATTTCAAAACTTTTTCTTTTCAGACGGTTAATGTCAACAGCAACATAAAACTCTTTTTTTTTTCATGATCTATACATAAACACTTGGCATATTGAATGACAAAAACCAATAAAGCAATACTCGGAAGCAAATAAAATTGCTGAGCTTCAATCTTTTTGCATAACTTTTTACAACTCGTGCATTTCTTCCGTGAAAGAAGATTTCATTTCATTTTATTTTGCACGCGCTTTAAAATCAAGTGGATTATGTGATGACACAAAAAATCTGTGGGATTGAGTTGAGTAAATATTTAGTTTGGAAGTATATCAGGAAATTTACGTCCGACAAATCGGATTTATTAATCTGTTGAATGTTTTAATTAATTGTGACATAGTTTTTATTGGAAAAAGTAACCATGAAAAAGAGAGAAGTAAAATAATCGATTGTCGTTAATCTGCAACTGGCATGAAATGTCAATCGCATTGAATTTTTTTTTTTTGTGACTTAACTTATCTCAAGTGTCTTAAGTTGATTCAGAAAGCGAGGAATGCTGTCATCTTCCTAAATCATTGGCACATCATTCGTCAAACTTGAGAATGATGAAAGCTTTTAAATTTAAAGATACTGCCTCAGGAAATCGTAAATATTCAACGAGCTCTTCAATCAGTCTCGATTACACGCAGCATCAAGAGAGAAAAAAAGGTTTTACCTTCACATTCAATTTCGGAGGTTTTTTTGTTTGTTTAATTGAAAACAAAAGTCCATTTTGTGTGAATGATCTTTTTTTTAAATAACTTAACTGTTGCTATTGCAAAGGCCATTTTTTTGTTGTTAATGCTGTAGAAAAATGATCTCCTAAAATTCAGAATGAATGAGACTTGGCTTAGTTAACTTCATTTAAATGCTTGTTGTTTGGTTTAAGTATTTAAGCAAACATCGTAAATAGACAGAAAATAACACTTTATGTGACCATATTTTGATCTAAGATGAACTTAAGAAGACTTCAAAGATTAACTAAGGAAGTTGAGGTCATTTTCAAACCTTCAAATTTATTACGATATCAAGAAACAACAATCGAACTTCATCTTACATTGCTTATCGAAAATATATGATCACAAACTATCATCGGAACTTCTTAATGTCATCATGCCATCGAATAGCCACACAGCTTCACCTTGATGTATCACAATTAACTTATTGATTTTGTCTTACATCTCAGTCATTGCTTAGTTTCACATCCATTAATTTGAAAACACCAAAAATGATCTTTAACCATCTGCAATTATTTTATTGGCTCATTCATCTTCATTGATGATTCATCCACATGACATTAAGTTAAAGCATCTTCAAAGCAAGCTAAATTGTTAAAAAGAAGTAATTGAGGTGAAGTGGTGGGCAAGAGATTTATACGTGAGAAAAGTTGTGGCTATCAATGGCGAGTTAGGTAATTACAAACTAAAGACGTTTGATTTATAGCTCATTAGGTTTTGATTAGATTTTCTCATTATTTCATTAGAAGAAAAACTGCAGTTATGTTGCAATAAAAACCGCTTCAGGTATTTATCATGTTTATAACATGAAAGATCACGCTTCTTTCTAAGTTTTGTTGAAAATCTTTTTTGTGTGTCAATTCCCATCGTTTGTTCTTAACAAATAATAAACAAGCAAAGCAAACTAATAAAGAAGGTTTCGATGACATGAATATTTCTGATCTTATACCGTTATATAATGTGAGAATTCTCTCGCACTCTCCACTGGTTTATGTTAAATGCATTTGACACTTTCATTGTCTACATAAGCGACAGATTATTACGCTTAAAGACTCTTTTTTGTGTCAAAGAAATTCTTCAATAATGTTGCCCAAACTCAACGGTCAATTTAGTGACGAAACTTTTGAATATGAAGCTTGTCCGAGGTTTAGAAGTTGAGATCAACAAACTCTTGTGTAGTTTTATCCAAAACAAGCATAAATATTGATACGGTAATATGTGAAGCATAAAACAAAACGTTGCGTACTTTCATTTCACTTTCATTTTCCATTTTTGTTATCGTTCTTTGATTTCATACGTTGAAAGCATGTTTTGTTACAATTTAAATTCAGTTTTATTGAATTAGAGTATTTTCTACTTTTTTCTTTCTTATTACGGTACGCTTCGAACAGCGGCATGTATCTAAGTAAGTATCTATCTATGTATGTTGAACGAAGCCCGTTTATTCAACTCTTTGTTAAATCTATTTGACCATGAAATATTTTCTTCAATTTCACTGAAGCGATAAAAGCATTTCAAATCGACATTTTGATATTTTTTAATAGCTTTTTAACTCGTTTTTTCGCATGTTTAAGCAATGGTTTTTGTATTTTTAATAAACATATATTTAGATTTAAAAGATGAGTTTGTGCAGCTGGCCCGTGAAGAATCGAAATGACTTTTGCTTTGCATGTTAAATCGTCCTCAAACAAAGGTTGATTGACTGCAACATCCTATGATGATGAGATCGGAGGCTCGACCTTTTCAATTAAATACAAAATTATGCTTCTTGATTATCTTCCAATTATAAAAATACGCAAAAAAATTGAAAAATTTAGCGGACGTTTCAAATGTCACTTCACGCTTAACTTCTCAATCAAACGTATTAGACAAGGATGAGATCGATGGCGCGAGACGACATTATCGTTGCCTCGTCTTACATTACATTTAATGTCATGTCGATCAAGTGAAAAGAATCTCTATTGTGCAATATGAAATACGATGCGACGATATTTATTTATTGAATCTATTTCGCGTGTTTGTTAACATCAAAATCTCATTTCATCACTTCAAGTTCCACGTTAATTTGATTTGCGTCTGGCATTTACTAAATCATTGAACTGACCAAAATCATGGAACCCAAAGCGCTTGCACGAATGTTGCAATGGCGATGAGAGGTAAAAGTGTTGCTATTGCTTGCCATCCCTGACCCGAAAAACAAAAAAAAAATTGAAATGATTGAAGACAAGAAACAGCAGAAAATTTCACTTCTGATGTTCGCGGGTTGTAAAGTAAGTTTGCATGAGTTACTCTCTCGGGTGGTTTCGTTTGTCCTCTTCAATCATCAAGCAGTCATCAAATGAAGCCTTTTTCACTTAAATGCGCTTAAACTTTTTCTTATTTCACTTGTACAATATTGGAAGCTATCGCAACCATTTATGACGATGTGAAGTCAAAAACACAATTTAAAATTTATGGTCGATGATAAAAAGTTGCTTCCAGTTTGTGAACATAAATACCTACTAGTTTGCACGATCAGGTAACAACGACATATAATATTGACCATCATCATCATCATTCCGAAGCGGAGGGAATCATGAAACGACGTTTTTTATCTGCAATTCCAAGTCTTGTTAAATAGACTTAAATTAGGCATCAAGTGCTGTACAGAAGGCAACAAGTAAACTTACACATCATAAATGTATTTTTAAGACGTCGTGAAATCAAATCTCCGATAACTGGAATGCATTTACGACATGTTTACTTTTGTAATTTATGTACAATTCGATGCGTTGAGCGCAAAAAAAGCTTTACTTTTGCTTTCAACTTTCAAACTAGGATTTTTTTTGTGCTTCTTACTTCTTTCCTGCTTTTACTTTCGAAACAAAATTATTTTGAAATTGATCTCAAGTCGAGACAACAAAAAAATCATTTTACATCCGAGTTGGAGGGAATTAAATTCTCTTTCGCAATGATGTATCAAACATTTGTAATGTTGGCAAGAAGAGACTTTTGAAAATGTAATTAATAGTAGATGTCCATGATGAATCGATTTGCCATAAGCTACACAATAATTGAGATGATGAATCAATTGAATAATGTTGCAATGAGACTATTAAATTATTGAAAATAGAAATGAAAATTACATTAGCAATAATAGTTCTTTTATGAAAAGTTTATATTGTGAGAAACATAAACAAGACAACCACATTAAACTCATCATATCATTAATTCTTTGTCGTTGTTACTTATTTCCACAGTGAGATTTAATGAAAGTTGTCGGTTCATAAATTTCAATTAGAAGCGGCGTGCGCGACGGCTAAAGTTTTACAAAAAAATTCCCATGATTCTCTCTTTAGTCAAGTTTTTGCATGTTTAAAAAGGAAAATGATGAATAAAAGATTTCAATGACCGCATAAGGAAGGAGTCGTAAAACTATTAAACGTAAGTTTTAAAACAAGTTCTACCAATTGAATATTTTTTTTGTGATTCCCTGTTTAGATATGTTTGAAACTTGCTCCGATGTTAGGTAGTAGCTTCATTCAATTGAATTTGATTAACGACAAATCAAATATGATGATCAAAGATAATTGTTTATACCTATATAAAAATAAATTGATTTATTGTTTTTTTATTCCTACATATCTTGAATGGTTGCAATGCATGAAGAAAAAGCATGCTGATGATTGAATATTTTCACATATTAAAACTCTTACGAAAATCGCTTCCACTGTGCAATCAATAAAAGATGAAAATTGATTGTCGATGCAATAATGTTTTCTTATTTTGTAAACATCATGAAATAGCGACCGGTCGTCCCATCAGTTCAAGTTTGTTTTGCAATCGAAATCGATCGGGAGGTGAGAGTGAAGTGCTATGATGTTTATTTCCTTGTATAAGCTTCTTTCTACAGACATTTTTGCATTGTTCGAGAACATGCTTCGTGGTGAAGAGAAAAGAAAAGAAAGAAACTTTCATTTTGATAGCTTCGAGCAATTTCGGTTAATGGTTACGAAGTTGAAAGAAAGATTCAACTGTGTGTTGATGTGGAAAGAAAGAAAAAAGGAAAAGTTGCAAGTCTTTCAGTATTTTTGATAAAAAATATTTCAGTAAGACCGTGAAATTACATGTGGGCTTTGTTATGGAAATTAATTGCGCCTGAATAGTGATCAGTTAGTGCTGTAAATGAAATTGTCAATTCATGATTGACATCAAACCTGGACACTTCCATTGACAATTTAAATATGCCAGTAAAAAATTAAAAATCATCGTTAAACGAAAACTTCTTTTACTTTCAATCAAGTTCGAGCTTTTAAAGATAGACATGTCGGAGTCATTTCTCTCCAAACATTCGCCTTTCTTTTTCACCACGTTGTTATTCATTGTCTGATGTTGTGTGCTATTATTAGCATTAACATGAAGTAAACTAAACAGCTGAAATCGACTATTTATTTGAGATATTTTCGGTTTTTTCTTCTCTTCTCTTTATTTTTTGCAATTTCACGGTTTTTATTCGGAGCTTTTCATCTACATGTCTATGATTTAATGGGCGTTGGTTGCTTTTGTCAAAATGAAAAACGACTCACTTTGATTTCAATATGATATGCTTAAACAGTTATGATTGCCATACTCACATACTTCAATAGTTATAACTTGTGGAGAAATTCCAAATATTTCTATAACATATGCGATGATTTTTATGAAAAAAAAGTCGGAGAAAAGTTGAGTTAATTACATCGGATTGTATGTATCGATGTAATGCTTCGGACAATTGTAAGCCTTCATAGCACGTGTTTAACGATATACATACATCGTCATATCATAAAGTGTGGAATGAAGAGAAAAAAATGAAAGTCTTTTTTTATATTATTAATTTTCTTTTTATTGAAGCAAAATCTCTTCCCAATCGATTACAGAGGATGAATTCCTAGTTGAGTCTGATGAAACAAGTTTCTTTTTCAATCATCTTCGTCGTTAAGTTAAGCGAAATGAAGAAACAAGAAATGATGTTTGCTTACAATTAGAGAAATAATATTTCTTATCGAAGTTGTAATTGCGAATCAGCACAATGGTCGCTAAGTTTTTAATGTTAATTTACTTGATTTAGTTCCATTCAACTCATGCAGAGCCCATAACAAGAATTGCAATTAACTTGAACTAGACCTTTGTGGTATTTATCAAGGACGACAAGAGTGACAAGTTGTCGTTTGTAATTTGCATTGATTCTCAGGAATTCACATTTGTCGCATTATTTCTCGTTCTCACTTCTGGTCTCGGTCACTTCCATATGAAACTTTAACAGAACTGTGGCGTCGTGTCTTTTAGACAACTTAACAAAGTCCAGGAAATTGTGAATTAAGAAAATGAATTGAAATCAAAAACCTGAGCTTTATGATGCAAAGATGAGAGCCATAAACAATTTTCCATGTTATAAACTTTGAATGATCATGTTATGAAAAGAAGTTTAACGATTGCATCATCTGAAGTATAAAAATTCAATTACTTCTAGAATTATTTATTTGAGGCCTACAATTATGTTTATAAATTGGTTTTGATATTTAACGATTAAAAAAGTTCAAAGAAATTTTATTCTCAAATCTCTTTACGAAACTTTTATAAAGCATCATTGAAGGAAGTGGCAATTTATGTTGAATTGATTTGATCGTAGATGATTCGAGAATCTCAGAATTCTCTCATACAGTTTTGAGGGCGCTCTAACATCTTATCGAGATGTCTTTTAAAGATATTTACACAAAAAATAAATCAAAGTCAATATTAAGTGAACATTGTGCACATGCAGCGTCACATTTTCCACTGCACTTACATCAATTGAAGATGCTTATTTGAAGATAAAACATTTATTTATCAGAAGTTTTCATTTCTCACATTGTTCAAACAACTCTCGACAGACAATGCATTATTCTTGGTGTTTAGTCGCCTTCAATGTTGGTTTTTTTTTGTTGTGAAGATTCATTCGATTGCGTGCAGTGATGTGATTCATAAAGTGATCGTTGTGGCATCTTTTTGAAGGTTCCAAACACATGAAACTCTTCTTTTTTTTGAGGAGCCACAGCACATAAATTTAACAGTTAACTTCAAACAATAGCACCATCATAAGCAGTCATTATGTTTCATCTTCGATACTTCAAACAATGAAAATTAGAATGGCATTTATATTACTTACTCTGGTGCGATGCCTTCAAGCGTTTGTTTGCTGTTATAAAGAATTCTGCATTTACTGAGGTCAACAAATCGTTTAAAAAACTTTAAACACCTCAATTTCGTGTCGGATCATTTAAAAGATGAAATCTTGTCGTGATTTTTTGCATGCATCCATTTGTGTTAATTGTTTGTTGTGTGTGTATCGGCATGTTAATTGACACCAGACGAAAGTGCTTCAAAATTCAAACAAATCAAATAAAGTATTAAAAACGTGTCGCAAAATCGACTTGACGGTCATTCACACTTTAAATTTTACCTCGCACTTGATCAACCACCAACTTCTTAACTTCGTATCGTTTGACAGAAATCTTTTCGCTTTTATTCATTCGATTTAATAAAATTTTAGTTTTCGCAATAATTAAAAGCGCATTAATCATAAACTTTAAGTAAATGGAAAGTGAACGCAGATGAAGCTGGTTTTGGTATGACAGGAAATATTCACAAATGGAAACAAGTTAGCGACTGTTTAATTGCAAATTGTCAGATCGTCAAATTACGAATTGCTGTCAATTGTCAATTTCATTCCAATTTCTCTTCAGCTGCATTCAACATATAAAATACAATTATTCAATTTTTCAAATATGATTTAATAAAAGTTGAAGTAATTTTCATTTAATAGACGAAAGATGAATGACGTAATAAGCCAATTTGTGTGAAATGGGTTCAAATAAGTATAAAAAAATTATAAAATGTCTTACATGGATCGAATTAATCAATGTTCGCATATAGTTAGTTGCGCTTTGAGCGAGAATTTTTCGGTAATCTCTTTCACTCTAATTTTTTTTATATGTTTGCAAAATTGTGCAACGTGTGAATCAACGAGCACAATTGGAATGGGTTGATGAATAATGTGTTAATTCGCACAAGGCGCAACCAATTTAAGTAGAAGTACGTTGTTAATGCTTAGTCTTGATTCGCGAATAATAAAATTGATGCTTTCATGTCGTTCACTGATCGTTAAGTATAATTCTTATGCAAAAAGTTCATCAGCTTACATTTATTACTCACTGTGGGTGGTAAAGTGGAATCCCAACTTGGACAATTATCATATTAAAAGTTTCCGCAAATGTTCGATAACCAAACAACGAGGACAAATGCAAGATTATGTCAAATTTTTGCACAACTTCTTATCCCGAGATGTTAATTTTCTATTACCGCATAAATTGAATGAATAGAGAAAAAGGAAGAATAAACCTCAATGCATTCATTTAATCAATTAACACATCTTTTTCTTCATGTTAAAGACAATGCAAACTATTTGATTGCGCTGTAGGTGTCACACCACGAAGTTAATTTCACGCGTTATAAGCCGTTTAACCTTGTTATTCCTTCATATCTGTTGCGGCCACAATCAACAAACCACTCGAAACATGAATCGCTTTTTATTGTTCGCCACTTGATTTCGATTTATGATTTTAATTGGACAATCTGTCGTAGAAAGAAAGCGTTAATTAAATAGGAAAGCGAAAAAAAGGCATCAATAAAATCGCTCGTTTTTTAGGTGGTCCAAAATTATTGTGCAGATGATTCGACAATTTCTTTTTGAACGCAGAAAATGCGAGCATGAAATCGTAAAAGAGAGGAAAGCGTTGTGCGATGAATCTGCCGCAACCTCAACATAATTTGCTAAAGATGTTGAATAGAGCGAATCAAGTTACATTCGGTATGGGAATTCCATTCAAAATTCACCGACAACAAATCAGCAAGCATCGCAATGTGACGTTTGGTATGAGTTCTATGACTTCTTCTCCAACAATCTCAGTAGCGTCGTTAAAGAATTCACGTTCTCAGTTGATTTATTCACGAAACGTCCGACACTGAACAAAGTGAAAGGTGAGAGATTTCCCAACAAGCGATACGCTTAATTTATTGTGTGCTTTATTTATTGGGAGGAAAAATAAGAAAAGAAAACGAAGTCGAGACTTGCAAAGAACAAGTTCGCATGATGTTTCACTTGCCCTTTTCGTTATGTAGCGAATGCAATTTTAAGCGACTTAAGAAACTTGTTGACCCAAAAAAATAAATGCTGCGTTTTCTTACGTTTAAGTATTTCTTATAATGATTTACAAGTGAAATGATGCGATCGAAGGACAATTCAACTTTTTACACCTGAAGGCACTTGCTTGTCCATCGAAACAAAAAAGTTTCATTCTCATCAGTCATTCGGTAAATGAAAGCAGTAACAATTAATTAATACTGTTTATAGCAAGAAGAAGAAAAAGTGAAAACTCATCTTTAACAAGTTTTTAATGAAATTTAGCAGAGAAATGAAAGATGACAAAAACAATGGTTTAATGAATATTTTAATTAGGAAAAGTGTCTACGTAGAAGAAGTCTCCGCTTCCTCATAGTTATTTATGAATTCAAATTTTCCCATGCAGTCGCATTTCACCGGAAAACACTTTTTTTTCGTAAACGTGAACGCTTTTTTTATGAAATATGAAAGGTTAATCTGATAGGTTACGAAAAAAGATTTTTATGGAAGTTTTCACCTCTCTGGATGATGCAACGATGATTCTCATCTGTGAATCTTGGGAACGCTTTGCAAATTTCATGATTTAAGATTTGTTGATTTGAGTCGACGATTTGGAATGAAAAATAAAACTGAATTAACAAGAATTTTGTGGGACATTGCGAGAAGGAAAAAAACTTGAATTATGAGTGAGAAAGTGAGTGTGAGAGAGAGAAATGTTGACTTCCTGCACTGATGTTGACTGTCTTGTTATATCTTGACCGTCATCATTTAGAGAAGCTTTAAATTTTATCTGTTTACCTCGATTTACAACATAAATTTAAAATGAATTACGACAACATTTTTTATAGTGAAAAAGGTCAAATCTCATCCCTGTCAGTTCATCTCTCAAGTCACGTGTGAAAAATTACGAAATTTATTATTTTTATTAAAAATTCATGTGAAATAGCAAAACAAAATCTTAAACTTTATAAATTAGTTTCGATTGAAGTTTAAAGAAATTCAAATTTAAGTACACTAAATTGATCGACTTTACGATGCTTTTACAGCATAAAATTTGCATAAAATGCAACGATTGTCATATATAAATGAAAAGAAAAAATGAAAATCATCGTAAAATAAATAAAAATGGAGAAAATTGTTTAAATATTCTCGCAGGCACTAAGAAAAAGTTTTCTTCACGATTCTCATTCATCCAACTCTTCATCTTCAGCGACAACATTGTCACGATCAAACACGTCCGGCATCATCTCGTTTTCATCTCCCTTCTTCTCTTGAATCAGTTTCATATCTTCAGCTGTCTTCAGGCATTGGCGGGCCATGTCTATAGCTTTCCCTCTCGTCTCATCATTCAATTGCGTCAAGCCCATCAAAAGTTCCATGATATCAGTTTCAAAGATCTTCTCAGCAACATTTTTACTCTGCTTAATCATGTTGTGAATGATGACAGTTCCACGATATTGAACTTCCGGGCTCGGATTAGCAATGAGTGTATGTAACACTTCAAGCCAAGCTTTTGGAGTTAACATTTTCTCACAACATTTATCACTGACAGAAGTGAGAATTGCAAGAGCTCCTGCACATGCAAGTGCAGTTTCTTCATCTTCTTCTTCACAAAGAAGTGCCAGGAACTTAACACGATCATTGTCACTTTCATGATACTTCACGTATTCATCTGACACAACCATGTTGCAGATAACTTGAGCTGCTGCTCTCGTCAGAAGCATATGATCTTCCATAAGAAACGCTTCGATTCTTGTCATTCCTTGTTCTTTAATCAAACGACTTCGAATCGATTCATTGACACTCGCAAGATTACAAATCGCCATCAAAGCTTCAAAGTTCTCAAGCGCTGTATATTCGGCGTTAAGTTGATTGAGCAAAGGTCGAACAACTTCTAAAGTACGTTGACCAGGAAAAGCTTGTTCAGGATTAATCGTGATGCCCAATCGCGACAAAGCTTGAGCAGCATGTCTTCGGCCCATTTCGTTTCCTTTCAAAGCTAACGGAATCAGAACTTTTGCTCCACCTTGCTGAACAACTTTGCCACGTACACTTTGTTCAGCACAAATAGCGTTGAAGACACGTGCGATCATTTCTTTCGAGTTATCGCTTTCAGTTTTACATAAAGCAACAAGTGCTGTAGTGACGCCTTCATCTGCAAGCGCAATTACACGTTTCGCAATGAAATCAGCGTCATCTAAATCATGCTCTTCTGGCACATGATGTTTAGCGAATTTCGCAAGCTCAACAAGTTCGGGTAAGAGTTCCTGCTTCTCATAAGCATTGACAAGATTCACTAATGTTGTAACAACGCCATACAAAACTGATTGATCTCCACTTTTCGCAAGTTCAATGAGTGCTTGAATTGCCAATTTATCTTCAACCAACTTCTCTTTAACGTCAGCATCAAGTGTAAGGTAAGAAAGGCCTTCAGCAGCAAACTTACGAATGTCTTTATCCTTTCCAGGTTTGATCAGAAAACGTCGACAAGCTTCAGCAAGTTTTTTCGTAGATCCTTCAGCGAAAGGTCGAATCGAAGCATCAAGTCCACCTGAACTTCCGAGCTTACACAAACCAACAAGAGCACGAACTCGAATACCTTCATCTGACGAATGATACAATTTCTTTAAAATATCAACGCCCATGGTTACAAGAGCTTTCGCTTTATCTTTCTTCGACGCTGCTGCGATGAGACATTCGCATGCAACCTTCTGTTGCAACAAATCGTCATCTGTGGCCATCGCCAGAATCATTTGCATAATGCCTTCGCGTGCAAAAATTTGATTGCCAATGTCTAAAGGTCCCAAGAGAAGGGAAGTTATTGCAACTGCGACACGGACCTTCGACTCAAAGTCAGGATTCAAAAGTTTGTCCTTGACGAATTCTTCAACATGTGCGAAGAATTTCTGTCGCGCTTCATCGTAATACATGTTTTCGTAGATACGCGCAAGGCAAACTGAAGCAATAGTGCGGGAAGACGGTGTGATTGGCATCGCTGATTCATATTTATATTCTTCAAGTTCACTGCAAATCTCCAATAAACGAGGAAGTCCATTAATTTCCACTAACCGTTCAGCCCAACTTAAAGTTTTGTAATGAATATTTCTTGTCAACAACTCCACAACTGCATCGCGAGCTTCACCAGTGATTGTCCGATCAGTTGTCGCATACAAGAGACAAGTAAGCAAAGTATCGATTTCATTTTTGTTATCTTCAACAAGTTGTTGATCTGGTTTGGCATCTTCCTTATTAACAAGACCAGAAAATGAGTTCAGAATGACTTGCAAGCAATGTTGAGCAGCCATAACACGATCCGGGTTTTTACTGTCGAGAATTTGTAAGAACCACGGAATTCCGAGTTCTCGAATAATGTTTCGAGTATAATGCAAGGATTTCGTGCAAATGTCGTCGATTACACGAATAGCTGACACTAAAATTCCGTCATTTTTCTCCACTTTAAATAATTTACTGACTCGAGCAGCAATGCCTTCTCGAAACATTATATCAGCGCCAGCTTTCTCTCGTGCAAGCACTACAAGATTACTCATAGCAGTTTCACGTTTTGACTTCTCAGCACCGACGTCAAAAGCAATTTCAAACATTTTGCTCACTTTAGTTGAAGTTTGAGCATTCTGAGCCACACGATTTTGAACAATCAAGTGAAGTCTTTCCAGGATTGGTTGGATTGGTTTAAATGATGGATCGGTGTTCCAAATTGTTCTTGCATCTCTATATGCTTCTTCGAATCTTTCGAGTGCTTCCAAAGCTTGAGCTCTTCTGAACAATGCTTTTTGATCATTCGGTTGCAAGTCGAGTGACTTGGTACAATCATCATGAGCTCTCTCATATGCTTCGGTCTTTAAATAAGCAGCAGCGCGATTTTTATAGAATACTGGAAGTTCTTTATGTTTTTCACCAGTTTTGATTGCTTTCGTATAAAAACTAATTGCTTTATCCCATTCTGAGCGCTTAAATGCTTCATTACCTTTCTCTTTGTAAACACTCGGATCTTCGATTGTCTCAACCATTTTTATCTATCAATTGATAACAAATTTTACAATTTTTCTTAATTTTCTCGATAATTTCACAATAACTTACGATTTTCTTTCACTGCCTCGATCTTTTATAGAGATTTCTTTGAAGAAAACACGAGAACTTTCTAGAACATGCTTTTCATCTATATTTAGATGTGTGGAAATTTCAAAGGGGAAAACTCGTGAAATTTTTCCGAATGAATGTAAACAAAAACTGTTGTGAGATAAGTTGAAAGAATTTAGAAAAAGTTTAATACAATAAACACCAATAAGTTAATTTTTTACTTAATGTAATAAAAATTTCAAGTGTCTGTCGCAAAATATTACAGTTTTAATTTAATAATTTTTAAAATTCTGAGTAAAAATAATTTGTCATCTGCACTTAACTTTTTACAACTCCGAACGTCGCTCACAACATATGATGAGGCGAATTGGACAAATTGAATGAAATTGAAAACAAAACAGCGTGTTGCTCGAAAACAATATTTTGCTTGTAAGAAGTGAATAAATAAAATCAGAAAGACATAAACATCTAGAGATAAATCATGGCAAAAAGACCAGAACATCAAGCACCTCCAGAAATTGTAAGTGTTTTAAAATAAAATGATTTAACTTTGTTTTTATTTCTTATTTTCATATCTTTTTAGTTTTATAATGACGATGAAGCTAAAAAATACTCTCAAAAGTAAGTTAGATTTGCTGATTAACAACAAAAATATATTACCTAAATGTGAATGTAAATATTTTTTTAGTAGCAGAATAATAGAGATTCAAGGCGAAATGTCTGAAAGAGCTTATGAACTTCTTGTTGCTCCTGAAGACGAACCTCTCTTAGTTCTTGACATTGGTTGTGGCAGGGGATTAAGTGGAAGTGTTTTAGATGAGAACGGTCATCAATGGATTGGTATTGACATATCAAAATCCATGCTTGATGTAGCGCTTGAAAGAGAAGTTGAAGGCGATTTGATATTGGGCGATATGGGTGAAGGAATGCCTTTTAAAGCTGGAACTTTTGATGCTGCAATTTCAATATCTGCAATTCAATGGCTTTGTAATGCTGACAAATCACATCATGTGCCACATAAGAGACTTTATCAGTTCTTCACAACATTATTCGCATGTTTGGTAAATTTAAAATTTGCAGTTTATTTTAATAAATTTTATTAAAAAAATTTCTTTAATTTCTAGACACGTAGTGCTCGTGCTGTTTTTCAATTTTATCCTGAAAATGCTGAACAAATTGATATGATTACGAGTCAAGCAATGCGTGCTGGTTTCTATGGTGGAGTTGTGGTTGATTATCCAAATTCAGCAAAAGCAAAAAAATATTTCTTAGTTCTTATGACTGGTGGCAATCAAAAATTGCCCTCAGCACTTGGTGCAGATGAAGATTCGAGTCAAGTTCCATACTCAAGAAAACGTGAAATGACAAAAGGTATCAGAGGAAAAGATCCCAAGAAATCTCGTGATTGGATTCTTCAGAAAAAAGAAAGAAGACGACAACAAGGAGTTGAAACGAGAGCTGATTCAAAATATACAGCACGGAAGAGAAGTGGAAGGTTTTAAGTTAAAGAAATATTTGTTATTGATGAATTATTCAATTGATGAATAAAAATTCTTAACGTCTTTAAATTTGAATTTGAATTCGCTTTGATATTGTATAATATTTGTTTTGATTTCCTGCTGATATTTTTTTCATAAACATTTCAAATTTCAAGCAGTGGTATGCAAAGAATTAATAATGACCTGAGGAAAAGTCTAGGAAAAATCTCAAATGATATAATCTGTAGACGAAGCTTTGTGACAAGAACAAAAAATCTTTATGAAGTTCTTGGATTAAATCGAACAGCAACACAAGTAAGTTTAACTTATTTTTGAACGCGAAAAAAAATTTAAATGAACTTTGAAAATTTCTTTTCAAGGGCGACATTAAGGGAGCGTATTATAAGCTTTCAATGCTTTATCATCCTGACAAGAATGATAAAAGTGAATTAGCAGCAGAAAAGTTTCGTGAAATTACTGAAGCTTATGAAGTTCTTGGGAATTTTCGACTGAGAAAACTTTATGACAAAGGGATCTTTAATGTAAATGATGAAAGGTATAAAGCACATGATGAGCCCGAGAAAGAAGATGATGCTACTACAAGGTTTTATAAAGCAAGAATGAGGAAAGAACATCCAACAGCAGCTTCTGGTCGAACGCCAATTTATAATTTCGATGAATGGACAAATGCACATTATTCTAGGAGTTTTAGTAATCAACAAAGAATCAAATCTCGCGTTTACGAGAAAGCAACTCAGAGAAAAATGGAAGATAATACGATGCCAACTGAAAAAGTTATAATGTCTGTCTTCATATTAATTGTTTTTTTTTTTGCTATGCAACCAGAATCAATAGATGTTGATAACATTAGAAATAAGAAAAAGGAATCATAAAAATTGATATAGTGAATTCTCTGTTCGATAGTTTAAATTGCAATTCAAGTTGTAAATAATCTAAATTATTTTATTTCTTTAAACGCTTTTATTTTAAGAAGATGAAAACATATATTAAACATGCAGACGTTAAAATAATCAATTTTGGAGCATTTTTAATGCAAAATTTATTTGAATTACTCATGTTCGTTTGTGCGAGTCGAAGCTTTAGAAAGGAGGTCTGTAAACGGGTGGCATTGGCATCATTGGATAGGAAGGCATGTTGGGATATGGCGCAGGGTTTCGTTGATGTTGACCATAAAAATTGCCAGGACCAGGAGGATAGTTCGATTGTGCCGGCGGCCCATTACCAGTATTCCCTCTTCTTAATAACTCTTGCATTTTATCAGCTTTCAACTTGCGCAAATGCATTTCAATTCTCGATTCCTTGAACTTGTCAAGAAACTCTTCGATTGATGCGCTGCTTTCTAAAAAGTCTTCAGCAAATTTCTCACTTTTTTCCTCACTTTCAGCTGCTGAAGCTTTCAAAATATCAAGCATATTTTCAGGATTCACATTTGATGATTTTGATTCTATAAATCATACTAATTGATTATTTATCATAACATTTTTTTTATTTGATGACTCACTGATTTCCTCCAGCTTTGATTGAACACTTTGGCTCAGGTCTTTCCCTTCTTGTGTCAGATCATTTATCCTGGAACGTATTTCAATGAGTTTTGGTTCCATTTCAAGATTACTCTCAGCCAAGGTTCTGTTTTCGTTTATTATCACATCCTTTTCATTCTCTAATGATTTCAGCTAAAGAATATTCAAATATCTAATTAGAAAAAAGAAATATTTTTCTCTAAGGTTTATATTTACAATTTCATTGATTGTTTCATCAAGTTTGTCGTCATTACTGAATATTTCACGAAGTTCTTCAGTTGTCATGTAATTGAGCTGAGCACTTGCACTTGCTAGAAACGGCTGATGCATCTTGTTTTCTTATTTTTTCTGTAAAACACGTAAATATTACTTCAGAGCGAATTCATTGACAAAATAAAAGCGAATTTGTGGTGAAAAACATAATTTCCGCGTATAATGCGCAAAATAAAATAAAATTCAAATTTATTTAACAACACGTGTTTGATTTTTCAACCGTATTTTATTTCCCGATCAAATAATTAAATATACGTAAATTAAGCGTATTCATTAAATATAAAACAAATTAAGTTAAGTTCAGAATAAATTCAGCTTCTTAGTCTCCCAAAGTAATGTTCTTGATTCCTCTGCCATTTTCAATTAATAATTCTGATTGAAGGCATTTTTTATCATTCACATCGAGTTTGAAGGCTGCTTGTTGTTCCTCAATCATAAAATAACTTCTTAAACGCATAAATTCTTTACAATGTTTTGCATGTAACTCTGCAACCGACTCTAAGTCACCACCAAAATCTGATGGTAAACAACTTTTTGGAATGTGTTCTTTATAGAATTTCCCATAATCCATGCCTGATGAATGTAAATGTAGCTAAAGTTTGGAAATTATTAATATATAAAATAGATTGAAATAACTGAATGATGATGTTCACTTACACATTTGAGAATTTCGGCTTTCATGAAAGGCTTAATCATGGAAAGGATTTTGTCAAAGAAATAAACAACATTCAGCACATGAATAGCGCGCAACTTTCCTGGAACGCCTTCTTGAAGATAAGCAAAGAACTTCTTAATTGATGTCAAGTTCACTCGTGTTAAATGCATAAGTCCGACGCCTTTCATATCGAATAAGAAAATTGCACCATCTCTCGGGCCATGAAGTTGTAAGCATGACTCTGTTTAAATATTTTAGTTCATAAAACTCAAACAAGTTTATCGGTATCAATGAAATGTATCACCAATTGTCATGAAGAATGTTTTAATAGCCTCGTCGAAGCAATAGTCTGATGCCTTTGGGCTGGATAGACGGTGGAAAATAATGAGATCACCTTTTGGTGTGTTTGGCAAATAAAAATAATCTTGATGTTTGAGACACTGTTGAATTTTCGGATTTTGAGGGTCGCGATTTAAAAAATGTTCCGGCGAGTTCTTTTTGATTTGATAGTAAATTTTCATAACCCTTGCTCCCTCTTCAATACCGCCACAAGAATCCAGGAAAAGAAGAATCTACAAAACAAATAACAAGTTGAGAGATTTTCTAATAAATTTGAACTTCAAACTAACCTGTTTGTTTGTAATCGACTTTGGGACAATCGAATAACTTTCTACAATGTTTCTCAACGCATCAACATCTGCTTGCACGTGACCTTGCCTTTTCAGGGCTTCCATATAATCATATTCCAAGTCAAAATCCATATTGTGAAGAGTTTGTTTTGTACTCTGAATCAAAAGCTATGTTATTAATTCACTTGAACAAAAATCGTTTGAATTGACGCCAAAAAATCTAAAACTCAACTAAAATAAGAAGAAAACAAAAGACGAAATAAAAATTCATACATCAGATGTTGTAGATAAACGAGTTTCGGATGCAAAAATTGAAACGAGACTGCTCGTATTTCGAACTGACACAGATTGTATTGTCGGCGTCTTGAGAGAAGAGCGAAAGACCTCGACGATGACGCCAGAAAACGTTTCTTTCTATTCCATATTTTTTCTTCCCATTCACGGGTCAGTTGATGGTGAAAGAAATTTTATAATTTAAACAGGTAAAAGCTGTTATATGGTCACGTTTTTGGTAAAATTAAGCAATGGCATAAAATTAAACTTTCAGTTTCATTTAACAAGTTTTTCGCGTTATTACAAAAGTTTTATCTGTCTAACTCTTTTCCCCCAAATCCCGTCTTTCTCTTACGCGACAAAACAATTAAATTTTTCGTTTTTTTGTTCTTTGATTAAATGTGAAGTCATTTAAGAAGTCTTTTATATTAAAGTTCATTGATCTTATCTCAAATGAATGTGAAAATTATTGCATTTTAATATGGGAATAAATATCCATCGTTATGTAAATATTATGAGTAGAATAAACATATTCTGTATTTACACTAAAATGATATTCATAGCCTACACATAATAATAGATTTAAAATTTAAAGTGCTTCTAATCTTTCAACTTCTTGATGTTTACAAAACTTTTAACGTATGCACTGTGCAATATGAATGACCATGAGAAGAATAATCAGCAAGAGCATAAAACATTTGAAGAGCGTCGTAAAGTAATGAAATGAGCTGAAGCTAAATGACTAAATCGAGTGTGAAATATTTTTTCGCGATCTTTTTTTTATTATTATTAGTTGATTTGCTTATTGTTGATTGTTTTTCACACAAATTAGAAAATTTACATTCGATGTTATAGAAACCGGCATTTTATATCAAAGTTGATAAATAATAAACGTGTGTAAATGTTACAATTCTCAAGCAATATTATCTACTTGTACATTTTTGTTAAAAAATATCATCAATTGTGATAATTACAATATTTTCCTGTCATTTTTTTCTCTCTTGATCTACTCTAATTGAGTTCAAAAGTCTGAAACAATCACAGGTAGGAATGAAACTTCAAGATCACAATGCTTTAACTATTTAATCATGCTTATAAAAAGTGACTGAACTTGAAAGAGAAGAGTTCAATAAGTATTAAGTGAGATGTGTGTGTAAACTTGCATCGAAGCTATTTAAATGCTGCACTTGAAACAAAAATCATATCGTCATTGACAACCATGCAATTACAAATCGAAAACACCAAGTGCAAAGATTTATGCATCATAAACATCATGAAGTATTTTTCTTGACTACACAACATAAAATGAACGAAGTTAAATTTTGAGTAACAAATTTTGAACACTTCAGAATATTTCTGTCTGATTCTGATCACTTTCCATTCTACAAGTCAGCAAATCCAAAGAATTTTATAAACAAAATTTATTGCAATTGTTGTGATTATTGCGCATTTATAGCTTCAAACTAAAGTAGTGATGGATGAACCAATTAAATTTGTTACCTTTACTACCTACATATTTGTACTCATTAAAAAAGTTTATGTCTTGGTTTTAATTTAAAAACAGAAAATGCTAATGAAAGTGAACTTTTGACTTTCAATTATTGATGGGTAGATAGTCGCTGCCTGATTTTAAAAAACTAAATTTCCTTTGTCTATCTGATAGAATGGCTGAGCGCACAATAATTCACCTTCAGATTAGAATCAGTTTTATAATGTTTTCCGAATAATTTTAATGTTAATGTTGATATGATGCAAGCAGCACTCTGGTCAGGAGACTAACATGTACAATAATTTCCTGATTTAAGCTTCGAGTGATTATGACAAATGGAAAAGAATTTTGTCATTCTTACTGCATTTTGAAAATTTGTTTAATCATATTCATTAAAAATTTGCTAACAAAGCTATGAAATTGTTCTTTCTGACTTACTTCTCGTCAATATCACTTGAATTTATAAATTTAATTGTAAGTTTTTGTGTAAATGTTTGATATCTTCTTCCAATATTTAAACTAATCAAATTTTTCATCAAGTATGTTTCGAAATGATCATAACAATTTCTGATGGACGCAAAATTCTAGAATTTGTTTTATAACGAGACATTTTTTATTTATGACTATCTAAGTGCTAATTATTATGAAAATCACGCTCATTACTATCGATTTTACTTGTCTGTCGTAAAACGTTGAAAGAATTCACGGAAAAAATTTTAAACCAAATTCCCAATTCACAAGTTAAGATGTTTAGGTGGTAGCAATGTCTAATAAATTAATAATATTTACTTTCAAACAAATACTCGGATTTTTTGGAATTGTATTCTGTTAAGCTTGAACGCCGAATGTAAACTGAACTGCCTTCGAATGATGGGAACTTTTGTTAAAGTTTTACTTTATTTCTCTCTCTTAAGCTTCTCTCAAATTCAAGTATTGTTAACAGGTGAAATGAGTGGATATGCATGCATTCATTATTATGTGATCAGAAGTGTTTAATTTTTGTATTCATTATGGTCAAGTTCAAGCATACATAAATGCATGGAGACAGTCGGAAATAGTTTAATGTTGATTTCGTTTGTTAATTCCATTTAGTGAATCATTTGATCGATTTCATAAATGTTAATAAATTTATTGATAAATTTTATTATTCGAGGATGGTTTTTGTCACTCAAACTACATACGAGATGAAGCTTACGATCAGAAATCATAATAAAATCTTAATTTTCTATTAATTAAAGAAACGACCTGAAAATTTATTCATTCACATTTTTTTTGACCATATTATAATTATCATTCAATATTTATTATACGATATCATTACATTTTATCTTGTCATGTCTCATCATAGATCTATGATCATCTGTGATACTTTTCTAATTGAAAACTCATAAAACATTTAGTAGGCTCCAAAACCTCTAACAGTTTATTTTATCGAATGATCATTTGTAAAAAAGCTTTATCATTACAAAACTAAACACAAAAACTTTAACAAACATTTTATCTTTTTAATTACTAACATTCTCTCGACGATCTTCATAAACGCACCATTCTTCGATCATAAAATAATCTTTCAACTCTTTCAACTGCTCCAAATTTTTTCTACTCAATTCTTCGACAGATTCTAATTCACCACCGTAATTAGAAGGTAAACATGATCGTGGGATGACAGTTTCGTAGAAATTTTCCCAATCAATGTCGGCGTAATGTAAATGAAGCTAAAAAAAAATGAATCATAAAATTCAATGAGTCTGAAATGAGTTAAAATTTTTACTACCAAAAGTTTGAGTTCTTTTCTTGCAAACGGTTTCATAATTTTCATTATAAGATCATAAAACGGAACAGCATTAAGAACATGAAACGCGATAATTTTTTCAGGAGCTGCATCCATTGCAAACTTTAAAGATGTTTTCATGGTTTTGATATTGATTCTTGAAAGATGCCACAATTTTCCGCCCGCCATATCTACCAGGAAAATTATTCCTTTTTGTGGGCCTAAAGGATTATAATCAAAAAAAGTATTATTAATGAAGCATCCGATTAAAAAAATTAATTATTTCCATTTTACCTTGTCTTAAAAAGGTCGACTCTGGAAACGAGTTTATAATTTTAAATGCGAATTGAATTTTTTAGCGGACGAATTCCGGTCCATAGCAGATGTTATCAATGCAAATAAATAAATAAAATGTAGACGTTATATATATTAATGATCTATATCATAATAAAAGCTTTTTAAATTATTTTCAATGAATGGAACGGTATCTCAAACAATTAAAAGATTAAGATTTTTTCCATTGAAATTAAGATGATCTTAGGTAAAACGTACAACTAAACAAATAAAACTCAAATGTCGTTGTATTAATTAATAATTATGCAAAAACTTGAATGCTATCAACTAAATTATATATCATGAGACTAGCTTTACAAACGGAAAACTTTTTCTGCGAGATTCTTTGAAAATTTAAATGTTTTGATTGAATGTTCTTAAGTTGCTCTTCAGAATGTTTCACCAAGTGATTTTATAGAATTTTTTTTAAAATTTTATAAGCAATATATCTAACAACAAAAAAGCAAACTTATTGAAAATTTATGCAAGGATTTATCATCAAAAACCTTAAGCTCAAAACAAATGTTTGATTTTTTAAAGAAAACGATTATTTTTTGTTAAATTTGTTGAAAATGAAAAATTTGTCAGCTTATCATTGAATGGAAAAAGATTTCAAATAAATTTTCACATGCAGGAATCTCAAAAACTTACCTATCGTCATATAAAAAGCTTTCGCAATCGAATCGAAATGAAAATTTTGCACTTCAGTATTTCTTAAATTCCCAAAACAGACGCTGTACCCATCTGGAGTGACTGGAAGGTAGAACATGTTCTGGTACATAAATGTCCTTGCCATTTCATCTGAACATGGATCACGATAGCGAAAGACTTCTGGCGATTGTAATTTCAATTTGAAAATCAATTTAACTCGTTCAAAACAGTCTTTAACGTCTCCATCATTTGCCAAAAAGACTGCAAGCTGGATGGGAAAACATGATTCGATTATCAAATTACTTATAACTAACTTCTTATTTTTTATGTAGGCAGTCAAAGACAATAAATTTTTTTTTTGTCTTTTGTACAAACAATGATCTTTTTTATTGTGAAAACATTCTCAAGATGTTTGTTGATAAAACAAATCTTGAATTAAGATGTCCTTGATTAATAAACATTCACACAAATTGAATTTATCATAACAATAAGTAATGTAATTTAACTGACATGTTTTTCAGTGACACAACGTGGTATCCACTTTTCACTTTCAACTAAATCACGCAATTCTTTTAATTCATTTTCTGAACGATTTATTGTTTTGAGTGCTGTTTTTAAATCGAAAGCCTTTTCCATCAATTCATCGACAGTTTTTTGATAAACTTTACGAAGCTCCTCAAATTTTTGATCATCGTCCATTGCGTCCGTTTTTATTGATTGCTAACAAAGAACTGAAAATTTAAACCAATTAAGATTTTAAGCAAAGACTCAGCGAACCATTTTTTTCTTTTCGCTCTTCACAACTACCATGATATTTGATATGAATATTTTAAAAACATGTTGATGTATATATAAATAAAATATATTTAAGTAGATAATAAATCAAGGAAATGTAATTTTAAATTACTTATTAATTTAGTAATTTATTCTTCCTCTGTTGCATCATAAAATTCGTCATCATTATCATCATCATCGTCATCATCAACAACATTAAGATCATCAAGTTTATCCTCATATTCAAAATTTGTTTGTCTTTCTTCATCCAAGAAGTAAATCCGCATATCATGAAGAATCTTCCGATTCTGTTCATGCAATTCTGTTACAGATTTCAATTCACCACCATAATCTGAAGGCATGTGCGATCGTGGAATGATGTTGTTGTAAAAATGTTCCATATCATGAACCAAATGAATTCTCTCAATAAACTCCTTCTTCAAGAATGGTTTGATCATGGCTGCAGGAAAGAAAAGTTAATTTGAATAAATTTTCTAATTTTAATTTAATGATTTCTTATGTTTTCCCAATTCCCAAAGCCAACTCAAAAACTAGTTTGTTTTAAAATAAAGTTATGACTGCGAAAATCGTAGTAATTTTCGCTGAATCACAAAATTTTACGCTTTGATGAAGAAAGATTTAATTAAAAAAAAAAACTTACAGAACACAACATCCATGAAATATGGCGCGTTCAAAATAATGATTGATTTTATATTCATTGGACTTCCATATTGAAGAAACTCCAGTCCCTTCTTAACTGATCTGATTGATGCTTGGAATAAGTGGCCAAACTTACAACCTTCCATGTCGTAGATAAAAATCGTTCCATCTCTTGGACCATACCGAAACAAACAAGCCTCTGTTGGAAATTAAATGACGAATTTCTAGTCATACAACTTCGTTAAGATATTCTTAAAAATCTTCTTTATTTTTTTTAAGAAGTCATCATCAGCAATCATTACCTGCAGTCATAATAAATGTTTTTACTGTAGTATTAAACTCATAAAGTTTAGGCTCGTGATTTGAGAGTTTATGAAATACAGCATGGCAATTGTTTGGTGTTACTGGTAAATAGAAGTAAATTTGATTCTCAAAAGCTCTTTGAATATCATCCGAAAGAACATCACGATTGAAAAAGAACTCGGGAGTATTTCTTTTCATTTTGTAGTAATGATGAAGCCATTTTGAGCTTTTCTCAATGTCGCAATTAGTGTTTATGAGGAAAAGAAGAAGCTTGAAATAAGATAAGAATAAAAACCTTGTGTTGGTTTTTAATTTTAATTTTTTAATATATACTTGCTTGTCATGAATAAATCTCGGAATCTGTTTCGAGCATTTTGTCATTTCTCGCAGCTGATCCACATCTGATTGATTCACTTTTAAACGTTTCAAAGCACTTTTATAATTGTAAGCACATTTAATTTTTTCTTGAAAAGATGAAAGCATTTCTATGAACTGATCACTCGAATATTCACATAAAAACTGATTTAAACTCTTCTAAAATGGTTTGTTGAGTTAGGAAGAATAGACATTGTAAAATGTTAGCATTCATCTCATGGGCATGTTCTGACTTTGAAATTTAGATACACCATGACCAAGACTTTACTTTCTGAATCAGGTTTATAATGAAAATTGCGACCTTGAGCTTTTGATAAATAAACAAAATATAAACCAGACTGTAAACTTGTTTTTCCGGTAAGTTTTTATTTAATCTTTTTTGTTTTAATTCCATTTTCGTTTTTTTCTTATTTAGTGAGTTCTTCTTCGAAATCTTTATCAACTTCGATCGTTACATTTCCCTTGCAGAAATCTTTAATGTTACATTTTAGGTACATAGGATCCTTTCTGTATTCCTCGTAAGCTTCTGCATATTGATCGCCTTCAAAATTCACTTGTTTCTCTTCCATCAGAAAATAATTTCGCATATCTATAAATTCTTTACGTTGTCGATTATGAAGCACTTCGACCGATTCCAAATCTCCACCATAATCAGAAGGCAAACATGATTTTGGGATGTGCTTTTCATAAAACTCTTCGAAATCCATGTTTGATGAATGAAAGTGAATTTTACTCATCATTTCTGCCCAGATGAAAGGCTTCACCATTGAAATAATTACATTTAAGAACGGTGGACAGTTTAAAATGTGAATCGCTTTGACATTCAATGGACTTCCTTCTTGTAAAAATTTCATTCCTTTGAAAATTGAACTCATGCTAACACGAAAGATGTGCCTGAATGAAGCACCAGTTAAATCATTTACGAAAACTGTTCCGGATCTTGGGCCATTCCTATAAGCATATTCTTCAGTTTTCATGATGTACGTTTTGACTGAGTCTTCAAAATTGTAATCCTTGGGATCAGTGCTTCTGAGCTTTTGTAAAATTACATAATTGTCATCAGGAGTAACCGGAAGTCCAACAAAATAAACTGAATCAAAACAATGTTGAATCTTTTTATCTCTAACATCACGATTTACAAAGAATTCAGGTAATGTTCTTTTAATGACGTAGTAATTTTCAAGCTTATCTGCAGCTTTATCATAGTCGCCTTCACCACAATTCAGAAAAACCAGCAACTTTAAAAGAAAACAACTTTAGATGCAGCTTTGATGTTTAAATTTATACCTACTTGTGTATCAACCAAAAACTTTGGCACTGCTTCCTTTAATTTTAATTTCTCTCGATATCTCTCAATGTCATCCCTCGTCATATTTATACGCTTCAATGCATCGTTATAGTTGTAAGCATTTCGTTGAATATCTTGGAAAACTTGCACTGCTGCTGCCATTTTTATCAACCAACCTTACAATGCTTTGATTATCAACTGATGTTATTCAAAAAAAAATCGGATGTTGCTTCTTTTTTTAAAAAAACACACACAGATTCAGAGGGGAGGTTAATAAATATCATCACGGATGGATCACGAACAACTGGTTGGATAGTTCTATAAAACTTGTCATGGGCTTTTTCAAAATCTTCTTTCTTTGTATAGATGGCAAAGGATTTTCATTTGGTGATATTTTCATATCAATTCATGACTACAGATGAATGAAATTCAAAATATATTTCACGTCATTTGCTTTGCTATAATATTTAGTAGTGGTTCGACTCGATTGGGTTTTAAATTTCAGTCAAGTCGCTTGTAAACTCGAGTCACCAAAACAAGTCAAGTCAGCCGAAAACAGGCAAATCAGACAGTCAAGTAAAATTGAGTCGAACCCTGTCAGATACTAAGCTGAATGTAACAAAACAACATTTAATATTCAACAGTTGTAGTAAAAGTTTCACTAAAATACTTCCAAATATAAAGCCACAATTTTCAGACAGAAAAATTCAGTAAATGATAAAATCAAAACTTTCAAAACTAAAACCAAAAATATTTAGAGACACCGGTGTTTGTTTTTCTTTCGAAACGAGTTTTTCTAATTTATTAATTTATAATTTTTTGTTTAGATATAAAATGATCTTCAGCCGCTTACAATTTTTAAGTGGCAGAATTAATTTTTGCCTTTTATAGAATTATGTTCTGATAAACGATCAATTTCATTTGCATTTGCATCCTTCTTTGAGGATTTTTTCATTAAATTTTTAGGCGATGTTAGTTGTTGATTTTCCTCGAATATAAAGTAATCGCGAAGTTCCATGAGTTCCTCTCGATGTTTTTTATGAAGAACTTCAACAGATTCAAGGTCGCCTCCAAAGTCTGATGGCAGATGTGACTTTGGGATGCACTCTTGATAGAATTTCTCGTAATCCATGTTTGATGAGTGGAAATGAAGTTTGCTTAAAATCTCTGACCTTATGAATGGTTTAACTAACGCTATTGAATTGAATTCTTTAGTTTTCAATCATTTCAAAAATAGAATTTAAAATTACCAATTATCGAATTAAAAAATGACACAGAATTAAGAATGTGAATTGCTTTGATGTCAAAAGGATTTCCATCTTCAAGAAATCTTATTCCTTTACGAAGTGAACTAATAGCTGGTTGACGTAAATGGCTCAAAGATGCACCAGTTAGGTCAAATACAAAAATTGTACCCGACCGTGGCCCATGGCGATATGCGTAAGCTTCTAAATATGAAAACCTTAAGAAATTTAATTCAATCAAAAGCTTAGAATTTTGTCTTACCTGATGTTACAATAAAAGTTTTCACTGCATCATCAAAGACATAATGTTTAGGTTTGAAGCTCGATAACCTGTGAAATATTAAAATGCAATTGTCGGGAGTGATGGGAAGTGCCACATAATCTTGATGATCTAATGATTCTTGAATCTCACGATTTTGAAGATCGCGGTTTTTGAAGAACTCAGGACTGGTTTTCTTCAACTTATAGTAGTTGTTCAACATTTCTGCGCTTTTATCGACATTTCCTTGAAATGCGTTTAAAAAAAGAAGAAGCTGACAAGGTTCATAAATAATTTAGTGAAATTATCAGTGAAAATTAAGCAAAATTTTACCTGCTTATCAAACATATCTGTTGGCACATATTTTGATTCCTTTATCTTTTCCCTTAATCTTTCAACATCTTCGTGTCTCAAGTTTTGACGCTTTAAAGCTTCTTCATAATCGTAAGCATCTTCAATTAACCGATTCGCTAACTCTGCCATTGTTTCTTCCGATGAATGTCTTACATCTAATTCTTTCGGTGATTTTCATTAAACTGATCATCAACAAGCTTGACAAATATCGCGCTTAAAGATATAAAATCGAAATCTTAACATCATCAAATATATTTTTTGGACCTGAGACAACTTCAAACCTGAATTTGTTTCATAGTGTGGAGAAAAAAAACTTGAAGAATGAAATCATTGAAAGTTTGAAAGAAAACTTTTTCCGCCATCATCAAATCCAAGTTTGGCTAGGAAATTTTCCATTCTCAATTTCAAACATTAATTTGTATCATGAACAGCATGTCAGTCATATTTATTGTCGTCATTTTAATGAAGTGTTAATTAACTTCAACTTAAGACTTAAATATTTTATTAAATATTATTTAATGTTACTTTTATTTAAAAGTCCATTTTTGAGTATTCATTTAAATATTCGTCGGCATATTCATCAAATTTAAAATTCGATTGCATCTCTTCCAAGTTGAAATAATCTCGTAGATTCATTAAAATCTGTCTTTGTTTTTCATGTAATTCTTTGACAGAACAAAGTTCACCACCAAAATCTGAAGGGACGTGCGATTTCGGGATGTGTTCTTCAAAGAACTTCTCATAATCTAAGTCAGATGAGTGAAAGTAAACTCTGTTGAGCAACTCTGAGCGCACCAAAGGTTTGACAATTCCTGTGGAATTAAAACTCTCATAAAACATTTTTCTTAAATAATTTTAATATTTCTTACCAAGAATCATTTTGAACACCATTCCAGAATTTAAAACATGAACTGCTTTCATTTGAATTGGCATTCCTTCTTCGACTAGCCTAATTCCTTTTCTCATTGAACTTATACTTGGTTTAAATAAATGCATAAAGCCAACTCCTTGAAGATCAAAGAGAAAAACAATTCCCGACCTCGGTCCATTATGGAAAAAAGATGATTCTGTGGGCGTTGATGAAATTAGATTGATTCATTATAAACTTGAAATTTAATATTCAAACCTGTTAACATTATAAAAGTTTTTGCAGCTGAATCGAAATTGTATTTGCTTGGATCATTATTTGATAAACGATGAAATATTAAATGACAATTATCCGGTGTTAATGGCAGCGCTACATAATCTTGATTGTTTAAACAATTTTGAATTTCTTCCGATTCTACATCACGATTTGCGAAAAATTCCGGCGATGTCTGCTTAATTTGATAATAATTGTGAATAAGTTTTGCACTTTTATCGACGTCACTTTTACATGCATTAAGGAATAAAATAAGCTACAAATTTAATTAAAAAAATTAGTCTGATATTTTCTAAGGCCACCAAGTAACTTACTTGATTATCAGCTATAAGTTTCGGCACACATTCAAAAGTTTTTACTTTTTCTCTTAAAGCTTTCACATTTTCTTGTTTTATTTGTTCACGTTCCAACGCTTCTTTGTAGTTGTATGCGCTTTCAATGATTTGCTTGAATTTGGATACCAAACTACTCATACTAAATTTTGGACCTCGAAACTGTGAGAAAAATTTAACAGTTGTGCTTCATTCAACTCACAAACTTGAACTGAAAACATTGAAAAAAATGAGAGGAAGGTGAGTGGAGGGAAAGTTAAAAGAAAACTGGAAACTCTTCAAATAAACTCAGAAATTATGATGAATAATTTGTGGGAAATAAAAAAGTTTTATTAGAGATTTGAGGAAGTTTTGCACTCATCAGAGTCAGGTTTATCAAAATCATAATCTTCAAACTCAAAGTTTAGTATCCGCTCTTCCATCAAAAAGTAATCTCGCATTTCTAAAAGTGAGTCACGTTGACTGTTATGCATTTCTTCAATTGTGGGAAGATCTCCACCGTAATCCGAGGGCAAACATGATTTTGGAATCCATTCTTCATAAAATTTATTGTAATCCAAATTCACAGGGTGAAAAATAACTCGTTCTAAAAGATTTGATCGTATAAGAGGCTTGAGCATAGCTGTAAAGAAGAAGGTCTTAAAAGTCACATAAATTTATGAAATTGATTAACACTCACCCATGATAACATCAACAATCGTTGTTGTATTCAATACATGAATGTTTACAATCCTAAATGGGCACGAGTCTTGCACCAATTTCATGATTTTCCTTAATGAACTGAAGGATGGTCGAAAGACATGACCAAGACGAGCTCCTTTCATGTCAAACAAAAAAATCACACCGTTTCGAGGGCCATTGCGATATATACATTTTTCTTAAAATGGAACAAAATAAAGATAAATTTCTAGTTAAGGTGACAAAGTGACGTTTAAGTCTTACCAACTGTCATGAAAAAAGTTTTCTCACTGTCATCAAAATTGTAATTCTTTGGATCAGAATTAGCAACTTTATAGAGAATTAAATTGCAATTATTAGGTGTAATTGGTAGAGTGACGTAAATCTGGTTGTTCAGTGTTTGTTGAACATTTGGCGAATCAAAATCCCTGTTGCCGAAAAATTCTGGCGTGCTTCTCACAATTGTACAATAATTCTTAATAACATTAATACTCCTATCGATGTTATTTTTATAAGTTATCAAGAACAACACTAGAACCTTATCCATCAATGCATTTGGCACTTCATCACATGAAAGCAGCTTCTCTCTGAATATATCGACATCTTCTTGAGTCAAATTGTGATCTCGCAATTCCTTTTCGTAATCAAAAGCCCCAGCGAGTAACTTTCGAAATTTCCTTTTAACTTCGGGATCTGACATTGTTCGATTTCAAATTTAAATCTTTTTTATTTAATGAGCTTTGCTCATGAACACATTGAACCGATAAAAGAATGAATGATCTTTTACGTCCGAGTTCCAAAATCTTACTGACACTCAAACCTGGTTCAAGCTAAATTGCTTTTTTGATTTTTTCGTCTTATTTTATTTAAAAACTGGAAATTCAACTTATTAACTTTTTTCTGAAACTGTGTTATCGAATTTCGGCGAGAGGTCGTGGACAAATCAAAATTTGTTATGAAGTTCACTAAAATATTGAACGAGTTGAGGTCTTCAATGACATGAGAAGTAAAATTTCATGAACAGTTTGATTTATTAATAGGCGAGAAAAGGAATCTTAAATGATTGACATCGTAGGTTTAAAGATTCATCACATTTAATTTATTTATAATTTCTTTAAAAAGTTACAAAATGTCTTCAAATTTTTATTTATGCAAATTTAATCGAAATTCATCTGTTCCTAAAACTAAATTAAAATATCTTCTTCAAATAATGTAATTAAATTTATTTTCTCTCTTTCTCTCTTAGTCCAATTCCAGTCTTGATTGTTTGCCTTCCACTGAAAAGAATTCTCTCATTTCCAAGAGATCGTCGCACAGCTGTTTATGTAAAGATTCAATGGAACCACAAACACCACCAAACTCTGTTGGAAGTGAAGATCGCGGCACATGTTCAGCAGTAAACTTTTCAAGATCAAGTGATGACGAATGAAGATGCATCTTCACATTCAACATTGTAAATTAATAATTATTTACTTATTCATCATAAACAAATAAAATTTACCTTCTTAACGATGTCTCCATCCATGAATGGTTTAATAATCGCCATTACAAGATGAAAAAACGAAACTGTGTTGAAAATATGAATGGAATGAATTTTGTAAGGAATTCCCTCTTGCAAGAACGCTAAGAATTTCTTCATCGAACTCAATTTATTCCGCAACAAATGGCCAGCGTTGAAATTCTTCATGTCGTAGAGAAGAATCAAGCCGTTGGTTGGTCCGTGTTTGTACACAAGAGCCTCTACAATGAATGTCAAGAATGTACTTAATATCGAATAGGGAAAGATTGAATGTGTTACCAATCATCATGAGAAAAGAGGTTGCTGATGGATCATAAACATATCTCTTAGCGATGGGACTCGACAATCCATGAAAAGCCACGGCATAGCCATCAGGTGTACAAGGTAAGTTCAGAAAATATTGATTATCCAAACATTGTTTTATCTCCGAAAGTTTTGCGTCACGGTTTGTAAATATCTGCGGTGCTTTTTTTCTTATTTCATAATGTTTAACGAGTGAATCTACTGCATTATCAACATCACCTTCAGCATGATTCAGAAATAAAAGAAGCTAAAATTAATTATCAAAATTGTTTTTAATTAATAGAAAGTTCAACTTTTATATCTTCAAAAACATTTACTTGTTTATTTGTCAACGTTTTTGGGACAAGTGATAAACTTTTAACTCTTCCACGCAACACATCAACTTGAGATTGAGTTAAATTACTTCTCTTTATTGCATCGTAATAATCGAACTTGTAATCAACGTTCATATTTACTGCTTATAATCTTCACGGATTGAGTGTTAAAATAAGACTGGTGATGCTTCCAAAGCTTCTCTCTCAACTTTGTTTTATTGAATTACGCAATAATCTTTTTTTTCTGTTGAATAACGTATGAAGGCACAAGAAGGAAAAAATCATCTTGGATCACAATAGCACTTATAACATTTGGAGACTAAGAATCGAACAACAACTCTTAATGAATGAAAGAAATCAGTAGAAGGAGATTTATTGAATAACATGAAAAAAAATCTTTCAAAAGCCATATTGAACATTTGATAGTCAAAAAGTTTCTTAGAATCAACAAATTTTTAGAATATTTTTCAAACTAAAAGCTTCGGCAAATATTTGCTGTTGAAATGTTCACAGAAATAAGCTTTATTGTGAATAAGTTTTAATTAATGTACATTTTTTTCACTAATGAATAATTAAATCCGCTTCCTTGTCACCTTCGATAAAATAATTTCGTAGTCTTTCAAATTCCAAGACGTGTTGCTGATGTAATTCTTCAACTGATTCTAAATCTCCACCTAAGTCTGATGGGAGACAAGATTTCGCTACAAAATTTTGATGAAAATTCGTAAAATCTGTTCCATGATGCAAATGAATCTAAAAAATTTGATTATATGAAATTTATTTTACATTTGAAGAAGGCAAAGAAATTTCAAACTTTTCGAATGATTTCACTCTTCATGCATGGTTTAATCAATGCTAAGACCATGTCGAAAAAGGAAACACAATTGACTACATGCATGGCTTCTAATTTGGCAGGTAAAGCTTCTTGAAGAAAACGGAAATACATTCTTAGCGATTCGATACTCGGCCGAAGCAGATGTCGCAAGCCCACGTTTCTCATATCAAAGACAATTATCAAACCTTTTGATGGTCCACGAGTACATAAAAGAGAATCTGAAATTGAAATTCATCACATCATTCGTTATTAGCATCAAATGATTTTTGCTTCTCCTATTGCTTCCATTATTCGTCACTTTAAACTTTGTTACAATCGTTCATTCGATTAAGCTTGTACGTGATGAAATATGGAAACGTTTGAAATGAGTTCTCTTTCTCACAAACCTATTGTCATGAAGAAAGTCTTGCAGGCTTCGTCGAAAATGTAATTGGAAGCCTTGGGGTTCGATAAGCAATGATAGATAACTGAATACCCTTCCGGAGTGTTGGGTAGATGGAAGTAATATTGATTTGCAAAGCACTGTTGTAATGCTGGTGAAAGTGTATCACGATTAGAAAAGATTGATGGGCAAGCTTTACGAATGTCATAATAAGCTGATATCACATTTGCAGCATCATCGATTCCATTACACGCACTAAGAAAGCACAGAAGCTAAGTAAATAAAAAGATTAATCTTATTAAACTTCATATCGTTCTTCAGTTTATTTTTCTTCTCTTTCTTTATTACTCTTTTCGAACTCAAATTTTTTGGCACATTTTCAATCTGTTTGACACTTTTCCGAAGTTCTTCCACTTCCGAATCTTTTAAATTTTGTCGCTTTAAAGCTTTATTGTAATCGAACTCCATGTCGGCGACACACATTTTATTCTTCTTTCTCAACAACTTCCCGTCGGGCAAGTATGAAGTAAACTAATAATGAATATTTTTAAAATGCAAGATTTGTTGTAATTTTATTGATCTTAAGAGTGCAATGGTACTGCAGAGAAGAAAACATGAAAAACCGCTTTCAGCTTCAACTAATTCAATATTGTATCAATATTACAGCAACAGTGCAATTGCAAGATGCCAATTACTCAAATTGTCTCATACTTGTTTAGATTTTCATGGCTATACTTATCGGTTTAACTTGTTATATAATATTTATTAGAAATTCTTTTGTTTATTTTTGTTATCAGCACAAAATAAATGAGCTAATAAATCAGAATATTGTTAACTTTTTTTTTATCAGCAATGAATGAAATTCATATAAATATCTTTTATTCAAAGTCATGCAAATGTCGAATGGATTTATTTAATCCTTGAACTCCTTTTGGAACATAAATTAATGTTGCAATTAGGTATATCTATCTCATGTATGTAAAATAAAAACGCTTTAAAAATTGTACAAGCCAACCTAATATTTCATCAAAAATTCGCTTCTTTCTTATGCCAAAATTTAATTGAATCAAATCAACTGATGACTGTTTATATCTTTTTTCAAACTCTCACAATAATTTACAACCTACAAAAAGTGTAAAAAATACTACAAGATACAAAACTTTCAATGCAAGCTCCAATAAACAATTTTTCATTCAACAAAACTAAATATCTATTTACGAAAAAGCTTTTTTTCTTGTGAGCAATTGATAAGTTTTCAAATATCTATGAGCTCAAAAAAATGTTTAAATCGGAGAAACTTTATAGATGAAGGTCTGAAGTAACTGAATTAAACGGCAGCAAAGAGACTTTTATAAGGTAATAAAAGATGACCTTGAGTAATACACCTGCAAAAATATGTTTGATGTAGCACCTGAAGCACTATCTTCTTCTCCCTTCAATGTTCAGCAATTATCAAAGCTTTTAAATGTAAAGTTAATGAAGTTGTCCCTTATTTCCTTCCATTTAACTTTATTGAAATCAGAAGTTGAACGATTTTTGTTATTGCCAACTACACGTCGTAAAACGATTACATTTGAAAGGAAATCATTTCTTTATTTCGCTTAATCTTCTTCAACATCTCATTACATATCGCATGATTATAATAGAAAAAGAAAGCAAGCTGGCTTCAATATTACCTTTTAGTCAAAATTATATATTATTTTAGTAGTGCTAGTTGAGATACTCGTACATACATTTCTTCAATGTTGGAAGCGTAAAGTACTGTCGAAAAGATTTTGTAAGCAAAAATTCGTAACACAAGCCCGCGAGTTTAATACACTCAATGTATTTATGTGTTTCCTTCAATTCACTTACTCGTTCAGTTTCATCGTAAACGCTGTGAAGTGAACACTGCATAACCAATTGCTCACCGTGGTACGTTTAACAGTTGCATAAAAAAAAAGAGAAAATAAAGTTGCTATGCTGGTTGCTATAGAATAAGATTCGTAACTGATGTAGGTTCAAAGCTCTTCCTTGTACAAGGAACTCTTGCGTTGAACTTATTTCAAATGTTAAAGTAAACTCTTAAACAATGAAAACGAAAAAAATCATAAAGTTTTGAATAAAAAATGCATTAAAAAAGAAGTTGAAATGAAAGTCTGAAGTATTGCAATTATTTATTTACGTAATGTGACTGCATAATTGAGAAAAATATTTTTTTCTCTCAACATCATTGCTTGGGTCGGATTTAAATTTAAAACACGTTTGAAATTCTTATACTTTAAACTTTAAAGTAAATTTTATAAAATACTTCCAAGAGTTAAGAAAACGTTTTACAAAGACAGCAGTTAGAGGATGGTTTGATGACGCAAAGTTTTGATTATTTCGTTGTGGATAGTTTGCCATTGTACGTTGAAGATAATTTCTTTCAACATAAAAGTAAATACTACGACACAAATAATGGTGACATAACGAGAAGTGTATTTAATGTTCATGTTGATCTTGGATTGCTTAAGCGGTTGTTCAATTTAAAATCATCTGCTGTATGTCTGCTAAAATACAACAAAAGTCTTGAAGGTCACATGACCATTATACCTTAAAATATTGCCGTGCACATTTCATTGTTCATTGATCATATATTAACATTATACTATTCATACACTTACACGAGACAAAGTATCCGCAATAGTTTCATTGACCATTGACAAATAAAAATCGAATGTGCGATTTTGTGGAAAGAACATTTCCAAAAGCAATTTGAACTTTTTTTTTGCTTGATCATTCAGTTAGTGCCTCTATGAGATTAACATTTTTCCGAATACTTATAAAAAGAAGCAATTTTACATTCGTCTTAATTTATTTTTTTCTCTTGCATGATTATCGTAAATTAAAGTTGGTACGTCAGAAGTTTTGAAATGTTTTCTGGGATATCCCATATTACGCTAAAAATGAATATCAAAAAATATTCGAGAAGAAATCATGAAACTTCTGCGCAAAATTGATTCTTCACGTTACTTTGTTATAAGAACATCAAATAATTAGATATTTTAACGTCGAAACATGGGCAAAAATAGTTTTTGATTCCTCAGTTTATTTTAAAATCTTAAGACAACCGACTGTTAATTATCGTGTATGATCACTATAAATTAGCGTCTTAAACCAAACATTCATTGAAAATTCTCCGACAAAGACGTAATCATCACATTTTATGTATTGACTATTTAATTTAACTAAAACATGGTGATGTTGATGACATTCATATCAAATGCGCATATTTAACGCAGTCAATATTTGAGAAAAGTTGTCAAAACTTACTCAAATAGCCGATGCATTAAGAAAAGTTTTAAAATTAAATTCTGCTAATTACTTACTTTGGTGATAAACAAAATTATAAACCTATTTAGTAGTGTGGTGCTAAGTTTGGAAGAATCAATTGATGTAAACATTTAATTAAAGAAATCGAAATATCTTGACGGCTAACGCTAATCCAATGGAAAGCCCGATTTTTAAGTGATTAGTATGTTCGATTTCATCCCCACTGAAACTAATAGGTTTTATAATTATTACTTCATTCTTTTTCGAGGATGATCAGTTGGTTTTTAAAGCTTTGGAGGTGGTAGATGTTCAAATATATTAGAACAGATTTTATTAATTGTGCATCATGTGTGTGAGATTTGTCATTTTCGTAATGTATATTTGGATGACAGTGATCACTTTAGCTTTTTATAGCATAAATCCTCAACGTAAGAAATGAAGTGTTGTAAGCTTAAGAACATTTAAAGTGAAGCTTTGTTATTTATTCAGTGATATTTAACACGAATTCGCTTTGATAATTTACTCATTAAATATTTGTAAGCTCGATTTGTTTAATAATTCCGAATAATATTTTCCAATGACTTTCGACTCTTAAGTGTCAGATAATAGCCAATAAATAAGTTCTAATTTGTAAAACAAAAATTTGTTAAACGAAGCTAAACAAATATTAATAATGATTGTTTGTAATACGTACTTGCGTAGTAAGTTATAATTATAAAATAAATATCTGGCTAAATAAGAATAAATCAAAGAAAAAATTACCCGGATGATGTAACAGTCATTGAAGGAAAAAATTGAATCAAAAATCGTGTCAAATTACTTATTAAACGTGTGACTTTAGCAACGGATAGTTCAAGAATGTTGTAATGACAAATAAAAAAATATTTTCAGTTCACAAGACTAGCACAAAAATGATGACCACGAAACATTCACATCCTTACAAGGATCATCCTGAGCCTTACAAATGGCCTGAGGAACGTCTCGGAGAGATTGAAGAAATTTATCAATGGTGAGTTAAAATTTTAAAGTCATAAATTTTCTCTTTTTGTCTAAGATGAGACTTAATCTAAGATAAATATAATTAATTATAAAGGATGATCAAACAACCGAGATTTCCAAAAATGACAAAAAATCATGCACATCAGTTCTATCACGCATGTATATACAACAAAGAGGATACGAAAAAAGCCTTCAATCGATACGTTGAGGTAATTAAGAATCTTACATGAATATATTCATGTTATAAATTATTGTTTCAATTTTTTTCTCACTTATTTAGCTTAGAGCGTCATCTGTCGAATGCTTTGGAATTCGAGACCCCCTTCTGCCTGAGATTCAATTCATTTACAACGCTACGTACGTTCTACATTTACAATTTTCAATTTATTTATCTACATAAGTATATTCATTCTTCTCATACAGCAACATGGTGGCACTTCCCAATCTCACAAAAGAAGGTTACAGAATTCTCGCATATCGACTTAAAGATTATAATCCGTCGAACATAATTTTTGGGGATGGCGTGAAGGTTTTTATTTATTAATAATTAACACAAAGTTTAACGGGTAGTTAATTTTGTGACTTTTTTACTTCCAGGCCTTCAACATGTTTAATGACGTTATTATAAGTGACGATGGGCCTATTAACGGCTATGTTGTCATATTTGACATGGAAGGTGTCTGTTTGAGGCATTTGACAAGAGTTCAATTCGGTCCATTGAGAAACTTTATGTCTTATATTCAAGTGAGTTTTATGGCCATTATTTTATCGAGGTGTTTAATGTTTTACTAATAAAATTTTCTCCTTTTTCTATCTGAAGGAAGCACATCCAGTGAGACTTAAGAAAATCTACATTGTTCATACAGCATGGTTTGTAAATCAAGCTTTTGCGATTGTTAAACCTTTCATTAAAACTGAACTGATGTCCCTTTTGCATTTTACAACTGAAGGCCCAGATGAAATATTTCCACCGGAACTTTTACCGGAGGTATGAAAAATATTTTTATATTAAAACGAGATTTCGTCTTAAATGATGATTTATGTAATTTTTATTTATGTATTAGGATTATGGAGGTGAACTTAAACCAATGGATGAGTTTCATAAGGAACAAAAGAAACATTTAGAAACAGAATATAGAGAATGGCTGATTGAGTCGAGTTACTTTAAGCAATTGCCGAAGGAAAAGAAGAAAGATAAGAATTCTCTTGATGCAAATTCAAACGCTTTCGATCCTCAAATTGCATCGATGAATCAATTATCGATTGATTAATTTTGATATGAAGATTCTCAGGTTTAAATATTTCTCCTTGCGTGCCTTGACAGTTTGTTGTGACATGACGTTACGTTGAATTGTAGTTAAATTGTGAATAGGTTTGTGGTTTAAAGAAAAAGAACTTAATTAGTTATGTAAGAACAACAGTTAGAAGAATGTTTATGATTAATAAAATTATTAACTGTACCGATCATTAATATTAAATAAATGCTTTTGATACCCTCCTTAAGTATAATATTATTTACTTAAACTTGGAGTATTTAATCACAAATCGGAAAGAAGCTTTCATATTTTTCCCGGAAGTCAGTAAAGCTTTTCATTTGCCGAGTCGTTGGTTTTTAGTAAGCAATTTTGAGTCCACAAAAAGTTACATTAATCCTAAAATATTTTGTGGCAAACCACGCGAGCCGTCAGCGCATAATTCATTTCCGCTACCATTTCGCAAATATTGTAAGTGTTTACATTGCTTCTTTAAAGAAGCCTTTGTTGCTATTTATAACTTAACTGCTTTCAAAGAACGTTCAAGAGCTCATGACAAAAAAAGGGCTTTGGGAGTCGTTCGCAAGTAATGTAAGTAATTTTAAATTTAATTGTTTATAATTCGCAGAGAAACGTTCAAAAACCTTTCGCGTGAGAATAAATTTAGAATGTTGCGTGACAAAGTTGTCAAATAAAATCTTTCAGTTTCATGGTAAAAAAGAAAAGGACCGAAAATCGATAATACGTGAATATGTATGTTCATGTTAATGTAAACATTAATTCATTTCCTAAATACTTTGAGTTCCTTTTCATTCTTGGACTTTCTTTTACTCAATTTTCTTCGCTTTTATTATGTACTTGGAAGAATTTATTTGGTGGAAAACATGCACATCGGAGTGGAGTGAAGGAAAAAAAAGAATGTTGAGGAATGTACTGATGGAAAATAAAAATGAACAAGCGACAATACCGAAAATTTTCCTATGAATCGGAATTGTGTAAATAAATTTATTTCGAATTAGAACCCGTGTAAGGTGACTGAGGTTACAAATGTTGGAATTGAATATTTTTCGTTGCCGACAAAACTTTTTGTGAATTTTTTTGTTTCTTAAAGACACTTCTCATTAAGATACAATTACAAAAAAAATTATTTAACATTTGCTGAATTGATCATCAAATTTTTAAAAAACCTAATAAGTTATTACTAATTCTAATTTAATGTCTTTAAAGCTTTACTTATTTTAATTAAGGTTTCATTTCACAATTAACGCGACCTTGAAATTTATTCATTCGCCCAATAATTAAGTTTACGCAAGAGTTCAAGCTTCAAATCTGATTCAGCTTTTTCCTTACATTGTGAGATTAAAATTTTTATGGCATAAACGTTTCTTCAATAATCTTCTTAAAGTCGTTTCGTTATCATTTTTATTGAATCACTTTATTCTCTAATCTATTTCCCGACACGCTCTTTCTCTCTCTTTGTGAAAATACTCATCCTTTTTTCCAATTCACGCTCAGAAGTCGAACGAGACCGTTTGCAGTCATTCCACTTCATCGCAATAGCACTTCGTCTTTCATTTGATTCATGAAACGTAAAATTAGCTTACGTCACAATCGAGCTTTCGTGTAGATGTATTAATAATATTCTTTCCTCTCCTCTCCGAAATCGTTTTTCCTTTCGTCTCTCTGCTTTCTTCGTTCAGTTTGAAACGAGTCCTTGCATGTGTCAGATCGGTGAAAAATTTCTTCCTGTGGAGAAAAGAAAAATCAAAAAAATAAATTTAGAAAATTTGAGCTTTAACAAGGATAGAAAAACATTGTTCAATAATTTAATTACATGTAAAGATTTAATTCGAGTTGGAAAGCTCCAAAAAAGCTTTTAATTTGGTGTTTTGATAAAAGGTAAAGAAGAATTAATGTAGGAAAAAAAGTTCAAAATTATTTTTTTCCTTCATCATCGTTTTTCACATTTAAAGTTGTGTTAGTATTACATAACTCAGCAGAAGAGGCAGAAAATTCTCCCTCACTTTGATATTGTGTGTGGAGCTGCTAAAGCATGTAAAGAAAAATCCCCCAACACATCTGCCGCCGACGCATAAGTTGAGAAAAAAAATAAAAAAATCGCTTCGTGATATGAAATAGAAAGTTTTCAAAAGTTTTACCGAAACCAATAAATGGATAAAGTGTTGATAAAGCAGAAAAAAGTAATTAAGGGATACAACAAAATCGTGAATAAAAAATAATAAATCGAGAATTATTAAACAAAAATTCAGTAGAAAAATTTTTTTTTGGGTTCAGCGATAAGATTTTTCTTCTTCTTTTTTCTACACTACATAAAAAAGACTGTTGCGAGACATGCGCCGTTGGCGTTAAGTGATAAAACAAGAACTGATGAAAGGAAAGAAAAAAATCTCTAGAAGAGTGAGAAAAAAACGCTAGGTTACGGTTTTCATAGTGACAATACAAATTTCGTACAATATGAAAATTGTTGTGTGTGATTGTGATAGAGACACAATGGTTTAACTGGATTACAAATTTAACACGCTAATTTATGAACGTAATGGGTATGATTCAAACACGAAGTCATTAAGAAATCATTTATTAAATAATTTATTTCGGAAAATCGATTTTATTTTCCTTTCGGCCACTTTACAATAATGAAGTGACATGAATTTAGATACGATACGAATAAACAAGTTTCTAAGTGTTAGCTGTTCAAATACTTAAACTTTTTCTTCTTTTCGATTGATTGATCTGAAGTTATTGCTTCTATTAATGACAGAGTTCCTTGAATTCCTGAAACTGAAGAAATTCTTTCAGAAAAATTCTTAGTTTCAATTCCTCTATTTTCAGCATTGTCTGGTTCAGTATCACCGCTTTCGAAGATGGAAATATTCTCAGTTGTTTTATCTGGGTCACTTGATTGTGCTGTATTCTTTGTCACTTCACATTTTCCGGGTTCGTTTCTTTTAAGAAGGTGCAATGACTTTTATTCTTCAGGCACTTTCAAATTCATTGCAGATTCTTCTTCTATACGTGAAAACTGAACATCTTGTGATGAAATTTTCTTTAATTGCATAGCTAAAGTTTTGGACAATAACGAACTTTTCAATTAATCAAAAATCTTTAGATTCGTGTTCGAATGGTTTAGCTAAATAAATTTTCTTGTAGTTTCTTCAGTACTATTAAGATCAGTCACTGCAGTGATGTTAATTACATTGGGGAATTCTAAATTCGTCTGATTTACCAATGGAGATAATCCGTTTAACATTCTCTCGTATTCTATTTCAACAATCATTATACGATCTTGAATTCCCATGACATTTAAGTCGACTATCTTACTGCTGTTTGAGTTAAATAATGTCTTAAAGTCAACCATAACATTATCATTTGATATTTGGAATAAAATCTTTAGAAAATCCTTCAACAATTTTCATTAACTCGTTTGCTGTTCCTTCATCTGATGTGTATACAGATTTTTCTAGAAAGCTTTTATCATCTTTATTGGCAATTTCATCGTGATTCGCCAAAAATTCTATGCTTTCATTATTCGACATTGTGTCGTCTTGAAGCTTCAGCGTTTTATCTTCCACTGTTTGATTTTTACTTTCTGATGTAGGAATAAAATTTTTCTCTGCACTTAAGTCGATTATTTGCTTCGCTTGGTATTCATCTATTAGCTTTTGGGACTAAAACATTATCATCCATGATTTGTTTTCAACATCTTTGTCAGAGACTATTTTTGTAACATTTTTTGTGTTCTTATTTTTTCTATGACAACTTTAAAGCGTTTTTATCTCTGAGATTGATTTCGCGGAAGGTTAATTTTACTTCGAATGTCATCGGGACCTTTCAATATGTTCAAATGCTTTTAACATTTTCAGCATCAAAATCTTCATTTATTCATTAATTTTTCTTCGTACAAATTCATTAAATATTTACCGACACATCCGATTGGTAATGAAAGCTTTTGATTATGTGGATCAAGTATTGAAAGTCATTTAAAGTTTTCAAGCTTTTCTACGAGATCTTCTATCATTTGATTAGAATTTCTGTACATAATTTTATTCCTTTTTCCTTCAGAACATCATCTGACAATTTAATGAATTTTAAAATATTTGAAATCGTTTTCAAACACTATTTGAATGTGTTTAATCATTGATTCATTAATAGATTGCAGTTTATTCACTTTTGCAATATATTCTTCTTAAATTAAAACATTCTGAGGCGGGAAGTAACTAATTCGAATGATGAAATTAAAATCTTGAATTATTAGTTCATCGGATTTTTAAATTTCGCTTCCGTTGATCATTTAAGGATTCATCAGGATTATTTAATTTTAATCTTAATCTTTCTTCATTCATGTTTTCATTTTCAAGGCATTGATTCTTATCGCTTCCATAATTAAAATAAAAAAGTGACCTTTAAACTGGTTGACCTTTTCATCAAAATTATTTACATCAGCATTTTCTACTAGTGTGGGAGTTTCCATTAAACTTTCTTCATCTTGGCTCGAATTTTCTTGAATTTCATCATCAAATTTTCTCAAGTAAACTTTTGCTTGTGGCTTCATCGATTTCTCTATGAGTAAGAGTTTTTTGATTACAAATTCTTCTCCAAGCCTTTCTGAATGATGAGTTATTATTGGATATTTTAAAAAATTAGCATTAACGGAAAAATTAATTCATTGTCATGATTAAAATTATTTTCAATATTTCTTATTTCTGATTTGACATTGGTGATGCAGTTTGATATCGTCGGCTGATTGTAATGTTTCCCAAATCCAACTCTGATTTAGAGAATTTTAGTTTTTTTCGGTGTCATGGAAATTAACACTTTCATTAAACACTCAAATTCTTTTTCAATTCTGAAATTTCATTTTTCTGTTGTTGTGCAACATTAACAAGAATGACGCTTTCATACGAATGGAACGTAGTGAAGATTGAATCATCGCTGTAGGATTTTTTAACCACTTCATTGCCTTCATTTGCTAACTCATTCTTTTCAATATTATTGATACGCGAACGAACCTTTATCAAAGTTCCACTGTACAAAATTTTCAACTTTTTCTCTGAAGAGTTTTGAACGAGCGTTGTTATCAGTAAGCCGAAAATCAAATTTCCCATGATTTACTTTATCTTTTATCTGCTATCAAAACTTTTACCGTTTTGAAAAGGAACTAAGAAAAGTCTACTTCAAACTGTGAAATTTATAGTCAACACGAAAGCAAAAGCTCTATTATTTAACAGCAATTTAATGGTTGATTTCTCGAAAATTTCTTTATAACCGGAACCACGACAGGAAAATATTTGTGAATAAAGGGAAAACATCTGCGGCCTTTTCATGTTTCTCATAATTTTCACGTGTTTTATTTATAACTTAATTGTTTTAAAAGTTTCTGACTCTAATTGATTCATTATTGAAGAAAGTTTCTATCTATTTATTAATACATGCATACTTATAAATAGATAATCATATCAAATGTTATCAGACGCAAAGAGAAGATAAGAATAACTTTAGCTGTCTAGCTATAAACTCGATATTGGAAATTTTCTATTTTTTTTTTCAACATATATTATAAAGTTCAAGCTACAAGATTTGGTTTCCATCTGTCAATTTGATTGAAAAAGTTTGAAAAAGACATCTTTGTTGCATCCAAAAAACAATTGTTGACTAAAAAATCGAAATTTAAATGAAAACTCACTTCTTGTTCGTACAGAATTTTCATTTCAATTCCCACCCCTGAATTTGTAATCAAAAAGCTTTCATAGTAGAATTCAGGATTTCCTTATTCTTTTCTGAATCATCTTATTCTAAAGATTAACGAAAAGGTTGAAAACAGTGTATGACTTATAGTTTTTATCCTGTTTTCGTCTTTTTTTCTTCGGTGAGTTACAAATATCGTGAAAGCATTTCCATTATCGATTTGCGGTTGCGCATCGCAAAAGCTCCCCATCCAAATTGCACACACACATACAGAAAAAAATACATAAATTCTTTTTCTTCATCTCCCACAGTTTTCATTAAATTTTCCTATGTGGGAGCACAGTCGATTCTTCTCGCTCCTTTCAATCGCTTGAGACAGAAAAGAAAAAAGTGTAAACGAATGAAGAAAAAATCTCTTCTCTCATATGCGTAAAATTTTCTTCGCTTTTTTATTTCATTAATAGTCGAACGATCGATGTTGAGGCACGGACGACATCATAGTATTTCTCAAAAAATCATAAAGGATACAAAGTGTGACCCATATACAAAGTGCAATCTGTGACATTTCTTTTGATTCTAAATGAATTAGTCGATCCGTGCTTCAATGGAAAAAATAATTATTCGAAGTGACCTCTCAATCTAAGTTAGTATCAGTAGAAAAAAAAAACTTAACCATTAATATTCGCAAAATGAAAATCTGTTAAAGTTTTCAACATGCAATGAAAAAGATAAATTCAATTTTCAACATGAATGAAAAATAAAAAAACAGATTGAAATGTCTAAGCAAAAAATGAACTTCTTAAAAAAAGAAAAAAGAAGAAAGAAAATTTATCCACGAAATAAAATGGATTAAATCAAAAGGATTATGTTTAAATGAGTTGTGATTCAAGTTTGAAACAAATATCGAAAGTGAAAAATCGTGCCTGAAAATTAATAAAAGGAAAAACTAAGTTCCATGAAATTTTCTAACAGGAAAATATTCTAATAATAAGGATTATCTCCAGTTAATGTGTTGAATGAATTAAGATGACATTTTTATCGTTCTGTTGAAAAAAATGCTACGAACACTGTCATAAGATTCTGATAAAACTTTTTTTCGCAACGCTATGATTCATATTTTTGAAGAAAATCTCTAGCGACAATATATAAATAAAACATTTAAGTTATTTGAAACAACTTTTCTGTGTTTTCAAGTGCATAAAAGCATCAATTTTTTATTAAGGAATATCCTCACACTACCTTCTTCTTTTTCTCATTTTGCTTCCTAAATGGACTTGCAGACAATGTCTAACGAGGCACTATGGATGTCTGACGCCATGTTGGACTCATTAAGTTTACAACTTCGGGACGCAGAGTCCCGAAGAGCCGAAGCCGAACGTGCGCATCAGGTATGTTCTCTCGCTCACATTTTGATAGTTGAAATCATTTTTATGAAAACTCACGAGGAACATTTTCAACTTTTGTTGTTTTTGATTACTTAAAATTGTAAATTTGAAGTGAATTTTGCAGTTTAGTGACATTTTAAATGTGAGAGATTAAAAAAATATTTTCCGAGCTTTAAAAAAAAAGCTTTGAGAATTAACAAAAAAAAAGAGAGAGGGAGAGGATTTTTGAAAGAGAGCGACTATTAATTTTCTAGTGAAAACTCTCAAATATGATTTTCATTCATTAAATGAAAATTCTCTCATTTCCTTTTTGTTTCAACTTCAAACTACACAACTTTTTCTTTGGATACATGTGAACGTTAGCATTTGGAAAGATTTTTTTAAATGCCTACAGATATGTTTCTCTTCCTCTCAAACTTTAAATATTTAATTTGATAAATCTGATAAATAAGATAATATTGCAATAGAGTTCACTTAAAATGATTTACAATCTTTCAAGAAAAAAAATTGTAGCAAAAGGGTTCATGGCATGGTATTATATTTTAGGAAGCATTAGCGCAACTCCGAGGAGTTTCATCTGGTGTATCTCGATCTGGAGATTCTTACGAAACATTACAATCTAGAGCTCGTGAATTGGAGAAAAAGGTGTGTGCATTTATCTCAGCACCTTTTTGATTATGACAATATTATCTTTCGTTTAATCTTAAGTTAACGATGGACTATTCCAATAACAAAGTATTATTTCTATTTCTTTATTTAATATCTCCCATTTAAAAAGTAAACTTGAAGTTTACAAATATTGGAGTATTTAAAAAAAATTATTCTATCGAATGAAAGAAAACAAACCTTGCATGAATATAGCACGCTCCAACACCTTGAATTGAGTGTTGACACCACCAAGTGTAATTTTTTTTAATACCTTGAATTATTTTGTGCTCTTGATTTACTTCCTTTTATTTTTTATGTTTTTGTGTGATTATGAACAAAGAAAATTTACGATTTCTTCTGGTATATATTTAACTTACAAATGATTCATTAAATCAATAAAAATAGGCTGCATTAGAAACAGTAAGATGTGAAGAATTGCAATTAGAACTTAAATCAGCGGTAAAAACAAGGCCATCGAGTAGGCCAAGTCAAATCCAATCAACTGGCACTTCCTTTATATCATCGCGACTTGATCCCATAAGTAAATACACGACAGCTTCAAGTGGAATCACGGGCATCATGTCTCATAACAGCAATAACATAACTGGACTTTCATCTTTGAGCACAAATAATGTGAAAAGTGAAGCGTCAACAGTAACATGGGCACCAACACCTGACCAAAAAAGCTCAGAAATTGATCGGATCATGGCCAAGATCGAACAGGCACGTTTATCAATTGCTAATGTATGTGTGTTACTTGATCAGATTCACATAAAATAAACATTTCAAACATTTCATTACATAAATATTTGATCCATGTCTAAAGATAATTAGGGCAGATATTAGATCACAATATTATTTCATAACAGTAAATAGTTTTTGAATTGGATTTAATTACAATATAATTACTGTCAAGACTCCTTTTAATCAAACTAAAATGGAAGCAATTTCATAAGTCATGATATCAATGACAGTGATATCGAAACTTGTTAGTTATTTGTATTAAGCTACTATCCATAATGTGAATGAATTAAATAGTATTCAAAAATAACGTCAATCAGAATAACGTCAACATATCAAAAGGCTTTTAGGACAGAACATAGAATTGGCACTAAGTGTAGAATAGATTACAGACTTTTGACAATTAAGAATGAAATGAACGTATTATACATTAATATATCGTACACGAAATCCACTGTTAGGTATCACCTTCTCAGTTAAAGAACATTAGCTCAAATTACAAAAGCCTATTGAAAAGAACTGAATGGTTCGAACCCTTTTACGATTTAAATTTTAGGACAATCGTATACTAGCAGAACTAGAGCAACCAAGAACGACTGGTCCATCGTCTTACATCATGACATCATCAGCTTTAGGAACAGGTGCTGGAATGAGTTCTTCTATAGTATCACAACCCCCCATTAGTTTATCAAATATATCAACAAATTTATCGTCAACTTATGGTACAACTTCGTCGTATGGAGCTAGTGGAAATACATCATATTCGACAACTGCAACGCATAATTTATCACCACTGCCAATTAGAGCAAATCAAATTAGTACCATGCCACCCCTATGTCAGGTGCAATAATATTTTAGAATTTTTTTCAAAATTTCTTAATGTGCAAATTGCTTATCTTTTCACTTTTTTTCTGTCGTCATAAATTGATGGATAAATGGAAAATTTGTTTAATTGGTTAAAGAATTATTAACAAGCAATTTATTTTTTCAATTTTTCTTTCGTTAATGTAGCATTAGATGTTTATATTTATGATTAAATTGAAGATTATTTGTTAATTAATATTTGTCACTTTTAATGATTTATCGAGATGAAAGTGTCGTCATGTAAATGTTTAATCAATCTTCATAATGAAAATCTCGTCGTTATTTAAGGAAAACAAATTTACTGAAAATCTTGAGACGATGACTTTTCCTTCATGTTTCGAATGATATTTGCGTGTTCTTTAACGTCACTTTAGCTGTTTTCTTTCTTTTCTTCCTTTTGTTTATAACTTTATGTTTTCTTTTTGTTCGATTTCGCATTTATCCATGTGTTTGAGCTATAAATGTTGTGTAAATATTTAATGACTTATATTTTTAATGGGTATTTTTGTTATTTCAGAGCTCTACTATGCCCGTCCTTTCACTACATAATACATATTCATTGCCGTCTGGCTCTGCAAGTTATACATTAGGATTAAGTGGAGCTCCTGGTGGTTCATCTTACACATATCCAGCGGTTGGTCAGTCGACAACAACACTTGGTCTTAATAGTGTATTGGGTGGTGCAACAGGCTTATCAAGCGTCAGTTTAGGCGCAAATGCCGGCCATTCCAGCTTATTGAGTACCGGCTTAGGTACCACAGGACTGAATTTAACTTCAACAAATCCTTTAAGCAGTGGGGTAACTGGATTGGGTGGAACTAGTTTATTGACATCATTAGGATTAGGATATAACACATCATATTCAACGTACACGAATCCATTAATAACATCGGGTGCTATGAAACTGAAAACATTAGATGATTTTGATATCGGCATCAGTAGATATAATCGCGTTGGTACGCCGTGTTCACCGATCCCACCGGGTGGTTGGGGTCTAGATAGCTATGGAATTGATGGAATTAATCCAGGATATATGCATTCGCAAAGTAGGCCATTATCACGACTTGGTGGATTAGATGGACTTGATGGTGAGTTCATTTCTCTTTCTAATACTTCATTGCAATTCTCTTCAGTCTATTTTTATTTTTAAGTACTTTGACACTTCTTTGAAATTTTAAGCTTTGGAATTTTTTCTGCAAATATTTTTTTTTTCTATTTTAAACGTTACATCTGATTCATATCAATTAGATTTTTGCTTCTTTTTGAAAGCCACACACAAAGCGAAAGCTAAAGAATTGAATATTTCCATGCTGTTTGTTGAAAGCTTTTGAGCAACTCTTTTCTTTTAAATGTGCAACTTTCGTAATGAAATAAAAAAAAGAAATTTTCAAATGCTTTGTAAAATGATTCATCTCATTAATTAACATGATAATACAGTGCGGGATTTTGGTATTCAAAAACAAATTTTTCATTTTTTAAGGTCGTTCACATGGTTTAACATTAAACGGCAATGGTGAACCACAAGTCGATATGTTAGACATACCGGGAAAAGGACGATGTTGCGTATTTATTGCTAGATTTTCCTATGATCCACCAGAGTAAGGAAATTTTAATATTTTTAATCAAAATTTTACACTTTATAAACTGACATTTAAATGAAACATTTCCACTACAGACTTTTTTGAACAGTTTCCACTTATTCTTCCTTTTTCCCCTAATCCATCATCAAAATCCCTTCTCAAATATCAAAAATCAATACATAAATATCAATTTAAGACAATGACATTTTTATACACAAATCATTCGAAAATGAATATGTTTGGAATTACGTTATTGATAAGGTCAAATAAAAAATTTACAGTGTTGAAGGATCAGAAGGAGAACTAGCATTATGTGCTGGGGATTATTTGTTAGTATGGGGAAATGGGGAGCCACATAGTGGCTATTATGATGCCGAATTATTAGATGGCAGACGAGGTCTCGTACCAGCATCATTTTTACAAAGACTTGTCGGTAAGTAAACAGATGCGGAAGTTATAATACATAGATAACTTAATAAAAGAAAACTTTGATGCAATATTTTATTGCCTCACTTAGCACTTAAATAATTGGTGTATTCTCATAGTTATTTAATGCATCTCATTGACTATATCAAAAGTTTCATAAATGTTTCTTCTACCTACTCTATTTCCTCTCTATATAATTTCTATAAGTTTCAAAAACTTGTATGTGATGCTATAAAAATATTCTTTTATATTTTAAATGAATTCTACAAGCATAAAAGATTATCGATTGTTTATAAATATGCACTTTTCTATCTCATTAGATTGCACAGTATGAAAAGTTGTTATCAAATAACTTCTACATTATACAATTCAACTGAAATCTTTTCACATCTTTTTATTATATGTTTTAAATTATTTGTACAATTATGATTTCATTATGTGTACATTAATTGCATGATAGTTTGCTTTAAAATTAAAAATTAAGATTGTTCATATTATTCCTTTTCCCAATAGTTGGGAGAAGTTTTAATAAAAGTTTTTTAATTGCAAACATTATTGTTAGAATCTTCGATTTATTTTTTCAAAACAAAAGCAATATGATGCAAATTATTGTTTCACATTATGCTTCATATCCTTTTTATGTAACATTTTTATGAAAAGAAAGGAAAAAAAAAAACTTTGAAACTTCTCTTTTAGGTGATGATTTATTAGAGTTTCACCAAGCTGTTGTGTCAACGTTACGTGACGCAGATGATGTTCCCATACCATTAGATCCGGCTCCAATGATTCCACATACACATAGTACTCATACTGCGATGCTTCCGCCGATAAACGATGATCTTGGAAGAATTAGTGATACTGTTAATACAGATCAAGATCCAGAAGATGATGTGGACCCAGGTACACATACTAAATGTGAAAAATATATTATTGTTAAATAAATGAAAAGCTTCCTCTAACTTTATGTTACAATGTAACAAAACGTCAACCAATATTTGATGTACTAATTCCAAGCATGAAAATTTGAATGTCAGTGGAATATTAATGGAGACTCCTTTTAAAGAAAAATAATTAAATGTTGTTTAAAAAAGGGAAGAATCTGAATGTTTATGAAACTGCTAATGTAATGGAAAATTATAAAACGATTCAAATTTTCGATGCATCTATTTATACATCAAACATTGGTCAACATGACAGCTGCTGACTTTATGTTCTCCGATTTAGTTCCCGCTCCAAGGCATTTGACACTTGAAAGACAACTCAACAAGAGCGTTCTTATTGGATGGAATCCACCTGATCAATATGGACATCATCAAATTGAGAGTTACCATGTCTATGTTGATGGAAATATAAAGGTTACTGTGAAAGCTGCTGAGAGAACGAGAGCGTTAGTTGAAGGAGTTGATTGTAATCGAGTAAGTTTTATATTTATTTAGTATTATTCCATTACACACTTGAGTAATAAAAAAATAATATTCACAGCCACATAGAGTCAGTGTTCGAAGCGTCACAGCCAATAGAAGAACATCAAGAGATGCTGCATGCACGATGATAATTGGCCGTGATGTGTCACATTTGGGACCAACAAATGTTAAGGCTACCAACATAACTTGCTCAAGTGCAGTCATATCATGGCTTCCTGCCAACTCCAATCATCAACATGTGGTCTGTGTGAACAATGTTGAAGTTAGAACATTGAAGCCAGGAGTGTACAGACATACAATAACAGGTGGAATTATCATGTTTAAAAAAGTTATTCGATCAAATTTATTTTTACAATAATAAAAAACTTTTCAGGGCTTTCACCAAGCACGCAATATAGAGTAACAGTTCGTGCAAAACAACTCAGAGCACCTGGTCAACAACCACAGCCACCGCCTATAAGCGGACCATTACCACATGAACTAGAAGCACCAGGTGCTTATACTGATTTCAGGACTCTCGCCAAAGGATTACCAGATCCACCTCAAGTATTTATTTCCTATTTATAAATGTTAAAGAAATCTTTTTCAAACTTTTATCCTTTAAGGAAATTCAAGTGGAGCCTGGACCTCAGGACGGAACACTGTTGGTTACATGGCAGCCAGTTTCTAGACCACCAGCTGGTGCTTCTGGCCCAGTAACTGGCTACGCTGTGTATGCTGACGGTAAAAAAGTTACTGATGTAGATTCTCCAACTGGTGATCACGCTTTAATAGATATAACAAAACTAGTTGGAATAAATCCCCAAGCTGTTACTGTTCGCACCAAATCACGTGATGCACAGTCTGGTGATAGTATGGCGACACCAATTCCACGTGAGTTTGAGATCTATCAAGAAGCACATGTACTTTAGTTTTACTTAGCTTTCTACAATTTTTTCTCGTATTTATGAAAAAACATTAAAGTTTTATATTTCCTAGATAGAATTTCATGTTGTTTTCTTTTCATAATTCATTTTTATTTTTCGTTACACAACTTTGAACAACCCATCAAATAAATGTTACACAAACACCTCCTAATAAATATTGGAACAGGATATTATGATTCTAATGTATTTTATGATCGTGATTATTATTGCAATCAAGATGTCGTAAGAAATGCTGCAAGAATGAGACAAAATCAAAAACAAACGCAACAATTACCACAAAATCCTCAACAGCAGCAACAGCAACAACAAATGGCGATGCAGCAACAGAAAATGATGGGTGGCCCAAATGGACCTAAACCAATGGACAAAAATCTCGGTAACATGCAGCAAATGCAGAATCTTCCAGGACAAAAAAACAAGCCGAACCAATTGGTAAATATAAATCTATGAAGCTTTTTTTTTGTTTTTCAGTATGTTTTAGTTTGTATTTTAAAGAAAAAGAAATTTAATGAAAATTTATATAAAAATCTATTAAAAACACTTCGACACAATTTAAATCTCAAAGACTTTAGAATGATTTTATCTTGTCACATTCATAAAATCTATTTAAACTATCATTGATAACTTATCATGATTCTACAACAATAAAGAAAACACAAAAACATGCTAATAATCAGCGTGGCAGTTCCGGAAGCATTCCATCAATTGAAATTACAAAAGAAAATATTGACACTGGTGATTATATTAGCGATGAAAGTGAATATCAAGAGGGTGGAAATGGAGACAGAGGTGTTTGTAACAATAATTTGACTAATAATGAGCCACCTTCTCCATTGCCCTCTTACGCTCAACATCAATCGCCCCAGCATCAATATCATCAACCTCAGGTTAGAGGCAAAATGTGTTGCCAGAACACAATGTTGATTGTTACATTCCCGTACTTCTTCAGACTACCTGTATAAATATTTATATTGAACGTTATTAAACCAGAACCTTTTCTATTTCTATTTTCTTTCAATAAGTACAGTCGATGTAAATTTACTGCACTTTCTGTTTTCCTTTCTCTTTCTCATCTCATTTGCATCTTAATCCTCTACTGTTGATGTTATGACTTCACAAGCTGACCACCTTTCTGAGTTTCTTGTTTCAACACAATTTTATTTTTAAGTATTTTGAATTGAGTAAGCCGATAAATTGGAAACAAAACTAATCATACATCACATAAATATGTAGTTAGAGAACGTTTTTAAAACAGAGTCAAAAATATTTTTGATAGGCTCTGATTAGAGCTTCTGTTTCAAAATACTCTACTTTATCTATCATGATCTTTAAAATGGCGTGTTCTAAATATTTAAACATGAACATTATGCATCTATACATAATAATATATTTTTAACTATATTTCAGACCCAAGGTGGAATGCATAACATGCAAGGCGGAATGCAGGGCATGCAAGGTATGCAAGGTGGGATGCAGGGCATGCAAAGTGGAATGCAAAGTAACATGCCTGGTGGCATGCAAAGTAATATGCCTGGTGGCATGCAAAGTAATATGCCTGGCGGAATGCAAAGTAACATGCCGGGCGGAATGCAAAGCAACATGCCTGGCGGAATGCAAAGCAACATGCCGGGTGGAATGCAAAGCAACATGCCTGGGGGAATGCAAAGCAACATACATGGGGCTATGCAAAGTAATATGCCTGGGGGGATGCAAAGCAATATGAGTGGAGTTTTGTCTGGAAACATGCAAAGTAATTTACAGGGTGGAATGCAAAATTTACAAGGTGGAGTTCAAAGTGGAATACAAAGAGGCGGAATGATGCAAAACCTACAAGGGCCTCGTCCCCAGAATCCTGGTGTAGGAATCAATCAACCTGGTATAAACCAGCCTGGAATAAATCAGAATCAAATGCAACAAAGTAGGATGCCTTTACAACCTGGACAAACACGTGGTCAAGTGCCCAATCAACAGCGAAAACTTCGATATTTTTTGGCATTGTTTGATTACGATCCAATTACAATGAGTCCCAATCCTGATAGTTGTGAAGAAGAGCTGCCTTTTAGAGAAGGAGATACTATAAAGGTATCTCAATCTTATTTTTTAGTAATTTATACTTCAATGAATCATAATATTTAGGTATACGGAGATAAAGATCCCGATGGATTTTACTGGGGAGAGTTAAGAGGTCGTCGTGGATATGTTCCCCATAATATGGTTCAAGAGATTGAAGATGGTGCTGTTGGTCATACCGGACCTCGCCAACCAAGTGTGAGAGGTATAAGCAGAGATCGATGGGGAGATATCTATGCAAATATGCCAGTTCGAAGAATGGTTGCTCTCTATGACTATGATCCTCAGGAACTTAGCCCTAATGTTGATGCAGAGGTGAGATCTTGTCTAAAAATATTCTAAATTGTCATTCAATAAGATTGTAGCTCGTTTAGAAGTTCGATCTGAATTTTTAAAATATTAATTTAAATATTTATGCTTTTCGACTACACAGCAGGTCGAATTGAGTTTTCAAACAGGTCAAATCATCCTTGTCTATGGAGACATGGATGAAGATGGTTTCTATATGGGTGAGCTAGATGGCATTCGTGGTCTTGTTCCATCAAACTTCTTGACTGATGCTGACAGTCATCAAGGAGGCCCCAGTGCAGCAAGCGTTGCTCAACGAACTTTAGCAAATCGAGGTCGAGGAATAATGACAGGGCCAGGAGCGCGAGGGCCACCACCTCCACCTCGTGACAACATGATGATGGGTGGTATGAATCAACGAAAAGGTACGATACTTTGAACATCATATATGAATCGATAAATATTGGACGATGAAATAATAAGAAATTCCCCAGCTCTAAATTTTAATTGATTCAAAGTTTCGAAAACCTTTTTCATACATTATGCAGTATAAACTTCTCCCATAATTCTTTGTAAACTTGATAAAAAAAATATCTCCAAACTAATGAGCTTCACAGGAGGTAAAAAGACACTGAACAATTTTTTTTTCATTAAAAGCAATTTTTGAAACTGCGCTCCTGCAGATTTTTCTTTGCATAATCAAACAATACAATGTTTCCAAACTCTCAATTGACGCATACAACTTTGGAACATATTTCACTCAGTATTAATGTTAGGTTATATTATTTTCAAAACTCATTTTGTTTTATCATGAGAAAAAAAGAAAAATTAATTTATCTTTTTGATCCTCTCTGCTTAATTTAATACCTTTAGCCTTTCGGACCTATCCTTTCTTTTCAAAGCATCTACTAATTTTTCAATGTGACTTTATTAAAATATTTTCCGACTTATTATTTAATTTCATAGAGAATAGATATCCTCATTAAGTTTGTATTTTTACTGTAAACAGTTCGGTTAGTATTATAATAAATATGAAACAATCTGCGAAATTTAAGGACTGTTTTTGTGCAATAAAGCATGCATAGATTGAAGCTTAAATTTCACCTAGAAGCAAGAAATCTCGCAGATTATTTCACTTACATAAAATATATTTTTCTTCTTGAATCAATACAGCTTTAAATGTTCAGTGTGTGCGCACAAAAAAATAAGGATAAAAATGTTTTTAAAAGCTCTAATTCTTTACTTCAAACGTTATGAATGAATAAAAATTCGACAATATTTTGAATGTTTTATATTTACATTTTTTTATAAGTATATTGATCTTATAATAATGGTTAGTTGATTAGACTACCAAATAAAAGAAAATAATTTCTCATCTACATGTAACAAAACCAAGTCACCTTGCATCAAACGAATAAATATCTCTAATATAATTGAACTAGTGAACTCGCTTACTAAATGAATAACCATTTGAAAACTCACAAAAGTTTTACTAATTTTCGTTGTTCTGAAATTATTATTCTTCAGTTCATGAAAACATCATTAAGTTTTATTTTATTTACACATCTTTTTTATTTTGAGTTTATTGACCGCTAAAGAAAGGAACATAAATCCTTCACTTTTGTTGGCTCTAAGGACACAGTCACAGCGTGAGAGTGGCTTTAGCTCCAATTAAATGAAATTCTACTCTGCTGTCGAGTCTTTATGTTATTTGTTGCTAGATGCTCACCCTACTTCCCCTTCTATACTTTTAGACAACACGGGCCACCCTGCCCCAGATCAACAAATTCAGGTAACTAAACTTTTTACTAAAAAAAGTTTAAAATACGTTAAAGTCAGAAGAAAAATGAAGAAACATGGAAATATATTTTTGTATAGTTTTCGTTTAGTTTCGTTAAGTTCACTTTTAACCTATTTAAAGTTCCACTTAGTAAGTTTATAATGCGCTTCATTTGTTATGCCAACGACTTAGTTACTTTAATCATTTACGTTTTGCATTTAGTCTAACCTCACAAACTCACACATCAACACAAATAATCATTGAAACCAGCTAGACTCGTGAAAAATCCCTTTTTCTCTCACCTGCAAGTTGTTGCTACAAAAGTTATCTGAATGATCAAAATGGAAGCTTTTTCTGCCTGAAAATTTGAGTATGATTACTAAAATTTTATGGCAGAAGATTATGCAAGATTTTTTATAGTTTCTTGAAAAATTTATTAATGATGCGCGTAGAATGTTTCGTTTTAATTGTTAGTCATTTTATGGCTTTATCCTCATCCTAAATAATTCCTCTTAAAAATTTCGTTTCCCACATTATGAAAGTTTGATTCAATCTCAAACAATAATTTTAAGCTGCATTGCAACCAACGATTTCTTTCCTACGTTTTAAAAACAAATTTTAACAGCTTGAAAAATTACATTATTAGAAGATATTTATATATCATTATACCAAATCATTTTGTTATTTGTTTTTTATTAGATGTTTCTAAACGTAAAAAATTCTATAACAACTAATAATGTTAGTCACAATTTCCTATTATGTGGAAACCAAAGGCGATACAATCGGAGAAACACAAATCCAATTTTGTTCATAATTTATGATCTAATTTTCTAATTTCTTATGTGATTATCACGGGTATTCTGCTTATTTTTGGTTGAATATTTACATACATATCTATGTGATAAAATAATTTATTAACATTTTTATCACAAATTCTTTTCTTCGATATAAAAAACTACAAGAAATAATTTCAAGTTTATTATATGATCAGCTTAAACCACTTGTTTAAGCAACAGGAGATGGGCAGGGAAGTCTATGTTTTCTGAAAATCAACTGGACTACTTCCATTGTTCTAATGTATTGAATATTTCCTGCATTGTTATCATTGTTTCTTGTTATTTAAATGGTTGTTTCACTGTTCTCTTCATGAGCTTTTTTGGATATCATTGTTTCATGCTATCTATTATCTTTAAAATTTTATTTAATTGATGTTAGATTAGTTGCCATGCTAAACACTTACTTATCTAATCTTAGAAAATTAAATCTAAAATGATAGGTGACTTGTTTTATTAAATGTTTAGTTTCTCTTATTTGACTGTTCTAAAACTTTTTCAACCAATACTTGTTTGTTACTTACATCTACTATTTTTCCTCTAGTATTTTCTTTTACTTATGTCAATTTCTTGCCACAATCAGTCAGGTTTTTTTTTACTTTTTCGACACAACAACAAAATATCACATTAAATCTTTCTGTATTGTGCTGAGTTTCTAAAATTAGTTCTTTGAATATATTCTTATTTAAATATATCTTTATTCAGTCAATTTGCAATAACTGAAAATATATACATATCAATAGTTGAAAAAGAGGCAAAGAGATTGTTGAAAAATTAATTAAAATTTAGTTAGAATTTGAGTTTTCAGCAATCTTCGCTTACTTATATAGAAACTCAATGTTGTGCTATTGACGCTACTTAAAATAGGTTTTTAGTTTAAAATAAAAATTCAGAAAGTTATTAAGCGCAACAGTGCATATCAATCGAAATTAGTTCACGCTCATTAAAGTCTACTATACCTTTTTAATTAACGACAAACCTACAACATTTTTAGGGGATATCGGGCGTGACCGGTGGTAATATGCTAAACCGAACACCACAACAACAAAATATGATGGGACCCAACAGAACGCCACAGATTGCATCACAGCAACAGTCACAAAATATGATGGGTCCAAATCGCAATCAACAGCAGCAACTTATAGGGGCCAACACAAATATGAATATGCAACAGAGTAATATGAACATGCAAAATAGTATGCAACAACAAGCTAACATTAGTGGTCCTCAACAACTTCAACAACAGCAACAACAACAAAATATGATGAATATGCGCGGCAATATGCAACAGCAGCAACAACCACCTATTACTACATCACAATCAACAGGTCTTTTTTCATCGTCATTGTTCAGTGGCCCAGCAAATGCGACAGGTTCAATGTTCGGTGGAAATCGAGCAGCTGGGCCGCAAGTACTTCCTGGCCAAGGTGCTTTTGGACAGCAACAACAACAGGGCCAACAACCAGGTCAAATGGGTATGGGACAACAAGGTCAACCAGCAAGTATGTTGCAAAAATTGGGTGATATTGCTAGTGCCGCGCCAGGTGGCGAAATGTTATCCAAAGGTAAAGAGTTAATATTTATGAAATTTGGATTAGGTGGGAAATAACCCAAACCGATGAAACAATCTAGTTTATCAAATTATAAAATAGTCATTCAAATTAATTGTTTAATATATCTATAAAGAACATGCTGAGTAAAATATAAGTAAATCATACAACAAAAAGAAAAAGAAGATAAAAAAACAGAAACAAATACTAATTAGTGTACTCAAAACGTTATTCTATTGATAATATGAAAATGAGATTTAAAATTAAATAACTTACAAATGATGAAGTAACCTATCAACCTGTAATATATCGAATAAAATATAAATATATATATACGTATATATATTTACTCTTGTGTTACTTCTTATTGATGATACGAGGTTTGTGAAAATTAACTATTGTATAATATTAATGTTACTGAAGCAAACCAACATAATTGAGAATTAGTCAAGAAATTTTCATTTTTGTTTTCTTCAGAAAATGCGAGACAAGAACCAGAGATAAACATTGTTTCTAGATTGGATAGATTACTCATAATAGAAGAGTTCATGAACAATAATCGTTATTAAACCCTATTCTCCCTCTAAATTAAATGAAAAAAAAGAAAGAAAGAAGAAGAAAGATTAAAGAAATTAAAGATAAAGTTATATATCCGAAAAAAAGAAAACTTTACGCACATTCTAATGAAAATGCTTCTGCAATGTGAAAAAGAGAAATAAGTTGAACTTGTTACTTTTTACTTTTTTAGTCTATTCCTAATACCAATTTCATTGATGATATATTGAAGAGAGCAAAATTATTAAATTTGTTAAGTACTTGCTATAGGGCTTAATACGAGAAGTGAAACTAGTTATTATACAATCAACTTCTTTCTCAAAATGTAAACACGAATCTAAATATTATTCAATCAATAATTAAACAAAGAAATATTATTAAAAATAAAGTTATTGAAATTGAAGCACAATTAGAGCAAAATGTAAAGATGAAATTGATTGTATTTAACATGCAGGAATTTAATGAAGCTTTTTCTACAATCTCAGAGCTTTTAGATTCTTTAAATTTTAGAGCTGAATTCCAATATCTATGTAGTCAGATAAAATAAATTTGTGCCCATTTTAAATTGCATTTTGGATTGGAACTTTACAAGTTCTAATAATTGAATCATAGCATTCCTCAAAAAGTTAAAAACTTCATTTTCTAATTCGGTTTAGTTTCTTTTAGGTGAAAAAAGTTTAAAAGGATTAAAGAAGTTTAGTTGAAAAGTGTCAGATACATTCGCCAATTATCCTACTTAGATCCGAAACATCACAAAGGTGAATTTCTGAACCTTATCATTTTGCGAATGGAGAACAACAAGAGTATTTTAACTCACGCTCAATAAATATTTCCTTTGATAGTCAAAGTTCTCATAAAATTCTGATTTTTGTTTATTTAGTCATCCGTTTAAAAACAGTTGTGAGAATAATGTTGGTTTTCATTCCTTTTTTAAACAAAACAATCGAAACAGTGACAAATAGCTTTTATAATATAAAACATATAAACAGAAAATAGAACTACCTAGTCATACATTTACTCGTGTCTTAAGTCTTTTTCTTTACCTTTTTGATTTATGGAGGTGGATGAAATATTAAATAATGCATTTATAAGTTCTTTTTCAAGAAAATTCCTTGCTTTCTTATATTCATATTTAATAGCGAAAGTATCAAAAAAGAGGAAGAAATTTTCATGTAATTCAAAAAGCAAATCGTGTAATTTGTTTCATCGTTGTTGAGTTTAGTTACAGTTTCACAGGGAATAGTAAATTTATATAAAAATACTATCAAAATATCGGTCGCTTATTTTTTTCCTCAATGTTATTTATCACATGTTCATACAATTATATTTTAATCATACAATAAATAAAATAACTTGTAAATGAAAACAAAAATCTTTTTGGTGCCTTCTAAATGTTGAAAGCCGTATCTTTTTCTACGTACTAACTTGAGCATTTATAACTTATTTTATTTCCACTTTCGTAAAGATTGAATCGGGACTATATCTTAAGTAATTTTCTTCTTTCTTTCATCTATCTAATCTATGCATTCTCTAAACATATCATTAAACTTCTAAACAATTTTACCTGTTTGCAAAGGAATCCTTAAGATTTATAGGTTGGCTCGAGGTTGAACTTAGATTTAAATTAAAATAAAAGAAAATGAAAAATCAATTTAAGTTTCTTCAACTAAGAAATCAAAATTTATATTAAAAATGTCTCACTGCCAAAAGATTTCATTTCTCTTTGCTTTAAAAATTATCTAAACTAAATGAAATTTCCTCTACTTATTAAGTTTCTTTTAAAAAGTTGTTACAAATCATGATCCAAAGTTCATGACTAAGTATATATTTCAACAAAAAAAGACAATACATTTAATAAACTTTTAATGCTGAATTTTACCCTCTTAATGATGAAAATGAAGGAAATGTTACCTGGAATGTAGTCTAGCTAGAGACATTTTGAAATCTTTGAATGCATCACGATGTAAATCAAGGTTGACAAATTAAATTAATCATAGATATTCATGCTTTTTTTCCAAATGTTCTTTCTTCGGAAAAATTAATCATTTTATATATTGACTTTACTGAACTTTCCAATGATAAATTATTATTATTATTTATCAAATATTGTATCAGCATTAGTAAATTTAGCCATTTACCTTCGATATCATAATCTTTATAGAATAAAAACATTGAGGAGGCAAAAATCTGCGTGCTTTGAAAATCATAAGCTATGAAATCTATTCAAAGTATTCAATTTTATGCAATTATAAGCTTGAAAATTCATTATGTATAAATAAACATATCATGCAACTCTATACATTTTGCTCTGTTCCGTATAATGGAAGTAACAGATTTTCCGATCTCTTCATTTAAAGGCTTCTCGAAAATTTCACCAAGAGCTTTTATTCTAATATTCTAGTCACTTTTGAAAATTGCTTAAGCCTTTTGCAAAGGACATCCAGAAAATTGAACCATTATTTCATATTTTTATGGAATGGTTGTTGAGGAATGGCCATTGAATTAAACCTTTCTTCATAAACTTATAACCGACTATTAAAAAATTCTTCACTAAACGATAACAAAGCAAAAAAATAAAATCTTGAGACCTTGAGTGATAAGTGTTAAATAGAATGAAATTTAAAACAAAAAAATGAGAAATAAATGCGATAGTTTAAATTGTAAATCAAATGAAATTAATTCGATAAAAGATTCTTCAAAAGCATATAAATAATAAAAATAATAAAAGAAGAAATTAAACAAATGCTGTTGATAAGGTAAGAAAAGAAATTAAAATTGAATAAAACTTTATATAAAAAGATTTATTGAGTGGTAAAAATGATATTTGTGCTAAATATGGATGTTAAAACTCAAAAATAAACACTCAATTTGCAGCTAACAAATAACTCATCAATTCAACTTACTTTTCATTGTGAACATTTTCAGTTGATTCCTTTTTAATGAACGCCAAAATAAAAAATTCACTCCATTTTCCCTTTGAAACCATCTTACTGATCGAATCGTTTTTCTGCCAACAAAATAAACTTGAATAAATTGTACAGCATAACAAAAACAAAATGAAATTTTATGCAAACAAAGACAAAGGAAAAATATGCTCTGAATTATTATTTGTCCAAGCAAATGTGTAGAAAAAATATTTGAGAACCGTTTTTGAAAGTTTCTTCTTTAAATGAAAGAAAATAATTTGCAGATCGTGAACAATGTGGAAAATGTTAAAGGGAAAACTTTCAAATATTGGAACCTGAAACTGAATTGGAAAAACACACACCCAAAAACCAATAAGAAATAATCAAAAAATGAAACAAAATATGTGAAGAAATTAACATCCTTAAGAACAACTGAATATTCTCTTTCATTGAAAAATATAATAAATGAAATCAAAACAAAAAATATTAAAAATCAATAACAACTTTTACTGCAGCAAATCTAACATTTATTAAACATATCCATTATCACATAAAACAGACAGAATTATTTCAGATTTTTCAATTGAAATCAGTTTCTGTTACATAAGTTAAGGTAAAGTTTCCCCCATTCGAAAACTTATAAAAGAATTTCCATAAATCAGATAAAAGAATCAATGATTCTCCTTCATAAAGTGACAAATTTAAATTCTCGCAAATATTCTCACAAACATCTTTGGGTTTGAGATGAATTTTCAATGTTCCTTTCAGTTGAGATACTATAATTAGTCCAAAGAAAGTTAAGCTACTCTCATCACTTTCATAATTATCTGACAGCAACACCCACGCAGTTGAAGGAGCTTGTAAATTTTTCGGGTAAAAATATGGTTTTTTCATAATCAATCGCGATGCTTTCAGCTGTAAAAGATATAATTTAATAAAACAATTAATTTAATATCAAATCAATTTGTTAACTGCTTGAAATCTGCATGTTCGAAAGGACAAAAACCATGATGTCAAGTCGTTATATTCTCGTAGAATTCTAAACGCTTTTTCTATGTCTGCACGTTGTGTTATCATTAAGTTTGTTTCCAAGTCACAAGCTTTATGTTCGACTATGCTACTCATGTTGGAATATAAATGGCCAAGAAACTTTGCGAGAGATTCTGAAGACTCGTTGCTTTCAACAGAATCAGTTATTATTACAGGCAAACCCCGAAGCAGATACTTGTTGTAAAGCAGATTATACTTGGTGTTTTCAACTGCATCAATTACGTCTGAAGATATGAAAAATTAGTAATTGCATATAAATAGGAATTTATTTTATTATTTTACTAAAATGTTCACAAGCGCGGCAGTTTTTCGCATTAAAATTGTTTGATTTGAACCTTTGTGGTGGATTTTCAGCTTTGGCGATTAAGCATCTTGCATTTCCAAGATATCTCCAATTCCATATCGGAAGAACTTTGATGATTATAAAACGACTTAGAGCACAAAAAAACCAATTTAACGTATCAATATAATAAATACTGCAACATATGGTTGCGAAAATAATAGAAAATTTAACGAATTTCCAAATGACTTCATTAAACAAATAGCTTCTTAAAGGTCTTAAGATTTCTACAAGTTGCTTTTTATTTGAATTAGTCATTAAATCACACTGCACAAAAAATTCTTCAAATTCTTCATCCATGATCAAAATAACACTGCTCAGTATAAATTTGATGATTCTTTACAGTTCAATGATTTTATTGTATCCCTATCGCATGCGTTACTTTTACTGCATATCGTCTTTGAATAAACGAATGAAATGTGTGAACTTTTCATCATGAAAAGAAAATTTTAATTGGCAAAAAATTAAATATTTTCGATTCGTCTTCAATTTAATTGTCATTTGCTCCCTCAGAATTCCTGTTTTTATTAAATGAACTCCATTTTCATTCATTTTCAGTTGATTAATAACTTATTATCTCAATCGAACTTTTTTATTATAACAATTTCCATGAATTATTTCCATGATATTTCCAAGAGAATGTCTACAAATTCCTTGTTCTAAAAGTTTGTAGACATTTACAGTTGGAAATCAACAACCAAAGCAGCAGGACAGCAAACAAACTCTTCTCTAATTTTATTTTTCAATCAGAATTCTTCAATTATAAGCTGTTTAATAACCTTAATAACATTATAAATATGAGTAAGAGCTCTTCATCTCTTATCAGTACATTGTACAATGAAGGTAAAATGAAAATGAAGAAAAATAATCTTAGACTAACCTAAAAACATATTTTCAGACATAATGCATTCTCGAAAAATAAATCGAGTTTTCAGTTATCGTACTAACGCTTATTTTGGCTTTGATCCACCGCCAGATCCACCAAAAGATAAACTTCATTTTCATGTTCCCAAAGAGCGCTCCAAGTTAGTAACGCCTTTTGTAATCAACCATCAAGATCTTTTTAAGATTTTATAACTTGATACCTAATTGTTGCAAAATATTTCTATACTTATTCGCAGGTACACACCATTGCCTCGACGTGATTCATTATATGAAATCTTTTCGAATTCTGAAAATTTTGATCAAGTCTCTAACCACGAGCTTACCCAACAAACATTAACACAAGTCCGCATGATTTGATCTAGAATAATGTTAACATACCTTCCGAAACATTTTTTATATTTAAAACCATTAATTTTAGATAAGTACCTGAAGCTTGTTAATTTTTTAACTAAAATGTCATTGAAAAAGAGCAATTAAACTGGAAATGCCTTAGAGAAAAATATTTGTTTGCTTCTTATTATTTTTAATAATAGGTATGGTTAAATGCTACAATGGATGGAATAAGTAGGTATGTTGTTACAATCATATATGGTTTCTCCATTCAATAAAATAATGCATTATATACTATTTCGATGCATTAAATTTTAGAAAAAAATCTTGTATAAATATTACTTAAATTATCATCAATATGTGTATATAATGAGATGCTTCTTCTCGTTGAGATGCTATGAAAAGCTTATCAACAATAGAATTAGTTCCTTATGCATTAATATACATATGTTCATTTTGATTAATTAACATATTTTAAGGCCAAAACAGAAAAATATCTCAAAATGAAAAAGAAATTTTAAAAAAATTAACGACTTTCGAAATTTCAATTGAATGGGGCGAATTTAGTTTCACTCCCCTTTTTATTGAAATCGCTAGCAATTCGCCGCAAAATTCCTAAATAAATTTTTTCCGCGAAGTTTCGTGTTTTAAAAACGAAAACGAGTTGAAAATAACATTTCTTATCATTAAAAGTGATTGAGAGTGAGTGTTAAGGTGAAATCAATTTATATTGGTCAAGGGATCACCCTTATTTTGGTGATTTTCCGAAAACGAAAATATTCCTCGTGAAAAAAAGCGAATAAAAATTTCTCGAGCATAAAAACTGAACTCGAAGATTTTATAAAACAAAAAACATTAAAAACTATTCACTGTTATCAGTTCGTGTTGAGGATAAAATCTAGATATTCAAGTCCATCAAAATTCCGGCCCCAACCAGAGATAGAAGGGATCATTCTCCTGAAGACATGATGAATAAGAACAACAGAAAAACTAATAATGCTAGCCGTCCTTCGCAGGCAGGACCAGGGTAAGTTAATTATAATAAAATACATTTTTATTTCAAAACGTTTTCGCTTTTTATTTCTTCTTTTTTAATAAGAAATTAGAGCCAAAAAATCTCATGTACATTTAAATTTCCTCGTACAAAATGTGGGGCGTCTGTTGATGATGTAACGTTTACCCTGAAAATCACATTGCACGTGGAATTCGTTAATTAATAAAATTGAAAGTGAATGAAGTTTGAAAGATAATTTTGAGATATAATTTAGAAAAGTGTTTTAAGATCTCCAAAAGACGGCGTCATTTTAGAATTCTGCCTTCGATGCACACAAAGAAAGAAAATATGATTCGGATCCGCCATGATGTGATTTTGAGAATGCAAAAATTTTAAAACAAAAAAATTTACTTAATGAGAAATGAAATGGTTAAACACGAAACTTTAAGCACTTTCTTTTAAAATTTGTTAAGAAATTTCTTTTACAGTAAATTTTACGTTACACCTCCAATTATTTTTATTCATGAATTTTTTTTGTTTACGTTTCCTTTTTCATTATCTTTAAAAATTATTTTCTACATTTTTTGGAAATAGCTCAAGATCAAGACCTCAACCTGCTGAAGGCGTCTATAATAATTCACATTTCCTGCATGCCGCCACTTCGCAAGTAGGCAACAATGTTTGTGTCCAGACAAAAGGCGGTGTCATTGTTGAGGGAATTTTTAAAGCATTTTCTGAGAACTTCTCCGTAAGTCCTTAAAATATTTCTGTGAAATGCTTCAGAGATAACATTTTATTGTTCCGTAGGTTGCCCTTGAAGTTCCTCATCGGTATAAAAACGATGCTGATGATAAAAATATTAATGTAGAAACAGTTCAAGATAATTTAATTATTAAACTGTGCGACATTGTTACAATGCATGCCAAAGATGTTGATTTAGATTATGCGATTCGCGATACGTTTCAAACTGATACAGCAATTTCATCGCGTTTAAATGGCGCATTGCGTAATAAGGAGAAGACATTACAGCCTTGGTTGGACGGTGTTGATGCTGTAAATGGCGATATGGGAATCAGTCTCGAATTGGACTCACAAACCAATGGGTGGGATGCAAATGAAATGTTTCAATTAAATGAGAAGGAGCATGGCATTAAAACCACATTCAAGGATAATTTGGAGAATTACACAGTACAACTTGAGAAGAAAGATACAATAGACTTCCGAAAGCAAGAATTGGAAGCCGAGCGCATCGCAAATGAGATCGAAAGTAATCCTGTCACAAAAGATCGTTTGGATGTTGAGAATGGGGATGAAGAAGCAGCTTTTGCTGCTGTCAGTCGTCCATCAGAGGAGAATAATTCAACAAATAGCAACAGCAATAATAATAATGAAAAGATGACACCACCACCATCAGCATCAGCTTCGTCACAGAAATATATTCCTCAACAGAAACGTAACGATCGTAAAATGATGACGACAAATACGAAGCCGATGTATTCAAAGGCAATGCAGTCATCAGGACTGAACAATCCACATGGGGGAATACAATCAAACACTGGACCACAACCAGTTCAACAAACAATCAACGCTGGTGGATTTAAAACAATGACAATCAATCCTCCGCCACAATACACTCATCAGCCTCCACCTTCGCATTATGTTGCTCAACAACAACAGCAGCAGCAACAACAAATGCATAATCAACAAGGCATGAACAATAATAACAATAATAATGATGGTGGCAGTAATAAAATGAATGGAGGTGAGAATAATAATAATAACAATAATAAGGCAATGCCACCACGCACGATGAGAATAATGAATCCTCCGATTCCTGTGTCATTCAATGAGCCACCACCGCCATTGAATCAAGTTACAAGTCAACACATGGGAAAGCCACCAACGATGGGAATTCACATGCCACCTCCACATCTTCAAAATGTTGCTGATGGTCAGCAAACAATTCATGTTGTGACACAACACCCGGTTGTGTTGCCACCGCCGACAGCTGTTGTTGTTCCAACACTTCACATGCATCCAGCACCACAACCGCAACGTCCACAACGTGATCCAATGATGCGATCACGAAACGATGAAATTCGTTCATTGAGAACTTTTCATAATGATTTTTCACTCGGCTCGTCAGCTCCACCGGGTCAACAGCAAAATGTTCCACCTCAAGTGCCCAATTCACAGCAGCAACAACAACAGCAAGCTGCTGTGTCACAACAACGACCGGATATGCAAGATAATGGACAAAATCCAATGTCACATCCACCGCCATCAACACAAAACATTGAAATGGGAAAAGTTCAACAGCAACAACAACATTCAAGTGGAGTTGGTGGTAATAATAATAATAATAACAATAGTCAACATCATAATCAGCAACATCATCCAACTCCATCGTCGACGCCTCATGCCGATAAAACGCATGGTCAAAGCTCAACAACGCCACCTCAAGCGACAACACCTCAAAATAGTGTAAATAATGTAAATAATAGCAGCAATAGCAGCATCAGCGTTGGTAACAACTCAAATTCAAATGAAACAACACCGCCGTCTTCATCATCTTCATCATCGTTAAACGATAAACTTTCATTGGGAGGAACAAAGAAATTTACTTTGAATCCACAAGCAAAGCCATTCACTCCACGTAGTCCAAGTACACCGACACAGTCGAGGTAAACATTTGTCTTAATTTTGTTTCTAAGTAATTAATTTAAATTCTTTATTCAGACCACACACTCCACAAACACCTGGACCGATGGCTCAACAGCAACAGCAGCAACAACAACAGCAACAGCAGCAAATTCCTCAACAACAACAGCAACAACAAGTTGCTTATGCTCCTGCTGGCGCTCCGCTTGTTTTATGTTATGTTCCTCAACAAAGACCAACGCCTCCACCAATGGCTGTGCGAAGTAACAGTAAGTTTCGTCATTTCTCATAATTTTATGTTGACAAATGTTTAACAAATTTTATTTCTCCTTAAATATTAGAATTCCAACCTTTTCAAGTATCACAAGCAACTGGACAACCAATTTTCAATCCTCCAGTTCATCCTCAAGTGATGCAAGCTTACAATCCACATGCACATCAAATGCAGACAGTTCAGTCACAGTCATATCCATCAACAGCGATTAGAATGTATCCTGGTCATGATGGTCAGCAGCAAGCTCATATAACTTCATATTTGGTGCCAACACCACCTTCAACAACACCATCGCCTGGTCAACCACATCAACCGACTTTCCATCCTGGTCCACAACCATCGCCAGCTGCTGGTCCACCACAACAAGGCTTTCCCCCACAAGGACAATATGTCATGTTTATGCCAAGCTACGCTGCTCCACAATTTGTTAATTCCAATCAACATAATCCACAACAATTACAAGTTGTTATGTCCCAACAGCAACAGCATTCGGCCCAGTAGCACGCTCTTGATGGTGAAGTGAAATTGATGACTGCAAATAAGAAATTTAAGCATATGAAAATCGAACCATCAATGACACAACAGCAACAACAACCGTCTCACCATCAGAATCAGCAGCAGCAAAGTAATAATAATAATATTAATAATAATCAACATCATCAGCATCATCATCATCATCATCATCATCAACAACATCAACAACAACAGCATAATCATAATCATAATAGTAATCATTACCATACATCGACGATGCATCGCAAGTCATCATCGTCATCATATTATAGTCATCATGTTGGTCATTGAGAGAGCGAAAATTAGCGCGAGAGAGAGAGAGAAAGAAGAATCTTTTAATAGGAAAATTTGGGAAAATTTAAAGAAGAAAAAGAAATTCTCTCAACAAAAAAGCAAATCGTATGAAAATTTTTGTTTTTCTTTTAGTTCTTGTTTTTGTAAATTCTTATTACTTAAAGAAAAAAAAAAGGAAAGAAATATTGATGATGATGAAATGCGAAGAAAGAAGGAAAAAGAGATAAATTAATAATTTTACTGCCGCATGTGTAGTGAAAGGAAAAAAAATGAAAAAAATTTCTGTTGATAAGATTTAACTTGAAAGAGAAATTATAATTTACGATAGAATCGTTCCCTTAAGTAGCTTCCCATAATTTCTTCTTCCCCCCGGAAAATTTCTTGAGAAATAAAACAATAAGAGTCGAATGATTCCTGTTGATTTCATTTTTCTTCTTCGCACTTAAAGCTTTTTTTTCTTTCCATTTCTTATCACCATGAAAATAGTTTTTAGATAAGCATAGGAAGAAAGAAAAAAATAATTGACAATGTTATATAAATGGCGAAAAAGAAACGCGAATGCGTAAAATGATAGACTTGAGAAATTAATTAATTTAAAAAAATGGGGAAATCTACTCAAGCCGCCTCCACAAACTTTCTTTTTTTCAATTTGAAACTGTGTAAAAATTGAATCGATTTAAATAAAAGAAAAAGAGACAAAAAAATGTGCGAGTAATTGAAAAATTAAATTATATTAAAAATTGACAGAAAAAATTGCTTATTAGATGAAAGATTACAATTCATCGACGATAAGCAAGAAAGTTGTGAATGTTTTTCATACATAAAATAAAAATCAAAAAAAAAAATGTGAAAAGGAAGCAAGAAAAAAATCAAAACTGTGACAGAATTTTGGCGGCAAATCAGCGAAAAATATCCAGAAAATGAAATAAATGTGAATCCTGGAAGGAAAACAAGCACGAAGGTAAATAATCGGATGAGATAATCTCAGGATCAGTGAAAAACTTTATTTTATTCTCAATAAAAAGAAGAAATAAATAAAAAACTATGATAGAAGATTACATAAAAAAGAAAACAGTTAAAGACTTGAAAAGTGTGAAGACTAAAAATGGATAAAAAATGAAAATTTAATTCGATAAATAAATTCAGAAAAAAATGAATCCACATGAAAAACATGAAAACGCCAAAAGAAAAACAAAAGAAAGTTGACTTTTATTCTTAACTCTATTTCAGATATTTGTTATTAATCTCAAAGTATTCGTCTGCATAGTAACTCAAATTTAATCCTCCCTTCATTTTCCTAAGCAAATGAAACTCTTCACGACAAATTTTAATGAATGAGTCGGAAACTTTCATAATTTTGTCATCTTTTCCAATGTCAATGTAAACTTTCATTGGCTTTTGATATCTCAACTCTTGATAAATTTCAAGATGCTTTAAACTTTTCTCAATGTAATGTAGATTGTAAATGATTTTATCGATTTCAGATTTTATAGTTTCAATCACGTAATAAACTTCAAAGTGCGATAAAATCAAAGTTGAAATTTTCGGATTGTTTTTGAAAAAGTTTTCCCAATCTTCAAACTTTAAGAATGGATGAATGTTTGTTAAATGAAGACTTTGAAGATTATCAAGTTTTATATTTTGTAGAAATTTCACTTTAGAGTTATCGATGTGAAGACTTTCAAGCTTTTTCAGATGGACGAACGCCAACATTTGATCGGATGAATCTGTTTTAATGTTAACAACTTTAAGCTTTCTTAACATGAGAAGTTTCATGGCTAAGTAGTTGATCGTCTGCTCGATTCCGTATTGATTTCTTGTGACTAAAATCAGCTCTTCTATCTTTGAGTTTCCAACTTTTTTAAAGTCGATGTTCTTTAAAGTCACAAAGTTTGTTGAAAGTGCCAAAGATCTGAGATTTTCCATCGCGAAGACAACATTGAAGAATTCTTGTGTTTCAACTTCTTTGTAAACTTCCAAAGATTCCAATGAAACGAGAACTTTAAAGAATTCCAAATAAAACTCATTGTAAGTCACTCGATGATTCAAGATGAGTCGTTTGAGTGGAAAACGAATCATGTAACTGATGTTGTGTTTAAAAAGTGACTGATACAAGATGTTGTTGAATCCCGAAAGTTCCAAAGTGTCCAAAGTTTGTTGCGACCACAAAAGTTTGACAAACTCATCGGTGACGTTGTAATGAGAAAAATCCAACCGCAGATGCTTCACTTGAAGTTTCTTCAGGTAAAGCCGAACAAGTTTTCCAACTGCTTGTGAGTTGTCCAAGTCTAATCTCATCAATTTGTTTAGTTTTATAGCGAGAATCTTAAATTTCTTATTGAAAATTTCGGCATTTAGATGAATATTCGCAAGTTTTAAGCTTTCGATGTTTCTCATTAGTTTTATCAATCCCAGAAATTCTTCGGGCACTTCAAAGTTGCAATAATCAAAATCGAGAATCTTGACAAACTTTCCAGATTTCTCAACAAAATTCTGATTCTCCATCCAATCCTCATTTAATGTTAGTTTGAGCTTTCGCATTGTGATTGACGAAGCGATGATAACATCTCGAAGCCGATTACAAAAATTTATCAACACTTTCAAGTCTTCTTTGCTTAAATATTCAAAAATAATTTCAAGCAATTCAAAAGGCAAATCACACAACGAAACATCTTCCAGCTCCATCTTCTAATAACAACAAAGATTTCTTTATTTATTAATTTATTTAGAAATAAATGTAAACTCAATGAACAATTCTTCAAAACTAAATTTAATTTATTAATTCATATTATTGTTGCTTCAACGTTCAAAGTCATTGTCAAGCTCAAGATTCATTCATTCATTGATCTTCAATTTAATCAAAAAAGGTTTGGTTTCAATATTTTGTCTCGTTCGTTTATATTTTTAATCATTTAACAATTACTTAAAGTGACGTTATTTTTGATAAAGTTTCATTTAATACAAACAAGTAATTAAAACAGAAAATTAATTGCATCATAGCGATGCGCTTGCACAAATAAATCTTTACACATTTTTGTGGCGTAAGACGAAAGTCGAAGTCGTTTGTGTTTGATATCAGCGACGATTTTGAGGCAATCGAATGAATCATTTTGAATGATTTTCAGATACTTTAATTGTTTTAAATCCCTGAGTAATATTCCGATGCTGTTTTTGATGGCTGTCATTGTGTTGAAGTGTGAAATTTCTTTGATGACAATTTCTTGTATTGTTGGATTGATTTTCGTGACATTTTCCCAATCAGTGTAGACAAACGGATATAAATTTCCAATTTCTAACTTTCGAAACTTTGGAATTTTAATATTTTGAAGGCATTCGATTTTGAAATGTTGTACGTAAATATTCTCGAGACGCGATAACGTCGTCAAAGCATCACAAGGAAACTCCAACATGTACTCAAGCCTCAAAGTTTTAATATTTGGAAATATTTTTAGAAGTAAACTAAACAACATTGAATTATTATTGACACCAGTTAGACAGAGATCGCGTACATTGCGATTGACATATCGATCAACTTCATTGAGTGAATTCGATGGAATCAGCTCCAAAGGAATGCACAACTTTCTAACGCGCAAATCTCTCATCAAATCAAATGTGATCTTAAATCTCGTGAAATTGTCTTCGTACTTTCTTATCTCAAGTTCTTCCAACTCGTGTTGCGCTTTGAGGAACTTTGAGAGATTCTCACGATGATCACCACGATAATGAATCGCGAATCTCTTCAATTGAAATGTCACAAGCTCACTCAAATCAATCTCAAAAAGTGACGAAATGAAATTATTGTACGTTAAACTCTCGGTAAAGTCATCGAACAAAAAGCTATCAATAAATTCGTCGAACACTTCGAGCGTCTTTAATTTTCTTTGTTTGCACAGGAAGTCAATGAATTCGGATGAGAACTTTTGCATCGGAAGTTTAATGAACAATTCTTCCAAGTCTTCCGTGTTGATGTGTCTTAAGATTTTCGAATCGAGTTGCGTGATGTAGCCCCAAAATTTCGATGAGATTTTCACTGACTTTAAGCTAGTAAACGAAGTCGAATCACTTTCATGACATTCTTGCGACGTTGAACTTTCATTCTCATGTTGCTTAATGTAAATGTAAAAAATGTTGAGCTTCTCAACTCTCGGAAATAAGTTGAGGAACTTCTTGAACTCCTCAAAACTGTCGAATGAACAATAATTCATTTTCAATATTTTAACAAATTCACCATAATTCCTAGCAAAGTCAATCTTGTTCATCCAATTCTTTGACAATGTCATCGGTAATCTTCGCATTAAACTTGAATTACTAATAATTAGCTCGCGAAAACGCTTTGAAACACTTAAAATCTCTTTCAATGATTCACGATCAAGATAGTTGAAGATCTCCAACAATAATTCGTTCGGTAAGTCGTCCATGATTTGTGAAGGAAAAAACTCTTTTTCCTCTCGTCTTATCGAAGATCTAAATAAAACTAATTCAAAACTTAGACGAGAGTAGTGAGAAATATTAATCTGTGTACTTATTTCTTTAATTAGAAATAGGACTTTCCTTCTTCTTTTTTATATAAAAAATATTGAGCGCATTATCATCACATGTGCTCAACAAACAATGAAATGATCTTTAAAGTTTACAATCAATCGATGAGATTTTAATTATCTCTGCTTTTCTTTGTAGTTTTATTGATTCCCAATTAAAACTGGATTCATCATTCGTCTATCGTCTCGTAAGTGTTTACAGAGAAAAGTTCAACGATCCACAAAATAATATTTCTTTAACGTCATGAAAATATTTCGCGGTCGTTTGTCTAGTCGAACAAGTTTTGTTGTTGAGAGATGACCCAGTAACATTGCGCTCTTTCTTTGAGATTAAATGTGACATATTGAAGATGAAGTGGATTTAACTGGCTCATCATTTCCAGTTTACTCATTTATCAATGATTTAAATTGTTTATTAAGGTTTTAATGAAATAAGAAGAATGATTTCAGCCTTGATCAACTCAGATTCATTCTACGCCTTTTGCGTTCTCATCTGATTTGAGCGTGTTGACGATTCAAAGATTAAAACTTTTTTTTTTTTGCGATCGTTGCCTTTGTTATCAGTGACGACAACTTTGCTTCTATAAGTTAATTGCGCAATAGGATTTTCATTCAAAAGATCGACGAGAAAGGAGATTTAATTTCAGTTTTAACTTTAGCTTTGAATGAGAAAGATGCAACTAGAAAGTGTTTTACCGGAAGAAATTCTTCTCGAAATATTCAGTGAAACTGAGTCAAATGATTTAAAAAAGTTTCTCGAGATAAGTAACGAGTGGCGAAACCTGTTGATACAAAATGTGAGAGTTATGAGAAAATTGCCGTTGATGATGATGAATGAAACGTGGAAGGAAAAACTAAATTTCGTGGAAAGTTATGGAAAATACATTCGAGTGATCGAATTCGTTGAAACAAACTTCGCATCGTTAGATGATGTAGCGAAAATTTTACAATGCACACCAAATGTGGAAAAACTTTCCTTCATTCGGGTGACGAATGCTGAAAGTCAGGAAAATTCCGATCAACGAGAAAATGATGAAGAAGAAGAAGAAATAATTAAAAATCAGGAAATTGTGTCGGAGAAAATTGTTTTGAAACGATTAAGAAAAATTGAAGTTATAGATGATCAAAGTGCAAACACACTGAATTTTATTGCGACGCAACTCGAATGTGGAATCTCAAGTTTAAAGTGCACTGTGAACGACGACAATGAGCTGAAGATTCTCGAAAAAATTTTACAGAAAAGTCATCGATTAAAGGTTTTGGAATTAACATCACAAGTTGACAATGGATTCACTCCACCGATTGAATTGTCATCGGAGTTTGATTTTCAATTAGAAAAGCTTTCAATTAAGACGCCCATCATGAAGCATAATCAACAACTGATCAAGTTCATGACAACGCAAAAATATTTGAAGGAAATCGAAATCATTTCAAATCACGTCGATTTTGTCTACCACCAAATGATTTTCACGCAATTTCCTTTTGCGAAATCACTTTCGTTCAACATTGATAATCTCGCATCAACTGATTGTCTTGTGAAACTACGAAAAGTTCTACCGAATAAAAATCTTAAAAGTCTAAATTTAAGCGGTAAAAATTTCCATTTGAACATTTTCGATGAAATTCTTCGAATCGCTCCAAAAACCAGCAAACTGCATGTGGAAAATTTTACACATTTTATCAGCGATCGAATGCAAACTCTGCCATTGACGTATTTGGAAGTCGGTTCTGGCCATTTTGAGTATTTAATAACAAAGAAAGAAATCGAAATTAAATTAATTAACGTCATTCCAATACATTCTCGACAAATCTACGAAAGAAACCTTCAAAACTTTTGCGATCTTACTCAATTCTGCGATAAGAACAAGGACATTGATGTCTGTGAATATTAACTAAAGGAACATTTATGTAAAATTATTAACAAATTTCAATAAAATGCTTATCAATTTAACGCTAAAAACATAGAAAGCTTTATTTGATTAGGAACAAAATTTTCAAATGAGCAATGAAAACCTTGAACTGCTGCTAATGAAATGCGTAGGTAATATGATATCAAATTAATTATCTTTCATTATTATCATCATTCCCAAATTATTACCACCTGTGAAAATACTTTCCGAGAACACAGTTTCAAACTTATTTGATTAAGATCACAGGCACACACATAAAAGCTATTAAAACAAAACTCCAATTTGTTCTTAAATTCCCTCTCAGACTGAGAGTCTCAGTGATGATGGTCTGAACATGTCTTCTTTTATGGTTCTTCTTTTTTGTTGATTTCTGATTAACTTAAATTTCATTTGCGAGCTTGCGTTTGTTTTTATTGATTTCATTCATACCTGAAATTTATTGACATCATTTAATGCTTAAAGAAAAATGAAATAAACTTTTCAATTTTTTAGATTCAATCATTTATTGTGTCATCACTCATAATTAAATTTATTAATTCAGTTTATCATCAACAATTCATCATTGTTTTTATTTAATTAAATTAAACTATTAACTAAAAGCTTATTTCTTTGAAAAATAAAGTAAAAGAAAATTTTCCAGAAGTTGGATATGAAAATTTTCTTTTCCAGCGTTTTAAAGTTTATCAATTTCAAATCATTCACACTTCGATAATATCACAGTTGGCGAAAATGTCTTTCAAAACATTCACATATTCTAAACAATGCTGGGCGAAATATTGCGAAACTTTGATAACTTTTTCATCATCGGAAAAGTTTTCAATGATAATTTTATAAAAAGGATGTTCATAGAATTGATGAGCGTCTTGTTGGTCTTCATCAGCATTCACCATCGGCTCTTGAAGTGAACAAATAATCTCACAATATTTCAGTTCCTTAAAGTTAACAAGATTTTTGATAATTAATCCAATTTCTTTTTTAATCGATGCATTAAGCTTAAAATGTCCAATATCTTTAATTATCAACTTTTCAATGTTGGGACAACTTTGTGCAAAATTTTCCCAAAGGAAACTCATTGCCATTGGAAAAAGATATGAAATTTCAACAATTTTCAGACTTGGTAAGTTTACAAACAGCATCGTCTCGATACGAAAGTTTTCTGCTTTAAGATGTCGAAGGTTTGAGAAGTTTTCTAAGATATCTTTGAGTGAGAAGTACATAAGATTCTCAGCTCTTAGGACTTCAATGTTGGGGAATATTTCAACTACTGTTTTAAACGAAGCGACATCGTCATTTGCTCCGATAAGTTCCAATTCTTTTAAAGATGGAATTTTACAGTCTTTGATATCGTTTACTCGATCATCAGTGAGAAACCAATCTGTTGGTAAGGTCAATGATGTAAGATTTTTAAAGCTGTTAAATATTAAGCGATAATAATGAAAGTTTATGTTGTAGCAAGTCAGATCCAACTCTTTTAAGTTTCCAGCTTGTGAACGGAGGAACTTTGAAAAGTTTTCATGGTAACCAAGCTCACATTCAAGACAAAACTTCTTCAGCTTGAATTTTATTCGATCACTACTAATGTTGTTTTTGAACAAGCTTTTGAAGACCATGTCGGACCAACCAACGCAATGAAGTTCTTCAAGACTGTCTTGTTGGCATATAAAGTTGGTGAAGTAATTCACAGGACTTTGATAATAAAATGTAATTTTAAATGTCTTAAGAGTTGTACAAGTGCGAAGATTTTGAACGACTTTCTTTGCAATGTTGCAGCTGTCAAGATGAAGAAATGTGAGTTTCAATAAATCAAGAGGATCTTCTTCTTCAGAGTCACTTGAATTTCTCGCAGAATCGATTTCGTTGGAAACTTCATGATGATTCTCTTCCTCATTATTATTATTCTCATTATTAACTACAAAACCATCAAAGCCATAAGCATTTCCTAAGATAGCATTAAATCCTCTTTCTTCATTGTGAATTTCTTGAGCTTCCAAGATGTAGCAATTATAGAAAATCAATGTTTCAACATTAGGCGTCTGTATTAGAATATTTCTAACATCTTTAATAGATTTAAATCCACAATCGTCAAACTTTATGGAGCGGACAAAGACTCCATATTGTTCAATAAATGAAAGCTTTGTTTTCCAGGATTCATTGAAGAAAATTACAGGAAGTTTCCTCATAAGTTCAGGCGTTTTTATAATGAGTTCTCGAAATTCATTTGACACAAGCAAACATCGTTTTAAATTGTCCTTGTCAAGATGACAAAGGATATATTTCCAAATTTCTTCCGGAAAAATCATCCTGAAAATTAAGTTTTAAGAGTTTATTAATAAACTTGAGGAAATAAATAATATCACATTTTTTTATTGAGGAAACTTACTGTGACTCCGACAATTATCAATTACTGAAGGGATATTTTTGGCAATAGTAGAATTTGTTTGGTGCTTGATCTGACTGATTCTGTACTATTTATGATACTTTTCTTCTACACAATCATAATATTACGAAATATGTAATTATGATCTCATTTTTTTTTTCATTTTTTTTTATTCAATAAAACAATTTGATCACGTTGTCCTGGAAACGTTTTCTTTTCTTATCCACAATCAATCAATTAGTTATACAATTAGAACAGTGAAATCTTTCTTTTCAGAATCTTAAATATCGAAAAATCACAAATCTCTTTGTAAAGAATTTTTTTTTAGTAAATAACATTTGTTGCTCAGTGTTCTAACTGGGTTTTATACTCCTTGTTGCTCACTTTTAAAAAAAACGTTAAAGTGAATTTGTAAGTTTATTAAAAATATATTTCAGTCGATGCGATGTAGAGATCTACAATAAAATAAATGCACTTTAATTTATGTTTGTCACTGTTAAGTTTATTTTAATTTTTTCTCAAAATGTTTATCGTTACAGTTAGTTGCAAATTTAAAAAAAATGTTATCATTTTTCCTTTCTTGTTTTGTTTTTTTCCATCTAATTAATCAATTTGATGCAATTACGCATAAAATATTTTTTAATAACATTTATCATCTGCGTTATCAGAAGATATTACAGTTAAAAATGTGTTTATATTAATTTACTGAGTGCCTTTAAACTTTTTTTATTTTGTTTATGTTTTTTTTCTTCTTTCTTCTTCTTTTACTTTATAACGTTCTCAGGTTCATTGTTTCCCCGATAAGCTTTTTTGTCGTTTCTTCGTTTAGCCAATATATTTAATACAAATATTAAAAATCTCACAAATGAATATCATATCAATGGTCACTCAAAATTCATTAACATTACTTCTTCTCATATACTTTTCACCAAATTCACAGTTCTACATAAAACTGTTCACTTGATCGTCTTGTTCTTTGCTGATGCCAGCAATTCACATTTCAACTTTTTATTTTCTTCTTTTTCGTTTTTTCATAATTCTCAAAATTATTCTTTTTCACAAATTCTTGATACAACCAACCAGTAAATTATTTTCAACTTTTACACTTCACTAATTAAAGTTGCTTTGTTCGCGAGTTTATCTGAAATACTGTTGCTGTTGTTGCTGTTGATTCCAGTTTTGTTGATGCTGCTGTTGTGGTGGCGCTTGCTGTTTGGGAATGAATTAATAAGCAGAAAAGACAGACATTAAATCAGTAATAAGGCAAATGACAACTAATTAAGCTTACAGAAAAATGACCCATGTTGTTAAATTGTTGGTAATAATTATTCGACATGGCTGATGATGAGCTTGCACCATTGTTATTAAATTGATGCCCACTGTAATTCATATGTTGATTGTAAAATCCATGCATATCCTGAGTGTGGTGAGACATTTTCTTAGCTGCTGAATGTGAGTTCATTATGCCAGTTGGCGGTGCTAATTGTTGATTTTCGTTCATTCTCGGTTGATGAGATGAATGGAACACTGATTGATTATATTGTTGGTTCAGTCCATGCTGTTTTGATGGATGAGACATCACTGGTGATGGCTGACCCATAGAGTCCTACAAAAAAGATTTTTTAATTCTTCTATTCTCAAAAAAATTAACGACGATAATTACTTTTCTTAAATGAGAATTTAATTGATGCTGTCCAACGCCTTGTCCCATTGGTAAAGATGGTTTTTCAGTCGGTTTTATATCTTGCGTTGCCGGAGCCGAGATCGGAACGTGGCGATGGTTAATATGCGCTTGTAAGTCACGCTGAGACAAATAAGTTCTTCGACAGCCCGTTTTACCATATCTTGTGCCTCCATGAGTGCACATAAACACAGTTCCCAACCCAGTTTGTTCAACACGAACCACTTTTTCTTTACAACGCGGGCACTGCTTAAGTAAAGCTTCGGTCCGAGCGCATGTTAAACAAAATACATGTTTGCACTGTATCATTCTTCCGTAAATCAAAATAGGCTTTTCGCACTGATCACAACAGTAAATCATAGGATTGAGAACTTTTTCACCAATTAAATTCACTTTATGATCCCAATTAAGACGAAGCATGACTTGTGGTACATTCCGCTGGATTGTTGTGAAGGAAGGAGCCTCAAGCTCCAGCGACATGTCACTCTAAAAAATATCGTGTGAAAATAATGGACAATGATTACCTTCTGTAACTTTACCTCTTTCATTTCAATTGGGACATCTTGTGCTACTGTAGCAGCCTGCGTGTCAGTCGTATTGTCAATTTCTGGCTCCATATTTGTTGCTTCTGTCTCCACTGGATTTGTTTCCAATTCATTTGACTCTTCTGTATCGGAAACAACAACACGTGGCTTTCTTCCTCTTTTTCCTTTACCGCGACCACCTCTCGACCCTTTTGGTCGACCACGATTTGTAGTTCGTTCCATTTAATTCGATTACGAGACTGATTTCACCTAGCTTTTATTATTGTGATCACTAATTTGATGATTTTTTATTATTTGACTTTTTTTGATGCTTTTCTTCAAAAATATTATTGATTTTTATTGACAAATCATATATTATATTCTTTTTTCACTAATCACGCCCGGCAGATGACTTACATGCATAGAAATAACACTTTTTAAGATTTTTTCTATGGTATCTGAATCTGGTCAGAGTTTACAGTAAGGAAAAAGAGTGGTCATGTGTGTAAAGAGGACTCTGAAATGTAATTTGAATTTTCAAAGTTCGTTAAAAATTTATATGCTCATAAAAATTGGTTCAAAGGATTGAAAATATAAATTTTAATTAAAACTACAATTTCTTTATTGTCAATTAATTCGTACATTTATTAAAATTTAGAAAGGTGTTAAGAAATAATTAAATAAAGATTATTAAGACCTACAAGTATTTTTGAAAATAGTAGCAGCAATTTGACAAGATTTTCTTCAACATTAAATGGGTAGGTAAATGTAACTAAACTCAGTGAAAAGAAAAAGATATTAAGACAATAAAAAAACCAAATGTCTTTTGGCTTACACACTTTTATAGAATTTCTTCTGAGATTAAAGAAAACTGACAAGTTAATCGAGTTAATCTTCAACCGAATGCTATAATCTCGGAGGGATTACTGTGGGTAATTAAAGTTAATTGATATTTGTAAAGGATTTGTTAAAATTTATTTTTCATTCAATATGCAAAGCATCATCATAAATAAAGAACTTTGCTTAGATAGTTTTTAATGTTTCGTTTCTCCTGTCGTCATGCTACAAATGTGTATATTCATTTTTATTTCGTCAAACTATGACTGGTGGATGAATGAAAGAAAAAAGTAAATTTATAGTTATGGAAATCTTCAGCATCTTCGTTGAAAGTTTCCATTAATCATTTACTAATTCAATTAGAAATCAATTTACTTTATTCTATTTATTCTATGAAAACGCATAAAACACAAACACTCCACACTTTTTCTCCCTTCAAGGAAATTCACTTAAAATTTCAAAATAAGAAAAATGCATTCACATGGAATCACATAAAAATCTCATTTCATACATATCCACCCTCTCAAATCATTTTTTAGTCGAGGGTTCCTTTTTCTGCTTAATCATATTCATGGTTATTTTTGTTTCTGTTTATTTTGCTGAACATTTTACAAACCAGTGTATTTAAGATAAAGCACAACATCCTAGCAATAACTTTTTAAGCAAAACATCACTCCTATTTCTTCCACCCTTAATCTGATGATCTAGAAATTATTATTGTTCAAATGACAATGAACTCAAAAAGTGCACAGCGAGATAATCAATTATTTTCGGAAGATGTGACGGAAATCGATGTTTCCGCATTTATTCCCAACATGGTACTTTTCTCATCTATTGTTGGTTTCATTTGTGTGAAACAAGGTGGAAGTGTGAAGAAGAGTGATAAATGTCTAATTAGCACGATGAAAAAGAAATGATAAATGAATTAGCATCATGTTGCATTTGAAGAAATGTGTTCTATTCAAAGCTGAATCACAAGCAAGATTATCTTCTCCAAAAAAGAAAAACGACAAATGACAATAATTTTTGTTTTGCTTTCTTAAACATTCTGCACACCAAGCTACACACAATAAGTGCAAGAATTTATGCAGACATTTTTCTCATTTGTCTTAAACTTTAAACAAGACACAACTTTTTTAAAATAATTTAAGAAAAAATATTCCTTGACGTCTGCAAAATAAAATTATTCGATTGAAGATTCTGCAGCCTAAAAATTCAAAACTGAAAGAAAAAAATTAAATTTTACACAAATTGATGAGCATTGGCCGATACCGTCCTTATTTTGCATATTCGTCTTGAATCGACTTGAATCGGCTTGAATCGAAGTGAAAAATCCAATGCAATGAAAAATCAAAACTACAGATGATCATTTAGTGATTAGTTTCAGGAATATGTTTAAAATAAGATGACATCGAAAGGAAAGAAACATTCGAATGCATCCTGTTACTAAATGCATGCAAAGAACGTTGACTCTGAAGTTCATGTTGCATCTGATTATTAATACAAAGCACGTGTTGCAATCATCGTCATCGTCATGCTTTGTCAAGTGTCTGTCGACTGATAAAACGCCAACGTTGACTAACTCATAATTGAAAACAAATTTTTGTCGTCATGATGTTTGAAAATAGTCATCATAATGCTAAAGTTAATTAAGCAATTTTTCACTCAAATGGAGAAAAAGAAATCTAATTGGAGTAAAATGTTTTATTTTTACAATCTTTGTATACCGTTTTAAGTCTCTTTGATGATTATTAATATCTCATGTCAAGATGTTCTTAAAAATTAATTTCATGCGACATTTGGAACGATTTTTTGCGCAATTTTATTTGTTTGTTGAACTTTATAAATTTTTAAAAGACGACCAGTGTTGCTTACGTCTTTAAAATACACAACAATGTGTTCGAGAATGAAAATGAAATATTAAATCGATAATTTCATTCTTCGAGACAGTTCAATAAATTAAAGGAAATCAAATTACGACCACAAAATTCAAAACTTCTTCCTTTGAAGTCGGGTAACGTTTGACTCTTTCTAAAACTTCAAATGTTAATGATGATGAATCACTTGTCGAGATCAAATGAATTTATTACATAATGTCAACAATCTCAAAACCGACATTTCTGTTTTTACAATTTCCACGCTAAATTTCCATCAGACAACACAAGTCGAACGGAAAATAAATTCCAGTCAAAGTTTATACATTTGAAGAAAATTTATGATCGCAAGATATTTTGTATTCTGCATGCTATGAGAACTTCTTTCCATAGGAGTGGTTGAAGTTGATTGTGTTGTGCATTCAGCAACGCCTTCTCTCAACACAATCACATGCGAATTGAACGTGGTTGAAAAACATGCGGGAAAATTCCTTTGAATGTATTTTTTCTCAAACGTCTCGCTCGGGGAAACATTTTCAAAAGGGAAGAATGAAAATTGTGTTATTGGGAAATTAAACATTGGAGCAGTGAAAAGTTTTCTTCCCGTGGTCGCAACTAACTAACAAAAAAAAATTGATGTTAAATTGTAAATTCGATGTGAAAGGCAGCCATCGAATTCAATTTTATTAATTTAAGTGGTTTGCACTTTTCTGCTTGTTAAAAGAGTTATCAACGAAAATATCCATTGACAGTTATAATTCCATTGTTGCTTATTTATTATACTGGGGAGGGGTTAAAGGTTCATCTTTAAAAATGCTCGTGCCACCGCATATGATTGAAGAACAATCGAAAATAATTTATCAAATAAACAAGTATTATGTGGAACGTGTACAAACTCGAATGACAATCATCGATAAAACGATTCGTGAAATTTGTCAAATTGTTCAAGATATTTTACGAGAGGTTGAAGTGCAAGAACCCCGCTTTATTTCAAGCTTATCAGAATGTAATGGAAGGTAAGAATGACCAAACATTTCAACCATTAAAATTGTCAATAACATTTGGTAATTTCAGATATGAAGGCATCGATGTTGTGTCTCCGAATGAATTCGAAATTGTTCTTTATCTAAATCAAATGGGAGTTTTTAACTTTGTTGATGATGGAACACTCCCTGGATGTGCAGTTTTGAAGCTCAGTGACGGACGTAAACGTTCAATGTCACTTTGGGTTGAATTCATAACTGCTTCAGGATATTTATCGGCAAGGAAAATCAGATCACGCTTTCAACCCCTCGTAGCACAGGCTTGTGACAAATGTGAATACCGTGACTTAGTGAAAATTGTGGCCGACACTTCAGATGTAAAGTTACGAATTCGTGAACGATATGTCGTACAAATAACGCCAGCATTCAAATGTTCTGGTATTTGGCCACGTTCTGCCTCACATTGGCCCATCATGAACATTCCATGGCCACATCCAAACCTTGTTGCTGAAGTTAAAATGGAAGGTTTTGATTTACTATCTAAAGAAAGCGTTATTTTTGCTGGCAAGAACGCAAACATGGAAGGCGATTCGTGGATTTTATCGTTCAATGAAGCTGAAAATCGATTACTTCAAGGTGCTTATCGTAAGCGCTGTTTAAGTATTCTCAAAACTCTTCGTGATCGACATTTAGATTTGCCTGGAAACCCAATTACTGCTTACCATTTAAAGACACTTTTACTTTATGAATGCGAAAAGCATCCCCGTGAAATGGAGTGGGATGAAAACTGTTTAGGAGATCGAATAAATGGAATCTTCTTGCAACTCATTTCATGTCTTCAATGTCGTCGTTGTCCTCATTATTTCTTACCACAATTGGATCTCTTTAAGGGAAAGTCACCGACATCGTTAGAAAATGCTAGCAAACATGTATGGCGACTGTCAAGGGAACTTTTGACCAGCGCTCGTGCATTAGAAAAATTGTAAACTTCATGAAGTTTTATTATTTGTGATTTAATTTGTAGTGAAATCATTGGATGATGTATACGTTAGTTATTAATTTGTAAAGACGAAACAGAAACTGTATACGATATTTTAAGCATAATTGGATCTTTTTTCATATGACATTCTAGTCTTGCACAATTAAAAGAAATTAATCAAATAATAAATGTCATTAATTACCCAAGGTGAATCTTTAATCACGGGCTTTATTAAATTTCTCTCGTTTCTCGTCGTTTTCTCGTTGCTTCATTAATTTAAGGAGATAAATAATGGCTGAATGTTCTCTGAAAATGTTTCGGTTCAAGGCGTTTTCGTCCATGCGCATTTAACATTTCCCGGCAATTTTTTCCTTTCTTTCTTTTTTTCTTATGGAGTCGTTAGGGGAGAAGAAGAAAATGGATCGATGGTAATACAATTTGAACAGAATTATCTTCTTCTAAAAGGTTGGGAGAAATCGATTTTTCACTTTCCCTCTCTTTAGACCTGAATCATGAAAGTGGAAAGTTGCAGCTTTGAAGATTTATTGAACCTTCAGTTATTATACTTATGAAAATTATTTCCCCACTCAACTTTGTTAAGCTTAAAACTCAGAAAAGAGACAAAGGAAACATCTTCAAGCACTTTTATGCTGATTTTTATGCAAAATATGTTCTGAAAGGTTTCCAAGAAATTATTAATCGAATTTAGTTTCTTAGTAAAATGTTTTTGTCATAAATTTATTGTGATTTCGTGTAGACCGTTGCTGTGATCAGAAAACCTAAACGTGTAGATGTTCAGAAATAAATTCACAAAACTCAACATCACGTTTAGATTATTTATCAGGAATTAAAAGTTAAGAAAGTATTTTTAACTGGAAAAAGGTGAACGTGATTTATCAATACGACCGAAAAAACATCTGAATGACTAAGAAATGGAACATAAATTTTCATGAACTTCATTCATTTAACGAAAATATTCTGTGTGACTTTGATCGGCAATTCTAAAACCAATTTAAATAATCTATGTATGAAAACATCAGAGAAGTATTTTGTATTCACGACGCTAGCTTGAGCTGAATTTTTATCAACGACATCAATCAGAAGTCCGCTTTTGAGGAACCTGAAAAAGAATTTTCATTTGAATTCTGCTTCGAATGTCTTAATATTTTCCAATGGAATGTGCAGTTACAAATTGCATCCACACCAAAGACCTAACAAAAAATCAAAGTAAGAATGAAACATATCACAATGATTAAAATTTGATGTTATAAACACATGTTCTGATGACAACAATGATAGAATATTAATCAGTTGACATCGAAAAAAGTTGAATACTTAACTAACTCAATGCTGAATTCAATCAGCACGTTATGCTATCATCAAATACCAATGTTAATTATTCTTCATTTTTTTTACAATAAGCTCGCAGCATTTTGCGGCGAATTAAATATCTGAAAGATTTATTGTCGATGTTTCTCAAGACTGGAATTCAGAAAATTAAATAAACTTTCAATTTTTTCTTCACTGAGTAACAAAAATGCTTTCTTGACTTTTTATTTTCTTCTTATTGGTTTACAAAAATGGTGGCTGAAATATATTTATGTTGGGTTTATGTTTAAAATATGTTCAGAATTATGAAGCATAAAATTTGATGATAAAACTTTCAAATTTTTACAATGTCATTCAAAGTTCTTTTTCTAAAAATGTTAATTATTCTTAATTAATTTGTTTATATGTTATAAAGTAATAGTACAAGCTAAAGACATTTATAAATAGGTCTAAAATATTTTATTAAAACTAAGCTAATCACAGTGATAAAGAAAATTATAAACATCTCAAAGCTCCTTAAACAGAAATTATTAATTTCATTGTACACAAATAACTTAAACATGTTTTGATTTAATTTGTTTTTCTTTTGTAGATTAATTCAATAAATTAGTCTATATGGGAGGAAAGAGAGAGATATTAACGCTCTTAAAATATTTCCCAATAAAAACTCAATTAAGCGAAGCAATTAATTGATAATAAGTGATGAAAATGTACGGCAATTCTTTTAAGGAAAGTTTCGTCTTTGAATTTATTTTACAACATTTTGTATCAAGCAGCACTTAAAATAATCTCCACAATATTTGCGATCAATAATTTATTAAGAAAAACAATTAAAGATCTCTCGACATTCAGAGAAGACAAACGCGATTCGCGAAGGAAGAACATTTCACGCCATTTATTGACACCAAGTGAATAATATAAACATAAGTAATCCCGAGGGAAGGGCGATGCAAGAAATTGTTTTTGCTTCTTTCTCTCTCACTTTTGTGAAATCAATTATAATAAAATTTAATGGTTATTGTTTAAATTGTTGTTTAAACTTTCCTTGTGCTTCTCTCTCCAAAGTTTTCGCTGTGCTTTCGAGCTGAAAATTTCGTAATTTGCATTCAGGAAAATAATTAAAATGAAACTGATTGTAAATGCAATGGGTTTGGGAAGTTCCTAAGTGTTAATTACCGTGTAATGTGTCATTAAAATAGGTTTGAGTATCTCATCACGGCGAATGGAATAAACAAAGAAAAATGTAAACTAACTACTAAGTAAGGAAAATTTGAGCAGTTTATTTAAACAATAACAAATGCTTTTACAAATGAGATCTCATACAATTTGGATGGAAAACAACAACTCAATTAAGCTCAATAATCGAAGATAACGACACGAGGTGTTTTCTGATTCACAAACGCGGCTTTTTACTGCAATTTACTCCAAAATCGTGCACAGTGCACGATATGCGATTTTCTTTTCAACAACCATTTAGCAAGTGAGTCGGGAAAAGGTTAAAAGAAAGAGAATAAAACAATTAATTCGCTTCTTATAATGCCGCGAGAAGAGAAAGGTGGAAAAAGACATGAAAATCGTGGTCGATTCAATCAGATTGGAAATTATGTGGGAATGTGAGAATCATGTCAGCGACATCTTAATCTTTCAACACTACTGCATCGATCAGTCAGAATAAATAAACAGAAACAGAATTCAGTTGAACTCATCACGTCCTTGACATTGTTTCTCTTGATCACATGCAAATGTCTTAACGTTTTATTCCAAACCGGTAAACATTAAATTGGCACTTCAAACTTGCTTTGTCTGATAGATACTGCAAAAAAGAATTTATAACATGTAAATGCCATATTTGATTTCACTGTTCGCTTCTCGTTTTGTGTTGTGTTGTTGGCAAACGCAAAAAATTGTTTATTTTTAGTTTTTTTTCTGCGGTTTTCATTCATTCTCGTTTGTTTGTGTAAAATGTTTAAAAACAAACAATAGCAATTTTTTATTACTAACAACGTGAAACTAAGAAATAAATAAATTGATAGAGCTCGGCTTAGAAAAAAGAGAAGATTTTAAAAGCATTTCAAGTTCCGCAAGAAGATCATTTTCAAATTCAATTAATCAACATCGTTCAACATTATCAGTTGATGATTTGCATAAAAATCTTTTTCCTACGTTTTAAGTTGGAAAGATTTTAATTCAACAGAAGTTCAAACATCAAATAATTTCCAGGGACATGAAATAAGTCTTAGTGCACTCCTCAGTCAAGCTATCTTAATGCATTTTAAATGCATAAATTCTGCAATAAAAATTGTCGTCCAAGATCGCATTCAATAAATTCAACTTTATCTACTCACATTAATTTTAACGCGCGGGGGAATAAAGCCAAAAATATTTCTTTCTTGTCTTGCGCTTGAAAAAAGTAAAAAAGGAAGAAAAAAATTGTCACAAAAGTTTATTGAAACACAAAAAGAGCGCGAATTAAAAGAAGAACTTTTTGAGGTCACAAATAAGTATCATGAAACAGATAAGCACAAAAATTTCCTTTCGGACTTTGATAACATTAAATAAATAGCGGAGTTGAAAGTTTGAATGCTTCTTTGAACTATTCGGCACTTTCTTAAACGTACAAAAACTTTCGACAATCCACGACAATCGATCGCGATTAAATATTAAATATACCTTGGCGGATGTTATTTGATCCCTTTGTTCATTTCTTATGAAAAACCATTTGTTCATTGTTTCTTTCGCGGACTGAAATGTCGTCTCGAGAAATTCACATAAAAACGACTAGAGTTGTCCCGAAAAAACTAAAATGGGGAACAACACGACATTCAAAAACATAATTTATTGTTTTATTCAATTTTTTACCGTTTAAGGGACGATCATAAATTTAAAATACTTTTCTCCTTCTCATTTTAAGAATTTTTGGTAATAGCGAAATAAAATTCTTTCCTTCTCAACTTTAATACAAGATTTTGAATGTAAATTTCGCAACGCCGACGGATTTATAAGGAAACATGTTTTGTATTCCTTTGTTTCAATTGAATCTCATTGAATGATGTTTTGCATGTAAGTGTAGGAAATATTTCCAAGTGACGTCTTTGTTAAACAAATGATTGACATTGAAGAATTAAGTAAATTTGAAACGACGTCATACATAAACATTTCCTTTTATAATCCTTTGAATTTCACGAAAAAAGAAGCTCAAAACAAAAACCCGCATGAATAAAAGTTGCTGATAGAAAAATTAACTTTAATGATAGGTGGTGGAATTTACCAAAAATAAAACAAAAATATTTTTTGTTTAATTAAATATTTGGAAAGAAGAGAGAAGCAAAGAAAATTCTTGCTGATATCGTTGCGTGCAATTGGCATTGCATCATCATGAAACTTTCCTGAACCTCTACATTCACATATAATTGATCGTTTCTTCACTTCAACAGTAAGACAATGCTTAACTTGAATTTCTTAGCACATTTTATCTTGGAAAACACTTTTGGGATTATTTATTTTTCTCTTCCATTTCAAAGCACTCATTTATTTAATGCTTGATTGAACACAGTCCATTATGCGTCTTTTTTATCTTTCTCTCTTTTTTTACGAGAACTTAACTTACGATAATCTCATGTTAATCCATATTTCACTGGGGTCTGAACGAAGCAGAAGATATTCTTTACAAATTCGTTTTTCTTCTCATCCATCATTTCTAAAGCATCCTTCAACCGAATGCGGCATTATCAAATTTCACTATTATTACAATTTTTCCACTCATCAACTTCTTTCATTCACTCATTGATTTGATGGCATTTTAATCCTTTTCGCTTGCTTATAATTCCTCGAGGCATCGAGAGTTCGTTAACATAATCCTCGTTAAACGCCAAACTTGCTTTGAGGCGTTCTCCAATGCACCTGGAGATTTGCCCTTGAATAAATCCATGTTGGGCAGGAAATAGTGCGGACAACGTCGACATTGAAGACATGAGATAAGTTGAAGGAAGATTCCGTTGATTCTATCGCCAAGACAACTCTCATCCCATTCGATTTCTCGTGGATGTTTCTCACACTCATAGAGAAGGAGAGTTTTCATGACGTATGAAGTGACTGGATTTCCTGGGAGATCGAGATGACGGTCCCGGAGAGTCTTAAGAATACTTAAACAACGTTTACGGAAGCTACCTGCAAATACAAATCAAAACATTTCACAATGAATAACTTTGAAAGTTTGTTTATAAATTTTGTAGTCTGATTGGCACAGTAACTTACCTTGTAGCAATTTATTTTCGGCTTCGACAAACGACAACACCCACGCATCACCTTCCATTGCACTATTTTTGCCTTGCAACGCAATGCACTCTTTTGACAGCATATCGAACCCTTCAGTCTTGACTTCAGCCACAATGTTAGGATGGGGCCATGGTATTTGTGGAAGTGGCCAATGTGCTGCTGATCGTGGCCAAAGACCAGCACATTTGAATGCTGGTGTTATTTGTACGACAAGTCTTTCACGTATTCTTAGCTTAACTTCGGTTGTGTCTGCAATCATTTTTACACAATCCCTATAAGCACATTTGTCACAAGCCTGTGCAACGAGGGTTTGGAAGCGTGATCTGATTTTCCTTGCTGATAAATATCCTGAAGCAGTTATGAATTCAACCCAAAGTGACATTGAACGTTTACGTCCGTCACTGAGCTTCAAAACTGCACATCCAGGGAGTGTTCCATCATCAACGAAATTTAAAACTCCCATTTGATTCAAGTAAATTATTATTTCAAATTCCGTCGGTGAAATCACTTCTAATCCATCATATCGACCATTATAGTCGTTTAAGGAAGAAATGAAGCGCGGTTCTTGGACCTCAACTTCTTTCAACACATCTTGAACAACGCGACAAACTTCCATAATGGTTTTGTGTATCGTTGATTTGCGCGTCTGCACGCGATCAGTGCAATATTTGTTCATCTGATAAATCATTTTCGACTGAGTCGCGTGCATCTCTGGTGGCACTAACATTCTCATTTGTTTATTTTTTTAATTAACTTTTTATTAAAAGCGGAAAATATTTTTTATAAAATTATTTTTCACAACCTTTTAATTTTAATTAATTTCTTTTTAATATATTTTTATCATGTTGAAAATTTATTTTTCATTCGAATTTTCTTTCACGCTGAACTTTTCTCCTTTTTAATAAAAAAAAATTGATTTTTCTAGCTTCCAGATTTTCTCAAACTTTTATATTTAAATGCCACGAAATGTGTTGCACGCGATGCCGAATTTTCCAGAAAATACGTTGTAACACGATCAAGGTATCAAAAGAAACTGAATGAAAAATATTCTCAGCTTAACTTTGATCACGGCACGCAATTTATTATTGTAGTTGTTGAAACTGGTTTCCATCTGTACGATGCTGTAAACAATATTTGATTATGTGAGGGTATGCGTTTATTTTCCACGTGAGGTCGATGGTGTGTGCTATTCATAATGTCAAGTAGTTGTGTAAGTGTGTGTTTACGACAGTAGCTTTTCAAAATATTTACACAATGCAATCTTCTAAGCCCCGCCTTCTGCCTTTTCTCATGCGATGGAAGTATTGAGAAAATAAATATCAGATATCTTTCAGTTCCGTTTCTTTAGTACTTTTTATTTTATGCACCTTTTGAAGTTATTCATTCAGGTGATCTTAAGAGGGCTCATTGAGAGAGATTGTAAAGAGGGATTTTATGGACCATTATCCTTTTGTCGAAACCTTAAAGGCCACATTAGAGATGAGAAAATTAATTTGAAGTGCGCACACAAAAGCGTCTTTTCAGGCTCCATTTTCGGAATCTTTTTTCTGATTGAGTTTTGGTCTTTTGCGGTCTTATGGTTTGTTTGAATGATGATGTCAAATATTTATTACATAAATTATCATAATTATATGTCAAGCATTCATATGCAAATTTAAATAAATTATTTAATATCTCATTCTATAGATAAAGCCAAGTTGAAATGAATATTTAAAAATACTTTTTGGAAAGTTCAAATCATTAAGAAGATAAAGGTGATCAAACGGTGTGTTATCCGATACATTAGGTAGCACCATTAATGTTTAAATTGATAAGAGTTACAAGTCCTAATATTAATATTTGATTGGAAATTTCCGAAGCAATATTCAGGAGAGATATTTTTATAATCACATGGCAATCATCATTAAAATCGTTGATTCTATAAAAAAATACTAAATAATACTTAGCAAGTGATAGATAAACATGCAAAATTGATATCTGATTATGCAAAAACAATACATAAAGCATCAATTTAAAAGCTAAATAAAAGAACTGAAAGAAAAACGGGAGAAAATCGTTCCTTATCTTAACGATGCATGTTCAAATTGTTTTATGACGTGTTTTGAAATGTTTCGTGAAAGGTATTTTCATGGTCGTAAAACTCATGGTTAAACTGAAAGAGTTGAACTTCTTGTGTGTCATAAATCGAACAAAAGAAAATGAAAATGTTATTTATGTGACGTCAAGTTTAGTTATTTCAATTAAGATGTAAAGCTTGAAATTATTCACTGCGAATGAGAATTATGCTGGGTGGCGCAAAGAACTCAAAAAACTAACATCCAATCATCATTTTATTAAACGACACAAGAAATGTTTGGTTTTGTTCACACGATTCTTTTATGAATTTGTGACTACAAATATTGTCATCTGTAGCCATTAATTTAAACTTCTCCATAACCCAATCTAAGTTTCTGTGGTCTCACGAAAAAATATAGAAGAGAAATGAATAAATCAATAAGTTTGTTCTCTAATTTATTTTTCAATAAAAAATGTAAATGATGTTGCCAACAACTCTCATTCTCATGGATATTTTGTTTGTATTTCTTTCTCCTTTCCTCAAATTTTAAAGCTACAACGATGAACGTTGCTTGTGAACGAATGTTCAGCTTCAAGAAGAGAAGAGAAAGAAAAAGAATTAACAAGCCAATTCTTGAAGATGTGTTTTATATTAATAAAATATTCATAAGAAATGGATACCTTCGTCGTCATTATAAATTATTCAATTAAACATGTATAATCGGCTCATATGAAGGGATCGATGATGAAAGCAGAATCTTGACTCACTGTAGAGAAATAAATGAGACGAGAATGGAATTCAGCTAACTCCATTAATGAACGACGTTGACCAGATCCTGGAAAAGCAGCCTTTCACTACAATTAAAGAAAAATGATCTGAAAACAAATGAAATTGCTCAAACATTTTACACTTCTTCTTTTATTACGTCTTGTATCCAAATCATTAAAACTTCTGTTTAATTATCTCTAAAATTTCAAATTCATTTCTAGAAAAGATGAAGAAGAATAGAAGTCTCGAGAGATGTCAAACAACCTATAAATATTTCCCAATTTTAACCAACCAGCCTATCCACATGAAAATAAACATTTTCTTCCAATAAACATTAAGATAATGGGTGACAATTTTTATTAGTTATAAAAATGTTAGGAGAGAAGAAACAAGAGTTTGTTGGAAGGTTATTTATAGACGTTGCACCTGTTGGCCGTCTCGGTGTCTAAGTGGACGATTTCTTTTACATACATAAAAAGTGTTTTTTCTTTATTTTCCATTTTCTTGCTGCTGTTAACTGATGACTTGGTGATGATAACTGAACAATTGTTCACTATTATGCATCTGTCGTCAAAAAGGAAACAGCATGAGAAACATCATCACTTTGTAAGCAGATAAATTACTTCAACAACGGTGCTTGAGAATGCCAGTTGAGGGGAAATGTATCAATATTAAGTAAGCTTCAACTTTATTTATGGAATCGTAATGGATGTGAGAGTTAATTTCAATAACAATCAACATAAAGCTAATCAATATTATTCTGGAAAGATAAAATAGATTCGAGCTTCTTAAAAACTGAGAATAAAACGTCAAGAAGGGAATTTATGAACGCACTTTAAGTTAATTTTAGTCACATTAAGATTAGAAACACATGGTTAATAAAGTTGTTGAACTGAACACTGAATGTACTCGAAGTGCTTCCACTTATGTATATAAGTGATTCTTAGGCTGTTAAATGACGGTAACAGAACAAAAACATTGTAATCGTAAGGGGCTGATTCAAGAGATAAAACAACACTTACATCGAGTGCATAAAATAAATTTACAAGGGTTCGAGATAAAACTACAAACATCAGACACTTGAGATGATTGCAAGTGCTGATAAACATGATCACAAACCCAAGATGTCACTTGATCATAAAAATGTTGTTTTCTTATTGAGAAAACGAAAGAATCGAAGCAGGTAAGGCGCCAGGCACCCCATAGTGTTTCTGTCTACAAACTTAAATGAACAGAAATAAGGAAAGAGAAAATCGCGGCTTGTATTCGACGATGTTTCACTGTGAGATCTCTTAAAATATTTCAAATGCCATCTTTAGGTTTATTGTTAATGCTTACAACGAACGCGAGAAGTTTATGTGACGAGGAAACTCACTCGGAGCATCATAAAATATAGAAACTTAGAAGGTGAATTTAAATTATTTAATTATTTTTCACATCATGCAGCGTGAATAGCATTCACATATAGCCGTCTTGGTGATGAACTCATGTTTGAAATCTGAAAGACAAATATTATTTGGTGATTCATCAAGAGACAAGAATACCACAAAAATTTATTGCCTACACAAGAAATCCATCGAGTCAATGAGATAAATGATTGCGACATGTCGTCAAACGGTCAAAGACTAATTAATTTTGATTTCACTGTTATTTATAATTCCGGGGCTTATGTGACTAAGTACAAGCATGAAAAATATCTACCGTTGAAGATTAAAGAGAAATTTAACATGAAATGTTTCCTTTCCAACTTGGTTGAATGATTTTGAAACATTTCTGTAATAAATAACGAAAGGTTTAACGCTTTAAACGCCATACATGATAAAGGATTCTTTTTTCGAACTTTAGAATTGGATTTTCAAATTATTTTAAAATAAACTCTGCCGCNGAAACACGCGACTCGTTATCATCACACGTAAATACAAACTGATTTCTTATCAGTCATTTCATCAAACACTAACACTTAGAAAAAATTGTCACATGTTGCAAAAATTCTCTTCGTTAACACAAATGTCATGTCACAAAGTCTCATGTGCAACACAAATGTCATGTCACACAGATTCTCATGTAACAAAATTTTTTATCTCACATTAACATTATATACTGATAACATCTGATCAATGATCTATTTATTTTACACTACTGACCTATTTATTCGAGGCGGGAGTGTGTTCTGTCCGAACATGAGATGGCGCACTCTGCAGTTTTTTCTGCATCTCGCAATCTTCGAACATTTTTGGCGGTTCAAATCTTAGTATAAAATCATTGTTCTTAAAATGCGAAAATCATTACAAGTGAAATTTTACAACACAACGCATCACATTACGCAAAATAATTATTGTACAATCACTCACAAAGTTTGTTAAGTTAGTCAAATTTGTTAGTTAAATTAGGTAAAAGTGCTTATTTAGTCAAAATGTTCACAGTTAATTAACATTCAGTTTCATATTTAGTTTTGTTCTCACACGGTCATCGTATTGAATTGCGATCACTGAGAAGTTGAATTTTCATGATCCAATTTGGGTGAGAATTTTCATGCAAAACATTTAAAGTTCAAAGCTAAACCGTTAATTAACACATTCTAGGCACAATTTCATTCATAAAACAATCAAACAACTAAACACAATTGAACAAATAATTATTGTCAATTGCACCAAGGGTGAGCAAAGGACGAAGATATTTTAACGGTCATTTTTCATCAACTTCTTTCTTTCATTCAGGCACATTAATTAATTCCACTAAGTCACAATACATTCATTTAATTTCTGTGCATTTTCACAATCATAATCAGGTAAAGAAGTTGTACATTTAAAGTAAATTAAAATGACTCAAATTAAATATTGTTAACAGCTAATACGCAAACACACATCACACACTTTTGTCACATTCATTCTCGTCGCTCATTAAAAACCCTTAACGGTAAATTGTTTAATTTTTATGTTACAAATAACTTTGACTAACAATTAATTTCACTAGGGTTTTTTCACATATCACAATTTCATTGTACCATCACTGCCGAATCAACACAATAAAGATTATAACGTAAGCTGAAAGTGAAAAGTTTTTAATCGAACAACGACAAGTACTCACCAGTCCACAAATTTACGTTTAAGCGTTCCACGCCCGGAACACCGTCTTGGTGATGAACTCATGTTTGAAATCTGAAAGACAAATATTATTTGGTGATTCATCAAGAGACAAGAATACCACAAAAATTTATTGCCTACACAAGAAATCCATCGAGTCAATGAGATAAATGATTGCGACATGTCGTCAAACGGTCAAAGACTAATTAATTTTGATTTCACTGTTATTTATAATTCCGGGGCTTATGTGACTAAGTACAAGCATGAAAAATATCTACCGTTGAAGATTAAAGAGAAATTTAACATGAAATGTTTCCTTTCCAACTTGGTTGAATGATTTTGAAACATTTCTGTAATAAATAACGAAAGGTTTAACGCTTTAAACGCCATACATGATAAAGGATTCTTTTTTCGAACTTTAGAATTGGATTTTCAAATTATTTTAAAATAAACTCTGCCGCCAATTTTACTTTTTGCTTTTTATTTAAAGGTCAAGGTTTAATTTACATATAAAGGCATAGCCCTGATAATATAATTAAGGAATTATATTTAAAATATCAGAATAAATTTACATGTTGAAACATTGCAGAAAAGGCGAAGCTTAATCAGTAAAATATTTAATGTTAATGCATTTAAACATTCATGGAGAGAAGGAAAAGAAGAATATCTTAATTGAATGTCGATACACACAGGGATTTATTAATGGAATTCGTGATCTGGAAGTAAAAACAAAGATCGAGAAAAATGTTTCTTTACTAAATTCAGAAATCAATGATTAAAGGTAAAAAAACTTGAAATGATAAAACTTATGCTTGGCTTTCTTATCAAACTCGCTGTCATCTCATTAATCTTCAAACCCTTTTGAAATAATTTTCCGACGCTTGAAACTGCTTTTAGCGATCGTTTATTTCAATTTATGTCAATTTCAAGCATAAAATATGATGTCGTTTGGGAAGAAGGAAAAACTTAAATAAATTTATGCGACATTTGAAAGAGAAACTGCATGAAAGAATCAACAATTTTGTTTGTTGCTGGAGCTGGATGGAACTTAAATTACATCACCAAAGACAGAAAAAATAAATTTATTGATTTGAAATTGGTTCGTTTTAATGACAATTTGTTGTTTCATGACCGAGACTAATGATCGAAATGATCTTAAAGATCTCTATTGAATTGATAATAACGTCAAGTGAAGCTCTTTTGAAACTTTTGTGAAGTTTTGAATGTTCAATTAAAAGTAACATCTCATTTCAAAACGAACTTGTTTGTGTTCTTATACGCTTCAGGGCAAAATCTTATGTTCTGATGTGATTAACGCAAACAATAACAACAAAATTTGACGAAAATATCATCGGCAAAACATATTTTGGAGTCTCCAATTACATTTAACGAGTGACAGCAAATTATTCCCTCCAGACAATTCGTCGTCTGTCACAGTCTGAGATCAATAAGGAATGATGAGAGTTCAACATGAATAAGGGAAAGCAGAAACCTTCTGAAAAACAGATTAAATCACATTAACTATCCTTTATGTTTCAATAACTTGTGATGCACCAACATAAGTAGAAAGAAAAGAGCAACATCCACTTGAGTGAGCACCCTCACAATTTTCCCATCATTTTGATTCACTTGCATCGATTTAATCCAAATTTGATTACATGTTTGAGTGCAGAATTGTAGCAAGGGTGGTGAATTATTACGATTGTTGATCTTCTTGCAACCCTTAATTTTCCATCTCGAATAGAAAACAGAATACGCATTATCTCGTGTAAAATGTAATCAACTAAAATTATTTTATGGACTTTTGTTTCTCCACACAACACAACATAGCACAGCACACCAAAGCAATGTAATTTGCGAAAGATTTATGATTTCCACAACGAGGGGTTGTTTCGAAACATTTTCCAACAAAAATTGAATTTCATTTGGATTAAAGTGGAAGTTGAGATGAGACGGGTGCATGTTGTTGTTATTATTGTTTAAGAAGCAACCTGAAACTTACAGCATTGTGCAATGAAAAAGGATGAAAAACGATGTTGTGATACTTGAGCTTTATCCCTGCTTCTTTAAAGATTTCCCACCGGAGCTATAGCTGCTTTCACTCAAACAAATTACAAGAATTACGTCAACATAGCAAACAAGGAGGGAATGAAATGATGATTTGTTTATCGCGATTTTCATTGTGAAAATTTAAGTAATTAACGTGAAATTATTTTGCACTTTCCGACAGTTATTATGATGGATTAATGACCTGCTAAAGGCACGTTCTCAGATTGAAGTTTGAAAGATTTTTAGCTGTCCATGACAAAAGGGTTTCGTTCCATTCTAAATCTCGTCAGATTTAGGAAAATCTCAAAGATGCGAGGGTTCACTAATGGAGATGTGAGACAGTCATCATTCAAATGCGTAGCAAAAATTTAATTTCACGCACCAATGGAGCGGTGAAGAAAATGTTTCGGTTGGATTTTCTAATAAAAAAAATTTTCAGTGAAAATCGAATTTTCTCTTTTGCGATTTAAAACACGAGTTTTAAGATGTCTGCAGCCAAAAACTGCTGATTACACTTGAAATTCAATGGAACACGTACCGTACCTTTTATGGGTAACATCTGCGATTTTTCTTGAGAATTTGTGCATCCAAAAACGGATCGGCATCGGCATGAAGAGTAATTTTACGATGGCTGGTAAGTGAGAGGCATCATTAACCAAACAATGTGAATTACATGTGTTCAACAGCAAAGCATTACAGATGCAATCAATGATTGACATACAAAACCCACAAAATCGCTGACTGATTTTAATCTTTAACGACCATTTGGGTGATTGGGTGACGCTTTTCGCATAAATATGACAAAATGATAAAGAAATGATTTGATAACAAAATTAAAATGTTGTGAGTTGAATCAAATAATTCATATTCATAACTTTCGTAACTTTTAAACGAGCCCTGGATTGAAAGAGAAGAATTCTCAGCAGGTAGTTTATTTAAGTCTCATTGTTGGCGTGTTATCGTTGAGTCTTTTCTTTTCTGCTCGTTTCAACAGACTAGTTTTCCTTTCCGTCTTCTTTCTCAACTTCTTATGCACTTCGTTCGTCTTCTTGCTTAACGAAAAATTAAAGCTTGATATTCGTTCTTAAGAGAGAAGATAAAGAAAGAAAAAATCGGAGTTTTTGGAAGTTGCTGTGTTTATTCTTTCATGTATCAATAAAATCAGCGATATTTTCGACTTAAGTTTCTCGTTCAGTTTGAATGAGAATGTTGAAAAATAAACAAAAGGTGAAATGAGATATTTAACAAGACAAAATATGTCTTAAGTCTCTGAGATATTCTCTCTTTATTGAGTTAATTTATTATGAATTAATTATGTGGATCAGAGGGACGTGTGTTGGTTGGAAGAGTAAATTTTAATTTTTCCAAGTCATTTCACTCTACCTTCAAGTTGTCGTGGTTTCGAATTTAAATTTGAGTCCAGGAGAACACATCCCCGAAAGAAATATGGTATGATGTCTCATTATTAAAATTATTGCTTCATTGTTTCTCTCCCCACGTTCCATATCGCCGTTGACAGCTGACTGTTTTGTTTGTTTTATTTTATATCACAAAGAAAAAAGCAAAAACAAAATTGAAATTAAAATTCATAATAAAATGCATTTTTACTTGTTTTAAAAACATTTTCAGTTTTTCAGGGTTGTATGTTTATAAGTTATTAGTGGAAATGTCTTTTGTACAATGTCATGAATATCCCTGAAAGCTTTTTCAACAATATTTCTTTTTATATTTATTTGTCACGATAAAACAACCGACCAGAGTATATCAAACTTTGGATATTCAACTCAAAATGTAGTCAAATTCAATTTCATACAATTTTTGAATCTTGTATCGTGTTTTAAGAAATTTTCAACATTTTTAATCCCAGAACAAAAGGAAAACAACATCTTTGTAAAACATCCTCAAATTTACAAAAACTGTTAACTCAGGCGAAATATTTGCATGATTGAACAATGTTAATACTTATAGAAATATGAAATTTATAGTTTAAATATCTCCCAAGATCTTCATTATTACTTCAACACATGCTACAACACTCTAAGTTGAAGATAAAGTGCTTGAATGATGTTTCAACTTGGGAAAGACAAAATCGTCGAGCGCATTTAATAAGAAACTCATCAGATATTTAATTGAACGATTTCTCGAGAAGAATAAAAAAATCCAATCGAATTTTCCATGGAATAATTTTTCATCATAAAATTCATTTGTTTTTCCATTTCATTCGCCACATTAATCTCTCAGCTCTTGTTTCTCGTCATTGCAATGCAATCGTTATGCGCTTGAGAAGAGATTCTGAACATTATATTTATTAATCGATGATAAACAGTTTACTTTTGATTTTCTGTTTTCGGCGATCTTAAATGCCGCGCAATGTTCAAAAGCGTTTTTATTCTTAATCATGCCATATAAAGAAACATTTTTGCTGCCATTTTTGTTCTTGCTTTACGTCCCTAAGGAGCAATAAATTATAAAGAGTAAACGGCAAATCGAGCAAAGAAAAATATCGAAGGAGCATAAGATGGGCATTAAACAAATATTAAAGAAATAAAGAAAGAATTATTACAGTGAATAAAACAAAAAACGAGAGCGAGAAAGGCGAATTACTTTCGGCCCTTTCTTTAGTCGGAATCTTTTTCCGTTTCTTCTTACACTTCGAACACAAATGGCGGCACATTTACTTTTGATATCACAAATAATGCAATCGCTTTTATTTCGTTCATTTTCTGAGTTAAGTAAGAATGTTTAAATGTACGATATGTGCGCAATTTATACATAAAAGAATCCATAAAGAATAATAATAAGTTTTTAATCAAGAAAAATGTTAGAAGTAGGCGATCATTGTCAATTTATTGGGACTTAACATAACATCACATTGTCCCTTACATTAAATTTCTCTTCAAACATTTTACAACTCATTATCGGTGCATGAAAGAAAGAAAAGGAAGAAAACTTTGAGCATGCAATCTTATCATGTTGCCGTATCTGAATGTCGTTTAACAGAACAAACGCCAGAAAGAAGAGAGAAGCAACTGAACACGAATGAATGAAAAGCGCAAGAAGAATTGAGAATACATTATTGAAATCACTTAATGAATAATCAACTTTCCACGGTTAATGTTCGTTCGTTTTGCGTGAGTTGATATCGTAAAACATTAAAAGAATTTTTGCTTCGTCTTTCTGAGATTTTCATGAGGTAAAAAATTAAAATTTCATTGAGTTCTCGAATGAAATAAAAGTTGAGAATAAAAAGTGAATTATTAGAGAACTGTCGCCGCTGTAAATAAGTGAAGAAATATTGATTTCATTTTATGTCAAAAGTAATGTGACAACGACGATAAATTTTCTATTTAACAAGGGAAAAATGAATCTTCTTTTTAGTTTCTTTGAATGAAATGCAAGATCAAATTACAAAGTAATGCTGAATTGATTCTTAACATTCATAAAATCTTTAAAGATTGTTAATTTTCAAGTCATTGGAAAAAAAAAATTAAAATCCAAATTTCCTTTTGGAAAAAGAATTAAAATAATTATCTGAAGATTATTTTTGGAAAGAAAAATTAAAGCTTCAAACTCATTCCCTGTCAAATTCAATTTTCCTAATGGCTTAAATATCAAACACTTAAAAATGTTACTAACTTGAAAGGGAAGGAAAAAAAACAAAACTCGCGTTGAAGTGAACCGTCAAATTGAGATAAATGGCCAACAAATGTTCTTCCCACAAAGCGACGGGGATCGCGTTTCAACCGTAACGGAAGGACATGGAAAATAAAAATTAATAAACATTTCTTAACGAATTCTACAGCCGTTTGGTCTCCAAAGAAATGTTACTATCAGTCGCAAGGGATCGTGACGAAATAAACACAACTCAATTCATCATCGTTACGATTCTCATGCTGCATCGGAACTTACAGTCGAACAAAACATAAATAAATTAAGTCGTCAAATTGTTCAAAATTTTATTTTCATTCTCGTGCAGTTTGTCGATTGACGTTTGTCGAAAATTTCTTGTCTGATCTTCAGAGCAAGTGCTGATATAGCAAAAGTTTTGCAACTTAATTAACTAAAAGAAACCTGTTGTCTTAGCAAATACTTTCGTGATGCCTGCTTCATCGCTATAACCATTCATTCAATTATTTAATTATTTTTTATACAGTTAACCTGTTGATGAGAGAAGAAGTTCGTAACTGAAGAATCCAAATGTTCTCGTTATAAATTGATGGCGCTAATCGAACTAAAGACTTCAAAATATAAAAATTAACACTCGAAGAATTTCATTCAATCATTAAATATATCTTCAAATAACTCTACAGATCAAATATAATAAAAGCACAGTCATGTAAGAACTCACGAACCATGCAGAAACAAGGTATCAGAAAATGGATAATTAAAATTGATTTTTGGGCGGACAAGACCTTGTTAAACCTGTCGTAAAACTCAGCGGGAAATTCATAACATTTTATCTAGATTAAAAGCATGCAACTCTGTTTATTCATTTGCAAGAAATTGAATAAAAAGAGTGACATCGTCTCCCCATTCTCTTCCATTCAATTGGACATTGTTAAATAGTAAATTAAAATTACAATTCAATATCAAGAATTTTTCTTCTTATAGAAGTTAAGAAATATGCAAAACATTTATGATGAATATATTTAATGAAGCACTAAACGATTGAATTTCTTTTCAGCATGTGTCTGCATAAAATTGTTCTTCTTCCGTCCATAGGTGCACGATCTTGAACAACTAACAAGACCATTGATGATGAAATTTATTTCATTTTAAATATTTATTCTTGTATAGTTTTCATAAATGTCAGAAATATTTCATCGTAATATTTTAATTCTTGGCGAGCGTATTGCCTGAAACTTACTCGTTAGATATCTGAAACTTTTAAGGGGTTGATAGTCGCAAGTAAGTTGAATATTTTATTGCAATACGTTAGTAAAACATGTGAATTCCTTCTCCTTTGAATTTTATTAACGATTTGTTTATTTTATTTTGAGTTTTATGATGAGATTTGCTGGTTTTTATTTCTTATTAATTTACTTTTTCATTTATTTTTGCGTCGACACAGCTTTTTATGCGCTTCACTTGCTCGAAGGGATTTTTTAATTAATTCTCGTGTTCAACATTCTTTGCCAACTTTTTTTTTTCTTCTCTTGTTCGTTTTTATGCTTTGATGATTGGTCAGCACATTTTTGTGTTTAACAATTCCAGTTTTTCTCTTTCATTCAGGTAAGTATTAAGTTATTATCAATTAGCTATCCGAATGAGCTATTAAATACATCTTAATCGTGTCATAATTGATCAAGCGCTCCAACCCATTTTCAACAGTAACACACGACCAAACTTTTAGAAAATACGGTTGAAGTTAATAAATCATCAGGAAACACGAAAATTAAATAACGCAATCGAACCATCTTTAGACTTCTTAAATATTTTTCTTATTTTCTCTCTCATGACGATGATCAAAAATAGTCAAAGAAAGAACAAAAACAAAAAATAAAAAACATGAAATTTCAATTCTCTAATTTTTTGCTTTTTCACCATTTCTTTTCTTAGATCTCTTGAGCGATGATCTAAAGATCTCAGAGGGAATTTATAATGAAGCTTCATCTACTTCTGGATCACTTCGATGGCTTAAAACAAACATGGATATAATTAATGATGTTCCATCAAATAAACAATTCAAATAACAATTAATCATATTTAAGATAAAGCGTCTAAGAGGCTGGAAACTTTAAAGGTAATGATGGCAAGGCAAGGCTTTAACAGCGAATGAAAGAGATTAAGTAAGTAGATACCACTCAAGTCATGTGGCGTGTCTGCATTAATTAATTCAATGGCATTTAATATAAATCAATTGTTACTAGGAGTTACGAGAAACATTGAACCTTGTCTTGCTTAAATATTTAAATGATCGTCAATTGAAATCCTTCACACTGAACCATCGAAGTATCAATTTCATTTGTTGGTTTGAAAAGTTTTCAGGCATTCATTGAAGAGCAACAAGCAAGTCACATCTGAAATGTTAAAAAAATTGTGGTTGAGATAAAATCTCGTAGAATTTATTAAAAATTATTTCTGACTTTTTATTAAATAAATTTCTTTGGCTTTTGTTTTTATCTCAAGATTTCTTTAAGAGTTTTGTCTCATTTTAATTGGCTGGTTAACAAATGGCGAGTAATTAGTATGACGTTAAACATTTGTTTCAATTATACAAAAGAATTTTTCTGTAACGAGATTGCCAATTAGGAAGAAATTGATGACATTTATATTACTGATGAATAATTCTTAAAAGCACGTCTAACGAGTTATGAAAATATTTCAATTTTCCTTCTATTTAAAAACAATGCGGTGGGTAAATTTATAACAGATTTTAATCAGAATCTCTTTCAGTCAAAATAAATAATAAATGTCTGTCGATGATCGTCACAAGATATTTAAGTCTCGTTTCTCAAGAGAGACAGACACAAGGAATAAATAATATGATATCTGATATCACATTTGTAAAGACAACAGTCAAAATTTCAAAGAATAACAGAGACAAAAAGAACCAGTCTCGATGAATTCCTGTACTATCATGACATGAAATGGAAACATAAAACGATACGAAGTTTTATTTTTTATTTTTATTTATAGCTTCAACCAGGTAGAATCGAATAGAATAAGAATTTTATTTATTTTCTTATTATTGTTTTCATTGGAAACTGTATCAAGTGTGTTCAATTATGCGATGCTTCTGCAGGTTACACAAACTTCTCTTAATCCCACGCCTTTGGCGCCTCATCAACTCGTTTTTAACTTTGTTAAAAATCAACAGAATTGTTATCAATCTTTCTCATCAATCTTCGATTTCGACAGCAAAAATAAAGCTGATTCATATGTAAATTGCTAAAACTTCTCCATCTTTATTGATTCTCTTTTCCTTTAGATTAACTCTGAGTTATTTTTTGATCTATCGATTTTCTCACCACAAGACTCCAAAACCACGGACGAAAACATTTAGCATCAACAAAAAGAATTTATTAGTTAGTTGTTACATGTTAATATTTGATAATTATGATTTCACAGCATGTTGTTGTTGGTGTCATCCATAAATCATTAGAATTGGTGTGCTTGTTTTCCATTTAGCAACCAGATTCCCTTCAAATAGTTTCCTAAGACTCCAATGTTTCTAGTTAATGCGTTTGAGCTTCAAGCTGTAAATTATGGGAAATCCGAGGACTGCTTTTTATTGATTTCCATAATTTCATGTCTTGAAAAAGTAAATAAAAAAAAGTTTGGGGAGAGAATATACGAATAGGTTTTAAAGACTTGTTTGAATTAATTTTTATCGAAATAAATTTTAATTAACAAAAGGTTGATGATCGAATCGATTGGTGTAGGCGCCTTTGCATATGGAAATGAAATTCACTTCTTTGGTTAATTGATGAAACATGAAATATTTCGAATCGTATGTGAAAATAAAGTTTCCAATTGCTTGTCTTCTTTTGCTGGTGAATGAACAACAACTCTCGTGTTCGTTTTTTAATGTTGAACAGTTCACAGTTGGACTCATCAATTAAGTCTCATATGGAGAGTTTTGTATTTGATACCAACAAATACATTCTATTGGATTGGAAGCTAATGGTTTCGAATCGAATGAGAAATAAGATCCAGATAATTAAAAAAAAACAAAGATAAACGTTTTATCGATCGTCATACGCCTACGATAAACTAAATAAATATTGAAATATCTTGTTTTTCGGAAATTGTGCTTTGGTTATCATCTTCATTCTTAATTTATTGTTATATCAACAATCCTTAGGAGTAACAAAGCAAATCTGAAGCTTCTATGATGGGAAAAAGCCGAACTTGGATAAACGTCGAGTGATTGTCATTAAATTTTTAAATTAATGTTGTGAAATTATCATGAAAATCATCAATGATAAATTATCATTCTAATAAGCAAATAAGAAAAACAATTGAAAATCTGAACATTTTAATAATCAATGACTTATCTAAATATTAAAATATCTAAATAAAATTGAAAGCGTCTTGCTGAGATGAAAAAAAATGTCGAAAAAGTTTAATGAGCAAGCAATTAATTTTATGCGAATATTTGAACTTTGAGTTGGCGTCGCATTTGTTGCCTTGTCAAACTATGACTAAGATCATTTCATTCTTTAAGCTTTGATCACACTAACTACTGGAATTCTTTATAACGTGAACAGTATTTTCATTCGATTAGAACTCATGATGGATTTTTTATTTAATAAATTTAAAACGAGAGAAAATTTTAGAAACAAACCATCATCGCTACATGATAGAAAGAATCTCACGAGAGATCAGATTTGAAATGATAAATGAATAAAACAATTAATTTTGTGGTCCACGATGTTTGTTTTAAGATGATTAAGAGTTACCTTCTTTTAAATTTTGTTTTTATTACAAATATTTATCTTCATTTATAACATTTCCAGGTATGGAAGGATTTAAAACTTTTGTCACAAATGAATTATTTTATTCGAATTCATTTAGCTAAAGCGCGTTCTTGTAAATTCCACTTTAATATTTAATTTTTTGCTATTGATAAATGACTTTTATTCGTCATGATCACAAACCAGGTGATCAAATCTCCATGTGCGTTGTTTTTAACTTAACGCAATCCGAGAAATTGATTAATAGCCGACTGACTTTTTTTCTCTTTTAATATTATAAATTATAAATAAAAAGGATTGAGCTATGAAAATCCTCAATCAGAGCGTAATTCAGAAACCTGACATAGCAAGAGGTTTTCATACGCATTTATCAACTGTAATCGTTCTCGGTGGGAGCGAACTTAATTTGATTGCGCTATGAAGTTTGTTCCACTACTGGATATAAATTTAATATTCTAAAGCAACCTGCAAATACGTTGGAATGTTAAACCTTCCAAGAAAGACATGAAACCAGAGATCTTTTCAGTTCGATGACCTTTTCAAACCAGTCATTCTGATGAACCAGAAACGACGTCAATGTCTGTGATAAATGATTAAAGCCCAACTCAATGTTTTGATTTCAACACTTCTTGATGTTTTTACGACAATTTTTCTCGACTTTTTCTTACTTACTCGCTTACGAAATACGATGAAGCATGCACATCGCATCTTTACTGATAAATTTCTGCAGGGCATAAGCGATAAATATTCTTCGTGCTATTCTCTTCATTCTTGTAGGTCCGCAAACCAGAACCATATCATTTAAATTCAATCATAAGTTCGATAAAAATTATCCCTCCACTCCTTGTTTGCTTTTTAATAAATTGAATGTCTTATCAATTTTATTATTAAAATTTTCACAATTAATTTACAACGAAAACAAAATTTATGTGATGTTGATGGATATTTGCGGTTTTATTATTTTTTCCCGATCAATGTCGACATTGACTTCCGGTGTAAAACCTTGTAAAATATTTTTTTATATTTTCGTCGTTTCTTTGGGGACAAGCACAGTTTTTTAATTACTTACTTTTGTCGTTAAATTTCTTTCTTTATTGCAATCAATTTCCGATTCTTGTTAATTTTTTAATTACGATGAAACTCGGTGTTGCCATCCGAAGAGAAAATGAGATACGGTCAGCGATTATCAATTCCGAGTCAAGCACAGAAGTGGGTGACAGTAATTAGGATGTAAATAATGTCACGAGCGGTCATAAAATTCTGAATTTAACTGCTTAAGCAATTATCGAAAGCGAATGAGTGTAAACATCTCATTCAGCTCACGATTTTAGGCTCTCCTAAGATTTTATGGAAGTTTTACGATCGCTTTTTTTTCATCTACCTAGAAGTCTGAAGCGTTGATGATTCTTTGAATAAATTTTGTTAAATGCCTTTAGGAATGTAACAATTAGCTGACTGTCTTCAACTTCACAAGCTCATCTCACTGTGTTCAGAATAATCTTTCGTCAGAGTTGAAGGAAGTCTTGTTAGTGAATAGAATTATTATCGTTTTATTTTAATCAAGTTTAAAATTATTTTAATATATTTCATATTATGGTGAATGTTTCTCCTTTTAATTGTGTAATTTGAATATATTTAAATGTAAATGATGCTCGAACAAGACTTACGATATCCATGAATTGTTTCATGCGAACTTACATCAACCTTTGAGCATTCTTCGGAATAATATGTATTAAAAAGAAACTTTTTTTTTGTAAACTTTCAACAGGTGCACCGCTAATTAATTAGAATTAAATTTTAAGAAAACAAACATTAAAGACTTTATGACATCTTTTGGCATTTTGTAATGAAAAACTACAAAGTTGCATGGAAAAAAGAATTCAGGAACTGGCTGACGTTCAAGATTTCAAGCATTTTTATTCTCCCCACATTGGTTTTGAGTTGAAAATTAAATTCGAGAATTTCATTAAAAAGTTAAGTGATCATCACTCAAGAAAACCAGTTTGAGTCTTTTTCATTCAACAAGCAAATTGACAATATCAATTATTCTTTTATAAGCGGCACAATGTGAAACATCGATCTTGTTATCAAAAAATTCATATTTTATGCTTCAATGTAAATCGCAGTCAAAAGTTACAGTAAGAAAATCTATATAATAAATTTTAAAATTTGTAAAATAATTGAAAAAACATGTTTCTTAATTTGTTTTCATTCGATGATGCTGAAATCGTTTGCAACGAGAGAAATGATGTATCAGACCACCCATTTAATGATATCTAATTGTATGCCACTCGATATCAAGGCACCTATCATTAAATTATGAAGCGAGAGAGAAATTGCAGCTCATGAATTGAGAAACGATTCATTTATCAGGCCATTAATAAACAGACTTTAGGGCACACAACAATATTTATTCACTACAAAATGAAAAGAAAACTTAAACATTAAACATCACGGGAGTCTTTGCTAGTAGAGTTAAGTGAATAAGGAAAAATAGCGTCTTGAAAGATGAACAAGAAACGAGAATAAACATTCTCTTATCACATAGCGATCACATGATTTATTAATTTTTAATTCATGGGTTGTATCTTAAGCTTCGTGTTCGCTTAAGACATTGAAATGAGAATTAACTGCTGCCACGATCCTTTAAGATCGTTTTTATTAAAATGAAGAAAAAAATCATGTGTTCGTTGAAAATCTTGAGTAAATATTTTGCCAAAAAGGAATACATTTGAGTTGAGTTGAAATTTTCTGTTCTTAAGACCGTTTATTGGGCGTTTCAGCAGCATAATTTACAGTGAAATGAATCATTTTTCATCTCATGATTGTACCGTTGCTGTTATTTGTAATTTAGTGAATTTCTCAGTGTGAAACTGATACTTTTTGATGATAGTGATCGAATTTCTGGTCTTTCATACTGAGAAACGACAACGTTATTCACATTCAGCTTCTCATAATTTTCTTTTCAAAAAACGATATGAAATATAAAAGAGAAAGAAGTTTCGCTTTCTTCTTAACAAACTTACATTGTGTATAAATATTTTACGATCCATAAACAGAACAAAAGCCATTAAATAAATTTTAATCCGTTTATATTCAAATAAAAATAAAATCGTCAAATATCTTGTTTCGAAATGAATAAATTGAACAATGTGATTGTGTAGGAAAAAATCACATGAGTGAGAATTGTGTCTGTCTATGACAAAATTTCTTTTGTCCTTTTTGTTTTATTTATTTGAAAAGGAATAAGGAAGCTCGAAGATCCTTTGCCACTTTCCTTATGTAACATACAAGGCGCCCGTCATCACATAAATCAATTTTTTTCCTTTTATCTTTTCTTCATATCTCTTCGTCCTAAATTCTTCTGTAGCAGAACAACAGGTGACATGGGTTGGGAAAAATGTAAGGAAATAAAACTTGACATTGTCTCCAATAAATTGATTAACTGCTGATTTTTATCAATATTGAAAACATGCCATGAAATTAAACTCTTAATTGGGATATTCATCAAATTGGAAAAAAATAATTGATAGCTTCTTGAAATGTTTAAGTTCATTCTCATTTTCTATCGATTTCTCAACACGTGCTATTTATGAAACGTAAACAAATTTCGCTAATGCGCAATACAGTTGTTGGAGAAGAAGAAAACAAAACTTTCAACGTAGCAAATTTTGAGCTTTCGATAAAAAATATTAATTTTTTTTGTTAGAAATGGCAAGTCAAGCTCGTCAAAACTTCCACGAAAAATGTGAAGAAGCAATTAATCGCCAGATCAACATGGAACTTTTCGCTTCCTACAGTTATCTCTCAATGGTTAGTTGAAATTATTGAAATGATGTGAAATTAGCTAATTAGAAGAAACATTTTAAGGCTTTTCACTTTGATCGAGATGACGTTGCGCTTCCTGGATTATATTCTTATTTTAAGAAAGCTTCTGATGAAGAACGTGAGCATGCAATGAAGTTTCTAGAATACCTGAATAAAAGGGGAGGAAGAATAATTTTGCAAGACATCAAAACACCTCAATATCAAAAAGAGATGACAGCTCTTGACGCAATGGCTAAAGCTCTTGAATTGGAGAAGGAAGTGAATGCAGTAAGATTAATTTAGAATTTTATTAAAATATTGCTGTGGTAAAAAAAACTATAATTCTAGAGCCTCTTGGAGATTCATGGAATTGCTTCTTCTAACAATGATGCTAACATGTGCGATTTCTTAGAAAGTGAATTCTTGCAAGAACAAGTAGATGGAATTAAAGAACTTTCTGATCATGTTACAAATTTGAAACGAGTCGGCGAAGGTTTGGGAGTTTACATGTTTGATAAACAACTAAAAAAACATGATGAACAGGCATAAATGAAAATTTATTTAATTTTATAGAAAAATGTTTCATAAATTTAATTAGATTGCTTACAAATGAAAAGATGTTCAATAGTGACATAAAATTGTTTGTAGTAAAAAATAATTTTAAATGTAGTATTTTCATAAACAGAGCATTCAGTCAAGCATTCAGTAATTAATAATAATCCGGTAAAAAAACTAATTTCTCGTCTTTCTTCCGTTTCATAAAAGTAGGTAATTCGCTTATATCATTTAATTAATGACACTTGAAAAGTCAGTTGATGAGTTCAATTGTTGGTTTCTTCTTTACAACCTCTTATTTCACTTTTATCATAAGTTTGGATTATTCTGAAAACATAAATAAAATCATAAATTAAGAATATGTTTTAAGCATAAATAATTTACTGAAGCTTCGCTAAATTTAAAAATGTGACTTGGCTAATATTTCAAGGCATTTGAAGTGTTTCATATTAATATGTTTTTGACAGTGTTAGTGATAGAAGGCTCAAAAAAAATTTCTTACAAGAAATAAAAATAACTTCGGTTTGAGCTGATTATCAGCATCTAAAATGTTACAAAAGTTATTCTTTTGTGTAGCTGTGATAACTATAATTAATGATAGCGCAAATGGTCAGTAGCTAAGCGAACAAAATTCATAGTCGGGCATTTAAGTCTTTTTACTTTCCATTAACATTTAGCTGGTTTAATCGAGGTCATCCAGTTTCATGCGAAAAATTATTAAAATCTCTTAAATTTCCTCATTTATGCATAGCTATGGTGGAAAATTTTATAAGTTTCTTTATTGAATTCTAGGACTCATAAAAAGATGTTATCAATGCAGATCGCGTGGTGATCTCGGGAGCTGTAAAGATCCTTTCAGATTCAACGCATCGCATATAGATACAGAGCCTGGCGTAACAGCCGTTCCCTGTGCAAGTGGTTGGTGTGGTAAAGTAATGGAAGGAGAAACGGGAGCGTTTAGAGAGGATGGTGAGTTATTTCTATTTAAAGTTTAAAACTTTTTTATGATTATTGTGAAAACTCTAGACTTTGACTTGGCAACGCAGAGAATGTGTGTACAACGTGGACCAGATGACAATGAAGATCGTTGTGCAAATACTGTTTATAATCATAAAAAAGTATTCATGTGTTTCTGTCAAGGTGATTTATGTAATGGATCAACAATGATTCACTATAATACATTAAAAATAGTTTTAACTTCAACAATTTTTCTGATTACGCTTCAAATATATTTTTTACGAAATCGATAATTCTCTTAAGTGCTATACTTATCTTCTTAATTATAGCATATAAAATATAAAGTTATAAATAATTCTAAACAAATAAAATTTGCTTATGATGATTTTTGAGACAATTGCACTTGATTTTAATTCAGGAAAATTGAAGCTGTTTCAATGAAATTAAGTTGTGCAATTATGAGAAAGGCGTTTAATATTTATGGTTGGATGTTAATTACTCTGGGTGTTTACTAACTGTTATAAATACAAATTTACCTTTAGTCTTAAATTTAGGTGAAAGAAACTCCATTTCAATCATTTCTGTTGGCTTAGATTTTGCCTTCGGCTTTGTCTTGGGCTTTCTTTGTGTTTTTCGTCTTTTGACCTTCCGAACAAGATCAAATTCGTCGTCAAGAATGTCAAATTTCTGAACACTTCTGAATGATGGCTTCGGAATTTTAACTTAAAGATAAAAGAAATTTTGTATATGATTAAATTTTTTACAATTAACAATAATACTTTGTTGAAGACTTGAAGGACCAACGCATAAGCTATCAAATTTAATCAATTTTTCACTCAAAAGTTTGGGTACTGCTTTCACTGCTGCTGTCAATTGTGAGGAGCATGATGAACTGTTAAATTGTTCGTTTCTTGTGACTATTTCTGCATTTGGCTTTAAAACTTCAACTGAAAAATGAAAGTAAAGAAAATTTTCATTAGAAAATGTGGAATGTAAATTAAATTTCTAATTTTTACTACGTGATGGATCAGTGCAATCAACATAAAATTCTTCCAGATCAAGTTCGTCAAGTTCATCAAATTCTTCGGGAATTATGAGATTAACATTTTCTTCATCTATGCTTTGTTCTGGTGTCAAGTCGACGACATTTACCTCTGCTTTTGATGTTCCTTCATCTGTCAGAACATCCAATGCAACATCTTCAGAAACGTTATCGACAAATCTAACTTTTTGTGTATATTTTCGTTTTTTTGTCAATTTTGTGCTGCGTTTAAATGGACTTTTTAAAATTTCTTTGAATGATATTTGTTTATTTCTTGTTCGGTTAAGTTTAGGAGATTCTTGAGTATTTGTCTGTGAGGAAGCTTCTTCATGATTTATCAGAGAATCCGGAATGCTATTTTCAATAATTACATCTTTAGTTAATTCTTCATTCTCATTCACAACTTCATTGGTAACATTTTTGAAATTGATTTTTGATTTCTTCATCTGTTTTTGTTCTTTTTTAGCCTTTTGCTTAGAAATCTGATTCTCTGATTTAGCAACACGTTTCTTGTAAGATTTTTTTACTTTAAATTTCAAATTTCCTTCCATCTTATTTGAGATTTCTGAAGCAACCTCATCACTTGCAATTGTGTCACTTTGAGGAAGATTTTTCTTTTTCTTCGTTTTGAATTTTGTTTTTCCCTTTTTGAGTTTCTTGATTTTTGATTTCTGAGCATTGCCGCAAAGTCTCACAACGAATTTTTGCTTTCTTTTTCTCACTTGAGAATCTTCAGTTGAACAATCTTCCGCGTTCATTCGTTCAAGTGAAACAAAACATTTTTTTAAATTAAATAATTCATATAAAGAGAGATCATTAATTATGTTGATATTGTTCGTATCAGCATCAGTATTTACATTTAATTCAGTACTGTCATGCATATTGTTGATTGCAACTTCTTGAGAGTTGCTTACGTTACAAATTTCTTTTTCAATTGGCTCATCTTCTTTGTTTTTATTTTCATTTTCTTCAATTTCAGGCATTATTTCATCAGAATAATTTGAAACATTTTCCAAGCTTTCGTTTTCTGCTATTTCAGACATTATTTCCTCAGAATTATTTAAAACATTTTCCAAGCTCTCATTTACTTGCGGGATTATTTCATTTTCTTCATCAATCTTCAATTTTTTGGAATGAGGTTTCTTTGTAGATTTATTTTTGAGAATCTTTTGAGGCAAATCAATGGCAGTCACTTGCTCTGAAAAAGTGTTTTTAACTTCAGGTATTGGCACTGAATCATATGTCTCTGAATAGCTCTCGTTTAATTTTTTTCGAGTTGATTTTTCTCTAGTTTCTGGCGAAGGTCTTGTTTTGTTTTTGAGAATCTTTTGAGGCAAATCTGAGGCATTCACTTGCTCTGAAGAAGTGTTTTTAACTTCAGGTATTGGCACTGAATCACATGTTTCTGAATTGCTCTCGTTTAATTTTTTTCGAGTTGATTTTTCTTCAGTTTCTGGCGAAGGTCTTGTTTTGGAGCGACGAATTTTAATAGCCGAAAATTTGTCAATTTCATTCATTGTATTTCCATTAAAATCAGATATTGTAAGATCACCTCGTCTTGGTTTTTTTCTTACTACTTTCTTTTGTGTCGGATTAGTAATTGTCTTCAAGGACTGCGAAGCTTCTTCATCCACACTTTTATCCAGGATAATGTTTTCAACATTTTCCACATCATGTTCTTTTTGCGATGTTGATTGAATTTCTTCTTCTTCAACAACAATATCGTCTTCTCTTGAATATTTTGAAATTTCTTCTTCACTTAATCTTGTTAAATTAACAGTCCAACTGTAAAGTTTATTGTAGAATTCAATACGTTGTGTTTCTAAAATTTCCTTATATTCTTTGTAAAGAAGAAGAAAATTGTAACATGAGTAACAACAGGGAACTGCGCGATCTTGATTGTAATCCTAAAAAAAAAATTTAAATTAAACTCTTACCACATTTAAATAAAAAATAAGTTTCATTTACCTGCGACCATTTTGTAAATGCAATAACTTTCCAGATCTTGCTTGTGTACTTTTCGGGTAACAGTTGATTTTTCCCATCGCAAAACTCACAGCAATCACATTCACTGGTCAATCCAAATTCCTTTTTTGATTCATCAATTTTTGCTTTGATTAAGTTGAAATCAAAAAGTTGATGTAAACGACCGACACAATTCATGCACACATTCGAACTCAAAAGCATGATGTTAAACTATTAGAAAAGAAAAATATGTATGAACCATTTATGCTTACATGTTGTGACGATAAATTGAGTTATCTTGTGAAATTCAATACAAACCATGTTAGTATTAAAAAGAAGTTTAGTTCCAAAGACTATTTTTCTGTTATGCTCCAGTCCTTGTTCATTTTTTTGGCAAATCAAACATGATGTTGAACCGCGTCCTTTAATTTTAATTAAAGGCTTATGCATCTAAATTTGTTAAGAAGTAAATTTTCGATTATTTTATGACCATGAAAGAAAATGAAATCAAAATCACAATTTAAAACGTTTCACTAGAAAAATCGAAGAAATTATAAACTTTCGCAATGTTTTCTTACCGTATGATCATTCATAGCAGCCTGTCCTTTCTTAAGAATGAGATTAAATAATTTATTTTAGACTAAATGCCGCCAAGAAAACATTTGTTTATAAATGAAATGTAAAAATGCATGTGCTCAGCTGGAATTGTTGCTCATACGTTGCTCAGTTTTCATTTGAAAATTTGATTTAACTGCTAATTTTTTTCTTTTTCAATTTCACTTCTTAAATAATTTTCATTCAGTAAATTTAGATTGTTGATGATTAAAATAATATTAGACTTCAATTAAATCATTCTTCTGAAATTCAAAAATCTATAAAAACCACACACGAAAAAAAATATTTGAGCTATTATTTTACCTTTGTTTTTTGAAAATCATTAATCTAAATTTTAATTGTCCGCATGACACTATAAAATTTGTAAACAAACTGAAACGTGCTCGCGCTCTTGCTCGTTAAAAAATTAAATAAACAATATGCAACTTAAAGAAACATCAAAAAATGTCAAGCTGCATTGCTTGAAATTTTATAATATGGTAGCTAGAGGAATCAAATATGCAGCATATTCTAAAGAATTGAATAAACTTGGTGTTGTAAGGTGAGTTTTCATGAGACTTGTGGAATGAAAAGAAAAGTATTTGAATTAAAGAATCATGTGTATTGTAGAAACGATTATAGTATCGAAATATGGAATCTTTCAAAAGCACCGTTCATTGAACGAACAATACCAGGAAATTATGATGATACTGTTGAAGTTATATGTTGGGCTGGACCTCGATTTTTTTCTGTTGGGTTGTCAGGTAGTGGTGTAAAAGAATGGGATCTAAAAAAACTCACTCCCCTTCGTTCAATGTTGTTAACTGGCGAGAAAGGAATATGCATGGATTATCAAAAGCAAACTGGAATGTTGGCAATTGGAACTGAAGAAGGAATCATGAACATTTTCAGCACTGATGATAATGAATTACAATTTTGTCGTCTATTAGATCGTCAAGATCATAGAATTATATGTTGTAAGTTTAATAACAATGGAGATAAACTTGCATCTGGTTCACTTGATACTGTAAAAATTTGGAACGTCCAAAGTGGACAAGTCATACATAAAATGTCAACAGGACGAGCAGAATCAAATCAAGAGACAATTGTGTGGTGCGTAGACTTTATTGATGACAACACAGTTATCACTGGTGATTCAAGAGGAAAAGTTACCTTTTGGGACATAACTTTAGGTGCACAAATCGATTATGTTCATGCCTCAAATTTCGACATTATGTGTCTTAGCATTTCGAATGACAGAAAATCTTTCTTCTGTTCTGGAGTTGAACAAATTCTTAAAAAATATACAAAAGTGACTGTGCAAAGAGGAGGAAAAGATTTCGATCAATGGGTGAGATGTGCGAAGAGATCAAAAATTCATACTCATGATATTCTAACAATGATAACTTTGAAAAATGATTTGTTGGTATCTGGCGGTGTTGATGGATTTCTGTCATTTACAACGCCAGACATGAAGAACTTTGACAGATTTGGGCCTTTTCTTCAGCATCCGTTTGTTAATATATCTGACGAGAATCGCTTAATTCTTCTCAAATATGTAAACTATTTAGAATTGTGGCGACTTGGAAGTGCAGACGAACAAACTCAGGAAATTGCTAATGAGTCGCAGGAAAAAGCAAATTTATCAATTGAGGAAAACGAAAATGAAACAGTGACACAATCAACTACATCAAAACTTTATCAACTTCAAGAATTTCCAGAAAAGTTTCTTGAGTTGCGAAGTAAGAAGGATGAGATGATAATTTGCTCTTCAATTTCTAATAATGGTCAGTGGATTGCTTATTCAACATTAAACTCGATTCGTCTTTTTCGTTTTGAAATTCTTTCAAACTCAAAACCGAAACTACAAATTGTTAAAAGCATTTTACCAGAATTTACAGCTTGTGTTAAAATGTTGTTCACAAGCAATCCTTGTACTCTAATAATATTTAAAAGCAATGGAACTTGTTCAGTGTTTGATCTTGATTTAGAGACATTTGAACACAAGGAAACATTTGATATAAGTGAACATCATTCAGATTCGATTCATCACGCTGCCGTGTCAAATTGTTCAAGATATTTGGTGATGGCAAGCTTATGCAACATCATAACAATATGGAATTTAAAAAAGAATATATGGACTCACTCAAAAACTCTTCCAAAATGCAATTCTCCAGTTCTGTCTATTAAAATACGCAAAAATAGCCCTATCGCCGTTATTTCTTTTTCCAATAATAAAATTTTGGAGTATAACATTGAAAGTCATTTTATTCACTTTTCTGCGGCTATTCCTGAAAACTTAACAGCGATTGAAAATCCTTTGAGCAACGTTGTTGTTGATCCTAGACGAGACGATTCAATAATCTTCATGAAAGGCAATTCAATCAACGTTTTGGTAAAAAATGAAAGCACAAATTCAAAAACGGCAGGAAAGAAAGCTAAAGTAGGTGAAATTGACAGCAATGATTTCAGCGTCAAAACTGCGAAGATATTTTCAACAGTAAGAAAATTTTTTTGAGAAAAAGAAGAAAATAATTAAAAGAAATTCTTTTTTAGCATTTGATTCATTTGGATTACATTGGTGAAGATGAACTGCTTGCACTTGAAGTAAATCCAGTATCTTTAACAGAATTCCTTCCATCTCCGCTAAGAAGAAAACTTTTTGGAAAAACATGAAAATTTGGATGTCTGAAAGTTTATTTTCTTACTAAGTTTAATTTACAATTAAAATAATGAATCATTTCAACAATAAATTTATAACATTCTACAAAAATTAAAATAAATTATTAGTTTGTTCTGTGGTTTGTCTGGTGCAATGTAAAGATTAAACATTCTTTCCGTTTCTTCGGTTGTTTGGTGAATACAAAATTGATTTTCTGTTGTTCAATCGAATTCTGTATGCAGCCTAAATAAACAAAAGAATTAAAATTAATACTTAAAGAAATTTCTTATCAACTTACTTCATNAATTATAAAATATTCATGATGAGGTAATCTGTGGTTGAACTTTCATCAAAATTTGAACATTAATGTTGATAAATAAATACATAAATATCAAAGCCCTTAACCTAAAGTACTATTTAAATGAACTATAGGCTTTAAGAGAAATGTATAAGTTGAGGCTCCACGAAAGCAGAAGGAAAGAGGAGGGAATGAAAAAAAAGGAGGATTATCTTATTGGCAAAATGCTTGTGAAATGAATATAAAGCTGATTACAACATCAGAAGATACGACATGCAAACAGAAAAAAAGAATTTATATTTCACCAAATCTTGTTAGATACGATTCTGAAACATTCTGCAAAACAAACAAATTCACAGTTTTATTTGATTTATGCACCGCATTACTTTCCCAAGAAGCTTTAAGCATGTATATAAGATGACAATATCATTTAAGCGGAAGTTGAATTGAAATTTCCCTCATTCCCTTTTCCACATGTTTGCATCTCATGAATTCAAGTACTTGTTGATGTCAAATTCTACTAAATCAGATTTAGACAGCAAAAATGAAAAGCTTTTATCTAACGCAATTAAGATAAGATGGAGGTTTTATAGCAAGGATTGTGTACAAAATAAAATGTTTATAAAGAAATTTATTTGGAAATTGGAATCAAATTTAAGAATGCTAAGTATATATATTGTTAACATTGATTATAAGAAATCTTTCTCAAACAATCTAATGATCTATGGTGTCCATGAAAAAAATGTATTTTTTTTAATCAATATACTTAAATAGAAGTCATATCTTTAACAAATGTCATGAGAAGAGAAAGAAATGTTATATTGAATACTGGAAAGAGAACTCATAATCATATCTGAAAATGACAATAGACATTAATTCATTCTCTGGTGTTAACAAATACATACATATATATAGATATATAATTTAATTCTACTTTATTCAAGATCGAAATCATTCGAGTTTTATTAACACGTTCTTAAAGAAAAAGAAAATGATGTTCTTCAAATCGCATTAAATAATATATCTAATGGAGGTTGAGTAAGGAATGAAATAAAAACAAATGATATTAACTCATGTGTTCTGACTTTCTCAAGTACCATATAAATATAAGCTTTCGAAAGCTTTCAAATGAAATTAAACAAGTTTTTTTTTACAGAAACAGAAAAGCTGGGTAGGTATGTGAAAAGAAATGACAACGTTAACCGTCCTGAGGTAAAATCTAACCAGAATGTTGAACATTTTTTACTCTGAAATATGTAGTGAAATCAATGACGAGGGTCGTACTTATGTTACCCGGATTAAACCTCCGTCAGCAAGGTGGGAGTCAAAAGTCGTTATTCAACTCGCTTATCATACCATTCGATCAAAACTGTCGAGACATTTTTTGAGTAAATTGAATTCAACACGAACTGAAATTTACGCCAACATTAATCTTTGAATTTTTATGACAACGATTTCTTGAAGTTTTCTCAAGATTTTCAAGTATCTACGTATTCACACATATCACAGCATATATACATGTCAATGAAAAATTTAACTGTCAGAGAATTTGACGTTCAAATCGCGCAAAAGCATATATTACATCAGAACCTCTCTAAACCGAACTGAGCATAAGCGAACGAGAAATTTCAATCACAAAAATTTTCTTTTCTGCTTTTACAACATAATTTTTTTATTTCATGTCGGATTTTACAAACAAAAATAAGTTTTTTTAATTTTTAAATTAAATTCGGGTTTGATACTCTCAGGTTTAGAACAAGTTTTGAAACATTCTTTAATATTTTTTAAAATATTTTCACTCAAACTTTGATGAAACTAATTTTTTAACGGTTTATAGAAAATTGATTTTCTGTTGTTCAATCGAATTCTGTATGCAGCCTAAATAAACAAAAGAATTAAAATTATACTTAAAGAAATTTCTTATCAACTTACTTCATTGAGATCAAAGTTTCCATAATGATAATCATTTTTCTCGTTCTTTGCACATTTACGACGTTTTCTCTCAGACCTCCGAAGCTTTAATGATTCAGCAACTGCTGGTGTGATTAATCGAAATATTGATAAGAATTCTTCTTGACTATACTCAGTTTTAGGAGGTGGTTCGATTGGAAGTTGAGGATAATATTTCATGTAGTCTCCATCTGAGCTCTCCTCAGAGACAGCAATCGGCGATTTACGCTTGCGACTTGGCATCTTTAATGGATCTTCAACTTCCATTCCATCATACGATGAAGATCTTTCCGAGTAATCTTCATCGCTTCTTACGTATTTTATGTCAATTCCACCTTCCCCTACTTCAGCTAATGCAGCTCGACAACGTTCTGTGTAAAACTTATCTAACTCATCCTTGTTGTCGACTTGTTCTGTCTTCACTTTACTCAATGCTTTTAATAAATTTAACCGACTATGTGTTATCGCTTGAGAGTTTGGTGAAGATGGTGTTGACAGAACTTTTTTGTTTTTCCCATCACGACCTTCAACGACACGAGCTTTTCCAGACGGTTTCTTCGGAGTTTGAGCTAATGCTTTTGTCGGCTTACGAAAAACAGGCTTCAATAATGATTCGCGTTTGACTTGCTTTTTATTAATTAACAAGCTTTTTGTTTCATTTTTTTCTATAATTGAATGCAATGTTGGACGATCAAACTCACAATCACCTTTCACTTGATTGCTTAAAATTTAATGTGAAATATATTTGTAATGCAATAATATTGGGTAAAATGATTAGGAGAACTTACAATTTCTTTTTAAGATCATCTTCTGACATTCTTGCTCTTACATTGCTCGGCATGATGCTAAAATAGTTTTTTTCATAGTGATAATGTAGAGCTCTTGTAATAAATCCATTTGCCAAATCCTGATCCATTTCAGAATTGAATTTTTCTTTCCATGTCTTCTTACATTCACTCATAGCTTTCTTCACAATATCAGTTAGCATTTTCTGAACAAAATGAACGGAATAATAAATAATATTATCAGTAACATTATTAATTTATGCTATAAGGTCATTTTTTTACCTGCTCTCTGCTAATTTCATCCATTTCTTCTTCCAACTCATCCATGAGTTGTCGAATCAATCCAAACTATAGAAATAAAAAGAAAATATAAAAACAACAAATGAAATCATCAGCAATGTGAGTTGTGAAATTTTAATGTTTCCTTTTCTTTCTTCCTTACATTTTTTGATGTGGCAGGGATACATGTTCTTCCATTTTTGTTTTCTATAGCCACATACAGCTTCGATGATAATTTCTGCAGATGAAAAAAATGTATAAACCACCCGATTAAACAATAACAACAACAACAAATCAATGTCATGATTTGTGACACAATAAGCAAAGATTGACCAGCATGAGCATAATTGATAGCATTAATATATGTTATGAAGCTCATTAATGAGCAAACACGCTTAGTTTTATCAGTAAACTTAACTTTTAATAAAAATATAAAAAGTATTAAATCAGTTCCCATCTCACCTGGTGATATTTAATTATCAAACGTAAGTGTTTTTGAAGATAAGTAAGATCGTCTAAAATATCATCACGCAATGATATTACACTCATAAATTGATTAAAATTCATTTTTGAACGACTGTAATGTTAAAAAGCAAGCAATTAGGTAGATAAAATTTATTTATTCACTATTTTGCTTCGTGCAAGTGTGACCGAGAAAATGAAACTTTTGAAACTAAAAAATCGTTAATTTTTTTTCTGTAGTTTAAAGAATATTAAAATTTGAGATATTTGTGTAAGGTACAAACACAAATTATGAATTTTTATGAGAAGTTACCAATATTATCTCTAACTAAATGCATAAAACTATTCCAGGAGTAGAATTAAAATGAAAAAATAAAATTATTGGCTGACCGAATTTCAATGGAATTTTTAATATCTTCAGCACATCTGAAAACACAAAAAGTGACACATTAGCATGACATTTTAAACTTGCATTTCCTTATGTATAGCAACGCATACATAAAGGGTGTTTAATAGTTTCACCGTAAATATTTCAAGGCAAAGTTCAAATAGATTGTAAAAACCTTTTTTTATCTCATGTTATCTTTTACATAAATTATCATGCTCGAATCGTAACAAAGCATCGAAACAGGTTGTCATATTTACTGGAATATTGGAATATTTCAAAGAATTTCTCATGTTCATGCTGAAAAATATTTAAACATATCAAATTTTATAACATTTTTAATAAAGATTATTACCCAGATGTTTTTATATATTCTGGAACATGAACCTCATGCCGCATTATTAAATGGGAGAAAAATGATACAGTAACTTTCATATTTCATGTGCTGAAGTCATCATCTCAAAAGTGTAGCAAAAGTTCATTTACCTTGGTATTCAATGAAACATTTTTATCACATTTGCGTTTTGAGTGAATTTAGAAAGTATTTTTTACTCTGAATAATTTAAATAAAATAAAGTAAAAGCACGGATCTGATTATAGCTAAATGTTTTCTTAAAATATCTTTTTATTTAAGAAAATTTAACGGTTTTCATTTTGAACGTGTATGCTGTTGAATCTTGAAAAGCGAGGCAACTTCTAACTTGTCAGTCGTCCAAACCACGGTGGTCGCATATTTTTCATAAAGAAGAAATAATTCAATATTCATAAAATTTGACTTCTATCTGTAAACAACAACAGTGTAATTAATTCAACCTGGAAAAGAATGGAATTGTCTAAAGATGTTTTGGAAGACTTGACCTATCTCCAGAAGCAAATGAGATTGACTATAAAATATCATCAGGTGAGAATTATTAAGAATATTACTGAGATTATCATTTAATACAATATTAACAACATTTAGAGAAAACTATTTCAAAACTAATTTCTAACATCACATAAGACGAAGCTTTAATGAAATTGATTAATTTTGACAACATGATAAAAAGAATTCTCAACTTTTGTTGATCTTTGCATGATTTCTATCTAAAAAAATTTAATTTCATTGCAGCAACTTTCAGAAATTCTGTCATCGAAAGTTAAAGGAGGTGTGAATTATTCTGCAGTTAGTCAAAAAAGAGTAAGTTTAGTAACGAAATTGTCATAAAATTGTATATTATCATTTGTTTCATAAAATTTAATTAATTTAATTTTCACTTCAATAAAATTTTTAAGTTAGCAAATTTTTATATATTTTTAGACAAATCAAATAAGAAACTTAATGGAATTCTTGGAAGGAGAAATGGAAGAAATCACTCAGGAGCAAGT